TGGTCCATGAGATCAAAGATGAGCTTCGCATCCTCTCCGTATTTGCCAGTCAGGATATCCTTGCGCTCGAACACGGGCGTGTCGAGACACGCGCCGCCAAAGGCGGAGAAGCAGTCTTTCACCGTCCGCTCGATGCGTTCCCGGCAGGCCATCTCCGCCGGTCCAAAGTCGCGTGTGCCCTACATTCGAGCCTGAATTGAGTGTTATTGCGAGTGTGAGAAAGGGCGGGGGCGCCCGGCACCTTGGCCGTTTTCAGGAGCAGACGCTCCCGTTTCTTCGCCGCGTCTTTGCTGCCCCCTGCATCCGCGCCCTTGGACATCGCCAGCGATTTCTTCAGCTCGCCCAGTTTCTTCTTGGCTTCTTCGAGTGCGGATGCATCGTTCTGGAGGCGCAGCTGGTTCAGGAGGACAGTCTGTGCGGTGATCTGTTCGTTGAGGGATCCGGGTGAGGCCATCGAGAAAAGCCGCCGATGATAGCGAAGGAGAGTTAATCGATGGATTCTACAACTGTAGAGCGACATGCAATTTGCCCCAAGATGCGTGTGACTCGGCTGAGCTCGTGACGAACGCGATCATGTGATCATTTCATGACGCGAACTGAGTGAGAAAACCCCGCGGGCGAGGGCAGGCCTGGACCCAATTCCCCGTAGTAAACATGCGAGGCTCTCTGAGGCCCTTTATTAAAAAATTTACCACCTAGCGCGACCCAGTCACTGTGACGGGTGGGTTTATGAATCCTTCATCTGGTTCGCGATCGAGATTCGAGAAGCTGGTCATTCCATGTTTCGACTGCCGAAATGAAGCCTCTATCTGCTTTGGGAGACGCGTGGGAAGAAGAAACGACCAACTCATCCCAGCGTGATTGCTTAGGGACACCGCGAAATTTTCTGTCCCCATTCCCGACTGATACCGAAGATGCGGAGACACTGATCGTTAACACTCAGTTGTAGTTGAGTTCCTTTCCGATTCTCTAGTGATTTCTCTATTCCTGATTGTTCTGTGGCTGCTGTAATATGGCTCTGAATCACCTAAATTATGTCCATTTATCTTTTGAAAACAACCACCAGGCCATCAACTTGCACTACTTTCTTTTCATACGCCAAGGGCCGCACATATCTATTGCTTTTGTTAATCACTTTTTGATGACTGATGCTAACTCATTTTTTTCGGTTGAATGTAGCATAGCTAGTGCACTTGTTAGAGTCATCAATAAAGGGAAGACCTCTCCTTGCTACCATTACTGTGGAATTATTGACACTGGCACTTACCTTGCATCAAACCATTATTGATCGGTGATACTAGAGTGCCATCAGAGAATTCGATGTCGCGCAGATTCCGAGCTTCCACGGTCTAGCAGGTCGGACCACACAAGGTTCCTCCTATATGCATCATCTCTACGGAAACTCTGCTCAATCGTGCTCGACGTTTGTGGGCGCCGAGCGGTCCGGACAGAACTGATTGCCGACTGGTGGCGATCACACGTGTTATTTTGGTACTTACCCTTCCCCACTGCACCGTTCCTACCGGCTCGGAACGCTCTTGCTCACTACAACCATGGCCCATTCGAAACCATTGACATTGGCTCGCCTGAACGACTCAGTCTTGGGCGTCTGGGGTCTCGCACCGCCGTCTAAACACCTCGATCATCTGCTGCGCATGCTTTCGACCTGGAGCGGGACCGAGTTGCGTACCCTGCTATACATATCTGCTGCCTAAACACGAATTTATGTCATTCATGTGCAGCAAGTTCTTCACAGTGCGTATCGGCGTGGCTGCGCCCGTGTCTTGGCTGAGATAATGCGAGCAGTTGGTGCAAGCTTTATGCAAGATCATCGTCCCATTGCTGCATCTGCGAGCCCGAATCCAATACCGGGCGGGGTTCAGGAAAGAGCCAACGAGCTTCGCCGCCGAGGGATTCAAAAAGTTCGCGGGGATGGTGGGCGACTCGCAGACGCTGGGACGTTTCTGGGGTACGTTCACCTCCACACCCCCTGCCTACTGCTACCCACGCTCGATCTAAGGTCTGCTCCAAATATTCCAATGGCTCATCTCGCTTGAGCGAACACCACAACCAACGCGAAATCTACTGACGATCGAGCGGCTTCAAGGCTGGTCCATGCTCGGATACTATCCGCTCGAGCATCTCAGTCATCTGCGATCTCACGACATCCTCCCACCCTCCATCTCCATTCCCGTTCCAGTCGCTGAAAAGCCCAAACAACTTGAGCTCGACGCTGGCGCGCTGTCCCGCGCTTCATGTCGTTTCTGGGCGGCCTATGTCGTGCTTCAATTCGCACACCTCCGGGAGGACCGGAAACTACTCCAATTGCAGCAACGCGCTCTCAAAAAGAGCAAGGTCGGGGGTAAGATCAGTGACGCAGAAAAAGCGGAGTTCGCTCGGCGCTGGGACGCTTATTGGAGCGGACTGCTGACGAATATCTGCAATTTGCCCATTGCGCTGCACTGGTGTGTTTCAAGCGCACTCTGAGAGAGGCCACGGGCTCACAGATTATCAGGTCAGTCACGGGGGGGATTATCAAGAACTCGGTACGCGTCTGGCGGTCATCTCGTGGCATAGCAACTGAATTTCTATCAGCTTGTTGTGGATATTCTCTCCCTCCTAGCGGCTGTTCTATCATTCCGCAGTGGATGGCGCGCTACTGCGCTGCTAGATCCCGAAGAGGAATCGGACAATCATGCAGGACCTCCTGTTGACGAGAAGCAATGATGTCATTATCTATGTCGATGTTGATTGTATCAACGTTGTGTCGCTCATTTGGTTTTGGATCCGCCTCAGGCTACGTTCACGACCGAGGATGATAAGCAAATCAAGAACAGGAGGCCCATCCTGTAGGGCGTGAGTAGGGGAACACATTACAAAGCTGGAAACCAACTTTGGTAGCTGTCAATGCGTGCCGGATGACTGGCAAGAATGTGGGCATATTCAAGCGCAACTTTTCTTCGCTGAGGCAGTGATGCAACTCTTCTGCAGTCCAAGAGTCCAAAAGCTCGAGTGCTTGGGCAACGGAAGTAAGGATAAGATCTGAGATCACAATTATATGGATGTCAGAAGCAAGACGGGTCGAGTAACATGCCTTGTTGTTCAGGTGTGACCCGACGAAGCATTTTGCGAGTTTCATCGCTATCATATTCAGGCTCAAGGAACAGATAAGGTGCCAACGAGACCATATCATGGATATTCACAAGACGGCTCTGGAAAGAAGTGAGCCAGGCCACCGCAAACACAGTTCGAAGACCCACGTCGAGCAGGCGAATGACAGACTGAATGTATTGGGGAGTGGTATATTCCTCGCTGAAAGCTGGTTCAGCGCAAGAATCGATGTTTGATGAAATGAAATCACCTAATTTGACCGAGAGGCAAGTTGTCGACCATCCAACGCCTCACGTTCAGTGCTACGTCCGTAAGTCCCTCTGGCGATGCAGCCTTGAGTAACAGATGCTGTCTGTTCAGAAACGCCAATTTTCCAGGATCGAGGGAGGATGAACGGTGTGTCAGTGCAGAAAGTTCAAACTGGACGATCGTGAACATAAACACCCGTATTTCAGATGGCTCATACCTCCGCCTGCAACTGGTCCATGTTCATGACTTGGGTGCTCAAGGGTGCGTCTTTTGCTTGATGCGCCTCTTCAGGCTGGACTGCCTCGTCATGCTGACCTCCCCAGCCGGGCAAAGCGAGCCAGTTCAACACGGCATCCTTTTCCCATCCTCGCCGCTATGTCAATGTGAACATCATGTGATACATGCCGTATTCGCAGACCTCACTATGTAGTCCTCGACCTTGACGTCACCGTGTCGCTTGCTCATCTTGGTGCCGTCAGGGTTGAGCAGGATGGGAATATGCGCATATTGGGGAGGCTCCAAACCAAGCGCAGAGTAGATGTCCAGATGCAACGGAAGAGAAGTCATCCATTCCTATCAGACGGTCAAGCGACAGACCAGCAGAAGAAGCACAAGCAAAGATACCTCGCCGCGCAAAACGTGAGTGATGGTCATTTCATGGTCATCGACGACATTTGCCAAGTGGTAGGTGGGATAGCCATCGCTTTTGAGCAGGATTGGATCCGTGGCGAGTGAACCGTGCGCATCTTTCAGGTGTCCAAACACCAAGTCAGTCATCGGCCGTCGTGGAGTAACAGCCCCAGTCTGTCTCCCGTTGAGCTCACGCTTAGACAGAGACAGGGTGGACATACATTAAACCGAATGATACTTCGCTCGCCAGCCCGGACACGACGTGCGACTTCCTCCTCGGTGAGATGCAAGCATCGCTTGTCGTACGACTGGTTAGATCCAGCTCTTGCAAAATTTTCTCGCATTTGAGAAAGGGTGTCGACCGAACAGAAGCAGCGGTAGGCGTGTCCGGACTACCCTCATCAACCCTGGGCCAGATTCAAGAAGTCACTGAGCGCACGGAGAGTAGTTTTGTGGCATATGAGTTGTAGAGGTCGAGACGTTCGGACTGGAAGAATGAGCGCGAAAGTCGGCAAGCGCGATAGGTGTTACCTGGTGGTATGGGCCATGAGGACCTGCTCTGTCGGGACCTGTCGTGTGTGCTGCTCAGGGTCGGCCAAACGACGGGAACGCATGTAGCTATACCGTAGTCGTATTCAAGCCCCGCCCACTGAAGCGCGCTTTGTATGCCCTTGACTGAACCCGGGACGAAACGGGTCTATGAAGAGATGTTCGGCGCAAAGCTCATTCCACTGACCGCACGTACCGAGTCTGTGTCCTCGATTCGGAGTATCCACTTCCCTCCCAACCTTTTGGCGTGCAGGTGATTGAACAGGGCCATACGTAAGCCTCCCAGGTGCAAAGCACCGGTAGGTGAAGGGGCAAATCGCAACAACGCCATGATCGGTGAAGCGCCCACTATATGAGAGCTATGGACGCGTCAAAAGATTCGCGGCAAATGTTCAGATTGATTCGACGCGTTTTGCCTCCCGAGGTTGTCCAACAATGAATGTTTTCCAGGCGAGGAGACGATGGATGAGAGAGTGGAACACTCAAGTTAGTGCCACACTGGGGCCGTCAGTGCGGTCCGAAATTGATCACATCAAGATGGAGGCGGCCATTTCTTCGATGTTTCCAAAGCACTCAAATCCGCATCTACTGCAGTTATCGGTCGAGCCAGTGTCTCGCTCGAATCTCTTTGACACAGCTTCCCTTGTGCAACCAGAGACAGATGACTTGCAGGAGACGTTGGATCGATTCGTAGAAACAAGTATCGAACTCATCCCAACGGAGCGACCCAAGAAGAGGCGAAAACTAGAGCCTCCGGCGAGGGAGGAGACCTCAGTCGGTAGGCATGCTACCCTTTGAGCTTGAGAAAGAAGTTGACTGTCCCAGAATTCCGTTTGTTATCGACCTGCAATGCGATCTCACTCCTTCCCAAGACCCTTCCACCTACGCTGTCAGCTTTGCCCCCTCCACCACAACGCGTCAATTAGCTCATAACATTCAGTATACGAGAACCAGATTGTGAAGACACCCCGGCCGCTGCAGAAACGCGTCGACTGAGGGCGGCAGCGGTGTCTGTGGACGGCGAACAAGTCAGATCAGACTCATTAACGTTTCCAGCGGTGCGCACATTTCATATCTATCACGACCCGAACATTACACGTTACTGTGCCAGCCATACCGGAAGGGCCGTACACTCTGCTTGCAGACTCAAGATACGGGAGTAGCCGCTCCCCTCGCGGTCTTGCAACGCCAACAGGACTTTCGACGAACGCGTCCACCTGTTCCTCGATCTCTGCTCCAATCTTCTCCATACACACATTCCGTATCTCCAGTCCCCTCATCCAGTATTGGACTCGTCCCGACTATCGAGGTCCGAGTCGATGAGCCCGTGACAAAACATCCATCGAGGCAAAATCGCAGAAGACATCGGGGGAAACCGAGAGTTCAACCGATGCAGCCGTCATTCTGGTGGCCGGGTCCAGGCGTAAAAGGCAAATGCATGGGGTATGCTATGGGTTACTAGCCGAAGGAGGCCGTCTTGCAGTTCAAAGAGTACAATGAGATCTAGTACGACATTGTTTTGTTTGTAGCAAATCAAAGATCGAACTGACGCGTATACGATTGACCCTTGCCTCTGTACGCGTCTAGAATGTTTACCTCAACACCCCCGCCGCAAGGCGTGTACAGTATACCGTCCATTCCGCGCCTGCCATCGCCCTCTGGCTCCCGCAATCGCTCATCGCTGGGCTCATTTTCCTTTGGGCCCGAGCAGCTGGTGGACTCGTATCTGGATGCCGACTCATCAACCGCATCCCATCCCAACTCCTTTGCGCTCGATCCGAATCGCTCCGTTCTCCCTGCGTCGCCACTGCGCTCCTCCCCACGCCGCCCGAAAAAAGCGCGAGACACGTCCAGCCGCCACCCGCACCCGCTCGCGAATGACACCACGGACATATTCAACGATTCGGACGAGGACGAGGACGATGAGGACTACGAGTGGAAGATGGTGGACCGGATGCGACTTTGGAGACACGACGCGTTGATGCAGCATTTGCATGAAACGGCCGCATTCTGGGGCGACAAGATCGTCAGCTGGACAAGTGCGTCGCGTCTCGAGATCCATTGCCTTCCGTTGAAACGATGCACCTCTCAGATGACCCGAATGATGCCTTTTGGCTAGCTCAAACGTACTTCATGATGCATCAGTATTCGCGCGCTGAACGCCTTCTCACTCGTCCGTTCCCGACTGCTGCTCCGGACACTCGGAATACGCTTCCTATATCGCCAACGAACGGGCACTTGTCACTGAAGGGCAAGGAGCGCGATTTGCCTTTCCCTCCAAGATTACCTATGGGGCCAGGTGGACTGCTGGAGATCCCCGAAGAATCTCAGAGCAAGATCTCGCGGCTGGTGGATATGAGTGTGGCTTGTCGATATCTAGCCGCGCAGTGTCATGTGCGCCAGGGTAACTGGGAAGGTGCAACTGAAATGTTGGGTGAAGCCAATCCATTCCGCAACTCCGGTGAGTTTGGATGATTGCATCGGGTGGACGACACTAAACACGCCTAGGACGCAGCGGGCCTGCAGTTCCTAATCAAGACGGTGGAATTAAGGTGAAATCCAGTCTGATGCATCTGTTCTTTGTGCTAAAAACACAAGATTGAGGCGTCCATGTGCCATCTGAGAGGCATTCTGATGCTGAAATTGAACCGGGGTGATCAGGCAAAGCAATGTTTCATGGAGGCTTTGGCCTTGGACGTCAAGTGCTTCGAGTCCTTGGAACAGCTTATCAACGGGGAAATGATGACGCCCGACGAAGGTACAAGTCACCGCGCGTTCATCTGAGCGTTGTCCTGACCGCGCAGCATAGAGTGGGAGTTTGTGCAGTCTCTGGCTTACTCAAAACAAACACCCCAAGATGCCGCCTTTGTGCAATTGATTTACACAGCAAGATTACGCAAGTATAAGCATGTTGCAGAACATGCTCTCACAAGACAACGTCTCGTCGAGGAGTTTGGACTGGGGGATAACCCCGATGTTCTGTTCAGTTTTGCAGATGCGTTGTATGCACAGTTCAGATGGGCCGACTGTTTCGCAATCACGACCAGGTAAATAACACGAGCCACTACCTCGCGTGAATGATATATTTTCTCCAGAATACTGGGCTTGGTAGCAATACACTCAAAGACGATGCCAATCCATATCGCCTGCATGTACCATCTATCTCATCTGCACTCGAAGCTGTTCATCTTGGCCCACGAAATGGTCGAACAGGAGCCTGAAAATGCTCTCAGCTGGTATGCCGTCGGTGTCTGGTATCTCAGTGCGAACAAATGGGCCGAGGCGCGCCAATATTTCAGGTTTGCACATTGTCAGTGTGCGCTGTCTGGATTATGACCAAGTCCACAGCAAGACGTCGCTGATGGACCCAAGATTCGCCGCTGCGTGGATCGCATTCGCTCACACTTTTGCATTGGAAGGGGAGCATGATCACGCCGTGACGGCATATTCGACTTGCGCGAGGATGTTCACGGGGTCTCATCTCCCACTGATGTTCGTCGGGATGGAGAACATCATGCTGTCCAACTATCGGCAAGCGGATGAAGCTCTGAAAGCTGCTGACACCATGTGTGATGGCGATCCTCTGCTTGTCAATGAACTGGGCGTGATGGCTTACAATCATGGAGAGTGCGTGTTTTCACCGCCCCTCTAGGAATGTACTGGATGTCTGTGAAGTTTCGATGAAGCGGCGAAGCTCTTCCAAAAAGCACTTGATCTAGCCCAGATCACTCAAGGATCACAAAAGACCTGGGGAATCACCTACCTCAATCTGGGCACATGTCATCGAAAATCCAAGTGTGTAACCATTCTGTATTTCAGCCGCGCCTCACCTTTTTCTCCAGGCGATACGAAGAAGCCCGGATCGCCTACCAAAAGGTTCTTGACCTGGAACCTCGAAATGCGGCCGCTCTCGGCTTTCTGGGAATCATCTACCACCTGACAAACGACCTGGACAAAGCGATCTTGAAATATCACGAGGTCTGTCTCAACCCAGCACTGGCTGGAAGAACGCTCATTTGTTTTCCAAGACTCTCAGCATCAATCAATTGAATCCACATATCATGGAACTCCTCCAACTGGCTCTGGAGCAGACATCCTCTGATGTCCCCAGCATAGACGAGTTCAAGGAGGTCGTGATGAATTTGCGCGACAAATATCAACGACATAACAAAAACAGTAAGGGGAAGCAGCGAGACGGTGGCCTGCCCCGATCCGCCCCATCCAATGACATGAACATTGGCTGAATGTACTTACATCGGCATCGACATGTGCTCAGTGTCCCGGGTTAGGGTTACATGTCTGTTGATAGTTATGTACAGATCAATTCAAAATTTCTGAAGCGCATCTTCCGGTTCTCTTGCGCGCACGCCTTGCTGTTCCTCCTCTAGCATGCCCGACGCAGCGGTCTCCAACAAAGCAGAGAAGAAGGCGAAACGGAAATCTATCACCACCCCATCCGATGAGCCCTCTACCTCGAAAGTGGCGATATCGGCGGAGGCAAAACCCAAGAAGAAAGATGCTGGGGTAGAGGACACGCCTGCAAAGAAGTCGAAGAAGAAAGATCTTACATCGACGGCAGGGGATGTCTCAGCAGAGCTCCTCCAGGTCGCGACCGAGCAGCCGTCGAAGAAACGGAAGAAGGAAACGGCTGCATCCACCATCGTCGAACCGGACCCTGCTGTTGACGATACGCCTCATCCCGCGAAAAAGCAGAAAAAGGCGAAAGCTGATATGCCTGCGATCCCAACAGTACCGGAAGCCGAGGCACCGAAACCAGCAAAAAAAGCCAAGAAGTCGAAGAAGGCCGACATCGACACCGACACCTTACCACCCGTGGCTGCTGAACACTCTGCTGCTGAACCTGCTATCGAGACTACCAAGAAGAAGACTAAGAAGACGAAAGCCGCGTCTGCATCGGAACCCGAACCCGCCGTCTCGGCCTCGGCACCTGAAACGCCTGCGTCTACCACCACACAAGCTGACCCTCCCGTCGACGATGCACCTCAGCCTTCGAAAAAACAGAAAAAGTCCAAAACCGTGATAGCTGACGCACCCGCCGCTGCAACGGCGCCAGAGGCCGAACCCACGAAAAAAGCCAAGAAGTCGAAGAAGGCTGGCACCGACATCGCTACCCTACTACCTGTGGCTGCGGAACCCTCTGTTGCGGAACCTGCTGCCGACGTGCCGAAAGAGAAAAAGACGAAGAAGACAAAAACTGTGCCCGCATCGGAACCGGAAACCGCCGTTTCGGTGTCGGCACCTGCACCTGCGAGTGCGTCGTCGAAAAAGCGGAAGCGGGCAGCGGAGGTCGATGCGGATGCTCCCGAGGAGGTTTCTTCGAAGATACCAACGACTGCGACTCCTGCCCCTGCTCCGGAAACCGACGCGTCGTCCAAAAAAGCATCCAAGAAGCAGAAGAAAGTTGCCGCTGCCTCGACAGACGCCATCGTTGCGCCTGTTTCTGTAGAGGAGTCTCCCAAGGTTGGCAAGAAGGCAAAGAAGGTGGCCGTTGCACCTGAACCTGTCGTGGAATCCAAGGAGGAGGACAAGGCGAAGGTGGCGAAGAAGGCGAAGGTGGCCGCCGAGCCAACGGCGGTCGTTGAGCCCAAGTTGACTGTCGAGCCGAAGAAAGCCGTCGAGCCGGTGCTCAAGTCTAAGAAAGCAAATGAATCCACGCCAAAGTCGAAAAAGGCAGAGCAGCCTGCGCCCCCGGTTGAGTCTACCCCGTCGAAGAAGAGCAAGCCTATCGTCGTGGCCCCTGACCTGGACGAAGCAGCGGATGAAGACTCATCTGACGACGAGGACTACGCTCCCATCGAAGGGTTCTCTACGGACGAGGATTCGTCCGACGACGACGCAGACATGGACGTAGATGAAACACCGGTCGATCTCGGTAAGCTACCGACGATCGCCAAAGACGATGCTACTGTGAAGCGCAAGCTCGAGAAAGCTAAGAGGCAGCCGGTCAGCTCATCCCTCACAAGCTATCCATCCTGTCTCTGACGAACATCGCAGACTACTGACCGTGGTGTTCTATACCTCAGTCGTCTTCCACACGGATTCTACGAAGAACAGCTCAAGGCCTACTTTTCGCAGTTCGGGAATGTCACGCGTCTACGCGTATCGCGCAACAAAAGGGTCAGTGCGCATCCCTGTGGAACTGATTCTGTGCTCATGATCTGTCTGCAGACCGGGAAATCAAAGCACTACGGGTTCATCGAGTTCGATTCGGCATCTGTCGCCCAGATTGTGTCGGAGACGATGGACAACTACCTGCTGATGAATCACCTGTTGGTCTGCAAGGTCGTTCCCAGGGAGCAGGTGCACCCGGAACTGTGGGTCGGTGCCAACAGGCATTGGCGATCGGTTCCTTCGGCGCGTAAAGCGCAAGCTGACTACAACAAGGTCCGCGTGCCCCTCAATCGCTGCTTGCCAAGTGCATTCTGACAGTCACGCAGCCCCGGACCAAGGAAGAGCAAGGACGTGCCGCTGCCCGGCTCTTGAAACGTCAACGAGAACGTCAACGCAAACTTGACAAGGCTGGGATTGCATACGACGTCGAGGCGGCCGGGTATAGTTCTAGCCTTGCTCAGTAGATCTTTGTCAGCACGTACCATGCGCTGGTGTCAGCACCAAAATGCAGACCTCGCACTTTTCTGTAATCCACATGCGAGAGGCCGAACCATCGCCCAGCTTCACTGGTCTTGCGCAGCATTAGAAAACAGTGGAATTCATAATTTACACGCCGTACAACCACAACAACGTAATCAACTACAAGCGCTCACACTCGTTTTCCAACGACCACACCGTCCTGGATCTCGATCTTGGCTGTGGGTGCTTTGAGGAAACCCTCCTGGTTCTCAAACGACAGCTCCTCCAAAGTTCGCTGCTTGGTCTCCGGCAGCAACAGCGTCGAGAAGATGCCTGTCAGCATGAAGAAGGCGAAAATCTCCAATCTGGGCAAGAATAATCAGTTGTGGACCCATACTCTCTGCACACGAGTGATGCTTACATGTGCTTGACGAATTTGTTGGTGCCGCCAATGTTGACCAACTTGGAGAATCCGACCTGGGCAACGATGGCTCCCAGTTTGCCACTTGCAGCAGAGATACCGTGTGCAGTAGACCGATACCGGGTGGGGAAGATTTCACCAGGGATAATGAATGTAGTGGTATTCGGACCAAAGTTCTGGAAAAAGTTGGTCAAACAGTACAGGAACACAAAGGCGGCTTTGGCGGAGGTGCTGGACGTGAGCTTGTCGTATCCAAAGCCTACAAAATTCATGTTATAAGATGTAAAAAGTGTCGAAATGCACAACAAACCCATAATGACGAACAGGACCGTGAGCACGGTGAAGCCCATCAGCTGGATGGGCTTGCGCCCCCAGCTGTCGATCAGGAAGAAAGTGGCCCAGTATCCAGGAATCAGGCCGGCCGCGGAGAAGATAAGATTGCCGATGGTGACGTTCCGCAGATTGTCGTACACATTCTGAGTCCCGTGGCTGGAAGCGCTCCCAAAGCCCATAGCAGTCAAAATCACAGACGTGTTCAGACCCAATCCGTAGAACGCGATCTGGAATAGATCAGATAGGAACGGCACGTCAGAGCGGATAAGCTCACGTCAAGCGCAAACCAGGAGTAAGAAGTGCCCAGAAGAATCTTTCCGTTCTCCCACTTGCCAAAGTAAGCACGGAAGTCGGCCCACGAGGCACGAGGCATCTCAACGCGCTGAACAATGGCATCGGGGTCCCGGTTGAACGTGCCAGAGGTGAGGACGTTTTCAATGTCATCGGACGCCTGCATGACATTTCGTTCGATGTCCATTGTGAAACGAGGGGTCTCGGGGATGGTGAGTCGGAAGTAGAGCGCAATCACACCAGGCACACAGCCAAGACCGATCAGAATACGCCACATATAGTCGACATGGGGGACGTGGTTGATCGCTGGGTCATTCAGGATCTTGTCCTTGTAGGCAGCAGTGACGATGAATGCGACCAAAGCAGCGGCTGCACGCGATTATTCAAGCCATGATGCGATCGATTGACACCGACACACACCAAAGTTACCCCAACCCTGGTTGGCAAACACAGCTGTCATCATGCGCCCACGGATCCGAGTAGCCGAGAACTCGGAGGAGATGGTAGCAGAGAGCGGGTAATCACCCCCAATGCCAACACCCATCTGTGGTCAAGTTGGGCATGCGATCGGTTCGCGCGAACAAAAACTCACAATGAAGCGCCATACGACAAGCACCCCGATGATACCAACAGCGCCACCGTTTCCAGAGAGGGCTTGGGCGAAAGTTGCAACGATGATGATCATGAGCTCGACACCATCTGCAAGTCGGATGAGCCTATCATGAGTGACAGGGGGAAAGTCCACGCACACATCCGCTTTCTGCCAACGACGTCTGCCAACCATCCGAACAACAGTTGACCGACAAGCGTCCCAACAGGAGTAGCGACCTTGATACCCAGGTCTTGTGAGGGGTTGAGCCTGCCAGCGGTGGTTGCAGAACCTGGCAGAGCGATCAGCAACGCGATAAAATTGGGCATGAGATTGACGCTAACTCTTTCCGTAGACGTAACCCAACATGGTGGCCGCGATACTGATAGAGAAAATGTCATAGCTGAAGAGGATGTCAGCAAGGTGGAGAAGGAGATAATGGATAAGAACGCACGCATCCGTGAAGAAGCCGACACCAGCAACCAAGCAAACTTTGACATGGAACCAACTGAGTTCGAATTAAAATGTTGGACAGAGGCAACGAAGAGAGGCACTGACGAGAACTTGGCGTTGTCAACCTCGGCGAGAGCAGCACGACGGCGCTCGTCAAGCACGTAGGTAGCATCGGCACCTTTGGCAGCGGAGGCGTTAGACTCTTTATCGGCCATGAGAGTCGTATGCAAAAGGGGGACAGCGAAGAATCTGTTCCGAGCATGCCGTCTTATATGTCTGCATTCTAGCGTTCCGAGCGTTCGGGCCCTTTCCCCACACAAGTCAAGGACTGGGCAAGACAGATCTGTCCCAAAAAGGAAGGTAAGTTCACGAACGTGCACCATTGCGCAATGTGATCATCTGAGTTAGTTGATGTGTACCCGCCTATATGCCATCTTTATCACGCAGCCGCCTCCGTTTCACCGGCCTGTGCAGCGGCGTACTTGTCAATTCACGCGAACACTCGACCGTTCAAGTGTCGAATCGTCTGAAATCTATCGCCCTGTACAAAGAGCTTCACCGTCTTGGCAGAGACCACGACCCAGCGTGTGTCCTCCCGTTAGAGGCCAAGACCCCATCTGCAAGTCTGATCCTTCCAGATATAACTTCCATGGCAAATTGAGGAGCCTTTTCGAACGTCAGTCATCCGTTCAGTCTACTGCTGTAGCACATCCTCAGCCCTAGAAACCTAGGCAACAGGTCTCTAAGCGCGCCGGAGGACATCGAACGAGCGTTCCGGCTGTGTGACTACATCAAACGAGGTTGCACGCGCTACAGCTTTGCATGACATCGTTTCCCTGACGTCTCCCAGAAACGTTGGCACTCTATTCCCTGCGAAAGTATCGGCATCTCAAGCGGATGTATCCTCCTCCGCCTCCGCCTCCTACTCGATGAATCGGTCCCAGCCCCCAGGAGGCACTGCGCAACAGGCACACGGAGGAGTGACGTAGTGCGGGAAATTTTGCTCCGGATCTGCGAAAGATATGGTATACTGTATGGGAGAAGAGCGGGACAGTGGGACCCGGCAGCAGAGTACTTCCCCGATCAGATTTACCGGAAGTGACCGAAATCATCTCTCTTTTCTCCCCCTCCAGTTTTGTTGAAGAATGTTGTGGGCGATGCTTTCGAGCACATGATATCCTTTCAATCCCTACCCGTTGAGGTGTTCTCGCTCCTTTCATAGCTGCTATCCATCTTTATGACTCAACAGCTTCTCTATGAAGTCCAACTATATGCGTTTTCGGCAGCACTGCCCATAACTAGTCGACGGTTGTTCGATGTATTCGACTCCGCTCCTCCCTACTTTCGCGCCCAGTATCTCATTGGACAATCAGAGACACGAACTAGCGTAGGGGGAGTCGTATCCAAAGCTCTACGCTTCCCCTTGTGCTCGACCGCTGTGCTCGATATAATTCTTCGTGTTTGGCCCGGCAGCACGCCTTCGCCCGGGCTCCAGATCCATCCGCGAACGAAGCAAGATTGACACTGCGACCAAAACCGTCTCTCGCCTCACACCCGGGCCCCGAACTGCCTCGTCGATGGTTCCGGAACCTTACTGCACGCACTGAGACCCAGGTCCCGTTCTCGGAATCTGATCAGCCACTGCCCTTCTTGCGCCACCTGTATTCGTCTTCTCACCTTGCCGCATCTCCCCCCAACGCAGATGCACACGCTGGGTATGCCTTGACCCGTGCCGTCCATGCCGAGTTTGTCCCTCTCATACGTTTCCTGCTCTCTCATGGGGCTTCGCTCGGACATAAGAACAGCCTGCCTGTTTTCGTAGCCATCAGACGCAAAAGTTTGGCTCTGGTGAAGCTTCTCATTGAACGCAAAGACGATGAAGACCAGCCGAAGGGAACGAGGAAAAGGGGAAACAAACGGCGTCGGTTGGAGGATCGCGTCGCGATCACGCCCGATATGTTGCGGGCAGCGGTCAAGGCAAATGCGCGCGATATCGCAGACTATTTTATGCTGGAAAAAGATGTTGTTCCAGACATGCAGACCTTGCAAATTCTCATGCGGGAGTAGTCTGATTATATTGTTCCTTTGGAATCTACCACTGTCAGCGAATATGAACGGTGACCGACTGATGAACTACTTCCTGACCTCTGCGAGTCGTAAGATGTGATTCAGGGCCCTTGTCTTTTGGATGCTCTGATTCCATGAGCCAAGACAACAAGGAGTCCTGATTCACTATGCGTGGACAGTATTCTTCGTTGACTACTTACTCTTCATCCCGGGCCAGACAATGAAGTCATAATAGTGTTGTCGATACAGGCGTAGGTAAATGTCACAAATGAGTAAAACAGAGATGCAGCAGTGTAGAACGATGGACGAGAGAAAAACAATGCTCATATGTCGTCGATATCCAGATCGCCCTCATCATCACCAAACTCGAACGTACATTCGCCCTCCTCCTCGCCGAAGGTATCGGTATCATTGATCTTCGCATTCTCTGGTAGTTCCCCATAGGCTTTCACTGCGACGGTTGTCAGTCGTCTGTCGAGCAAGTGCGTAGCATGACGACAACGTACAGTTTCGAGCCTCGTCGGCCGTGTATTTGACGATGACATCGGCTTTGTCATCTTGAAAGTCTCGAAGGGATAGCAGAACGATGTCTCCCTGGTTGATCCACACCTACAAGCCCAGGTCTCAAGATGTGACACAGGCCAGATGAGCAAGACGGACCTTTTTCCTCATCTTCCCCCGAATGTGCGCCAAACGCTTTTCTCCATCGAAGCATAGCGCTTCCAGTCGACCGTTGCCCAACATCTTGGTTACTTGCGCGTATTCTTGGCCATCTTCACGGAAGACGAGTTCGCGCTTATCATCGTCGTTCTCGTTCTTTCCACGTCTCCGATTTTTCCCACCCTAAGGAAGGGTGTCAGTTTACTGGACAGCAATACTTGAGCAGGATCGCGCACCTTTCCCTTGTTCTATAGAGCATAGATGAGAACAGATCTTGCCTGAGAGATAGGCAAGCGGACCTTAGGCATATTGGATTACTGTGCGATGGTGCTTTCTACAAAAATTCTTTGTACAGCAGGCGGTCTAGGCGAGTCGCGTTCAGACGTTTAGCAGCGGAGAGTGGGCGCTGCAAACAGGCTGTGAAGCAAAATGAGGGCTGGGCTGCTGACTCAGCATTGTTATCGATTGTTTGCTGGCCCTTCATGCAGAGCTTCATGAATCATACTTGACTTTCAATGACTCGTCCTTGAAATTGGCACATCTGGCTCCGTGTGAACCTCCGAACCTTCCGTCGCGAATAGCTCCGAGTCGACTCACATGCTTGAAAGCTTGCCAGAGGACCCGGGTACAGGGGCTGATGCGGGCGTAGGGTGGCAAAACCATGCCGAGTCAGACTCAGTACCAGATTTTTTGGAACTGGTTGGCAACAGTGAACGTAGACGCAGTCAAGGATGAGATTCTACTCGAACCCTGTTGTACGCTGGCTGACTCCTGCGCGAAGCTTAATTTTCCCGTTTGTCACCGATGGCCGTATGACATCTTCAGAATATCTTATCTGGGTTGCGGTGCCGCAAAGATAGTGACTAAGAGTCATCACATTATTTATAGTAATACCTCGCCTACGGCGACGAAATTCACCCCTCCCTTTCACCCTCAAAACGACCGTCTAGAGTCTAAGACGATCGATGCCTCTCTACCAGCTAGAGGTGGCCAGCGTCTCTGCAGGCGTCGTTGGCTTGAGCGGCATCTTTCTCTTTCTGAACCGGCCGAAGGAGGGGAAGATACAATTGCCCATTCACGCGGGCTCATTGGTGGAGGATGAAGTGGTTGACGCTTTCGACGTTGCAACACCGGAGGACATCATAGACGGATACCCGATTGAGGAGGAGGCATTCTGGACGTGGATAAAATGGAGGAAACTCTTCCTTGCCTTACTACTTTTCGCAATCGTTGGCTTGCAGACCGCTGGCCTTGCCTTGTCTGTCTTCCACCGTGCTGAAAGAAACCTGATTGTCGCCTATTCCCTCAATGTCGCCACCGCTCTTTACGCGTTCTCTGTGGGGGCTTTCGCCGTGTCCAAGAACACGTTCGGAAGGCACGGAGAGCTCATCTGGCATCTCACTGCCCTCACGACCGTCCCTGCCTTCATCCTCTCTTTCATTGCCATTCTGCCGGCCGATTCTGTCATCATCAGTGCCGCAGGCCAGCTACAACGCATGTGGTATGCGTCTTTAGCACTGTACATAGTAGCCTCTGTCGGTTACTGGACCACGGCTCTCGGCCCGGCGCTGCACTACCCGCCTTCCGCCATCTACTCGTCGAAGACTGTTGAGGCGGTGACAAACACGGATCAGGAGAACGTTACCGGGGTCGTTGGTAAGTTTGCGCATGATTCCGGGTCCCAGAGCCCTGCTGACTGTCCGACACAGGCGCCTCGCCATGGGACGTGCTTTTCTTTTCGTACACGACCAAAGTGGTCATGCTCGGCAATACAGCAGAAAGCCTGGAGATCGGTGATCTGCCGATCGTGCCGGCGAACATGCGCGCGACATCCAACTTCGCTGTCATGCGCGAGGCCACGAGAAAGATCAAACTGCGTGTGTTCTCGTGGAAGCCTTCTCCGGGCTCTGGTGCTCTTTTGGCGTACCGGCTGCTGCGAGTGAATGCCGCCGCTCTCACCGCCCAGGTGATGCTTGCCTCGACTGCCGCTGCTCTGTTCTACGCGCCCGCCTATTTCATGCGCATGCTGTTGGCCTACTTGGAAAACGATCCGGAACGGAAGGACACGTCCTGGGGCTGGGTCTGGATCTTCGCTCTGTTCAGCTCCAATGTGATTTCATATCTACGTCGGTCTCCTCATCTCTTTTCCCCATTGTGTTTCTCAACAGCTGTTTCTAGTGACGGGTCAGCTCTGGTCGCTTTCGACAACAACTCTCCAAGTTCGCATCCGCACACAGCTCAACACCATCTTGTTCGCCAAGACCCTAGTCCGCAAAGATGTCGCGTCGTCTGCGGTCTCGGCCGACAAGGATAAGAAGGACGGCGAAACCGACGAAACGGAGAAATCCGAAGACGATTTTTCGTCCAAGGCGCAGATCATGACGCTTATGACCGCGGACGTGGACCGGGTGTCTGAATTTGCCTGGCACTTGTTCACTCTCGTGGACTCCCCGATTGAGATCGTTGTCGGCTCCCTCTTCCTGTACAACCTCCTCGGCATCTCCTGTCTTTTCGGTCTTGCGGTGACATGCCTCTTCCTTCCTTTGAACCATTTCGCCGGAAAGATCGTGGTCAGTGCCCAAGATAACTTGATGAAGACACGTGACGAGCGTGTGGCTCTGATGAACGAAATCCTCGGTGCTATTCGTATGCTCAAGGTGGGTTGAATCTCGTCTCGTCAACTGGAAGTTGATGTGGGACACAGTTCATGGCATGGGAGCGCAGTTTCGAAAAGCGAGTGCTCAAAGTCCGCGAGAAAGAGCTCAAGTTCCAGAAACTCAACTACACCATCGAGGTTCTCTGGAACGCCATCTGGAACGGCTCGCCCATGCTCGTAACCTTGGTCTCTTTCTGGCACTATGCTGTTGTTCGTAAAGAGATTCTCACCCCGTCGACGGCATTCACTTCTGTAAGTGGCTTCTTTGGGAGAAACAGTACACAATATCTGACTTGTACATTCAGATCATCAGTCCGTGCCGAACTGTTTGTATTGTATTCTGTGCTGAACTAATCATTCTAGTCTTCAACGAGATGAAATTTGCGCTGAACGCTCTCCCCGAGACACTGATCAACTTGCTGCAATCTATCGTCTCCCTGCGTCGTATCGAAAAGGTAATTCAGCTTCCTAATCCACCTCATTTCTGTGCTCAGCGCGATGCTTCAGTACCTGGGCACTGCAGAGGTCTCACCGGTAGCTCCCCTCAGCCAGCAATCGCAGACTATTGCCTTCCAGTCGTGCACTGTGACATGGCCCCAAGGTCGCCCAACGGCCAGCACCAGCTCGACTGCGGTTCCATCCGCCGCCCCCTCTGTTGCTTCGACACCGCGCGTCAAGTTTGTGCTTGTTGACCTGAATCTGCGATTCCCGCCAGGTGAACTGTCCCTGGTCTGTGGCAAGCTAGGGTCCGGAAAGTCGCTGCTTTTGCTGGCTTTGTTGGGCGAGGCCGATGTGCTCTCTGGCCAGACGCTGTGCCCTCGATCGCCGCCCAACTCTTTGGCTGCGTTCGCTGATTTCGACCAGAAAGAGGAGTGGATCGTGCCTGGGATGTCGGCTTATGTTCCTCAAGTGCGTCTCATCGGTGAAATATCCCCAGCCCCAACTAACGCATTGCCAGACATCGTGGCTACGGAATGCATCCATCAAAGGTGACGAAAAGCCAGGCAACTGTCCGACTCGATGGCTGACTAGCGACAGACAACATTCTCTTCAGCTTACCGTACAACGAGGCGCGCTACAGGGCAACCTTGGAGGCCTGCGCTTTGGTCAGCGATCTCGAGATTCTTGAGGACGGGGACGATGCCGAGATTGGAGAGCGTGGAGTGAACTTGTCTGGCGGTCAGAAAGCACGAGGTATGTGGTTGGTGGTCGGTCGTCATCGAATGAGGTTTTGACCGGCTTCAGTCTCCCTTGCACGTGCTGTCTACTCTCGGGCTTCGATCCTTCTTCTGGACGACGTGCTCTCCGCCGTTGATGCTCACACCGCGCACCATCTCTATCACAACTGTCTCCGCGGCGAGCTGATGGCTGGGCGCACGGTCATTCTCGTGTCGCACCACGTGCAGCTGACAATCTCGCACGCATCGTATATCGTCGCCCTGGACAACGGCAAGGTGCTGTTCCAGGGCACTCGCGATGCGTTCCAGAGCTCGGGTGTCATGAGTGGGCTCGTGCAGTCGACGACGGCAAACGAGGAGGAACAGACCGAAACCGCGCTCGAGGTCGTCCAAACTGACGGTTCCGTGGACTCTGAATCGACCGCTGCGGCGTCACCGACGCCCAAGCCCAAGGAGAAGAATGCACCGCGGAAGCTCATCGAGGAGGAGAAACGCGCCGTCGGCCGTGTTGCCCTCTCTGTTTGGTCGACGTACATCAAGGCCTGTGGTGGTTACTGGTACTGGATCATATTCGCCATCGTCTTTGCCGTTGCAGCCCTGGGTCCGGTTCTGGAGAACGGTTGGATTGGATACTGGTCGCGGGGTGACACATCCAAGAGCGCGGTGTACTACATCGGTGTCTACGCTATCCTGACTACCCTCGGTCTCTTTCTCAGCACACTGCGGTGGTTTGTTCTCTGTCAGTGTTCGTTATGTTTTGCAGAAGAGCTGTTACTGAATTCAGTTCAGACACTGGCTCGATCCATGCTTCACATGTCTTGTACAAGCGTAAGGCGCTTTTTGGATATCTGAGATCGCAGCTGACCGCGACGTCTTATAGAACTGCTCGAGGGCGTGCTCTTCGCCAAAATCCGATTCCACGACACCGTTTCTCGCGGTCGGGTGCTCAACCGATTTGGTAAAGACTTCGAAGGGATCGACAGCAGTTTGTCTGACCACTTTGGGCGGTCGACGATGTACTTCATCTCATCAATCGTCAGTGGACCTCTCAACGTCTATTGCAGTGTCTCTAAAATTTCATAGACGACGATCGTCACCATCAGCTTCGTCGGAGGAGTTCCGTTCATTGTCGCGACCATCCTCACTGGCATCTTTTACTACAATGGTCTGCTACCGTCTCCTGGAGACTGGGAGATTTGCTGACGAGATTTGCAGTGGCCAAGGTCTATGGCCAGACTTCGCGGGACATGCGCCGGCTGGACTCTGTGACTCGTTCGCCGTTGTACTCGATGTACTCCGAGACCATTGCTGGGGTCACGATCCTGCGATCTTTCGGTGCTTCGTCCAAATTCTTGCGTGACATGCTGCGATACGTCGACACGGTGAGTGTCAGAGCGGACTGGTGTCGTCTTTGATTGACTTACATAACCCTAGAACTCGAACCCGTACTACTGGCTGTGGGGGGTGAACCGCTGGCTTTCGATTCGGTTCAACATCCTGTCGAGTGTGATCATGGCTGCGATTGCGCTCGTTGCTGTCCTGAATCACAACATCTCTGCCGCGCTCGCTGGATTTGCGCTAGCGTTTGCGAACACAATCACCAACGATTTGTTGTTCCTCGTCCGTCGCTTCGTCGGACTGGAGCAGGCGATGGTGGCCCTCGAGCGTGTCAACGAGTATTCCGAGCTGGAGAGGGAAGCTCCCGAGTTCGTCGAGCCGAGGCCTCCTGCGGCCTGGCCGTCCGAAGGCAAGATCGAATGTCACGATCTTGTTATCAGATATGCGGTACGTCACTCGATTGTCCCGAAGATCTCTGTCCCCAACTTAATCACATGCGTGCAGCCTGAACTTCCACCGGTGTTGCACAACATCAGCTTCGAGATCAAGCCCGGCGAGAAGGTCGGCATCCTCGGACGTACGGGATCGGGCAAGAGTACCTTGGCCCTATCTCTCTTCCGCTTCGTCGAGCCGACTGAAGGCCGCATGCTCGTTGACGGATTGGATATCGCTCAGATCGGGTTGACGGATCTGCGCAGCAAATTGACCATCATCCCCCGTGCGTCTTTCTCCCATTCCGGATGGGATTGTGTTCTGAATGACTTGCAGAGGACCCGACCATCCTCAGTGGTACGTTGCGGTCGACGCTGGATGTGTTCGAGGAATACGAGGACGCGGACATCGTGAGCAACTTTTTCATTGCTTCGCTGCTTCTCTTTAACGCGTTTCAATTTCAGTTCGAATCTCTCCGTCGCGTGCATCTCATTCCGTCAGAAGACACGCCCGATGAAGAAACGGGTGTTGTTAATGCCAACATGTTCCGTAATCTGGATTCGACGGTCTCCGAGGGTGGCGAGAACTTCTCCACTGGGTGAGTTCATCGTTAGAGCTCTGGGATCGAAGGCCGACTGACACCGTGTCAGTGAAAAGCAGCTGCTCTGTATGGCACGGGCCATCTTGAAACGATCAAAAGTGTTAGTCATGGACGAGGCGACTGCCAGTGTCGACTACGCCACCGACGAACTCATCGGTCAGACGATCAGGCAGTACGGCATACTCTCCGCAACTGTATGCTTTCTCTGACCATCTTTTCAGACAATTCGCGGACAGCACCATCCTTACTATCGCCCACCGACTGAGGACGGTGATTGACTACGATCGGATTATGTTGCTCGACCAAGGCCGCATCGCCGAATTCGACAAGCCCAGCGTCCTCCTGCGCGACCACAGCTCCAAATTCTACTCGCTCTGCAAGGCCACGGGCAAGGACGAGTTCTCTACCCTCAGGAAAATGGCAGGTGTTTGAGGAATCCAATCAAAATGACAACTACAAAGTACTATATCATGATCGTTTGTCTAGACCTATTTTCTGTACACATCGCGCGCATGCAATGCACTCAGACGAACTGAATGCAGGCTCCCGTTGATCGTTCGCCCGGGTGTCGCGGGGGGAACTGCTGAGGTTTGAACTGAACGCTTCTCGGCTTTCTCCGCCATCCTTGATCGACTGCGGATCGCGATCGCCCCAGCTTCAATCGCAACGACAATGCCATGGATTCCTCCTTTGCTCATCCCGTCACGATGTACTTACTGACATGATATTATCGAGAACGGTACCCACCTCCGGCGACAGCGGCCGATCGGAAGTTTCCAACTTGACATCCCATGTCACCTGCTTGGCGCACCCGGGTTCGACTTTCTCTGCTTGGTGGTCAGAGGCTAATTCGAGCACTGTCACCCAACGCCACCCGCTCGGCCATTTCCTTTGATGCCCGAGGAGCATGTATAACGCACGAAATCTGATCGCTCAGACCCGCGTGGTTGATATCATGATCGCGGGGTCGAGGTATGTACGAGCAGGGGAAGCACCTGCCCTGCAATCCCCTCTCTATCTTTCCCTCCTCCAAACATGACGCAGCCGCCTCTGGACGCGTCTCTCAACCTCAGCCAGATACTTGATCTCCACGTCGAGCCCCCGCGGCTCACCACGGCATACGCGCTCGCCGATGGGAAAGGCGGGATCACGAGCGTCAGCCACTACGAGTTCGTGCGCGCGGCGCATCGAGCTGCGCACATACTTCGCCCTGGGCGTGAAGGGCAGCAGGATGGTCAGGTCGTCGCGATCATCGCGAACGCCGACGTCCTGATATATCAGACGCTGGTCGCGGGGTGCATCAAGGCAGGACTCGTCGTGCGTCCCGTGCCAACAGTGCCTCGATCTGTGTGCCTACTGATTGCTCTCTAGCCCTTCCCAATCTCGCCTCGCAACTCCCCTGCCGCGATCGTGCACCTGCTGAAGTGCACCGACTCGCACCGACTGCTGACGACGCGCCAGTCATTGGGCCAACTCGCAGACGGTCTAACGGCTTCGCTCAGCCAGGAAACTCCAGTATATGAGCTTTCGGTTGAAGAGATTCCTCTGCTCGGACAGTTGTATCCACATCTGGGCGCTGAAGGCCCTGGTGACGACCCGTCGCCGCTCTACCCTTCCCCGGAGAGACCTGTTCCTGTCGACGATGTTGCGCTGTACCTTCACTCGAGTGGGAGCACTGGATTCCCCAAAGCCATTCCCGAGAGTCACCGAACTCTGATCTACTTCGCCGGGCTAGGTGCGTGTGGTCACTCACGCGGAATGGAACCATCTCATTTCGCACAGAATGCCTGTCTGAAGTCGTGGAAGTCTCGCCCCGCTTCGCCTCCGGCGCAGTGCCCGCGTTTCACACCATCGGAATCATGACGCAGCTGATCCAGCCGATGCTGAACTGTGGCACGGTGTGCTTGTATGCGCTGGCGTCGACGGCGACCGAATACCGGGCCCCGCCCGCGCTGACGCCGCAGAACGCGCTGGACCACGCGATCCTGACGAAGGCGGACGGCATCATGGCCGTCCCCGCCGTCCTCCTCATGTGGCAGTCGCCCGCGCACCTAGCGTATCTCAAGACATTGAAGCTTGTGGTATGTCACATGTGCGATTCGGAACCCCGATCGAAACTTACGTGCGACAGTGCTACTCGGGCGGCCCGCTTGTGACGCCCATTGGAAACGCGATGGCCAGTCTCGGGATCAACATCGTTTCCGTTTACGGTGGCACGGAATGTGCGTATTCCCGTGTCTGCTTCTGCATCTTCTCGCACTAGGCTGATCGGTCGGCAGTTGGTGCTGCGACAAAGATCAAGCGTGTCGTAGGTGACCTGAGCGAGTGGGACTGGCTTGAATTCAGCGATCGCGTCGACATCCGCTGGGCTCCGCAGGGGGACAACGTCTTCGAGTGCCAGTTTCTCGTGCGTACGCTCTCCATCAGCCGGTGCAGCTCACAGAACAGCGCAGAGTTGCGCCACACATCAAGGTGCCATTGAGAACCTGCCCGACGTCAAGGGCTACGCAACCAAGGATTTGTATGAAAAGCATCCGTCAAAGAACTTGTACAAGCTGTGTGTCACGGTCTTTGCTTGACATGCATGTGCTGACACCGATTGAAGGATTGGTCGTTTGGATGATGTCATCACTATGGCCAACGGAGAAAAGACAGTGCCGGGTCCAATGGAGGACGTGATGATCGCGGATCCGAATATAACCGGTGCTGTTATGTTCGGACGCGAGCGGAATCAAGTGGGAGTGCTTATTGAGCCTGCTCCTCAGCACAAGATAGATCCGCGGGATGAAACACAGCTAGCAGAGTTCAGAAATCTCATCTGGTAAGACGCGCTCATCTGTGCATTCGGTGTTGTCGTTCATGTGGTTTCCAGGGACACGATCCAAGAGGCAAATGAGGTACGCACGCTCTATCAGGTGTGTAACCCGACGATTGACCTCAGTGACAGAACGCCCCTGCCTTTGCACGCTTGTACAAGGAGATGGTCTTGGTCACTTATCCCGATAAGCCTCTTGTCCGCGCTCCGAAGGGGACGATCATCAAGAAAGCCGCGCTGGCAGTGTATGAACAAGAGATCGACACATTGTGAGGCCTTTGATGATCCATCTCATCTCATCGCATCTTATCACATCTCATTAGATATGATACGGTCGAGAACAGCACCACCATCGTTGATCCTCCCGCATCCTGGACACCTAGCGACGTCGAAAAATGGCTTTTGAAGCAGGCGGGAACTTTAACGGACAAGGAAATCCTACCTGGGAAAGACATATTCGACCAAGGCTTTGACAGTCTCAACGCCACATTTTTGCGCCACCGCATCGTCGGTTCTTTGAAGGCGTCGGCAGAGCCAGGCGTCAAGGCAGCAGCATCGAGTGTGACGCAAGACTTCGTTTATGCGTACCCGACGATTGAAGCTTTGGCCAACGCTGTCTTGACCCTCGTGGCTGGCAGTGCAGTGACGTCGTCATCGACTACGAAAGCTGATATCGAGGCTGTAATCCAGCGGCACACCGAGAAGTTTTCGGAGATACCTGAACGAACAAAGACGGCACCAGCTGGCGGAGATGTCTTGCTGATCACTGGATCTACTGGCGGTCTTGGCTCACATATCCTCGAGACTGCGCTGGCCAACAGCACAGTTCGTCGAGTCTTCGCGTTGAACCGGAAAGGTGCGGTCTCCTCCGCAGACCGACAGAAGGCCATGTTTGTTGACCGCGGCCTGGACGTCGAGTTGTTGCGATCAGAGAAGCTGGTCTTCCTGGAAGGCGACGCATCTCAGCCGTCGCTGGGTCTCTCTCAAGACGTCTTCAGTTTAGTGAGTTTCTTCCACCAATTGCAGTGTACTGCCGCTGAGACTCTCCAGCTGTCGGAAGCTGTGAGCGTGATTATCCACTGCGCTTGGTCGCTGGACTTCAACAAAACCCTTCCTTCATTCGAGTCTCACATCCAAGCGACACACAATCTTATCGATCTGGCTCGAGGTTCTACAAACAAGACGAATGTGCGATTCCTGCTAACGTCGTCCGTCGCCTCTGCCCAAGGCTGGAACAAGAGCCTGGGCCCATTCCCCGAAGAAGTCCAAGTCGATGCCGGCGTTGCCCTCGGCGGTGGATATGGCGAAGGGAAATACGTGTCCGAGCGTATCCTGTTTGCATCGGGACTCGAAGCTACGTCATTCCGAATTGGACAGGTTTGCGGATCGGCTCGCACTGGCGCATGGTCCGTGTCCGATTGGGTTCCCGCCCTAGCGAAATCGAGCATCGCGCTTGGTGCCTTCCCGTCCATGGCGGACACCCAGAACGCGTGGATCACTCCCGAGGCGGTTGCGAGCGCCGTGGTGCAAGTGGCGCTGGCGGAATCGAAGCCGCCGTTTGCGATGAACTTGGTCAGCCCACGGCCCGTCGCATGGGATGAAATCATGGGATGCATGGCTGAGGTGGCTGATCGGTCACTCATTCCATTCGCGGAATGGGTCGTTAGATTGGAGAAACGGGCTGCAGTGGCATCGGCTGAAGACTTGCAGAATATCGTAAGTCATCTAGATCTGCTCTGATTCCAGCTCTTGACTTTATTTCAGCCTGCTATCAAGCTGTTCTCATTCTTCAAGTCTGCTCAGACATCTGTCTTGTTCTCAACTTCCAAAGCACAGGCATTTAGCGCAACTATCCGATCTCTTCCCAAGCTGTCGGCAGAGGATGTCAGGAAATGGATGTCCTATTGGCGAGAGCGCAAGTTTATATGATCGTCTGATCAGTAGTACACTTAACACATTGTATGTATGTATCTTCATGGACTTGAGCTGCCCCATTTCTCGTCTTCGTCATCATCCGGGCCGCGGCCCATCCAGGTATATCCACCGACGTCTGCATTCAGCAGTTCCTCTACACCTTGCATTCTACTCTCCACGTCCATCTGAGACTCGTAGCGCATCGGAAATCTGAACGAATTGTCTCTTAGCGCCTGGCTTTGACTTTGGCTCTGGCTCTGGCTCTGGCTGTTTGCAAGTCGTCCTAATGGCTGTGTCGATGCCCCCTGGGGATTGAATTCCGAGTACTGTGGCATCTCCTGGCTCTCCTGCGATCCCAGCGAGTTCGAGCCGTCAATAGACGACAGCGATTTCGTCGGCGACGGGACCGGATCTAGTCCTGGTAGTCGTGTTTCATCGTCGACATGGTTCTCCTCCTCCTGTTCCTCATCGTCAGGCGCTGTCGCATCCCAGTTGATGATATCGTCCATCGACCCGCCCGGGTGCTCGGCTTCGACCTGCGACGATTCGAGAACGACCGCGCTCCTCTCCTCTTCGTCCACTACCCTAGCCGGCGTCTTCTCCTTCTGCTTACCTTTCATCCGCTTTTTCGAATCAGACGCAGCGATCAGATCGTCGAGGCGCGGAAATACGTTGCGCGGCGGCGTGAAGAGATCCGCAGGATTCTTTATCGAGGTGTGGACACGCGAAACGGGTGGCGGGGAGGAGAGGGGAGAAGAGGGTTCGCTCGACACGGTCGTGCGGGCCTTCTTGGCTGGGCTCGAAGGCTCCGTCGTCGATGGCGACCGCACCCGCTTGGCCGGCGCTCGGGGCACCGCCCTCACGATGGGGGAGGATTCCAGTGAAGGGGACTTCCGCGCCTTCTTCGCGGGGCTCGGAGGTGTGCGTGAAGGAGATCGGGCTCGTTTGAGTGGGGACCCATGCGGAGCCGGCGCCGGAGCCGGAGGATCAGCCGGTGGGAGCGAGAGCGGTGACGACGAGGGAACCAGCTCCTGTTCGAGGATTGGCTGCGCTTTGGGTGGTGGTGATTTACCCTTGGGAATAGCCCGCGGAGGCGTCCGAAGTGGAGAGGACGACGGGACGAGTTCAATGGAGGGCAACCTCGGGCGTACGCGATTGATAGTCAGTGGTGTTGAAGTCTCAAGAGCCGTCGGAAATGAGGGCGGGAGAAATTCCTGTTCCAGATCAATGTGAATTCCAAAGTGTGCAATGGTGAGGAACGCACATCGGGTAGATCGGTAATTTTGGTGGTCTTGTCCTTTACAGGCAGAGCCTCTCCTCTCTTGGAAGGTGGACGGGATGGACCTGCCTCAGACCCTGGATCCTTGCTGATGGCAGAGCTCTTAGGCTTAACCCTGGGCGCTTCAACGGCAACTTCCTCTAAGATCTCTGCCGGTATGTCCTCGGCACTGACATTCTTCTGCCAATTCTCCACCCGTTCTAGCAACTGCGCCCTGATCTTCTTCTGATCCACTTTCACCCTTCCGCCACCGACAACAACATCCTGCTCCGTCTCCTCCTTGCGCCGTTCCCATGCATGCCACTCTTCGTCGGTCTTGGGCAGTTCGGGCCACCCCTCCTTCGGCTCCGGCGGCGGACGCGCCGTCGTGTCCGTGTTGATGTATCTGTACTTGCCCCTGCTCGTTCCCGTCTGCAACAGGTTCACAACGAGACCCCATTTCCCACTCGCAGGGTTCCGGCCTGCGGCATTCACGGCGTCGACGACCTGCTGTCGTAAAGTTTCGACGCGCTCGTGGGACGCGTCATCCGTGCCGGGCTCCAGCACCCTCTGATCTGGTACCTCCTCCATTTCTTGAAGCGCGACGTGGGTGCTGAACAGACGCCGAAGGTAGGCGGAGGGTGGTTTCGATGACGATGCAGTTGCGGACTCGGATGATGTGGGAGTCCCGGTGAAGTTTGGGGTGTAGAAGGTCTTCAATGGTTTCTTCGGCATATCACACGTAGATCGCGATGAATGGAGTTTGTTAGATAGATACTTAAGCAGACAAAGGGCCTGAGGGTGACCCTGAACGATCACGTGGTACTCTAATTGACTCGATCAAACTTCGACATGTCACATTGCAGTCAGGTTTAACGCGTCAGTCGCACCGCTCACAGTCACCGATTCCTCTCTCAACCAGTATATCGTTCATCAAATCTCAAACATGGGAGGTAGTGCTTTCAGCGTTCTCGACGTCGCCGCGTCTGCTGTGCCTCGGATCCCCCCGGCCGTCTATCAAGCCGTTAAAGCGCGTCTCGGCGCACGGCTCGAGACGCTTTATGCTTTCATATCAACGCCCCGCGAGGCTCCCGAAAAGAACGATCACGGAGACCTCGACTTTCTCGCGTGCACCCCACTGGATGAGAGCCTGTCCGCCTCGGATCTCAGAGAGCGCACTTTGGCCCTGCTCGGTGCAGCGCTCTGCGTCCCAGGTGACCCGACGAGTAACTTTGCTGTACCCATCGGAAAGGGAGAGTGGAGTGAGTTTGGGGCAGAGGATAAGGAAACCGAGGCCAGATTGGCTGCCGAGGCAGACAAGCAATCGCGGCTATACTATCAGGTGACTCTGCCTGCCACAGTCAACCGCCTATCACATAATCAGGCTCTGACTTACGCAGGTCGATGTGCATGTCTGCAGAGATAAAGCTGAATTCGCTCGCGTCAACTTCTTCCACGGATATGGCGACTTGGGCATGATCCTGGGTCTCGTCGCCAAGAACAAGGGTCTGAAGCTGGGAGTGAAAGGGCTTGCAGTGAGGCAACGAGTGATTAGTCTATCGGGCCGTGTTACTCAGAAAGCACTACAGGTCCCGCATATTCCTCGGCCACCTTTCCTGCTCACAGATTCGATGGACGAGATCATGTCATACATGGGGCTATCGATGGATCGGTGGCAACAAGGATTCGCCACGAAGGAAGAGATATTCAGATGGGTCGGCACCTCGACATTCTTCGACCCGAAGCGTTTCCGTACCCAGGGCACGGGCATCAAGAAAGTCAAGCCCGAGCGCAAGATGTACGCAGCATTCGTGGTGTGGGCCAACGACGCTACGCAGCACGCGGAAACGCCGCTGCCCTCAATGACAGCAGACGAGCAAATCATCCACGCTCTCAACTACTTCGGAAAAAAGGAGGAATTCGATGCAATCAACAGAGAGGATGCAGCCAAGGCCCGTATCAGGGAGTCCTTCAGTGGATCCAAGGTGCGGGCCTGGACGGGACTGCCTACCCATCGCTGGTTCGACTTGAAGAGGATCATGGATCAAGTACGTCAGTCGCTGGGAGGAGAACTCGGGGTGTCCAGCCTCATCGAAGAGAAAGGAGAGGACGGAGTCAAGGCAGAGGTACTTCGGGCACAAGAACAGCTGGGAATTACCGTCGAAAGTAGTGCTGCTGAGGTGGAAACGACCGAGCTCGCAAGAGGCCTCGAGGCGGTGAAGATCAACTGAGCGCGCGGCCTGCCCATATGGATTGGAATACTAGAACTTGTTGTTACAGACTGATACGAAAAGCGGTTTTGCGAAGACTATTCTTGTCCTACGAAAGGATTGGCGATCTCCTCAGACCCGTCGACGGGGCTCAGAAGCGTGATTGTGGGCCCGCGAAGCACGACCAGGCCAAGTGTTCGAGGCGAAAATTCGCGCTCTGGACGAACATTTAAGAGATACGATGTGACCGCATTGGAATATCACGCACCTGAGGCCTGTTCCTCCACTTCATCCAGCACCAGGTTCAACAACTGGTCGTAACCCTTGAGGATCCCAGTCACTGACCCTGCGTCAGCACATGAGCCACGACAAGATTCACTGCGGCGCACCTTCTCTCCCTCCCGTAAATTTTACTCGGATGCGCTGGTCGACATACTTCGACAGGTCTAGGATGGCCTCGCGCTTCGGCTTGTCCATGGTAGGTCCGGAGCCCTGTGCTCCGCCACGCCCACCGCGGGCGGAAGCACCCATCGCACCACGCGCATTTCCTCGCGCTGAGCCACGACCCTACGCATTGAGTCCATATGAAGAAAGGGAACGGAGGAATCGCGACTTACGCGATCAGCCATTTGAGATGAGATGAGAGCAAAAGGATGCGTTTGTCTGTGTTTGGTCGATCGTCTTGTCGTTCAGCGACCCGTTTATCGATTATCTTATCAATAGTAGGAGGATCCAATAAGACGGATTATAGCAAGTCTAGTGAGGATACAGCCGCACGAAATCTACTAGTCGGTACAGGAAGATGGCAGGCCTTTGTTCCCACGGGAAGATTTCATTGCCCAACAGTCCACTCAAACAGTAGGCCTCAACAAAGAAACGACCAAATGCCAACAACCAGCTCCACGTCCAGAGTCGGCCCCAATGACCCTCCACACGGCGCCCTGTCTTTTGCGCCCAAATTTTCTCGAAGATGACACCGACAGCCATAGCGACAAAGAAGAGAGCGATTCTCTTGTCTGCCACCTGATCCAGGGCCCACACAGTGATATAATGGAGCAATCCCGACATCAGAAAGGCACCGAGAACCCCGGCGGCGGGACCCGCGAGAGACGCCAGAGGGTTGAATCCCAGCAGAATAAACTCCTCGCGGAACGTCTGATGCCACCGATATGACCAGAAATCGGTGAGGGATGTGGCAAGCCAGGGGCGGTCGAAGATGGGAGGCCACTCGCGCGCATCCTGACGGAACACTCCCACGGCGACCAGTGCACACGCGTCGTGGAACATCTGGACAGTGCAGTAGATAATCAGCCCATGCAAGACTATCAACGCGCCGATGCGGAGCTGCTTGAGGAACGGACTCTGGACGGTCGTGTCGTACATACTGCCGCCCAGCGGCGTGGTGAACGTCGTGGGACCCAAGAGCTGGAAGGAATAATGGACGAGATCGGATAACAGGAGATGCGTCACCAACGACAAGAAGGTCTGCCAGGAGAACCGCGTCCTGGAAGCAGTGCAACGGGTGTGGGGAGGCAACTTGGTCCCGCGAGAGATGTTCCACCCAACAGCTCGAAGGTTGAACGTCAGGTCGGCTGCATCCAGAGCAACCTGAACCGTCGATCTCCGGGTAGGAGACCCTCGTCGTATGGGGGATGTGGAAGAGATGGTTCGAGTGAGGGAGCGTGCAGCGATAAACCACATCATCAGCTGATGATCGATAAGCGCTCGTGTTATGATTATCTTTCGGGGCTGAAAGACAAACCACAAACGCCTGGTTGACCATTCCCGCCGTGCCTGGACTGTCGGGGCGAACGAGTCTCGTCAAATCGACGCCGACAGCGGCACGTTGTGCGGAAAATAGGATCACGGGCAGTAGCCCCACTCGATAGGCCATTGTGCTTGGGCCGTAAGTTGCCAACACATTGAACCCATAGAATAGGAGAAACTGTGGGCGGCTGAGTACACCTTTTACCAATCAGCACAGATGCCGATAGCATGCACATACAGGTGGCAAGACTTCTGTGCACAGACTATGCAGATTCAGCGGCACACGCACCGACATAGTTACGTAGGAAGTTCAATGGGGAAGTGGATAAAGACCAAGGATCGCGCTGACTGTGGTAGCGAGCATGGGCGCTCGGCCAGTGACTCCTGAGTCGTTCGGGCGCTCTGATGATGCCATCAGAGTCAGCGTTAGAATAAACTATGGACCAGGACCGATGGTCTCATGCCATGAGGTAAGAATACGCTACCGACAAGACCGGCCAAACACCACGGCTCACTCATCAATGGCCCGAAAGCCAGCAGCCAGCCGTAGGTCCAAAGAGCTCCCCACCATCCACCGACCCTCGAACCAGCAATGGGCCGCCAGACCGCACATTCCAGAACAACGCCCACCCCCATGGCAAGGAAGAAAAGCAACACTCTGATGTCCGCCCCTTTCCCCATCCCACACATGCCTGCAAAATGAAGCAAGCCAGAGACCCCGAATGCGCCGAGAACGCCGGCCACCCGCCCGCCTACTCGCTGCATCGGCTTAAACCCGACCGCGATGAATTCTTGCCGGAACATCTGGTGCCAGCGCACAGCCCAGAACTCGGACAGAGACGTCGAGAACCACGGAGCGTCGAATACCGGCGGCCACTCGCTCGGCGCCTGGCGGAACACCGCGACTGCGATGATGGCGGCTGCATCGTGCCCGATTTGGATGGCAGCATAGATCATCAACCCGACTAGGAGGGTGATTGAGCGCGAGCGGAGAAGGCGGATCGCGGTGCTTGAAGTCTCTGGGCCGTAGATGCTTCCCCCGACGGTCGAGCCCAGTGTCGCGGGGTCGAAACTCTGGCACCAGTACAGAATAAAGTCAAAGGCGACAACGTGGAATATCAGCGACCCCGCGGTTGAGGTGACGAATGCAGAGGGAGACGAGGGTCGCGTTTGTGCCGGTATCTTCGTGTCCTCGGCAAAGTTCCACCCGATGCCACGAAGATTCAGAGTCAAGTCAGCAGCGTCAAGCAGAAGCCGTCTTTCTGTTCTTGCGAGCGCAGCTCTGCGAACGGGTGTCCGAGATGCAAACGTGCGGGAGACCGAGCGGGTGGAGAGGGTGAACATGCCGAGTGCAACAACCTGCTTCAAGTATCCTATCTCTGCAGCGTGTGATTCTGACAGCACGGCCGCCAGATCCACCCTTGTAGTAGCACGGTAGGCGGAGAATAAGATGAAGGGAAGCAACGCCAGACGATGCAGAAAGGTCGTGGGACCCAACAGTGCGAGTACATTGGTAAGATAATACAGCAGCATCTGGAAACATGCTGAGGAAACGGAAGAAGGAACAGACGGCTCTGGTAGAATCTCACTGGTATAGATAGATCGAACAGTGACACTCCCAGGCTCGGTGATGTTGGCGGAGCCACATGAACGAGCGTGTTAAGGAAGTGTGAGAAAGAATCAAGGTCCACACCAGTGGATCCACTCGTCCAGGGTGCAAATGCAAAGGTCATGCCCGAGGTAAGTGGTAGTGGCAATTGGAGGGTGACGAGCCGGGGCGCCCCGATGATCCGCCTGACGCGCAATGAGCTCCGGATCAATTTCTGACCGCTACTGAGTCATAATTAAATTCTACTTGAGAGTGCTGGTATCGCTGCTCCGCATTCCCCGGGTCAAGGTAAGCAAAAGCTGCTCAATCCGTGCCTGTCTCTCCTGCAGCTCACGCATTTCGTCCTTGAGTCTGCTGACGGGCAGATCACGCAAGTCGTCGATGATGGTCTCCATTCTTCTCACGCTGGCCTCGACCGGGGCAGCCGGAGATGGTGGATCGACATGAGCAAAAAATCGAGCCAGAGGACTGCGATTTCCAGTGGAGATTTCGGCTGATGCTGTATCCAGAGTAGCTATCGCGCTGACTACTCTCTTACGCGGAGAGGGAGTGGGGCTGAGCTGACGAGAAGTGGCCCCAAGACTGGTGAAGGACGCTCTGTGACGGAGAGAGGGCAGCGTTTCGCGGGATGCCACCGACCGCAACTGCGGTCTCTCGTCGTCCGAATCGTGGAACAAGTCCGGAGAGACGTCAGCGTCGAGCGCAAAGATCGCGTCGTAAAGATTGCTCGAAGTGGATCCAACAATGGCCTCGATGATGGGCATGTTCTTCACTTGTCGCGGGAGACTGTTGAAGAGATTGTGCGCAGCATCCCGAGATGACTGACGCAAGTACTGGCCATCCGCAAGATATCGCTCGTACAAACCGATCGGAACAAGAATCCAGAAGCTGGTCACTTTGATGAGGAACACATTCAGAGAATGCAGCGTCCGAGGTGAGACGAAGTAGCTGGTGGGTTTCAGCACGGCCAGCGCAAGCACGTTGAAAGGCGGTTGGTATGAGAACAAGGCATCTGCTTGCACGCTTGACAAATCGTCAGTGTTATTCCAGAACAGTCAAAACAAGTGCACATACTTTTCCACAGTCGAGATTGCAAATTGAAACAGGTGTTCTTGCGTGGCATTCTGCTATGAGTCAGATCCCGCATCTCTGTCCCGCCGGATCACCGACCGCGTCGATCCGAGCAACCGTGTTGGAAAGTATGGAGATGAGGACTGCATGCCATGTCCATCAATATCATCGCCAACACAACCAGAACTTACTGGTCAGTAGCAACGTGTTCGAGAGAGCAGCAAATGCGGTCATGAGGATCTGTGACAGTGAGATAAGTGGTGCACAAAAGTCACGAGTGGGACTCACAGGGCCAAAGAAGGGATGGAAAGACTTCCGCAGTCGTCAGATCCCGCATGATCACGTTGGGAACGACAGACCTCTGCTTGTCCAAAAGAAAGATATGTATTACCAAACCAGATCTCGACCATCAACCAAACAATCTTCTTGGCTGGCCAGCGTTCTTTTCCAAGCGTCCAGAGCGTGAAAAGCAGACCTGAAAAGCATATCGCTGCCATGCCCATGAAGAACACAAACTCTGCAACCATGGCACGCAACGATCTAACGCGCAATCAGTCTCGCATCACGCAGTCAGCTGAAGCCAAACATTATTATCACATTGGAAGACACAGCGAAAAACGCCAGCCGAGGAAACAGGATACAAGCCCCGCAAGCCAATGTGTCGAATGCAGTTTCGGACAATGCCAGATCCTGGTTAACCAGCCCTTTGATGCGCATCCCACCGTAGATGAGGCATATCAGAACAAAGCTCGTGTCAAAGACGTTCCAAATCTGCATGTTTGTGAGGACGTGCGGGTGATCAAGGAAAGTCAATACACACATTTGCGATGTAGATTATCCAGCCTGCGACGCGTTAGTTCCGATCCTATCTGGCAGATGTTCAAGTGATTTACCTCTTTCATTCGCAGCGGTATATTCCTCGAGGGCAAACGCGAATGCAAAAACTCCGAAAACGATTTCCCAGACGGTCAGCCTGGCTGCATCCTTGTCTGCAACGGCTTCAGTGGGTCTCTTGATGACAAGCAATCGGTACACCAACTCGAGAGACACAGAACAAAGGCAATCAACAGACACACGAAGTTGAGAAACTCCAGGATGGCCCCGTACTTTGGCACGTGTAGCCGATAATGATCTAGGAAGGGAGCGTCGCGCGAGTCGTAAATCGTGATTGCCCTGGGCTTGTAATTGTCGGCAAGCATAGAACGATGCGTGGCAGTGCTGAAAACAATCCTGCCGGAATATATGTCATTTACGACTGCTCTTATCATCAGAAGCCTGAGGCTGGACTGCGCAGCCGTCAAGACGTACCTTTTTGAGTGACGGGACTGGCGACAAAGTGTTTTGCGTTGGTAGATATCGCCATCTCAAGGGCGCTTTGACCATCTTGGAGCTGGTCCTTGGAGCCCAGCACTTGCTTGACTTGCTGGACGACCTGGAAGGGAACAACCAGTCAAGGCGACCATCGACGTCTCGCAGGCTCGAGACGAACCTCGGCTGATGCTCCGGCCAGCGGACTCCAGGGACTTGTCAAGACCGCAACCAGAGTGATATGATTGGACGCGAAGTGGCTGAGAAGCTTCATCGCCAGGATCTCGCATAATGTGGCCTGCGTCATTTCAGTCATACGTGAGACCGAGGAGTTAGATCCGCCTACGCGAGACAGCATGACACCTGCATACGCAAGGTCTTCCTCGCACTCTTGGAGAAAATAGGCCTAGAAAACTTGGATTGATCGTTGCGAGGGTGTGAAGGCCAGGTCGGAACCCACCCTGTTCACAAGACACGCATAGACAACAGCCGGATTCTTGAGCTAGTTCGCACACGTAAGCTCTGCCCCGCAGTGCATGCTTTTCGGCGCACCTTCGCGTACTTGAGAACTAGTGGGCGAACAATCGAAAAATTGATGTCGGAAGCCGTGAGCTGGCTGAAGCACAGATCAACGTCGAGCAGAACAACATGAAACGCGACGGCACACACTCCCAGCTTAATGCGCTGTCGATAGTTTCCTGAAACAACCCGGAATTAAGCCGACGCGCAGCGACAGATGCGTGTCGCCCACTCACAGCTGCATCCTTCCTCAGCGCAACAATTAGGGGAAACACGGCCACAGCGGCCAGGGCCTCGGGTGTCGGTGCGAGCAGACCGGCCGTTTGTTGCTCGCGGTCCATAGTTGCTAACTGCTTGATGAGGATCAAACGATTCTTGTGGTACAAGTATGTAGTGGTGGATCAAACGAATGTTGTGTTGCAACAGCAGGTCATGCTGAAGTGCCGCCTGTCGGTGTCAAATTGATTGCACTGGGCTAAATCGGGACGTATCATCTCCGCATTTATGTGGAGTCTCCTCGAGGAGAAGGTACATCAGAGAAATAATATGCAATCCACTCCGCGCAGGCAAACGTGGTGGTTCAGAACAAGACGTTGACTCATTGGGAACAAGGACCGCGTTCGACTGGGCAGGGATTGGCCGGACTGACCGGCACGTGGAGAGATCAGAATAGACATAAAGATCAAAGCTCTCAGGAGTAACGGTGTCGGCGGTTTCTTGATCCTCTCTTCCCCCTCCCTCTCCCCTCTTCGCCAAGTTCCACTCGTTCTTTGGGCCGGCCGGTACTCCAGCCTAGACGCTATGGGAGCCGTCTGCTGCTGTGCGTTCCTCCACCCTATCGACTTACTGTCCTCCCCGGGTCTTAACGTACACATAGGTTTATCAGAACCCGTCGACTACAACGCAGAGGTCACCCTTTACCACTTCGACCTCCACCGTGCGGTTGGGAAGGGTGCCTTTGGAAAGGTGGCTCTTGCCGACTGAGCCGCTCTACTCTATCTCAACGCCACACACTAACAGGTTCGCGTCGTCGAGCACAAACCGACCAAAAAGCTCTACGCCCTCAAGTACATCGAGAAGAGCAAATGTATACGGCAGAAAGCAGTGGCAAACGTCATTCAGGAGCGACGCCTCCTTGAGGAGATCGACCATCCATTCGTGGTCAACATGCGATATGCATTCCAAGACGACGAGAACTGCTTCTTTGTGCTGGATCTTATGTTGGGTGGAGATTTGCGCTGTGCGTCTAGAGCGTCCACCTTCCATGCCTCACACTCACACTTGTACAGTCCATCTGGAACGCAAGAGCACTATCGAAGAAAACGTCGTCTGTTTCTGGATAGCAGAACTCTCTTCTGCCCTCGAATACCTCCACCGGCAAAAGATTATCCACCGTGATATTAAACCTGACAACATTCTTTTGGACGCTGCGGGGTAGCTATGCTTTTAAGTTGACATTCAAAGATCTGACGCCGCTCCCCAGACATGCGCACTTCACGGACTTCAATGTTGCGATCCACTACTCTAACAACCGGCAACATACCAGCGTAGCCGGTTCAATGGCCTACATGGCGCCACAAGTGGTCGGTCGCAAGGGGTACTCGTGGCAGATCGACTGGTGGAGTCTCGGCGTCACTGCGTATGAGCTTCTATTCCACCGACGACCGTTTGACGGCTCTTCATCTGAACGGATGACGCGTTCCATCACGAAGGATCCCTTGAGGTTTCCCGAGGATTGCCGGTCCAAGGTCTCGGACAGTTGCATCAAAGCACTGAAAGGGGTACGCTTTTTTCCCTCGTAACATGGTCTCCGCTCATGCGAGCACAACCAGTTCATTGACAAGATCCCCTCACTCGGCTGGGTTGTCGCCCTGATGGCCAGGGCTTCGAGGACATCCGTCGGCATCCATGGTTCGCAGGGCTCAACTGGGACGATCTGGAGAATAAGGAAGCACAGCCACCTTTTGTCCCCTCTGTTCGTATTCTGCGTCTCCATCTTCCGTAATCGGGCACTAACTTTCTGGCTCAGAAGGATGCTGCTAACTTTGATGTCTCACACGAGTTGGACGAGTTTCTGATGGTGGAGAAGCCCTTGACACATACTAAGCGCAAGGCCAACGCCGATTTGGACAAACTCAAGCCTGAACTACGCGAGCTGGAAGAGAAGTACGTGTTCCCGTTCGCTGCGCTCTGACGCCGCTGACCGTCCCTCCAGGTTCACTGTCTACGATTTCGCCCATTCTAAGCGGATGTCGTACTACCCAGATAATCAGCCCATCGTTACCGTGGGATCGGAAGCCGATACCGATAGGACGCTGGCGCCATCACAGACTGCGACGGTGGCCGAACGTTCGCAAGCCGGTTCCCCTGCGTTCGAGGCAGCACATCTCGATCATCCTTTACCCGAATTTCCCGCTCGAGCCCACACCCCACGGCGTTCACATTCTCCTTTGCATCCCGAGCGCGGTGGCGCTGAGCGGTCGCCAGACTCGCCATGATGACAAGATCCTTGCTGTGTTCTTTCCGCAGACACCTTATAACTCTGGAATAATCACGTTCGCAACTTACTTAACTCATATTAACCTTTACTCTGGCAGAGAGTCCAGGCGGTTCTCATTTGGCATACACTACCACATGTAAACTTTGTACTTTCATTTCTGCATCACTCTTGTGTAACACTACCATGTCCGATTCCGACTCGAGTTCCGAAACCGATCGTGTTGTCTGTCTGGTGGATATGCCACCCATCGAGCAGCTCTATCAAGAGGGTATCCTGAAGCCTGCCGGGAAAGAGCGGTACCCAGGCAACGAGGAGCTGCTCAGTCGCATCTCGCTCTTGTGAGACCGCCTCCGACTCGTGCACTCACCCGCTCCGCCTCACGCGCCCACCCATCCTTGCAGCCAGGGAGACATCACCACCATCGAAGTCGACTCCATCGTCAACGCCGCGAATCGGAGTCTTCTGGGCGGAGGAGGCGGTGCGTGATTGCAGCACCCCCCGCGACTGCGGACACACCGCTTAGATCTCCGCAAGAGTTGATGGCGCGATCCACTCCGCGGCGGGCAGGCAGCTTTTCGAGGAGTGTGAGTCGTGTCAAGTTGTCCTTTGTCGCGCGGCCTTAGATTATTGCGCTTCCATCCAGGTCTGACTCTGGATGGCTGCGAGACAGGTCAATCCAAGATCACCGGGGCCTACGAGCTACCCTCGTTCGTCTGGATAATCCGTCCCTGTCTTCGAGGCTCCCAGCTGTTGACGCGTTTTGCAGCAAGCGCATCATCCACACCGTGGGGCCCGTGTACTCTTCTCTCAATGCAGAGGCGTGTGCCCAACAGCTCGCCTCGTGCTATCAGACGAGTCTCGAGCTCGCGGTCAAGCACGATCTGAAACATATCGTGCGTCGCGCATTGAATCTTCCAGGGCGTCCATCCGATGCTCATCCTGCGCAGGCGTTTCCCTCGGTGTCGACCGGTATCTATGGATATCCCATAGCGGATGCCACACACATCGCGCTTGACGTGATGCGGCGATTCTGTGATTCGGAGGACGGCACCAAGCTGGAGCGTGTCATCTTCGTGCGAGATCTTGCCTTGTTCTGTGCACTTCTGACACTGGGCTCACAGGTCGTGTGGAGCAACAAAGACAAGGGTGTCTACGAGTATGTCGTCTCGTTTGGGGGGATCGGAATCCCTGACCTCGCTTGACCCTCTGCAGGACGTTAATTCCGCAATACTTCCCACCGGGCACTGCCGACCCTGCAAACCAAGTGCCAGAAAGTCAAGCGCAAGCTTCGGAAAACGTACAAAAAGAATAGGCATCGACTGGCGAAACACGACCAGCAAACTCTGAGGTCGGCAAGGCATAGACTTTTCGTATTGATACAATGTACAGAAGCCGCAATGATATTCGTGTTTCCTACTCCCTGATCTGGCCGTGCTTCCTCATCCATTCCTGGATGTGAGGTAGTCCGGTGTGAGGGCCGCGCATAGGCACTTGCGATGGGGGCTTGGGCGGTGGTAGTCCGGTTTCGGCTAGCGCACTGGCACGCAACTCATCCCACGTTCCGCCCCGATTGAAGATCTCTACTGAGCCGTCTTTGGGTCGGGCATCGAGGATCTGCTGGCGAAGGTCCACGGTGGCCGACTGGTTGACGGAAAAGTCGTCGTTAACAACCACACCGTAGCGCCTCGCTCCGTCGAAAGAGACGAGGCCGCGGTGGACCTCGAGCGCAACCAACGCCGGATCGCGCTTCAAAGGATCGCCATAGCCCCCGCCACCCCAGGTTAGCCATTCAAGTAGGTCGCCCTTCTGCACTTGGATGTGATCTTGCTTGCTTTGCAGCTGCGCGATGGTTCGATCAGTCTCTCGCTCATTTCCACAGAGTTGAGCATCGAGCACACACCACTTCTCTCCGGCCGGATCCGTCTCCGTAATGGACCAAGATCTTCGATGACCGCCCGCCAGGCTCGCCGCCAATGACACCCCAGGGCTTGGACAGCCATCGGTCGTCGTGGACAGAGATCTCGCCTTCTTCCAGGAACCGGTAGAAGATGCGCTGTCCATTTCCACCGCGGTAGAGCCCAGGGCCGCCCGAATCCCGGACGGTGTTGTACTCTTCGATTCGCAGCGGGAAGTACAGCTCCAGGAACTCATTGGGGACTGATCGCATCAACGGCCACAGCGAGTGCCCATCGGGCCCGTCCCCGTGCGGCCTGGCCGGAATGCCTCCAAAGCCGATCTGGTATAGCTGCCAGTAAGTACCGTTCTCTCGGAATCTAGGGAATTTTAGATTGACCATCACAAGCCTCGAGACCCAGTGTGCTCACCCAGAGAACATGAAATGTGGCGAGTCAGAGAATCCGCCGGCATTCATAAATTCAGGCGCGTTCTGGCCCAGCAAACCGGACAAAATGTCCATGACTCGGCCGAGCAGATGGGTCCTTGTCGACAATGCAGCAGGTCGGACGGGGTTGAGAAGGGTGCCCTCGGGAATGTGCAGCTCTACGAGGCTGTGGAACCCATCGTTGACCACACATCCAGGATCGAACTGCCCTCAGTCAGCTCTCGAAGATCAAAGACGTCAGGAAACGTACCACAGTGACGAGATAGATGCCGACGAACATCTTGAACCTGCAAACGCCGTGAATCAGGAGGCCAAACCTGCCAAGGAGGCGAGCACTGACATATTGTGGCTGAGGTAGTAGTTGATCGAGGACGAGCTCTGGGGATCGGTGCCCGTGAAATCAAGCTTGAGGATTCCATTGGACTTGGACATCGTGCAGGCGACCTTCCATGGGCCAATACCCCGTCCATCGTCGTCGATCCAGTCCTCAAAGTACACCGGCTGATCAGGAATCACATTCTGGATGATGGCATTGATGGCTGCGTAGTTCCGCTTCAGCAGCTCGTCGATGGCAGCGAAGTAATTCTTGTCCCCGAAGCGGCGGTACAGCTCCTGCATGCGGCGCCCAGCCAATGTGCACGCCGCCACGAGCGCTTGAGTATCGCCGCGGTTCCATTCCGGAAGCCGACAGTTTCGATAGATGATCTCCATCACGGCGTCGTTCCAGACGCCTCGTGACGCGACTTTTGTCACGGGAATCTGGATTCCCTCCTCGAAGATGGTCCTGGCTGCAGTGGGCAGCGATCCGGGCACGGCTCCTCCGGTGTCCGTCATGTGACCAAAGTTTGCCGCTGGGGGAGATGTGAGTCGAGGGATCTGGTTGAGATAAACGATTGATTACTCCAGGCGATCAGCTTTCCCTTGACATGGATGGGCATCATGACCAGCCAGTCGTTCAAATGACTGATTGATCCGCCCACACTGTAGGGATCGTTGACTGTAGGCTGGCGTCAGAGATCACCGGAAGGAACCAGGAAAAGTCCAGGCACCCAGGAAGATATCGCCCTCTGAAAAGTTTGAGACACAGAACGAACGAGCTGATATAGAAGGCTAACCTTCAATAGTGCCTTTCCACCGGTCCAGAAACTGTCCAATAAAAGATCCGAACTGGCCTACAATCATCTTGCCGCTCGGTTCCGCGATCACGTTGTATTCATCCTGGTGAAATCGATTTCAATCCAAGTAGATGACTTTGAGGATTCGGCCGCTCACCATCTGGTCGCGGATAGCCGGCGAGAGACTGGAGCTGCTCATCAACGTGTCCATCTCGCTGCGGGCGTTGCGAAGCGCCGACTCGAAGATGTCGACCGCCACGGGGTCGAGCTCGTCGTCCGCAGCAGCTTCGTGCGAGACCGGCTTGAGCAGACCGGACTCCCAGATAAGCAAGTTGCCGATTTCGTCAACATCAGCCTTGAATCCAGGCAGGACCACGGTATTGCTGTCCATCTCGTTCACGACACAGGGCCCTGCAGGCACATCAGAGAAAGTCCAAAAACGCTGGGAGGTGGCGCACCATGGAGCACATGCCCGAATTTGAGGAGCGACCGGTCCCAGATCGGGCTGTCCTTATGTTCCTTGCCCTGATACACGAGATTCGTGCGGTTGACGATGGCCTCTGGAGGGGGACTGGGATCCTCAGCCTGGTCGAGTTTCGGAATCTTGATATCCGCAGGCTGCTCTTCAACCACGATACGCAAGTTCATGAGCTCGACGTGACCAGACAGCCGGTAAGTGAATGCTTTCTCATGCGCCTTCTCGAACAGTTCTCGCAGGTGGAACGTCGCCTCGAGCAGGAGCTGGTTGAAATCAACGTCGACTGCAAGTGTGATCGCCTGTCCGAGATAACGCAGATCGGCTTGGTACTTGTAAACCTGTTTGTCTCTAGGGACGCCCTGATCCTCCAGCATAATCTTCCCCGCCTTGGCCATGAGCTCCGCGTAGCCTTGCAAGAGCTCATCGCTGTTTGTCTCGGCAAGATCGCGAATGAACGTGCGCGTCTCCTCGTGCCGCAGGACGGTGGTCGCGTCGCCCCATGCACACAGCACTCCCGGCGAAGGCGGAATGATCACGGGATACGAATGGAGCAGGATGCCCAGCGCATTGGCATGCAAGGGCCCAGCACCGCCGAATGCGACCAGGCTGAAGTCACGTGGATCGTAGCCCTGCTCGACCGAGACCAAGCGGAGCGCCCCGTACATCGTCTCATTCGCGACGCGGATGATACCCTCCGCAGCATCAAACAGACCGATCCCCAGCGCATCGGCGATCTTCTGGACGGATTGACGGGCTTGATCCAGATCCAGCTTGAAGGCACCGCCCAGGAGATACTCGGGAAGATAGCCAAGCACCGCATTGGCATCCGTGACGGTGGCATTGGTGCCTCCCTTGCCGTAACAAGCAGGTCCTATGATCGTTTTCAGTGTCTTCGGAATACAACAAGTAGAACAGCACGTGCCTGGAACAGCCCCAGCACTCTCAGGTCCTACGCGCAGAAATTTGGTAATCTCAGGCACATGCGCGATCGATCCCCCGCCGGCCCCGACAGTGCGAACGTCGACTGAAGGAGCCCGAACAATCAAGTCTGCAACGTGAGTTTCGCGGCGGATCCGAGGTGTCGCATTCTTGGGAAATCAGATATTCAGCGTGAGAGCCATTCCGAAAAGTCAAGTTGCTGACCTCAACTAGGGCAACGTCGGTGCTGGTCCCACCCATGTCAAGAGTGATCAAGTTCTTGTACTTCGTTCCAGCTGCAACGGATGAAACAACACCAGACACTCCCCCTGCCGGACCGGAGAGCGCGAGAGTGACCGGAAAGCGGGTGGCGAGCGAAACAGAAGACAGTCCGCCATCGGAGCGCAGAATCCGGAGATGCTGAGTCTTGCCTTTGAGCGATTGCAGAAGATTGTTCAGGTATCGAGCGACGCGTGGTTTGACATAAGAATTGGCCACCGTCGTCACAGCTCGTTCATACTCCATCAGCTCCGGCAGAACGTCCGAGGAGAGCGACACAGGCACATCAGGCAAGACCTCGGACAAGACGCGCAGGACGGCGTCTTCGCTGAAGAAAGCATAAGTTAGAATGCTACTACTGCGCTCCAGATGGCCCACGTACTGCTTCGGATTGGCAAAAGAATTCATCAGGCTGACAGTGATGGCTTCCGGGTCCTGCCCTATGAGGGACTTCAGACGCGCTCGAAACACCGCCTCGTCGAACGGCCGGATCTCTGTCCCGTCGGTGGCAATCGCCCTGGAGCCTCGACCGTCATTTCGAGCGGCGCGAGAGGCTCGGGCTTCTTCCACGTTATCCAGCCCGCCAGACCACCCGGAACCTGCGACCTGCGCGTTTGCAGTACATCCTTGTAGCCTTCGGTCAGAATCAGGGCGACTTTCGCACCCCGGCCCTCGAGAATGGCGTTCGTCGCGACGGTCGTTCCGTGGTTCACGACGTGGAGCTCGATGTTCGCGCCGTCAGGGATCTTGGAGAGCACCTCGTCGATCCCTGCGCGGACACCGATCGATTGGTCCTCAGGTGTGCTGGGAACTTTCGCGCGCCATGTCTCTCCCGTATCCTGAACAGCTTCAACAGAGATAAGGATCAAGAGGGCAGAGGGGACAGACCTTAAGAAGCAAAACATCTGCATTCAAGAATCAGTTCCGTCGTCCCGCAGCGACTGGCCCATGCAATTACCTGTGAACGAACCCCCGGTGTCTACTCCGAGTCGCCAAGTTCCTCCCATGACAATTCGTGGAGGAGAAGAGACCGGACGTCACTATAGATGCGGTATCGCGCAGTCTAAATAGATGGCTTCCATCGAGGCGGCCGACAAGGCTTAGCAAGAATTCCAGGACTGGTGCCGTGCCGGATATGTCACAGATATCCACTCCAAGGAAGATAAGCGCAGAGATAGCGTGCCGTTAATCGAGAATTTGGGCAGTTGGCAACAGCGGCTTCTCGAAGAGTTTGAGCCGGTCACGGTCAAAGGGAAACCAGGTCCCCGATCACATGCCCGTGATTGGGGGAACGTCCCATCCAATCTATCATCTAATCTAATCACAACTGAGTGACAGCACATACTTGGATTGCTTCAATTCGCTCTTACGACCTGTTAACGCAATGAGGTCCTACCCGCAGTATCGCCTGCTATTTCTTGTGTTTGCTCTTGTGTGCTGTTTCTATGCCCTACGTCCGTCTGCTATGAAGAGTTCTGGAACCTCCCACCTTGCCAAAATCGCGGTAACAGGCTCCAATGGGTCTGTAGGAAAACGCGTAGTTCTCGCGGCTCTTCAACGCGGCTATCAGGTCGTCGGGATCGACCACTCTTCTGCGATCATGCCAGAGAACGCAGAGAATTTTTCGTTTCTCCAGGTCGACCTGAAAGACTACGAGCAGACACTAAGAGTACTCTCATTTCCTTTTGGGACGAGACGACTACCCTATCTTACTGCAAATCTCAGGCTCTTGAAGGATGCCAAGCCGTCATCCATCTCGCTGCTGTGCCCAATCCGGCGGACTATCGAGTGCTCACTCACAACAGGTCACAGCAAAGCCTTTCACCCCACCCGTCGATGCTGATTCACGCTCAGCAATGTCATCATCTCCTGGAACGTCCTCCGCGCTGCTTCAGAGGTACCCCTTGCCGAAAATATCCCCGCATTATCCACTCATCCTTGCAGCTCGGTATCAAACGCATAGCACAGGTAAAGCCGCGGCGTGCGACTCGTACACGGACCAGTTCTGAAGCATGATTCAGGCCTCCTCGGTCAACGTTCTTCCGATGGTGTACAGCAAAGAGCACCGATTCGAGTTCTTTCCTATCGACGAAAGCCACGTCTGTCTACCCGATGAACCCTACGGGCTCTCCAAAGTGTTCGAATCCCTGCTCCCAGCTTGTTGTACATGTTTGCTCACTTTGTCAACCACAGGATATCTGAGTTACAGGCCGGTACGAAATGGCTCGTCTCCTGCGCTCGTTCGCGGACTCAAACAATCCGCAGACACTATCGTCCGCCGGTATCCTGATCTCAGAGTCGCCAGTCTGCGCCTGCACTGGTCGGTCCCGAGCCGCGACTTCGCCTTCGCTTCCCGGGGAGCAGAGGACGGCAAGAATGATCTCTGGGGCTACGTCCAAGAAGATTCGGCCGCGGAGGCATTCATCCTGGCCATCAGCTGCCCGACCGATAAATGGCCGTCTGCCGCGGAGGCGTTCTTCATCGCGGCCCCAGATGTTGCGAACGACCGCGAGACCGCCGAGTTGCTGCGAGAGCATTGGCCAAATGTGCCCATCAAAGAGGGGAAACACTTGTCTGGTCATATGGGACTCTTTGATTGCTCCAAGGCGAAAGCGCTTTTGGGATGGGAGCATCATTCATAACATAGACATGTGATAGTAGTACAGAAGTAGATCGGTATTTTACAACAACTTTTACGATAGCAATGACTTCCTGGACAGCAGATTTTCGATAACACAAAAAGTAGCAGAAATAGATCAGCAAACGACACAACTGTCCTCTCGGATGGGTGGCTTGTCGAGGATCACTTGGCTTCTCATCCGCAAGTCGTCGACCTCGGCCTCCAGTTTGCTTGTCCGCGCCCGTTCTTCCATCCGAAGATTAGTGAGCAGAGGAAGCGTCTCCGCGACTTTATTCCATCTGTTGCATCGGTCGCGCACTGTGGAGTGCACCTCAGGCTCGAAGTGTCCCGACGCCGGCAGATCCCACGTGACACCAGACTCCAACTGCGTGTCCAACGGACATATCTTGCTGAGGAAGAGCGCAACCGGTCCGTCCTCGTCAATGAGAGACACTCCCATCGACAGGCTCTGCAGTTTCGCAAACTCGGCCACTGGTTCCCGGCCGGAATACCAGCAGCTGATGCGTTGACAAACAGACCCAGTTTCTCTAGTTCCGGGCAATGCCTCGCAAACGGCAGCAGGGAAGCTAGAGTGAGGGAGCACGAGTCCAAGACCATAGGCTCGTTGTTCAGAATGAGCTTCTTGAGCGAAGGCCAAGAACGCGCCAGCTGCTCGAGCTCATCTTCCGCCAGATCCATTGGATACTGGTGCGTGATGTCAAAGACGGTGAGGCTGGGGAGATGCTGCAGGGGGCGGATGGTCGAGAAGGACATGCGATTTTCTCTCGGTATCGCGTCCAACTTCTCGATAGGCTCCTCGTCGCTGACTACAGTGATGATGCTCAACGTCTCTAGCAATTGGCACGACTCGGATAAGGTCGTGAGAAACTCGTACACGACCTCCGGCGTCTCGAACAAGCGCGAATCCACCAGCAGAGAAGTGAGATTGGCCGGGCAGGAAGGCTGCTTCATGAGCCGAACAATGTCCCCGAGAGATACAGTCAGCGACAGATCGCCTAGAGATGGATACGATCCTGGCCCTAGAGCAGGCCGGAAGACCTCTATATCAGAAGGATCTCCGAACCCTTGCTCGGGATCATACTGGAACTCCAGGCATTCCAAGTCCGCCAGCTTCGCAGCGCACTCGGCGATGCGGGTCGTCAAAAAGAACCTCGGCAGCACAACCTCCGCAGCCTCGATAAGTTTTCCACGACAAAGAGGAGGTGGGACTCGATGTCGCGAACGGGAGTTTCGCAGTGTATGTCGAGATTCGTGATGGATGGCATCCGCGAGACAACATCCCGAAAGAATGGCGAGTGGGGTGTGAGCTCGTGCTGCCCATCAAGTCGAACGACAAAGTGTTTGACATTGGCGTGCATGAACATGACGAGGAGGTGTAATGGTGCTTCCCAGGCTATGGACCGTGTATTCGGGAGAACAACCAAGCTTGTCCTTGTTCTTGCGATAACTTCGAAGACGGTGGGACACAGCGCAAATGAGCAGCTCGCGTGGTAGACTAATCGTTTGACTCGTCGGCTGTATCGCTCCGCACGTTTCCAATCGTCGGCGTCTGGGGGTGCAGTGAACTCCTGAACGAAAGTGTTCAAGTGATACTGCAGCCAGACTATCCAATTAAGCACGCACCAACGGGGCATCGGGTTTGTCGCTGGTGGGCTTGAGAGGCTTGAGGATCGCAAACAGGTGATATAAGTCGTCTAAATCGCGCCAGACACTGTCCAGAGCAATTTCAGACCACCGCTTGCAGACACGGGCATTGGCAACATTGCAGGAGTTATCCAGATAGCGAAATATCATATCCAACAGTTCTGGGATCTCCAACGCGCGATTCGTAGGGCTGGACGCGCGAAACGCCATTGTGGTTGAGGTCAATGAGAAGGTGGGAACTTCAAGGTCATTCATTGGGTCATTGACGATTTGTCATCAACTTCTCAAAATTCTTGCTTGGTTCCTCCATGCTTCCAACGGCGGCCAGGGCCCGTATGTTCCTTTACTTCTCCCAAGTTATCCAGCTGACGCTATTTGCTCTATGTAGTTAGATGCAGCGCGGGGCGTTTTCTCCATTCCGGCAGCGTCGCTCCGACCTCCACCTCATCCGCTCTTGAACTCATCCGTTCGCAACCGTCCCGGTACATCGTAGCGACTCTCGGAGGAAGGAAACACGTTCTCACACCCCGCGACCTCCTCACCGTCCCTCGCATACGCGACGTCAAAGTCGGAGACGTCGTCGCGCTGTCTGCCATCCACGAGTTGGGCTCGCGAGAGTACACCTTGCGCGGCAACCCGACCATCTCGACGGCATCCGGCCTGCGCGTGAACGCGACGGTGGTCGAGCATACCAAAGGCGCTATGGAGTTCATATTCAAAAAGAAGAGGAGAAAGGGATACCAAAAGCTCATCCAACACAAGCAGCCGTACACGCGGTTGAGGATTGGGGAATTCGAGATCACTCCCGGGACAGGGACGGTGGTCAATGATGTACCTAGTCAGGCATGATCCAATTATTATTCGTTTTCGTGCGTTCTGTGTATTTGATCCTCGCTAAGTTTCGCAGTGCGAGTCAGCGCATGCCTGAGCATGGTATGTTCCGCTAATAGCGCCGATGACCGACATGACTCTCATGTTTCGGGAGCGAGAATCGATTGACTCGAATCATTCGGTATTTCTATAAGTCTTTTCCCGCTCATCTTTTTGCCCTCGCACGATGGATCAGTCAGTAGCAGAGAGGATCGCCTCCCTGTCGGGGTATGGGCCGACCTCCAGTGTACCTCAAGCCCAATACCGACTCGATGTGGTGTCCAAATGGCCAATTCACGCCGGAGCGCGTGTCCTGGAACTGGGTTGCGGCCAAGGGGACACGACGCTTGCGCTTGCTGAATCGGTTGGTGCCTCGGGACATGTATACGCTCTAGATCCTGGGCCAACAGACTATGGTATGCACGTCGTCTACGCCGACTTGTGGGACACGACTTACGCACATCGCAGGCTCACCGACGACGTTGGGCGAAGCTCACGACGTCATCACAGCAGGCCCTCTCGGATCTCGCATCACCTGGATTCAAGACGAGCCGTTGGCATATCTCAGCTCCCACCCGGACAGCCAATACGATGTCGTCGTGCTGGCCCACAGCCTGTGGTACTTTGCCTCGCCGAGTCTGATCGCAGAGACCTTGCGCGTGCTCAAAAAGCACGCCCGGCACATCTGCATCGCAGAATGGAGCTTGTCGTACGGAAAAGGCAGCAGTGGGGAAACTCACGTGCTCGCCGTGCTCGCCCAAGCAGCTCTCGAGTGCCGGAAACCCACCTCGACCTCCAATGTTCGCACAGTTGTGTCCCCGGCCCGGATCAAGGCGCTCGCTGCACAAGCTGGTCTCACGCTCGCCTCCGAACATCTGGTGGCACCGGGACAAGGTGTCCATGACGGTCGTTGGGAAACGCAACATGTGCTCAGCTCAGGGTTCCTCAAAGAAGTCGAACAGTTTGTCCTTGACGAGCGGGAGAAGGACATGGTCATCGCTTTCAAGGACTCGGTTGCCGCAAGCGTCGACAGGATCGGTGGAACTAAGCAAGTCCAGTCTATGGATGGATGGACCGCAACTTTCGAATCGAGTAACGTAGAGGTGTTATAAAACATAGAAATGTACACTATCGGCTGGCAACCTAAAGCCAGTCTCCGATAGCAGTCTCAATATCTCTCACAAGAGCCCGCACAATGGGATGGGCCTCGGCTGGTCCAGTCAGCCTCTGCGACTCGTTCCGCCGAGCCGCAACTCGCAAAGGCCGAGTACTTCGCTCAGTCACGAAGGAGTCCTGCGAATAGACAGACGGGATAGAGTCGCTAGAATAAGCTGCAAGTATCGCGCTCAACGAGTATGTCGAGGTGACTCGCGGGGCTTCCGGGTTCAGATTGATCTGGTCAGCAGTATAGACTCCATATCTTTTCGTTGCCGAGTGCGCGATTGACAGTGTATTCGTGCGTTTTCGGCACCGGACTTTGGGTGTCTCGTCGTTGGTCTTGGGTGTTTCCGACGACAATAAGATGGCTCCAAGACTGGGCGACTTGAAGTGCCGCGATTGCACAGAAGGCAAGGCTTTGGTCGGAGTCCGTGACGAACGAGTCGGCGTATCAAGTGTACTGGATGTGCATAGCACAGCCGGAGAAACAAAACGAGACTGGCGTTGGCCCCCGCTGTACGGGATTTCAGCGGTGTTGAGGTGTTGTCTTTCAGAACTCGTTCGCTTCGACGCTTGCTGAGCGATCCAGGCAGCTTGCAGTCGACGGCGGGCCGGTTCTCCTTGCGTCCAGGATAGTCGCTGGGTCGCCGACTAGGCGCCGGGACTTCAAGAAGCTGAGTCAAATCGCGTTGGGCGACAGAACTGCCAACAACTTCAGATCGAGGAGGGACATCGCAGCTGTGTTCAGAGACAATCGTCGTGGGCGGGCGTTGAGGCTGCAAGGAATCGGATGGCCGCGTCTCGCGTGAACCACTCTGCCGTACCATCTTCAAACCCAATCCGATACCAGACGGGCGCACGGCATTGGCGGTGACTGGGCGAGTCCAACTCGCACCGCTCTGCTTGATCCTGTCGTCCTGGCGGTCGTGAACAAGATTCTTGGGAGCTTCACGGAGGGGGACGACTTGAAAACGATGCGGAGTCTTGTCGCGAACGGCGACGCGAGTTTTCATCATGAGCGAAGGGGAACGCATGATAGGTTGTTCGAGAGAGTGCAAGAAGTCTTGACGAGGCGTGGAGCAGACACTGTGTGGTAGCTGGCGGGGTGAGGGCACAAGATTTGACTGGAGAATGGCTTGATGTCGCTCTGTTGCATCCGCGAGCGCGTCCCGGAATTCGGGGGACACTGGCCATGGGAGCTCTGCCTGCATGACGGACAAGAAAGAAGAACAAGAGGTGGAGCTTTCGTCACGGTCAATCACGCTATATACACATTCATCTGATAGCAGATATGATACAGTGCAGGCGTTTCAAATTTCACCCTCTTCTGGACTTTCAGCACGCCCATTGGAATGCTTTGTTGTAGCCGGAGTATCGACCTGCATTGGATCATCGTCGTACCTGACACGAACGCGCTAGAATTGTTCAATGGGTCGCCAAGTAGGCAGAATGGGCACTGCACACCTTTTCAGCTCGTTCCTCCCGGTCATCATACGAGTCTCGCCGGTCTCTGTCATGCCGGGGACTACGACTTCGTCTGCGCTTCCCATCCTCCCAATCTCGTGTGCTGGACCCTTTGCGATCTCGCTCTTTCTCCCTCCTTCGTCCATCATCCCTCCTGTAATCACGGTCGCGGTCGTATCGATCGTCTCGGTACTCACGGGTAGAGCGGTGCCGAGGCGAGTCATCACGGCGATGATATCCTCTGTCACTCCGACTGTCTCGACCGTCTCTGTCATAATCTTTGCCCCGGTCTCGCTCACGATCTCGGTCAGACTCCCGCTTTCGGCGGCTGCCAACACTGGTGGTATCCTCATCTTCTGCCTCCTTCTGTTTCTCCTACAGAGAGTCGGTCCGTGAATTCGTGCACAAGCAAGCAAACTTACTTTGTGACGCTTGTAAAATTTGAGCCAGGTGGCTTTGCGTGCGTCTTCGTCCTCCAGCGCCTTGAATTCGGGTAAATCTTGCATGAGAGGAAGCGCCGCCTCGTAATCTGTGACGTCTGAGGGTATTGATAGCTTCTTCAAAGCGTAACGAAGGTCGTCCTGCAAATGACGCAGACGACGTTCAGCACGACGCTTCTCATCCGCCCGTTTCTTCGAAGCCGCGTCAACCAACTGTGCACAATATTTGAGCATCAATAGAGCAACATCAAGGCATGCTAACACACCGTTCGGTAGACCAGGCTGAGCTCTTCAGATGATAGAACTTCCATTTCATCGGTTGATCCTTCTTTGTACACAGCGATAAAGTCTTCTTCTTTCGTTTCTGGCTCCACAGAGAACCCGCCATGATCTGTGACCTCTTTGCTCCCGGAATCCTCCATCGTAACGTCGCCATCCAAAGAGGGTTTCGTATGCTTGGTATTGTACGATGCGATGGCATTCCGTACAAGGGCAATCTTGTTCTCGAGTTTTTGATCAAAAGCATCGACGACGTCCCAAAACAGATCTAGTGGAGTGGACCCTGGGTTGCCCAGCATGGCAAGGTATCGTTCATCTGAGCGAAGGAGCGGGAAAACGTCCTTCCACTTTGACCGTGCAGATATTTTGGACGACTCGACCAATTCCGCCAACAGTGCCTGGAGAATGAGCTCGACAGACCACGTATCATATAGAGTTGTACTCACTTTGAAGTTTTCACGCGCCTTTCTCTCCCTACGTGTTTTCTCGACTTGGTCCTTTCTGGCCTGGTCCTCATATTCCCTCTCGCGGACACGACTGTAATCCTCGAACGCCAGCAGGATATCGAGAGTGGGGAGTTTCTGCAGCTCCGGATCATTTCTCCACGTATCAGAATTGATTAGCAGGTCTTGGGCATCGCGCCATCGAGTGACGACACCAACATTCAATTCCTTGAATAGGGCAACAACCTTGGAGATGCTGCGTGAGCGAGCAGCCCGAGACTCTTGCACCTCTCGCTGCTTGAGTTCCGCGACGTACTCTTCGAAGACTAACTTCTTCTCTGCTTCCACGCGTGCGTGCTGCCAAATAGGATGCGTCGCGAAGAGTCTATCGGCTGTGGCGTAGGTTGTGTACGGGAATACACTGGGGTTTCCTTTCAGCAAGTTTCGAAGTGCTGGACGCAACTTGGCAAGCCGGGCATCCTTGTCCTCCTGTTCCTTGGCTTTGAGCTGGACAATGAACTGCAGAAGATGAAGAGCGGCAAAGGGCAGAAAGCACAGCAGGGCGCACCTTCTCATACGTCGCTTTTTTCTCTGCCAGTGAGTTGAGGGCCCTGTAGAGCGGATCGACGACAATGGCTCGCATCGTCTTGTCCCAGGTCCAATTGGTGCCAACACCAGCCTTCCGAAGAAGATGCATGAACGCCTTCTCGCCCTCTTCGAATGTGGCGAATCCGTTATGAGGGATAACAGGATCATCTGGAAGATTGGGACGTGTCGGAAGAGCGCTTGGGGTGGGGATGCCCCCAGTGTGTGCACCCACAGCCAATTCATTGTTCCCGTTCGTTTGCAGAGCGGCAGTGTCAGATCCAGCCACAACGAGTGCTCCCGCAGTGACAGGCGTAAATCCAGCGCCGGGTGTGCTGTTTCGAGTTTCAGCGTTAGACGATGCAGAGGAAGCTGCGTACGCACGACGGGGGATTGCCATCCTTTCCCACTTTTTCGAGGAGTAAGAGGAGCTCATCTGGCATGTCCCATTTCGACTCCTTGGTCTCGGTCTGCCGCCGAGTTCAGCTACGCCCAGATTTAAAAGAAATTGACTGACGTTGTAGTAGTATTTACGACCGCCCGAAAGATATTCCTTCCACTTGGTTTGGTTCAGGGCGCGCTGCGTTGTGATAAGTCTCTGCAACACACCGATGCATTTGTGGCACACCTCGAAGGGTGATTTCAAGTCTGTGGCAAGGTTAACAAGAGCAACATGTCGCGCTGGCGAGACTGACCATCCGGTTTCTCCCATACACTCTCCTTGGATATTGAATTGAACCAGTACGTCCGGGCTTCTGGATTGCGGTGCTCGGTCTGGAGAAAAGAGAAGCGATGAGTCGACGGAGCTGTGTGTGGGACTGAACGGCATACCCAGGGAGTGCTTGCGGCCGGTGAAGGAGTTGCCTGAAAAAGCGTTCAGCTCTGTATGTGTATTCAAAGTGACTGAAGAGACCATCGGGCCGGCAAACTGGGAGACCGCACAGTAAACTGGTCACTGGGGAAGAGAAAGGATGTTTGGCGGTAGCCCCTCAAGCAAACATTGATAGCGATTCGCACGGTCAATGATTAGATATGATACAGGATCTGATAAGATGCTACGTAGACTAGGAGGGGTGCAAGGACGTGAGGAGCTGGATTGGGTCAGTGCTATATGAAACAGTGTTGCATGAGACGCACAAACTCGTCATAGGCGAGCAAGATCTCGCGCAACTCTCGACGGCTCATGTCGGCCCTATAGAGAATCTCATCGTCTGTTTTCTTACCGTCGAAATACTGGTTGATTCTGTGTGCTGGTCAGAGAGGAGAGAGAGAGACCGCCTGAAAGATAGACGGACTGCTCGAACCGCCGGGCCAGCGCTGGATCTTTCCCTTCTGACATTGCCGCCAGCCAGGTTTGCTGGACAGTAGTTGCTCGTCCTGGTTCATTGATGATGCTCGCTTCTCGCTCGTCGTCACTGCCGTCATGCTCGTTTAATTCTGCATCTCTCCGGTTTCTTTCACTTCCTTCTGAGTCTTCCGTGCCAACAAGTGGTAGTCGCGAATGTCGGCGAGCGCCTTTTGGTGAAGGTGTTAAGAAAGGGGGCGGAGGCGATTGGGAGCCGGCCGCGTCGAGCTGATTGCGCAATTTGCTCTGTCCTGCGCGACCACCCGTCTGTCGATTTCGTGCACGCCCTTTAGAGAACTTGAGCTGCTCTTTCAGCCTCGCAGTTGCAACTATGCGGATTCGGAGATGGACAGTGACAAGCATGTCGCGTTTGAGCATCCAAAGAACCACATCGTGGTATAGAGGAACTAAATCCCTGCGTTTGACCACGGAGGCAAAGAAGTGGGTGTCGCTCAATGACGAGATTGTCGCAAGCAGTACCGGCAGAGAAGGAACTCCAGCCTCAGCGAATTCTTCATCAAATTCTAGTGTCAGCTGCGAGAGACTTGCAAGAAACTTATTAAGATTCCAAAGTCGGTCGGACGAGACTTACGGCTGAATGAACTTCGGGGGTAGCCTGAAGATGGTTCTAAGATTGAGGTGAACGGTATCTACGATCTTCGCCCGTCGGTGATGGACCAGCCAGCGCACAGTCGGAAAGACCTGTGTTTCGAGATCCCAATCCAGTAAGCTGGCCATATCTGCAAAACTGATCTGTGTTTGAAGGCCGAACGCATCGTTGATCGAGCAGAACATACGAGAGAGTGACAGACGCGTTTTCCAAGAATTTGATCAGGCCTTCGACTAGCGAACGGTCCCCAGTTCCGTCCAGTGACTGCCTCAAATTCGCATAGGGATCGATGCCCTCCGGACCTCCGTCCAGCAGCAGCAAGCTTTTCCAGGCGGTCAGCGAGGGAAGGCGATATCCGAAGCTCATTTCTTGGCCCCATGCATGATATTCGTCTTCCGGCGGCATCTCGCCGTCGTCGTCGTCCCCACCGTAATGGAGAAGCCCGTCCAGGTAAGGAGGGAGCTGCAGTTCCAGCGGAAGGTCGTGCAGGCTGAGGTAGGCAACCGAAGAGCTCTTGATGGCTTCATACAGCGTTTTCATGGCAGGTGCGATAGACGACGTCCCCAACGCTTGAAACGTGTACGTCTCATAATCATCACCTGCATGGTTTATCAGCAAAGGATGGCTCCGAACACAATATGTACCTCTAGCCGAGTGCTTGTCCTTCAGAGTGCCCAAAATGTCACATTCATCTTCGACAAAGTTGGAGAGAACCTGTTCCTGGAAGAGCACAGCAGCGATGGGGAAGGCTATCTGTTCGTAGATGATGTCGAAGTACTTGGTGATGTTCCCTGAAGCCGCAGAAGAGGGATCCGGCAAATCCAAGACGAGAACAAAGAGAAACCGCTGAAGCCAGGAGACTCGGCCGCACGCTTTCTCCGATAACGGGCTCACTGAAATCTGGTCATTATGCGCTGAGCGCCGGAGCCTCTCCTCTCCTCTCCCTCGACTGATTTTCTCCGGTTTGAATTTCCAGACACCGTCTTCCTCCGCCGACACTGGGTGTCCGATGAAAGCAAGATCATCCATAAGGAGTTCGAACTTTTGGTGGCACATGGATCGTTGGGGCACGAGTATATTTGCAAGGAACTCGGACGAATACCCGAACAGCTCCTCATATTCGTCTTTCACGGCGTCATTATCGAGGTCCTTGACAGGGGAGTTGCGTCCAGAGGATGCGCCATGCGAGTCATTTGAGGACAGAGAGCCGGCACGCCCTCGACGAGTATTATTCGGCCTTTTCCACTCCCGGGCAGTCACATCCTCTTCGAAAGATGCACTACTATTAGGCGGGTTCTGATGAGGATTTGCAGCTCTCCAAGGATTGTCCAAGGAAGTTAGGATGCCGTCCGGCTTCGCGCGGCTGAATCGCGGAGACGCAGCAGGCGTTGTTGGCCACCTTCAGATGACTTGTGGTTGAACAATCAGATGTAAGAGCGCGATCCTACAAATTCACCGGAAGACAATATTCGACCCCTTGGCCGATGTGGTGACCAAGAGAATGGCAAGCAGAGTTTCCGCCATCACGCACAGAGAATTTGGCGCGTCGTGGTAGTGAGATAGGAGATTACGAGAACATGCTTACGTATGTGATTAGATCACATCAGTTTCGACGGCTTGTTGGGCTCGAACACGACTGGCGTGTTCATGACTGAGGATAATGACTCTGCCGCAGCGCTTGTGCTATCCCTCTATGTCTTGACACTTGGTGCCCGCACTTCGTCACCTTGGATCGTACTATGTTCCTGCGCTGCCGTAGTTGACAAGGAGATTTTGTATCTCATCTTACGTCTGTTTCTTGAAAATCTTGGCCGATCAGATTTTGACTGTCGCGACTCGCAGCCGTTCATTCGCTATACGCTGTGAATACGGTATGTGCTGCTCTACGAGGTGTCCTTTGTTCTCAGTCATGTTGACTCTAAGCTCTTACGCAATATGAAACGATCTAGGAGCTAATCAGGCGAGCTGCCGCGGTAAATTGGACACATTCCATGCATAGTTGCGCCCGCGTCACGCAAAGTTCAAGTTATCGCTTGCTCGCGTCTTTTTTCATTTGGTTGTCAGACCCGACGATTCCTACCACCGTCGAATGGTGTCAGTCTCTTCCAATCCTGAGCTCGATAAAATCGATCGAATCTATCTAGAGGGAGAAATGTGCTGAGATAATGCTATTCAATGGTACGACGTGCGCGATCGTCTCAATTTGTGTAAGGCCGTGGCCATGTGTCAGAGCTTAGAGAATTACTCTGGCTAGGGAGGTCTGGGGAATTATGGTCCCACGGAAGCAAATCACAAGCGCGATTCTGATGGAAATGGTCAAACTCACGTGCACGGTACCAAAGTCCCGTTCTCTCCCTGCCAAACGAAGACTGATGCTTGGCTTTCATGGAGGCTCTTATCTGGACCCGTGTTCGCAGACCTTTGTCTCCCCCGCCCATCATTCCCGTGCCCCGCGCTACCGTCCCGTCCCCCTCGCGAATTCCCTCCCGTTAGCTCATGCCTGCCGAACGTTCAAGATACTCGCGACGGAGCCAGGCAGACGGTGCATCGATTGATTCTGCAGCTAGCACCCAATCCTAACTTTGCGAGTCTAGGGGATGGAATCGTGTGGACCCTCCCTGTCGAACCTGTGGGGGAATCTGGTATCGGATTTACGCCAAATCTGACGGAGGACGCCTTCACCGACGTCCCTCCCCTGGTCGACATACCCGATCTGCCTTCTCCGATTGAGACCACGTTCATCTTGTCAGACGACATTGTCTGTCGGCAAACATCTCAGCCACGCCAGCGAAACATGCATGCACGGAAAAAGTCGGACAACCATGTCCCCCGCCCTCCCAACGCGTTCATCCTCTTCCGCTCGTCGTTCATCAAGAGTCAGCGTGTTTCCACCGAAGTAGAGACCAACCACAGCACGCTCTCCAAGATCATCGGCATGACGTGGAAGAACATGTCCGATGAGGAACGCGAAATCTGGCGCCAGAAGGCGATGGATGCCGTGGCCGAACACAAGCGCAATTTCCCCAGCTACGCCTTTCGCCCCAAGCAATCGAAGGCGGTTCGTGGTCAAAAGGGTGACGGCGGGGGGTCTCCTTCCAAGGGGAAACGGAAGGTTCGGGAATTTCATCAGGATGCCGCCCGCTGCGAGAAGATTGCCGAGTTGCTCGTCGAAGGCAAGAAGGGCGCGGAGCTTGACCAGGCCATTAAAGAGTATGACAAGCACCATGTCCCCACCTTCCAGACGCGATTCGAAGTACCGATAACGGCGCGGTCTTACAGAAGGTCGTCGTCTGTTCCAGCCCCTCATTCTGATGATGCGCTCCCCTTTCTGGCACCGCAACCTGCAGTTGTTCATCACCCTCGCCGTCGTTCATCTAGCGTTGGCGCTGTTCCTCGAGCCACGGATTTGAAGGGTAGCCTTGCACCGCCGGCTGTCTCTGCCACCAGCGATAGTACCTTCCATATTGCTGTGGAATCCAAGATGGAACCTTTGAATCTCGTACGTGATGCTCTCGTGTGGGCTCTTATTTTCCGCTGATTCGGAATAATCCGCAGGACTTCAGCTCGTTTTCATTCTCGAACGTTTCTCAACCAGACCCATCTTTTCGATATGATCCTCTCTCGATGCCGGTCTCTCCTAGCTCAAACGCAGATTCTCCCGGCTTCAACCATAACGTCTGTCTCGAGCCAACGTCTCCCGGCGTTGGCTCACTTGACGTTTCTGCCTATATCGCTCATGAATGGCAAATGCACGGAAACAGCTCCCACTCCTTCGGCGGTTATCAAGCCCCCGAATATCCTTCGTACACATTCCCGTCGCCAAATTACCTACCGACGGCCGCTTCTGACTATCTTACGACGTCGATCTCTGATCCTGCTTTTTGCGCTGGCTTCAAGAATCTCGCGTTTGACAACCCTCTCTACCTAGAAGCCATCCCAGGTCTCGCTCAGCTTGAAGCTGACTTGCATGCCTTTGGGGCTCAATACAATCTCACTCTCTAAACTCTTTATCAGCTACTTATCTAGTACTTCAAGTCCGTAACTGCTGTATTTGTACGTACTGAGATCTTGCGTCCGCATATATGTACATACTGCATATTTGACTGCCACCTCCCTCCCTCTCTGCCTCTGTTGTGTTTTATATTGTATCTCTTGTATTCATGACGTGCCTGAAGTTGGTTCATAAGGTTTTGATGCATGTGGGATGCTGGAAGCCGGTGGCCTCCTTCTATTTTCAGAAGAAGGGCGTTGATCCCGTTGACCTCGTGCGCACGATGTTTTCATAGACACGTACCCATCTCTAGGATATGAAGAAATAGAACCGTAGGGCCTCATCTATGATCGTCTGGGCTCCTTGCTTCCAACACTGATGGCACCGGAGTTGCTGATTCCAATCAGAACTGGTGTATCTCTCCAAGCGCGTTTGTATGAACCACCAAATGCCGGTGCTGCCCACAAACTTGCAATATGCCTGCACCCGTGGTCTTGGCTTGGCGGACGAATGGATGACCCGTACGTCGCGTGAGATGTTTGCCACCGTCATGCAATGAGTCTTAATTAGGGTGCTGCGATTGCTTCAACGACCCTTGCAAGAAAGTGGATACCATGTTCTGAGATATAATTCACGAGGAGTGGGCGAATCCACAGGCCGGGCATCATTCACTGGTTTGAGCGAAGTTGAGGATTTGGCTGCACTCATCGAGTGGGGAGTTGAGCAGGTGGGCAACCTGACGGAGATTGTTGTTATGGTTCGTGCCTTCAGATTACCACTCCGTGCTCATGGAGAACGACAAAAGTGAACAGGGATATTCGTATGGTTCTCTAGCAACCTCCCTCACCCCCGTTCGGACCATGAACATTCCCGTCCGACAAGTACTGCTCTCTTACCCACTGGCGGTTCGGGGATGGCTTACACTCTTTCGACAACAATATGAACAGGGCCTAGGTGCTCTAGTGCGGAATCCAGACTCAAACGTGTTGATTGTTTTTGGGGATCAGGACGAGTTTACTTCCGTTCAAAAGTACCGGACCTGGAGGGACACGTTGGAGGGCTCAGGGGCCCGGGGTCAGTTGCGATGCGTGGAAATCGCTGGTGGTTCTCATTTCTGGCGGAGTGGGGATGGCGATGAGCTGGTCAAGATTCTATCAGCCTGGTTGTAGTAGGGTTGTGGTGAGAAGAGCGGTTACAGTAGTGTGTAATTTGATGCGTGCAACCCGCCTTATGATCATCTTTCTTTCTTTCGCATACCACCACCACCACCATGTAAGTCATCTATCGCCATTGCCAAACACCACCAGGTGACACCTGTAGGCCCTTGCCAGACGAGCGGCCCCGTCAGAGCGTTGCTAACCTCATCGGTCGGTTCGAACAACAGAAACCGAAACGGACTTCGGACGTGTCTCCACGTAGTACGAGCGTTGCGTCGAATGTCACCGGCGACTCTGCAAAAGAAGAGGTCAAAGAGAAACGCGAATGGCCTCCCAGGTCAGCAAACGTCGTTTCTGACCGGCCACCCATCATCGCGTCGTGGACACGGAGAGTATCGGAATCGCCAGCAGCCCCGGGCGGTAAATCTGCATCTACGGCGCCTTTGATTGGCCAGATTCCCTATTCCAAAGCCCCGCCTGTAGAAGTTGCGAAGGCAGAACCGGACCCAATCGTGCCACCACCTCATATCGATACTCAACCTTTCGATGCTGAGCCTACGATCAGCATCGATCCTGGCACACCGGCCACGCCTCAAGCTGCTCCTGCGGCACCCGTCCCTGTTCCTGTGCCTAAGCTCAGTGCATCTACCGCCAGGACAATTCCCAAGACGCCCACAAAGCCTACCACAAAGACTACTCCCAAGTCACCGTCTGCCGTCAAGGCCCAACATACTGGTCAATCTTCGCTCTCTACCTCTTCGACGACACGTAAACCACCCGTTTCCGGTGCAAAGGCGTCCGCCGCCGCCGCTGCTCGGGCGAGAACGCCATCCCGAGCGTCGACTGCTCGGCCCAAGACTCCAAGCGTTAAACCTGCATCGGCTTCGGCTTCTGTTCGTCCTAAGACGCCGAGCTCAGGCCTCTACGCACCAACCGCGGCATCTCTCGCGCGATCACGTAATGCTCCTGTTGCGCCAACCCCAGTGAAGAAAGCTACGCTGAGCGCAGAGGCGGCTGAGCGATTGAGCAAGCCCACCGCAGCGTCATTGGCGAGGCAGTCGGCGGCTGCGGCACTGGCTGGCAAAGGCACGCCATCGAAGCCTCCGATGAAGACCGGACCGGCAGTTAGAGGTGCTCCTTTTAAAGCAGCGCGTACGGTCATCAGACGGATCCCTGCGAAGCCGACGGCGCAGAACAGCCACAGGCCAGGGAACGGAAATGGTCATTCGGTAGATGAACCAATTGAGGGGGCTCATTCCGAAGATCAACATTCCGATGCGGATCATCACGAGGAGGACCATTACGAGGAGCTGCACCATGACGAGGAGCTTCACGAAGAGGACCACTACGAGCAGGGCCACCACGACGATGGCCAACACGACGAGCACCATGACGAGGAGCACCATGACGAGCATTCGCACGAGGAACCAGTCCACGATTCCGAGCATGAACGCGAAGAGGTCGTTCACGACGAGCCGGATCTTCATTCTCCAGTCGAGGCCGAAGCTGATCACGAGGAAAGGGGACACGACCTTGAGGACATGGTCAATTTGTTGGAAAATCAGCCGCGGGCAAGGCCTCTGAGCATCGCTAGCATCCCTGACGAAGGCGAATACTAATCAACGCGTTTCGATTACGCCGGTGGTGGTGTGTTCCTGCGCGCAGAAGACAAGAATCGAAGGAACCACTGTACAATCAACGGTTCGCTACTCTCGTCTTCACGCACGTTCGGTTCCTGATGTTTGATGCAGACACTCTCTAGGTCGACCTCGACGCTCACTATGCTATCTTCCTATTATTTTGCAGGGCTCGCTTTCATCTTGGATATACGCCGCTGGAATCTACTACTATCTTATAAAAGCCCACGTGGTCACTCGTTTGTCGTGCTTAGATACCCCGTTCAAGTTGAAGTTGATGATATTTCAATTGCGGAAGCTGCGTGTTTCTAGCCGGTGCAAGCTCTCGCCCGGCATTTCATCGGTATGAAATTTCAGGGGTTTATCAGCGGTCCATCAGAAAACGTTCTTGATTTCGCTTGTCATGCCATTCCCGATCCCTATAAAGCCATTTCCAATGGGACGACTTTCTTCACCCCGTCCCTCACTTGCCCCCGCACTACAACTCCATCCAGCAGCTAGAGAACTCTCTCGCAATCACCCATACAGAGTCACTGCATCTATTGCATGTACTCGAACCAGCTTTGCAGCTCGCACAACTCCCACCGAGGCACTAAGCACACCGCCGCCGGCTTCATCATAAGTTTCTGAATTCTCCATCGACATTCCGTTTATATATACTCGAATCGCCATGGCTCCTACCATCAGCTCTGGATATACCACACCTAACTCCGAAATCGATTCTCTGTTGACGGTTCATCCCACCGCTGCACGTCGCCCCTACGCGCTCACTGTCCAGTCCGAGAACACGTTCTACAGTGACGAGCATATCACATCCAAGTTTGTGAATCGCGGTGCAAATGTCGTTGTGTCGAATGGTCAATTCAACATTACGCCCACTTCCGAGACGTTCGAATTCCAAACCAAACGCGCCGTCTCGAAGACTGGGTACGTTCCATTTTACGCCTCTCCGTTCTTTGTCCTGAGATCATCATAGATTGATGATGATCGGCGTCGGTGGCAATAATGGTAGCACCCTCTGCGCTACCATCCTCGCCAACCGCCACAACATTACCTGGCGCACCAAAGAAGGACTTCAACAGCCCAACTATATCGGCTCTCTTCTCCGTGCCTCTACTGTGCGCATCGGGACAGACGGTGTCACTGGTCAGGACGTCCATGTCCCGGTCTCCGATGTGTTGCCCATGGTCCATCCCAACGATCTCGTTGTTGGTGGCTGGGACATCTCCGGTCTGCCCATGAACAAGGCCATGGAGCGTGCGCAAGTTCTTGACTACGATCTTCAGCGCCAGGTCGCACCGTACATGGCGGCGCTCGGCAAACCACTACCCTCTATCTATTACCCCGATTTCATCGCCGCGAATCAAGAGGCTCGGGCCGACAATCTCATCGAAGGCAACGACAAGCAGACCCATCTTGAGCACATCCGGGCCGATATCCGCAAGTTCAAGCAGGACAACGAGCTCGATCGTATCGTCGTCTTCTGGACGGCCAACACCGAGCGCTACAGCGATATCATCCCGGGTGTCAACGACACTGCGGATAACCTGCTTGCTGCGATCAAGTCGTCTCATTTCGAGGTCTCGCCTTCGTCGTTGTTCGCTGTTGCAGCGATCCTCGAGGGAGAGCCATTTGTCAATGGTGCTCCCCAAAACACTTTTGTGCCCGGAGTCATCCAGTTGGCTGAGCGTCACCAGTCTTTCATCGGCGGAGACGACCTCAAGTCCGGACAAACCAAACTCAAGTCAGTACTGGCCGAGTTTTTGGTGAACGCAGGCCTCAAACCTCTGTCGATCGCCTCGTACAACCATCTCGGTAACAACGACGGCCACAACTTGTCGGCCGAGCGCCAGTTCAAGAGCAAGGAGATCAGCAAAAGCAGTGTGGTCGATGACATGGTTGCTGCCAACCGGCTGCTCTTCAAGGCCCCCGAACCCGAGACCAAGGGCAAGGGCGAGCACCCCGATCACATCGTACGTTCGTCAAGGCTGTATCCCTCTCCACATTACTCAACTCTCTCTAGGTCGTCATCAAGTACGTCCCTGCTGTCGGTGACAGTAAGCGGGCGATCGACGAGTACTACTCCGAGATTTTCTGTGGTGGTCGTTCTACCATCAACATCTTCAATGAGTGCGAGGTATGATCTTGATTTTATAATCATGCATGACCTTGGCTTACGCCAGCAATTAGGACTCGCTGCTCGCCACTCCGTTGATCCTCGACCTGACCATCCTCACCGAGTTGCTCACCCGTGTGAAGTACCGAAAGGCTTCGGAGAAGGAATTTGCGCCGTTGTATGCGGTGCTCTCCTTGCTTTCGTACATGCTCAAGGCGCCGTTGGTCAAGCCTGGCACTGAAGTTGTGAACAGCCTCAACCGTCAGCGCAATGCGCTTGAGAGCTTCCTTAAGGCCTGCATTGGGCTCGAGGGCAGCAGCGACCTCCTGCTCGAGACTCGAATTTGGTAAATGCTATTGATGAAATGGACGGGTCGTTCAACGTTCAACACGGTCAATGTTCCCTCCTAGATATTCGATAGATAGATCGTTTCCAAGTGGTCATTCAACTGTCCAAGAATCAATTACTGTGCCCTAATCCTGCCTGAAATGTCGTTTGCAATCTGTCCTCCACTATTTCCATGGTTGATGCCGGCTTCTAGTCATACACTGCATGGAAAATGAGACTACTAGTGCGAAACGTTTCGGACGTAACATACCATGCACGATCCCTGTGGCCGTGGTCAGAATCTGTTCTGCGTTTACTTGGAGGAACTAACCATAGAACAACGTCCACACCAGGATGAAAGTGGACACGTTGTCCTGACCAGGGTTGAAAAGCCCCCACCACCCTCCAGGTATAAATTTCTCCGGTTTCCCGCCGCAGTTCACAAACGATATCACAAAAGTGGTGAAGACCGTCGAGAACAGGAACAGTCCGAAGCCAGTCCAATTTGTGAGTCCAAGGATCCCTGCGAAAGCTCCCGCGAAGCAGGCGGATAGAAATTTGACGCTAAGAATAGAGGAGTTGAATAGCACGTTTGGGCCGTAGATTCGTTGGGCTGCGATTTCATCCGGGGTGGACATCGTAAACGCGGCGCGCAAGATGGATGTAGCCACGTGATCCAGATCCTCGATGGACACTAATTTGATTAACTTACTTCCGACCACCACAATGAGTACTTCCGAACTCTGCTTAGCCTGTTGTTCTTCCCTTCCCCCCAAACCTACAGATCTTTTCCGGACCTCATGTTGCAACCTCCCCATTTGCCCCTCATGCATCTTGAACAACCCGCGTTTGGTTCGCTATCAGCCGTGCCTCGCGTGTCTTGGCGGCATCGGTGTCGTTTCGGCGAAGCCGGTGGACTCAGCCGTTGTGAACTTCGATGGAGCTGTCCGAGACGAAGACAACTATGTGCTTGGAGATGATGATTCGGAGGACGACGATGGAGCCGAGCTCCCCACAGCCCATCCTTCTCCACCGACGACGTCATCGACGACACCCATCTCCTCGTCCTCGAAGTATTACATCAAGAAAGGAGACACTTTACAGGGAATCGCACTGCGTCTCAGTGTAGATGTACGCTTTCTACGGCCAGATTTGTTCACATGAACTCATCAACTGTTCAGGGACGCGAGCTCTGCCGCCTGAACAAACTCCCCCCGAGCACACTCACCACAACGCCTCACATCCTTCACACCCGGATCTTCCTAGATCTTCCGCCGTCCGCACAGGCCAAGCTACAGCCATCCGACACCGCACCGAACCCTGCGGAAGTACATGCCCGTGAGGTCAGGCGAACTCGCGAACGGGCGGCCAAGCGTCTACAGACCCTGACGAAAGAGATAGACTGGCGCGTCGCAGATGCGTATGTAGCCTTGGTGGACGGCGTGCCCTCGGATGAAGAAGACGCATTCGTTCTAAAGCAGAAGGAACTGGGCACGACTTCAACTTCGAAGATCGAGGGGATGGCTATCGATCGTTATCTGGATGACATGGAATGGGAAGCAGACCAACTCAAACGGGGCGCAACGATCAAGATACCTGGATATCCTATCGCAGGACCCAGCGCGCACAAAGAGAAGAGTACAGGATGGTGGTGACCAGTGCGTTTCTTTCTCTCTCAAAGCCCTTCCCCATTCCCATCCCGGACTATTTCGAGCGCTTTTCGGGCCAGATCTCGGTCGTTGGCGAACGTCAGGCGTCCAATGGCCTCGTCGGCTGGAACGAAATGAGACTCGAAAAGCTCTGTCGCAGTTTGTGTTCCGAGGACTTTGTCTTGGCCCGTGGTCCGAGCAATGTACCACCATATGAATTTAGTCCCTGCGCTGCCTCTGTCCCGAACAGTGACTGCAAACGGTTCAGTGATGCCGTCCTGGACACTCACACCCTCGACTTGGTTGACTCCCTGCTGGGGCGTGCGTGTCTGCATCTTGCAGGGCAGTAGAGTGCATGGATATCCTGTTTCCTCGAACGTTTCTCGGACTGCGGCGTGTTCAATGGCCTCCCCAGTGTCCTTGCGCCCTTTAGGTAGCAACCAATTGTTTGTCCTGATGTCGTGGAGGACACATATCTGGAGCACCGAGCTTTCTTTTCGGAACAGTATGCATCCAGCAGACACCACGAAGTCGGACGCGAAATGGTGTTTGGATGGGTAGATGGAGGCCGCCATGAGAGACCGAAAGCAAAGTAGATTCCGTATCCAGTCATCATATAGGAGCCGAAACCATACACGATAACAAACAAAGCAGATAAGATCGCAGATCAACCCAGAATTCCCTTCATGTAACTGAGAACGCCGTTCGGCCCGCGTGTTTTGGCTGCAGTGACCATGGCTTCGACATTGTCCACGACAGCTTCTTCGTCTTCAACCTCCATTTGCGTTTCGAGCCTGTCGCCCACGACAGTCCTTCTCCGCGTGCGCTGGCGCTGGCCTTGACCATAGCGGAGAATGACAGTCAATATAACTCGCCAACCCTCGATTTCACTTGAAGATGCGAGGGACGAGGTGGACTCATTCGGGAGCATCGGCAGCGTGCTTGATCGTGCAATGAAAGGACACGTCGGCCGGTGCTCTTTCAGTAGATCGAACTGTCTGGGCGGCAACGCATGTCGCGGACGCTCCGAGTCCGATGGGCTGGGGCTTGTTGGCTCCTCTGGCAGCAAGAAAGCCCATAATCCGATGGTTCGCTGTCCCGACGTTAGTCGCGTCGCGAAAGAAGTGCTGTGTTCATACCTGGCAATATTTGCAATGCACCAGCGGGTTGTCACGCTTGTTCGTGGTCAAGGAAGCCGTCACTCCACCAGATATCCTGCGCAGATATTCGCGTGGAGGTGTACGAGGTTCCGAGCTTCGAGATAAAGGTGAAGGTGTCGATACCCTGAAGGTGAAGCTGGCATTCTGAGGCAACGACGACGGGAGAGGAGAATTGGCACGAGAAACCGTCCGAGATGGCGTCCGAGACGGCGTCCGAGAAGCCGAGAGTGTTCGAGGACGGTCAGATGAGACAGGTGCTGGGGCCCAACCGAAGAAAGCGGCCAAAATAGTCGTCTCGGACGGCTCGGAAGCCGGGGTGTCATCCTCCGGCTTGTCGTCTTCGGTGGTGGAAGGATCTACGAATGCTTCTACGGTGGATCGTAATGCCGTCAATTGGCTGGGGGTCTGCCGGAGACGAGGTCAAATCAATTCCGAGCAAACCGACGACACTTACCAGCGTGTGTTTGACTTGGACACGATCCATGACTGCCTCGAGGGCACGTGCGCTCTTTTTCAGATCTCTGACCATAGCACTCGGGGATTTCAGGGGAATTTGGTAGACGTCCGCTGCAATACCAGAATGTCAGCGTCTGAAGTTTGTAAGATGGACAGGTGGCGAAACACGCACGGTCACATTGACGCGTTCTCCATGGACAGCCAGCCTTATGTTGCTCGACCAGTGATACACGTTGTTTCTCTACCAGAGCATTCGCTGAATCAAACTGAATCTTCTGCTCATATACGATGATAGATACACGCACCGGCATCTTTCGACATGCCCTCTCGCCCACCGACGACCCAAGACACGCCACACAACCCGCAGACCAAGCGATCCTTTCCCTCATTTACCCACCCACACTTCGCAGCAGCAACATGGTTGATCCGTTCTGGTTTGTTCGCATAGGTGGACAGTTTGAAGGTTTCTAGGCGCGCGAGGAAAGAGTTGAGTGAAGAGGGCCGGTATTCTGCCGTCGGGTGGAGGGGTGGTGCCGAGGCGCTCGAGAGAAATTTGGGCAGGGCTTTGCGGGTCTTGGTAGCAGCACGGTTGAGAATAGCCGTGAGATGAGGTGTACTTCGGGATAGGGAGGACGCGCGCGGATTCGGTGATGGTTTGGATTTCACCCCGTACTTGGCCAACGTCGAATAGAGAGATCGGACTGTGTTCTGCCGTTTGAGCGGTGGGGCAGGCTCCACAGCCTGATCAAGAGAGACAAAGGCGTCACTCAATTTCCTCTTGGTAGCACTCATGAAAGTTGAGTCTGAAAGTATGACTGGTTCCAGCCACTATTTCCGGTCAACACGAATCAACACTCGTAGCTTTCTTTTTTGCCCACTAATATACTATGTGATGCTACTAGCTCTACTTTTCTACGTTCTAGTGACGGGCACGAGTCGCGAATCACCTCTGCTCCCGACGTCGGGCCAGTACATCATGCTGCTCGTCATCCAGGATGCCAATGATAGTCCTCGCCCCAAAGTGATCCCCTCGAAGGTGAAGTGCCTTGATGAATGACCTGTACAATGGCCGAACGTGCCGTTCAAATACAATGGCCGAGGAGGGTTGCACAGAGTCGAGAGTTTCAGACCCCACAACACGACTCGGCTTCGACCCAAATGGTACGTTGTTCTCCCGTCTCCATCTATCCGCGGCCGGATATCCCGACCGAACGACATGGTCAAACAGCTCACGAATATGGGGCCCGGTCATCAACGAGTTGCGATGGAGAATGGCCTTGAGCATGATGTTCATCGTCACGCGGTCGCCAACAAAGCCTACGGTGTGCGCCAACCGAGCGGATCTTGCTTGTAAATGCCGGTAGAGCTCATCGTTCTGTTCTGACGGCCACATATGCAGAGCTGCATTCAAAATCGTGTTCCCCATCCAGGTCCTCGCCTCCAGATCCATTCCGACATTTGCCGCCCTGCGAGCAACGACTGAAGCTGCACCCAGAGCTCCGAGACGGCAAAGCGTGCCTACGGCCTCTTTCCAGTGAGAACGTCTCGCAGCAACAATCCGCAGAACTGCTCGCACGGCCGCTCGGGAACGGCGCCAGCGAACGTTCACCCGAAAGCCATCGAGACGGGCAAGAGCTTCTCGACCGCCGACTGAGTCGCCACTGTCGTAAATCCTCCGCGCCAGTGCATGCGCACCACGCTGCGCCAACCGCAGCACCAGTTTCCGTCGAAATTCGATGCGATCCACCGGTGGCAAGTGCTCGATTACGTCCAAAAGCGAAATCGCGGCTGACGGGTGATACCTAGTCAACACCCTCATCATCCGCAGCATGTATCGCATGCTCAGAGACGACAGGTTTCTGTCCCGCTGTATACGCACAAGCTTCACCGCCCGAGGACCTTGTTGAGAAGCAGCGAGTACCAGCAGTGCATGGAGGAGAGAAGGTTCTTCCGGAGTAAAATTTGGAACATCGAACGAGCTTATCAGTGCGGTTCCCAACTGCAATGCCAGGGAAGATTCCATTCGAGTCTGATGCTGTCGTCTAAGGGTGCGGAGAATGGTGTGGAGGACGGACTGCTGATGCTCCGGGCTTAGTTGCGCTAGACCTTGAATAGCGACCCCGGTAGTGTCTGCATGCTTCGCCATCTCCAGTTGGAATCGAAGCACAGAAGCCGCAGGGAGTTCAATGCCTTCTTGCTGGAGGAATTCGTGCAGGTCACGAACACTGTCGACATGGTGGGGCAAAAGACAGCCAATGAGTGTTTCGGCGACCTGCTTGCGCAAGGCGTCACTTTCAGGCAGTACAGAAAAGACCTGTGCCCATGACACCGAGGCCCTGGTGGCTACGAGGGCCAAGGCGTAGTCCACGAACATTCCTATAGACTGCACATCGCTCTGTTCTTCACTCCATATCGCAAGGGTGATGCAATGATTCCTGCATGCATTAACTAGAGGCAGGTCCCGCGTCTTCGTGGCCAATCTCAGAAAAGATGACACAGTTGTTATGTGGATTGCGGGAGGCAGGAGCAAACCAGCACCCTTCCACATTTGCCATAATTGTCGAACAGCATTAGACGGCACTGCTTCTGTGGGGATACGCTCTAGGATGGCCAACGGGAGTGAAGTGCACCATAGAACGCATCTACTCTCGTCCTCTTCGTCTTTGGGATGAGCTGGAATCTCATTGTTGCCTAAAGATTTCGCAGACGCGTAGAGGGCCAGCAGCATCAGGTGCTTCCGACGAGAGCTGATCGAGACCGATGCATCAAAAGCCCCCTGCACTTCGCAAGTTGCGCGGTCGGCGATATCGGTAGGAAGGGACGGCTGGGACACGCCGAAAATAGCTCCAATAAACGCCTCGCAAAGCTGCCCCACAGTGACTGGATTTTGGTATGTCGTCTGAGACAGCGACAAAGATCCGGAAAGCCGCGTCAAACGCGTGGAGATCATCGAGAAAATATGGCCTTCTGCCGCGGGTGGTAAAGCACCGTATCTTCCCAGAGCGAGAGCCCACACTAGTTCCACAACCCGGCGATCGGGCGCGGGGTTTTGTGAAAGGTATCGACACAACTGCTTCACTGTGCGTGAAAGAGCGGAGCGATGGTGCTCGAGCATGATGCTGAAGTAGGGTAGATGAACGTTGGGGTCGGGACTATTTCGAATGTAGGTGTAGCGTGAGACGGCGTGTGAAGCGTGTTCATCTGTTTCAACCGTGAACAGGTGAGATTATTCGTCACGGAGGGCTTACCCGAAGAGTTGGGTTCTGCTTCCATGTAGGCAAGGTGTGCCCGCATAACCCAATATTCGACAGTGCCAGAGCGTGCACGGCGATTATCACGAAGTACATACTGGTCCCACAACTCGAGAACCAGATGCCAGTACGTGCGGAATGGTGCCGAGGGTAGAGAGGGAGCGATAGTGTGAATGTAGGTGGTTTTAGGCTGAGGCGAGGGGATGGAGAGAGACCCGAAAAGTACAATGAGCTCTTGCAGTTCATGAAGGGTCAAGGGGTGTCCTTGTGAGCGCGGAGGAAGCGCTTTGACGTCGAGGTATAGCTTGCACAAATCTTTGGGTGCATAAGTGACAGGCTCAGCGGACGTGAGGTTTGCTGGGGATAAAAAGGCGTGGAGTTTGGCAAGCGAAGTCAAGGTGCCCCGACCCTGAACCAGATTACGTCGGGCATGACTTGGGCGGCCCAGTTGGAGGATGGGCCGCCAACAGCATCGCAACATTCCATTGCAGAAGATGGAGACGAGAAATGGAGACGACCGTCTACTTCGAACAAGCCGAAATCGGAGTCAATGGGCTGACGCGTGTTCCAACAAACGTGCCAGCACCACCGGACGACGAAGTGAGTAGAACTAGAAAAGCACACGCGACAAACGCGTCACATGGTCACATCAAGCCAGTCGGCTTCTGCCCGGTATCATGATTTGATCAAAGCTTTGTAAGCTGGTTCAACCGTTCAAATAGACCATCAACTCCTGACATCGTGCTACATGGCATTGAGAAGTGTATTGTCGTTGAAAATGGCTCTGAATTCATGAGTGACGCAGACAACGGGGCTCGCTAGAACATTACATCCATTATGCTCAATTATCATAGTCTTGGATGTCGTGAGCAAGAGATGTGTTGAGACAAGTCTCAGATGATGTTTGCATATGTACCATGTACAAGTACCGGATGAATGTATTGAAGAAATGAACGCCTCCGCTCCGGCTTGAAATCATGACCTTGATGACGTCACGTGTCACCTATGCAGTTTTTCCCAGAATCGCGCATTCGATCAGATTAACTCGCGTTTTTGCTCTCAACCAGTTGTCCTTGAAATATCCTTTGACACACAGGCAAGTCAATACCGCGATTTCCATTTGTTGTGCTCATCTTCTGCAGAGGTCAATAGGGAGGCACTAGTTACCCACTAATCCAACCTTCACCATCAACGAAAATTAGCAATGGGTGCAAGCCGCGCTGACAAGGAACTCTATTTCGAAAAGCTCAAGGAGCTTTTGGCTAAATACCGTACGTTCCTTACTTTTCGAGGTGGTTTGCGACTGAACTGTTCATAGCCTCTATCTTCATCGTCAACGTTGACAATGTGGGCTCGAACCAGATGCATCAGATCCGTGTTGCCCTCCGCGGCAAGGGTGTCGTCCTGATGGGCAAGAACACCATGGTCCGCCGTGCTCTCCGCACCATCCTCGCCGACAGCCCCCAGTTCGAGCGTCTTCTTCCCCACGTCAAGGGGAACATTGGCTTCGTTTTCACTTCTGGCGACTTGAAGGAGATTCGTGAAGTTATCGTTGCCAACAAGGTCGCCGCTCCTGCTCGTGCTGGTGCCTACGCTCCTATGGACGTCACTGTCCCTGCCGGAAACACTGGTATGGAACCCGGAAAGACCTCCTTCTTCCAGGCCCTCGGTATCCCCACCAAGATCGCCCGTGGTACCATCGAAATCGTGTCCGATGTCAAGGTCGTCGTTGCTGGCTCGCGTGTCGGAACTTCCGAGGCCACTCTCCTCAACATGTTGAACATCTCTCCGTTCACGTACGGTATGACTGTCGTCCAGATCTTCGACGGCGGAAATGTGTTCGCGCCGGAGGTCCTTGACATCGACGAGTCGGTCCTCATTGACCGCTTCATGAGTGGTATCAAGACCATCGCTTGCATCTCGCTCGCGCTCTCCTACCCGACCATCGTCTCTGTCTCGCACAGCTTGGTCAACGCGTACAAGAACCTCCTGGCAATTTCTCTGGCCACGGAGTACACCTTCGAAGGTGCCGAGAAGGTGAGCCTTGTCTCCATCTGTGACTTCGTAGGATTATCACACAAATACACACTGAAAATTCTGAGCATCGTCGATGCCTTGTCGAATTCATTTTACGCATCTATGACTCTTTTTCCCGCTTCTGTTCCGGGTATTGACCATCTTCCTCAGGTTAAGGAGTATCTCGCCAATCCCGAGGCCTTTGCCGTTGCCGAAGCTGCCCCCACTTCATCGTCGGCGCCGGCTGCTGCCGAGACCAAGGCTGAGGAGAAGCCCGCTGCCGAGGAGAAGAGTCTGACGAGGACATGGGCTTCGGTCTCTTCGACTAAGGGTGCAATGTAGTAGTCGACGTGTATCTTTCTTCGAACGCCAAAAGCCATCTTTGAATTTCGAACGTCGGGTCTTCCTGTAAGCGAGGATACTCCGAGCCATGATCGATTTTGTTGGGAGCCCGATTAGGCGACGTCGATGACTTCATCTGCTCGTAGTGTTACTTTCAGGTTACAACGTTCACATATCGTTCCGTCAGGATCCGATAATCCTCCCTTCTCACACTCTAACCTCTGCGCTATTTAAGCATCCTCTTGTCAGCGAGCATGGAGCCGTCTTCTCCCCGGTCGCCGTCCCCAGACATGTTCGGAAATGGCGCACATCTCATCGTTGTCTCCAATCGACTGCCCGTTACGATAACCAAAGATGCGGCGGGCGAATACCACTTCAAAATGTCCTCCGGCGGACTAGTGTCGGCGCTCTCCGGCTTCAAGAAGTCCCTCAGCTTCACCTGGATCGGATGGCCTGGGTTTTACATCCCACTGAAAGATCGACCGCTCGTCGATAAGCGGCTTATGGAGGAGTACTCCTGCCAGGCTGTGTACCTAGACGACGAAGTCGCCGACCGGCATTATAACGGCTTCTCCAACTCCATACTATGGCCGCTCTTCCACTACCACCCGGGCGAGATGAACTTTGACGAGGAGAACTGGCTCGCGTACCGCCAGGCGAATCTGCAGTTCGCAGAGGTGGTGCGCACGCAGATCACCCCGGGTGCGATGGTGTGGGTGCAAGACTACCACCTCATGCTTCTGCCCATGATTCTTCGGCGATTATTGGACGGGGCTGACCTGAGCGCGGATTCGACGGCCCGCGAATTGGCGAACATCACAGAGGGAATATCCATCGACGACACGTCGGCGAAGCCCTCACCCAGCGTCCCTGGCGTGAAGATCGGCTTCTTCCTGCACACCCCGTTCCCCAGCAGCGAAATCTATCGGTGTGTGCCTTTCGTGGTCGCGTCTCTGTTGGTGTTGTCTGATCTCAGGGTAGGATCCTTCCGGTTCGACGCGAGATTCTGCTCGGTATTCTGTACTGCGATCTCATCGGCTTCCACACGTACGATTATGCTCGGCACTTCTTATCGTCCTGCACGCGCATTCTTGCTCTCCCCACTATGCCGAATGGAGTCGAGTTCGAGGGGCGACTGGCTCATGTGGGCACCTTCCCGATTGGGATTGAGCCAAATTCGTTCATTGAGGTCCGTTTGTCTATGCGCTTCGATCCCTGTTCCACTGACGCATCTCCGTCACAGAACCTGCAAAAGGAGGGTGTCAAGTCCCGGATACGACAACTTGAATCTCGGTTCAGCGGTGTCAAGGTCATCGTCGGCGTGGACCGGCTGGACTACATCAAAGGGGTGCCCCAGAAACTGCATGCGCTGGAGCTGTTCCTGACCCAGCATCCGGAGTGGATCGGCAAGGTGGTGCTCGTGCAACTTGCTGTGCCTTCGCGGCAAGATGTCGAGGAGTACCAGAACCTGCGATCGACTGTAAACGAGCTCGTCGGCCGGATCAACGGGCGGTTCGGGACAGTCGAATTTATGCCGATCCATTTCATGCACAAAAGCCTGGCGTTCGACGAGTTGTGTGCGCTGTATGCCGTGAGCGACGTCTGCCTGGTGTCGAGCACACGTGATGGAATGAACTTGGTGAGTCTGTTCGAGTTGGATTGCGACGCCTGCGGCTCATTTTACTGCTCTCTTTCTCAGGTCTCCTACGAGTACATCGCCTGCCAGCAGGCCCGACAGGGTGTCATGATACTCTCCGAGTTCGCCGGTGCTGCGCAGAGTCTCAACGGATCGCTCATCGTGAATCCCTGGGACTCGCAGCAAGTGGCGGATGCCATCCACGAAGCCGTGACGATGGACGCAGCCACGCGAGCCGAGAACCACCGCAAGTTGTTCAAATACGTCAACAAGTATAGCGCCGCGTTCTGGGGAGCAGTTTCATCAAGGAAATGGGGCGCATCGAGGTCGGTGATCTCGAGAATGATGGCCAGGTGGCTCATCTGAGTGCCCGCGGTGATGCCATCGGCGCCGGCAGCGACATCGTAGCTGGTTCGGTGGTCAATACACCCGTTGCCGTGTGAGCCGAAGTTTAGATAGAGAAATGTATTATCTGTAACTATGGACCATGTACATCTGGGCCTATGGGGAGTATAAACGAATTTTTCCGGGTTGCTTCATTCTCTGGTGCGGAAGTTTGAGCATGTGGTGGCATGTGAGTCACGTGGGCGCGTCTGACTCTCCACGCGCCGTAAATGAACTGGGGGGATATTCGATTGCTGAGTACGAGCAGGACATGTGGGAAGAGCAGATAATGTATGCGAGACAGTTCGCGAAGGGGGATCTGATTTTCCCGAAACCGTGAGTACGCATCCTTGGGCTACAGTGCACTCGGGCTGCTTCCAACAATGGCGAATCTGTCAGGGTGCAGAGCATGTTTGCTGAGTGGTGGGAGCTTTACAGCACGGCCAGATCCCCGGTGGTGTCAAGACAGCATCTCTGGCGAAAGCGGCCTAGATACATACGCTTCCACATCAAAGATAGCCCAGTCAGGGAGGAAAGCTGTAGAGGACGACGCAGGCTGGATACCACATGTTTTGGCCGGCAAAACTGTGGCTTTTTTCACATATTCACATTCTGCTCGCTTCAGTGGCGCTAGATTCCACCGTGACGAGCGCCGCGCGGTGCGCATTTATCTAAAATGCGCCCCCTGTCAAGTGAAGACAGAAAGTGAGGCCTACCGTAATTTATAAATGTCTGTGCGGGAGCAGAACTGAGTTGGAGTCTGCTGTGTAACCCGGTGAGAAAGGATGCTTTTTTTGAAAGCTGTAGACGCAGCTATTATACCGCAGTTGATATTGTGACCGGCTGCCCGACAAGATCTTGATCTAATTGCACCTGAATGGAGACATAGACTCGGTCCGTTGCTCTATCCTGAGATAAGGATAAATGGATTGCGCACGGTGCGCGGCGTGGCGTTTCAGGGAATGCTTGAAGGGAGAGCCGCTCTCAGATGGTTCGGGTGTGGGAGAAGCCAGATTCGTGGATATTGCATCAAGAAAGTTTGTAAAGACAGAGAGCGAAACAGACAGAGACAGAGCGGACAGGCAAGGGATATAAATGCAGGTTGTTTGGAATGCTTGCTAGGACCAGATGTTTGGCATCAAGATAGTCGGAAATGGACCAGGAATTGAATTACAGCCACCGAGAGATCGATGACGAGCCAGGACAGGAATCGAGACAGGCTGAGAATTCTACAGCTTTGTGCCACAAGCCAATGGTCCGTCCGACATGAGAAGCGCGTGCTTTAGTACAGGATGACCCTGGCCCGAGGTAAAATAGAGTTTACACAGGTCTATATCATCGGAGCACGATCACTGCTTGCAGGTGCTCCAGAAGTGCTATGCAGTTCCACGGCCTTGAGAAGCGTAGCTGAAATGCGGTCACAGCCAAGAAAGTCGAGGTGAAGTGCGGGATGTCGGCGTCGGGACTGCGGAGTACATAGCCCAGGCCCCGGACCAGTGGGTCCGATGAGATGAAGGACGGAGAATCGGCAGCCGAGCGCCACAGACAGCTCTGCGCTGTTGTCATTTCCGCCCTCGTTGCAGTGGGTGTTCCTGGTATGCTGTACTGTCTCGCGCAAGCTCGGTCGTGAATCTCGTCACATGGTAACCAAAGCGGTCACATGACTCATCTCGACGCGTCCAGAGTTCGGCCGGATTGACGCGTTGCGCGCAGCTATGAACACGAGATAAGGATGACAATCTCGCATTTTTACGTTCAAGTGTGCTGCAGTCGATTTGTCATCGGAATGTCCGAGCGTGGATGCAGCCCAGCAGTTGACCAGCCATCGATCCGCGAAAATCCCGCATTGGAGAGCGTAGCATTATAGCCTACACTACCTTCCGGTGAGCAGACTGTAACAGCGGATACTAATCAACATCACCTGTGGATGAAATGCAAAGCCTGAGCGGCCACTTGAGCACGCGAGATCAAGCAAGGGTCCGCGTGCTGCCAAGCTGTATTATTACAGCAGCAACAGCAAAAGCTGTGAAGAACAGCCGACAGGAGAATGGCGCTCGGCGGAATACGCTCTGTGGGCCTCGGCGTGTTCCGTGATTTTTTTTCTCTGGGCCGAAGCTCGGTTCTTCCGGATCCGGAAGTGATCGCGAAGAATTTCGCTCGGCGCGCCTAGCGCCTTCTGTAAAGATCTGGAGTTGTCCCGGCTCCAGAAGAAGAAAATAATAGCGAGGCCACGTGGAGAACTCACATTTAGGTGTAACATCCTGCAAGGAAGCAGGGTGTCCAGTTAACTAGGTTCATGAGATACGTGCTGCAGAAGGAGGCCTGCTCCAGTCGTTTCGTAGGGGGGACTAAATAGCCAGGCGATGACGTTGCTCTCCGCCATGGCCCTTGGCAGCACCCGATTTGATCACCCGACGAATATTTGCAACTGCACCTTGAGTCGATACTAGATAGGCCAGTGCGATCTGCGGCGAACAGACTACAGCCAAGATGAAGCGATACACACAAAGAATTATCAAGCAGTTGAGGAGCAATGGGAACGGAAGTGTCCCTAGTCCAGACAGCTCGAGCTCCACAGTACCCTCTCCCATCCGCTCAATTCAAAAGCTCAGTGCTTTTCTGCACGATTGGAGAAACCACCAGCGCATAGGGCGGATTCTCTTGTATTTGTAGAGGTAGAGAAGAAGAGTACATCTGGTGCCTCCTCACTTGCAAAAGGTCGTGATACCACATTTGACCCGATCAGGACATACAGCTTTCGTCCCCGATTTGGATTGGGGGCTATGCTGGTTACATCAACCTTCTGTGCAAGAATTCTTGGGCACAAACAAGTGGTTCAGCTTGTCCGGCTACCTCCACTGTGGAGGTTCATATCGCAGTGCTCGCACTGATTCAAGTGCTGTGGACGATATAAAAGCCCCCAGGGTCTCGTTACGGCACACCTCTTTACAATCATGCCCTCTGACGACCATAATATCCCCGCCATCGTCACTACCGACCTTTCGCTCGACGTCTCTGATGACCATGCCCCCCCGCGTCTCACTTTATCCCCCGCTCAGGCCCTCTCCCCTTCGGACGGCCTTTTGTCTCCTCGTACTCCGTCGGTAGCCACTCGCGGGTCTCTAGACGTCCTTCCCAGCTCCCCCACTCACACAGACGATGGTTCTTCCATCACGACACCGCCCTCCCCAACCCTTTCCAATCACTCTTCTGTGCATTTTCAGCCGAACACGACACTGTCTCTGCGCGAAAACAAGCCCGAGCCTAGGAATCAGAGCCTGCTATTGTCCCCCGATACACCACTGTCCCATCAACGCAAGCCGAGCAACGCCACGACAATAAGCGACGTGACAGAGGCGGACCATTCTCCGAACGCCCTTCGTTCGGTAAAGTCATATGCCACGAGCGAGACGCGTGTGCCCTCGCCTTCTGCCTCGCATGCTAAACGCGGCACGGTTGATTCTGAAGCCGCGAGAGGCAGGCGGGCGAAACCAGAGGGCTCTGATGAGGACGACGAGGAAGAGATGCAAGCACTTGAGGCTGACGGCGATCCAGCACCATTTAGATTTCATGCGAATGCGTTGGCGATGCTGCCAGACTCAAAGGATCTGGACCAACTGACCAGTATGGGTGGCATAACTGGGCTACTGGAAGGGCTAGCCACAAACGAGTTCACTGGCCTGGTCGACGCGTCCCTTGGATCTGGCGACGGCCGGCCTGGCGCGGGCAATGGAGCTTCACCACGTCATGATCCAGAGAAGGGTCTAGTGCCGGAGATCACCCTCACCGATCCCGAGGGCGAGCGCTCCGAGAACTGGAACTCAAGTGCCGCATTCGCCGCGCCCATGGATATCCGCCACCAGGTGTACGGGCAGAACGTCCTTCCCTCGCGAAAGAGCAAATCTTTGCTCTCGCTCATGCTTGCTGCGCTTATGGATAAGGTTCTCGTACGTGATTTCCGTTTTGTGGCAGAGCATGTGGTAACGAAAGACCAGATTCTGCTCTCCATCGCCGCGGTGGTCTCGCTCGCATTGGGCCTGTTCCAGGATTTCGGGACGACCAGGCCGGCAGGACAGCCTCCGGTTGATTGGGTTGAAGGTGTCGCCATCATGGTGGCGATTGTGATCGTGGTACGTTGCCGAACGCATTCATTTCCGCGTCTGACGACTGTGTAGGTTGTGTTGGATCCGTTAATGACTGGCAAAAGGAACGGCAGTTCAAGGCCCTCAACGATAAGAAAGAACAGCGCGGCGTGAAGGTGATACGAGGCGGTGAAGAGATGCTCATCGACATCAAGGTATTCTCATTAATAGCTTGAAACGCGGGTTTGAGTTTGATTCGTGGCACAGCAAGTCGTTGTCGGCGACATCGCTCTCGTCGAACCAGGCGAGATCCTGCCTTGCGATGGCGTGTTCCTCAGCGGCCATAACGTGAAATGCGACGAGTCCGGTGCCACGGGTGAATCCGATGCGATCAAGAAACTTTCCTACGACGATTGCATGCGGCTGCGGGGCACCGACGGAGCCGCGCATACCGACTGCTTCCTCCTGAGCGGCAGCAAAGTCCTAGAGGGCGTTGGCAGATATGTTGTGGTGGCTGTGGGCACCAAGAGTTTCAACGGTAGGATTATGATGGGTGCGTGCTTCCCCCGTTGCGGAACGATCTCAGACTGAGGCAATGGCACAGCTATGCGAGGAGAAGCCGAGAACACTCCTTTGCAAACGAAACTTAACGCCCTTGCCGAATTGATCGCGAAATTAGGCGCTGCAGCCGGTATCATCCTGTTCACGGCGCTGATGATCCGATTCTTTGTGCAGCTCGGCCAGAACAACCCGCCCAGGTAGATTTCTTCACCCAGACTTGGAGATCTTCCCTCATCAGAGCTACAGGACTGCGAACCAGAAGGGCATCGCTTTTGTGAACATCCTGATTATCGCTGTGACTATCGTGGTGGTTGCTGTGCCCGAAGGTCTGCCACTCGCTGTGACGCTGGCTCTTGCATTCGCCACGAAACGCATGACGTACGAAAAGCTTCTCGTCCGGATCCTTGGCTCCTGCGAGATTATGGCTAACGCTTCTGTTATCTGCACGGACAAGACCGGAACTCTTACCCAGAATGTGATGAGGGTTGTGGCGGGGTCGGTCGGGATCAATGCCAAGTTTGTGCGTCGCCTGGAAGAGAACAGTGCGCGGGAGAATACTGGAGAGCGCAAACACCCCAACGACTTCTCGCTCGATCAGTCCCAGCTCAACACTGTCGTCAGCCCCCAGCTTCGGGAGCTGTTCAACGAAGCGATTGCCGTGAACTCGACTGCTTTCCAGGACAAGGACCCCGAGACCGGCGAGCTCATCTTTGTCGGGAGTAAGACCGAGACCGCGCTTCTGCAGTTTGCGCAGGAACTGGGCTGGACGGATTTTAAGACGACGCGCAATTCGGCAACGGTGCTGCAGATGATCCCCTTCTCGAGCGAGCGCAAGGCCATGGGTGTGGTGGTCAAGACGCGCAGCGGAAGGATCCGGGTGTTCTTCAAGGGCGCAAGCGAGATTTTGTCGAAACGGTGTGTATCGCACGTCGTGGTGAGCAAAGACGGGGCCTTTTCTGGCGATGGAGTCGAGACGGGGCCGATCGACGAACTGGCGAACGATAATATTTCGCGGACCATCATTTTCTATGCCAACCAGATGCTTCGGACGATCGCACTGTGCTATCGGGATTTCGACTCGTGGCCGCCCCCAGGACTCGACCATGATGACCAGGGCGAGATTCCGTTCGACGAGCTGGCGAAGGATCTGACGCTGATTGGCATCGTCGGTATTGAGGACCCGCTGCGGCCTGGGGTGGTCGAAGCTGTGGCTAAATGCCATAAAGCGGGCGTGACCGTGAAAATGTGCACTGGAGACAATGTGCTCACGGCTCGTTCGATCGCGACCCAATGTGGCATCTTTACACCCGGCGGAGTGATCATGGAGGGCCCTGTGTTCCGGAATCTGACGCCTAGTGAGAAGATTGAGATTGTGCCTCGGCTGCAAGTTCTCGCTCGCTCTTCTCCCGAAGACAAACGCGTTCTGGTCGACACTCTCAAGCAACTGGGCGAGATCGTCGGTGTGACTGGGGATGGAACGAACGACGGACCCGCGCTGAAGACGGCGAATGTTGGTTTCTCAATGGGCATCGCTGGCACAGAAGTTGCAAAAGAGGCGTCGGACATTATTCTCATGGACGATAACTTTGCGTCGATTGTGAAGGCGATCATCTGGGGTCGGTGTGTAAACGACGCGGTGCGCAAGTTCCTGCAGTTCCAAGTGTCGACGAACATCACTGCTGTCATCATCACCTTCGTGTCTGCCGTTGCCTCGACGTCCGAGTCTTCAGTCCTGTCCGCTGTGCAGCTGCTCTGGATCAACATCATCATGGACACGTTCGCTGCTCTGGCGTTGGCGACCGATCCTGCGTCCGAGTCTCTGCTGGACCGGAAGCCCGACAAGAAGACGGCGCCTCTGTTCTCGACGGAAATGTACAAGCAGATCTTCTTCCAGTCCGCGTACCAGACCGTGGTGACCCTCATCTTCCACTTCCTCGGCCACCAAATCCTTGGGCTGCATGCGTCGTCCATCGCATCTGTCACACGAACGAACGATCTCACCGTGCAGACCTTGGTCTTCAACACGTTTGTTTTTGCACAAATCTTCAATTCTGTCAACTGCCGACGGCTCGATCGCAAGCTGAATATCTTCGAGGGCATGTCGAGAAACTGGTATTTCATCGTAATCACGCTGATTGGTGAGTTGTTGAATCGCACATTCGTATGACCTTTGTTTCTCACAATCGCCACAGAAATCGCCGTGCAGGTCTTGATCGTCTTCATCGGTGGATCTGCGTTCCAGGTGACTCGCATCGGTGGCCGTGAGTGGGGCATCTCGCTCGCCCTGGGTGTGGTCTCCATCCCGCTGGGCGTTTTCGTCCGGCTGCTGCCGACGGCGCCGTTTGAAAAGGTGTTCGATCGACTTGGGCTGCTCGGACGTGCGCAGGACATTTTGCCGACGACAGCTACTGGCCCCGACAACGTGGGCTGGAACGCCTTCACCGAAGTCAGAGACAACCTCAGCACCTTCGCCAACCTGCGTGGTGGGCGTGTCCGGTCATCCTCGTTTGTTATCAAGAGCCGACCTGCGAGGATAAGCCAGGACAAAGAACGACCTGTGTATGTCTTTTTCGTTGACTCTCCTCTCGATTGTTGGTAATTCTGACTCTCCCTGCAGCTCTCTTCTTGCTATGGCGCCGACGCTCATGATGGGCACAATCGCCGCCAGTCACGCTTGGACGCAGCCAGGCTCACTTTCTGATCCCACGCAATCTGACCCATCCACGTCCTCGGCAGCGTTGTGGGAGGGAAAGCTGCAGCTTCACCCAGCCACGGAGAAGGATGATCCAGCGTACAGGCGCTTCGGAGGCAGCCAGAGTCTTGCCGGCAAGCCTGATCTGTCGTCATCGCCATTGTCGTAGTAGAGTTCTAGATAACGTATTCTAATGCTGATAATACATCTCAGACGCTTGTCTCCTGCCGTCCGCCCAGAACACTGATCACTTGCTCGTAGACTGTGAATACGATTCCACCGCTGAGCTGCAGATCGTTGGAAGTTGGATCACTCGGCTACAAAGAAAAAACATACCACAAGTCGGGTCAGACGAGGCGTTGTTCCTGTCCAGAAACGGAGGATGCCCTCTTCCGTAAAGATCCTGTACGCGCAGTGGAACGAGTTGGAGTACTGCGCCCGCGCCTCCAGTGTCTGCATCCGCGTCTTGATCACGCTGACGACAGCCTCAATACGAGTCACCAAAAAAAACATGGGACACACTCTAAAGGCATCGTCGTGTAAACCGTCACCAGCCCTGCGATCGCCCCAATCCCGAACGTGATGGTCGTCGGCAGCGTTTGGCCGGGCCGGGCCGCACCCTGCGCAAACTGCTTGAGGGTCGAGTACGTCGTGAAGCGGATGGCGGAGTTGGCGCCCTGGCGCATCATCTGGACGCCCAAAAGTAGAGGTAAAGCCGGGCAGGTGAGTAAATGTGCGGAAAAACGGAAGACTGGCCAGGCGCACCACAGGAAACAGGCCCCGGTAGATGCCTGCGATTCCTTCTTGCTTGACGATGGACACGGTGCCGTGCACGAGTCCGCGGTATTGCGGGACGGGGCGTTTCGCGTCGTCGATCAGCTTGGTTCTGCGTGTGCGGTTCTTAGAGCGCCGATGGATGGGGGCAGACGGACGCACTTGATGGTTTCCGAGGGAGTGACTGCTAGGACGGCCTCGACCATTCCCGCACCAAGGCCCGCTGCGATAGTTCTATGTTTGCGGAAATGAAGAGCCGGAAAACGCACCGAGTAGGCTGCGTGCGGGCGAAACCTTGCCCTGTTGAACACCGTCATCCACCTGCCCACACTCTAACATTGGTAGTGTGCGCGAACCTCAGAGTCCGCGAGCGCGTTCTTGAAGTGGTCGTACGAGACGAATCGCACCCCGGCTTTCGCAGCGTTCCCGACCACCAGTGCGGAGCATCCAGAGTAGAGCCCGGTCACGCCCTTGGTCTTGAGCGTCTCCCGGATGATGGCAATGGGGCCTTCTTTCTGGAGGATGCGTCAGAGAGGGCCGTTCTGCCGCCCATCGCGGGACGCGACGCACTTTGCCGCCGAATTGGGTCCGGGTTTTGACGAACTCAGTGGGGTAGGTCACGAATCTAACGAGCTGAAAGCACTGAGTGGGGGTGGGCGGCGAGAGCGGAGACGTACGCCTCAATGGCACCGGCTGTTGTCCCTGCGATCCTGGAATGACAATGTTGAGACGGTGCGAGGCCTTTCTAGAATGAGACAAGATACATGGAGTGGACGGGGTTTTCTTTCTTGAACGGCGCCATGGTGGGGAGACGAGCAGTAGCAGCCAGTATACTTACACTCAAAGCCGAACGTGACTTCGGCCGATGGTCACCGTGCGAAGATCGATCGCGTAGATAGCCTCGAGATCGGGCCCCAGCCAGCCGGTGAGCGGCCGGGGTTTTGGTTCTCACTATGTCTACGAGCGTCCTCCTGCTCAGAGCACCTGCCGGTACCCCTGACCGCTATGAGACCGCTTTCTCTGCGGCGGGACACCTCTGCACCTCGCTCCCGGTCCTTGAAACCGCACTCGTCAACGGCGACGCACTGCGCACCCTCGTGCGCGAGCAGGGCCGCTGCACCTACGACGCGGTGATAATCACAAGCGCCCGCGCGTGCGAGGCATGGGGCGCGGCGGTCGACTCTCTGGAGGACGGGCCAACGCAAGGTCTTTCCCGAGATTGAATCGGCAGATGATGCGGTACTAACAGCTTATTTTGCTCAAGGAACGATGCAGGCGTCCGATTGGACTGGGACGCCGTTCTATGTCGTCGGGAGCACCACTGCGACCGCTCTGGCTGCGATCCGGGCCGCGCATCCGCAATCCCCCTATGCTCCGAGTGACGTGCGGGGGGAGTCGTCGGGGACCAGTCAGGAACTGGCCAGATTTGTGCTGCAGGACCTGGGAGACCCGCCCCATCCCCGCCCGCTGTTGTATTTGACTGGGGACAAGAACCGGGACACGCTGCCTGACATTCTGGCTGCGGGAGGACACCAACTGCACACTGTGCAGGTGTACGAGACGCGCGGATCGTCCAGGTTTCGAGAGGATCTGGACACAGTGCTGAGACTACCAATACATCGGGGTACTTTCGCAGTCGACGCTATGAACGACCGATTCAATCTTTTGCAGGCACTGCCCTGTGGTGGATCGTCTTTTTTGCGCCGTCTAGTTCCGAGTTCACAATACCATTCTTGCAAGAACATTTCGATCTTCGCGGCGTAGATAATCGACTGCTGGCTACACGGATAGCTTCGATTGGACCGACTACGACGGACTTCTTGAGGGAGACTGCGCACCTCACAGTGCATGCCATGGCCAGCAAGCCAACTCCTCAACATCTCCTGGAAGCGATACAAGCGTCGGACAGTGGACTACACAGATAGCTACTTGACTACATGTTGGATAAAGAGGAATACCATCACAGCTTCGCGTGCTCGAGCAAGTACGGAGAATTCTTCTTCGACTTGACCTTGTCGACATCCGCCATAGTAATGGGGCGGCAGTTGTGCGCGTGGTTATATCCCAGTCTGTCAGATGTCATCAGACACGATAGATCGTCGTATTTAAAGCCACGGACCTGTCCCTGCCGTCTTCTCCACCGGGCTTGAAGAACTCGGGCCGGCGTAGCAGCGAAACGACAACCGCGCCACCCAGGCCAACGTTATGCACAAGACCATATTTCCCGCGCGAATCCGCAATGTCGAACAGACCGGGAGCCTGCATAGGGCCGGCCCAGTTTCTGAGTTGCATGGCGATGTAAAAGTGCATGCCGAGACCAGTGGCGCCCAACGGATGTCCCTTGGCCTCCAATCCGCCAGAAGGATTGACGACGTACTTTCCACCGTACTGAGCACCGGGATGAGTGACTGATCTGAGAAAACTCTACGGTCAAATGACATACGGTATTGTCGCCGCGCTCGACCATCTTGTGAGCTTCGTCCTCCGCACACAAACCGAGTGCAGGATAGGTGATCAACTGACGCACAACATTGAGTTCCCAGTAGGCTCTCCAGCGAGCAAGAGAAAACTGACCTCGTTGGCCGCAAAGCAGTCATGTAGCTCGACGACGCCGACGAGGTCTCTGCCCTGCCCATCGCTGAATCCGGCGTCCTGGAATGTCTTGTCTGCGCATGTTTTTGACATGCCATAGCCAACGACTTCCATCGCGCTGTTGCTCTCGAAAGCTGCCGGCCCGTCCGTGGTCAGATTCTGCGCGACGATCTCGATCGCCTGGTTCTCCAACCCATGTGCATGCACAAAGTCTTCGGATGCGACGATACAGCAAGCGGCGCCGTCCTTCGGTGGAAAATGAGCGTTAGTACGGACCAGCATCACTCCAGGCACTCACGGAAGTCGGGCTGCACATGAACTTGGTCAGCTCATTAGTGATCTTGGGAGCCTGCATGACCTGCTCGACGCTCCAGCCGTCACGGAACTGGGAGTACGGGTTGTTGACCGAGTGTTTGTGATTCTTGGACGCAATCTTAGCGAGCGTCTCCATGTCTCCCCCGTACTTCTGGAAGTACTCCTGCGCTCCGTTGGCGAACATGCGGGGCGCACCCGGGCCGTGATTCTCCCCCAGGCCCTGCTTCTCGATCTCCCAGCTGCGGTTGTTGAGGAGCATCGTTGGCGGAGTTCTGTCAGGGAAATTGGTGCCCAGAGAACCTGTGCTACATTCAGAGGCGTCTCATACTCGGAGGACGGGAAATGACGAGACCTGGCTTCATCCGCTCGAAACCAAGAGCCAGCGCGCCTGAGCTGATTTGAGTTGGGGATCTCGTGTGAGAACGCAAGACGTACAGTCGACCTGGCCGTGCTTGACAGCAAGGTTCACCTGGTACAACGCCGTGGATCCGGTCGAGCAGTTGTTGTTCACATTCGTCACAGGGATGTTCGTCAAGCCCAGATTGTACAGTGCCCGCTAGTGTCACCTGGTGAGACAGCGAGTACAAATCGCCTCGTTTGGTTTACCTGGCCAGAAGTAGAGTCCCCGTAGCAGTACCCAACAACAGCCGTCTCAATCGCATCATATGTGATACCTGAATCGCATTGTCAATAAGTACGAGAGCTGTCTCGCCGGCTCGAAGCATACCAGCGTCCAAGAGAGCCTTGGTAGCAGCTTCCAGTCCCATATCCTCCGTCGTCCTAGTCGCTCGAGGCTTTATAAACGCGGTGCACCCCGCCCCGACGATGAACGTTCTGCGGCCTTTTCCCATTGTCGAGAGTCAGATGTGGGGAGAGTAGTAAGATGTTTGGTGAGAGCGGCACTCGGCAGAGGTTATAACCGTGTTCCAGTGGTCACCAGGCTTGCGTGGGTACTTTCATGTTTCCCAGGGCTCAGTGCGGTGACGGTCAATGTCATGATCGGAAAGGGACTCCGAGCGCCCCGTGGGGAAGTCTCGAAGTCGGCCGAGTCAAGTGATGGCACTGCTTGATGTCCTCACCCGCGGACGCTACTACTACTATCGAACAACCTCATCTCCTCTCGCTCGTACTCCAGTCTCAGAGAGCTCTTCAGGACGGAGAGAAGATATGCTCGCGGGCCAACGACCTGTCTAACTCAGCCGCGCAATCAGCTGTGGATGTGCTCGTACTCGACGCGAAAGTGCGGTGGCTCACGGACGGCGTGCTTGAGCAGCTCAAGGTCCTCCATATCTCGCGCAGCCCTTCCATAGATACTGAAGTATTCTACAGCTGACCAAGTACATTGCGAAGACCATCGAGGATAAACGCACGCGCCTGGGTCGACGCGTCCAGGCACGTTCCCTCGCGGCTTCTCAATCCAACGCATTGGATCTGACACGCTCTGCACAGGAGTGGGACTCGAGTCGAACGATACGCTCAGATGCTCTAGACGCTATCCTGGAATCTCTCGGCACGCAAGTGGTACCACCCGACTTCCACCAGCACTCATCCGTGTCGTCCTTGTTTGGAAGCCAGCACTCAGACCACGAGGAACCAGAGCCTCGTGCATCCCAGTCGCCGCGTCACAGTCTCTCCTCGACAATACAGAACGCGAAGAAGCTGCCGCCGGACCGGTCGGCGTGGAAGACCTTGCGCGACTTCGTCGACGACAAGGCAATTGACGACGTCCTGGAGAAGATGGAGGAAGAGAGGAATATCTTAGATGTGCGTATCTTTGCTTAGCACTTCCGAGGCCTCTCACGCACACAACACCCGTTCACAGGACATACTAATTAAGACGGATGAATTCCCGGAGACCCTGACTACAACTGCGCAGAACATCACAGCCTCGCTGCCCGACATGCCTGATCTCCCACCCTTTAATACCCTGATAATGAACCAGGACAACACAATAACTGTCATGGCGCGCCATCTAGAGAGTCTCGCAGCGCACTACGAGCAGATGGCAATAGCCCTGAACGATCATGAATCTGGGGAGCCATTCGGCGAGGAAGATCTGCAAGGTATGCCGCCTAATAATCCCCCTGCCGAGTCTCAAGCTGACGCATTCAAGCCATGAATAGAGACACGGACGAGTTACCTTCCATCATCAAGGAGCTAGAGGATTGTTTGACGGCTATCATCAACGCACAGTACGTGCTAGTGCCTGTCTTGCATAACTACAACTCTCACAAGAACCCAAGTCAAGTGCTCTCCAACTCTCAGGAAGAGTCTCGGAGCAATCTCATCCATCTCAACACCATACTGGACAACCTCGACGAGCTGGGCGAGATCATGACTGACATGCTGCAAACGCAAGAGTCTGTCGAGGTGAGCAGTAATCGTTGGTGCCTGAGCTGCTTTGCTCATCTGTCGTTCGCTTCGAGATCGAATGCGAGGAAAAGTTGGCTATGTTGGACCAGCATCTGCTCACCGTCGAGCATCTGCACGACCGTTACATCGCGTATCAGACGACATTCAATAAGCTGCTGATCGAAATTGCACGACGAAGACAGTATCGCGAGGCCGCAGAGAAGATAGTTGCGGGGATGAATTCCCAATTAGGGGCCATGACAGAGGGTCAGTCCTTTTTTCATGCTTGAGCGGTTCGTTCACGCAGGGGCACACAGAGGAATCTCATGTCCGTGAACGCTTCAATTCGGAACACGGCGCTCATTTGCCAGAGGATCTGTGTCTCTGCATAGGTGATCCTCCCACGCGGTGGGAAGTAGGTCCCTGGAATGGTGAAGAGCCGGAATCTCTACCGAGCATCGATTCGGACTTGCTGCTCCAGGTCTGCCCGGTCGCTTTCCTTGCTGATAGTCTGGTATTGATCGCTCTCTGAAGGCCAAGAACAGACTCGTCGCTGAAGAGAGTGCAGATCCATGACGACAGTTATCTCAGCACATCATGATGGATATGTTTTATGAAGCACAGATAGATGTGATGGATACTCATGTACACCTATTTCTATTTCATACTTGCAATAATCTGATCCAGTTCTCTTGCAATCAACGAATTGGGGCATTTCTGCCGGATAGCTCTAGCAAACAGTGTCGTCGTCAATATGGCACCCAGTCAGACTATATGCCACTCACTCCAGTTTAGGCTTGTCTCCACGATCCTTGCATTCTTTGCCAGCCGATCGCCACTCTCCACACTCGACATACAAATCGGCGCGTCTCGGCGAGTCGCAGCGGGCGACATATTGCACCGCCTCCTTGGGGAACTCGGCGGCCACGAGCTCCCGGACGAAAGGTTCGTAGCCGATGGGGCTGCGTTTCGATTTTGCGAAGGCGTCGATGCCCTCAAAGTCTTTGACGGAGATCAGAGCATGCAGTTTCACATACCAGAACCTATGGCCATGGTCAAACTCAGTGCGATAGACACAAAAGAGACCCATCATACCGCTTGTCTGGCACTTTGAAGTCCGACTTGACTTTGTCAGCCCGTTTCCCCATTCCGTTGACAATGCACGCTGTGATCGTATCGTTGACGCTGAGCCCGAAGAACTGGACCTTGCCGTCGGATTCCTTCTCCAGCTGCTGCTGCAGAGCCAACAAGCGGGCATTCTCGTCTGTCATCTTTGATTCGAATCCGCGTTCCTTGTCTTCTGAGAAAGATTTGTTGGCGGATCGGACAGCAGCAATCTTCGCAGCGGGGTCCTTAGACAAATCAATGGCATGCTCGAGGGAAAGACGGATCGTCGCACAGTAGCTCTTGCCGCTTCCTCCAGAGACAAGACAGCACTTTCCACTCGTCGATCATCAGAGTAGAAGAAATCACTGAGCATCTCCCGGTTCTGCTCTCTGGCATACACCCGCAACAGCTTGCTGGCTGGCTCCAGCTGTGAGCCGCCATCTTCCAGTAGCCGGAAGAAAGAGCCAAGGGACAGCCGTTTCTGAAGATGTAGCAGCACATGGTAGACTTGAATCCTGTTCATAAGGAGACACATCGACACATCGAGTAGAGCTCACCGAGATCAGTGTCCCCGCTGTCGACAGCTTTCACCAAAGCGAGTCTGTCCTCCTTCATGCTCAATAAGAGCGGGACTTGATCGGAAGCTCGAGGTTCGTAATCAAGAAGCTGCCTGGTCTGAGTTCGTGTACACACTGAACGTGTCAAACAAAACATACCTTGGTAGCAAGTCCCGCCCTGCCCACTTCCCAAGCTCGTTTCGCGATCTCCGCATAAGAGACATCAGCGCCGCCCAGCTGCTGGAATTTTCCCACGATGAGCTTGCACACTTCATCGTCCGCACCCAGCTCCGCTGCAGCACCGGTGCCCGTTGCTGACGGACGCGATCGTGTGATCTTGGCACTTGCCCAATGCCTCAGGACTGCATCCGGTTTGAGTGACAGATACGTCGATATCCGCAAAGCAAGTAGATGCATATTCCGCGCCGTAAGCCGGGCGATGAGGTGGCTCGGGGAGGCGTAGATGTATCTGCGCATTCTCCATGTCAGCCGTATGGAAGCCTGAAACGGTGGATAACGCACTGAAGATGTGTCAAGGGCATGGCGACTTCATAGAATCGGACAGCGTTCAGTACTTTGAGAGTCTGTCCCATGTTGACAAAGTCCGTCGGATTGTACAAATCCAAGAAACCTCGTCCAAATTTGGCTGCCTGGACGCGAGTTATCACATCGAGAAAAGTGATATTCAGTGCAAGCTCACATTGAGCAACCGGCGTTGCCAATACGGCTCCCACTCCTGACCGGCAGCTTCAATGCATTCATCCACCGCGGCCGCAAGTTCAGGTCGGATACTTCGGATGTTCTCATCCGCTTTTGGCGATCTTTGCGAGAAACTCTCCCACGCATCATACAGGATAGCTGAAGCCGATGTCGAGCCTGGCCTGAATATAGAAGCGGACGCCGCTTCAGCTCCATCAGTAGATGAAGCCGAGCAAAAGAACAACTTACTCGGCACTTTCTGTATAAGGTCGCAAACGTCGGGGCCAATTATGCGCACACCGTCAGGTTCGGTGACGGCAAAAGTGGGGCCGCTATAGAAATATCTGTTTCGAGTAGTGAGCTTTGTCATGCTCTGCGAATTCAGCTCGCGTACTCCAGAGTTTCCCCGAAGGGACCAACCACAACGACGAGGTTGTCCCAGGTCACGATGATCGCGTCAATCCCACACCATTCAACTTGCCGCACGGGTCCTTCCGCGCCAACAACGGTCTCGACCTTGAATTCCGCGAGAGTTCTCTGGAAATCGGACGATACGACAAGAAGACTACCCGAGAAATTGAGCAGCGCGAGGGATTTCCCATTTGGAGAGGGGGATATGTGTGTAAATGGACCCTGCGACAAGCGTTGGTCGATGGTCTCCAAATTGTCCACGCTGGAGATGGTAGAATCCACGGAGAGTAGCACTTCGACATGTCGCGAGATGTTTAGGTCCGGTGGTATAATGGCCCAAGTATTTGGAGGCTCGTGTAGTCCTGTGAGCCATAAACAATGAGAAGACGCGCGTCGTGTCAACGCCAAAACGAACCTGGATTAGCCAACGCCAGTGGACGCGCACCAGTCCAGCCCTTGACCTCAAGCAAGGACAGAGACCCCGTCAAAGCCACCAAGCCATTCTCGTGTATCCTAGCATCGATGACCCCCATTTCCCCGGCCTCGTTTCCCAGAGAATATTGCTGATACTCGCCCTGTAAGTCGTACAGCCGATACGTTCCTTCTTCATTCAGTATCGCAAGACGCTCGTCCGCGGTCCATCCAAATCGAATTATCTTTCCCTGATCCCACTTGCTGAATGTCAGTCGGGGGCCTCAAAGGATGGCGGAGAAACATCCACACTAAACATGAGGATACCCTCTCCTGCGGGAGAGTATATCTGTATTTGGGCCTTGGTAGAGGGCACAGCAGCTCGCCCGAGTGCAATGAGCTTCGAGCTGTCGCGTAGCAGCGCTGTGAAATGTGAACAACGATGCGTTAATCGACGGTAGGTGCTCTTCTGACCTAATGGTCCACCATAACGGCAACCAGCGACGATGTAGTCATTAAGATTAGGGAGCTTCCCGGGTATCGAATAGAGCTGCTGTCGTTTATAGAACGTACGGCCGTCCTGCATGATTTGCCATTTTGACGAAGGCCGCTCGGTCGACATGTATGCAGACAAGGGCGCGTGATGGCGCAGGGAAGGAACAGTGCGATCATGTTCCCACGCTGTCGTACGTTAATGGCGAAGCTCCAAATTTAGGCGACTCATTCTTAGACTACGATGCCCTCTTTTCGTCAACAGCTGGTCATCTTCACTACTCTCTCACTCGTTTGCTTGTTTTTCTTCTACTCGGGTGCATACACCAACGAATTATGGGAGCGTCTGACTGCCCACCGAAGCCAGTAGTTCATGCATGCTTTTCGATTACTCGGCTCAACTTGTTATAGGAACACCCGACTTTTCGCAGTACGCACCGACGAGGACTTTGTCAAGGTCCGAATTCCCTGTAGATGACTCAATGAAGCGAGTGATCATCTTCGGCGACATACATGGGATGAACGAACCCTTCCAGTGCGTTCGGCATTGATCGGTCTCAACCTCGCTGACCACGGAGACCGCAGTCATCTGTTGAAGAAAGCCAAATACAGACCTGAAGTGGACACACTCATTCACGCAGGCGACATCATCGCAAAAGGGCCCCACAGCGGCTCAATGGATGTGATCGGGTATATGGCTGCGCACAACGTCACCGGCGTGCGCGGAAATCACGACCAAAAGATCGTGGAATGGCGCGCATGGCAAGACTGGATCGCTACTCTTCCCGGCGGTGGTCGCTGGCTCAACGATCTCTACGCTGCTTTGGACCTAGCCGAGCCTGATGATCCGGAAGCGTGGGCGGTGAAATACTGCAAACACGGCGACAACAAGCGGTGGGCACAGCGAATCCCTGCTGGGTGGAAGATGCTGGGAGATCATTACCGCATCGCCAGGGCCCTGACGACTGCCCAATACGACTACCTGCGCTCTCTGCCCCTTGTGCTTCATGTGCCAAGCGCACACACGTTCATTACTCATGCGGGACTATTACCTTCGGACCCTCGCTATCGGCCGACCCACTCACGTCAGCCGCTGGCCCATGTACCTTCTATCCCTACAGCCTGGCTGAAAAGTGGAACGGGGAGTTACGGCAAGGAAGCCGATTCGGATTCCATTGAGATGCTGCGGCACTTACAGGAAATCGCAATCCTTCGAGACGTTCCGCAGAACTCCGATCCCTGGGTGACGCTGAACATGCGCGGTGTTCTGGACGACCATTCGATAACTAGAGACACCGATGGGACACCTTGGGCGGAGATATGGAACCGTGACATGGAGATGTGCGCGGGGTTCGGTTCCGCAGCACATGGCAAGAAACTGCCATGTCATCCCGCTAGCGTAATCTACGGGCACGCTGCTTCACGGGGGCTCGATCCCAAGCGCTGGTCTACAGGACTAGATTCTGGATGTGTGAGTGCCACATTCGTCAGGAGAAGTCCCGAGTTCTCACGCCACCCAGGTCAAGGGCAAGCGACTGTCAGCGATGATAATCGAAGCCAAGACATACAAACAATCCTTCGATGCGGCTAAAGCCACTGTCCCATTTGGCATAGGCAGTGCACGTCTCCTCAGTGTGGCCTGCTAGAGATAGCTTTGAATCACTCAACTTCTTGTAATACTCGCTAACTATTTGTATACCGATCCGTTGTAATTATAGAATCAGCAGATGAACAACAATGAAGTATCCTGGGCGGCCTTCAGTCTCCAGGCACAGACAGGGTACAGTGAACAAACTTACCATGGGATGAGAGCTGGACAGTTGCGGTTTCTGAGAATATTTGCTGCGCAAGATATCACGCAATGAGTTCAACAACTGTTGATAACTCTGATTCTTGTTCTGGGTTAAAGCAGTCATGAAAGCCTAGCGCAGTTGTCACCCGATGCCAGCCACCTCGAGCGGAGAACTTACATAACTCATGGCCCCGGTCGCCTGGCCGGCTTCGACTGCATCAGCACTCGTCTGTTGTTCACGTCAAGAAAGAAGGCAAGAAACGAGGAACAACCGGTCGAACCTGGGAATCCTTGCACCCAGAAAAGGAGATGGCATCAGCAGGACTGGTTCTCGTCGCCCGAGAGTACTGCTCCGCCTTTTGCCCATTGCCCGTCGCGGTCTTGAACAATCCCATCGCCGAGGAGAGTGCTCCACCGATATCTCCACCAGCATAAGCGGTCAACGTATTCTTCAATCCAGTGCCGGCTTGAGCCATCAGATTGGGTTCCTTGAGTTTACCCTCCGTCGAATACTGATCCAATTATTGTTAATAGAATGGCACATTGGAAGGGGATCGGCGACTCGCCAGGTAAGGAAGATCTTCCAATCAAGTCAGAATGTGAAGTCATGTGAATATGAGCATACGCACCCAGCACCGATCCCGAATGACAGGACTGTTTAATATCGTAAGCTGGAAGCCAAAGCACACAGACAAACAACTGACGTCGAAGATTGCAGTGAGTCGACAGCCTGCCGGAAGAGGCCGAACCATGATTTCGTGCAGCAACTGCAAAAGGATTGTCAGGGCGGGTCGAGAACAGCTAAAAGCGGAAATCACATCATCAACAATGTGCCCGTTGTCCTGGAAGTCGACAGGATAAATGACTACGGAGATGAGACTGTGCCGCACATCGTCCAGTTGGCAAACGGACCTTCGTCTTGACCATCCTCCTCGTCGCCGTCCATGTCTTTCGTTTGACCGCCATGACCACTGTCTGCTCAGGAGTCAACCCAAAGGTTATAGGGCAGCGGACTGAGCGTACAATGGAAGAAGAGCGAATCATTGGGAGCAGCTCCTCTGACCAGCCATTGCATCGCATTGAGCTACATTCAAGGGTCAGAATGGTCGTTCTAGGCGGCGGTCGTCGACGCACGATGTTCTCCTTATTGGGCACCTGCTGCGGGTTTTGCGAATCATCAGTCAGCATCACGATGTCGTCCATCCGGTACCCAAAGTGATCTGACATTCCATGGGCGATCGACGGTGAAATCTTAATTATCACATACCGCATAGGAAGCGCTGGATGTTTCGAGCGTCGTTGATACATCCCCGCAGCTCAGCGGATTGCCCAAAGTAGTTGATACCGATCTAAATGGCACTTGATTCAAGACGCCGAGAGATAGAGCATTGGGACAACTCACACACAGAGCCTTCTTCTTACCCGTCTGGAAACAACGTCAGCAACTGGGGTTGAATAGATGGGTGGTTGTAACGCACACATTGTGAATACTGGAAGTAAGGCTGCTGGCCACCCTGGGGACCATAATTCTGGTATCCCGAAGGTGGCATAGGTGGTGGGCCAGGGGGAGGAGCATAGGACGACTGGTGATGTGCGAATCTGAGGAAAGTTCCCGTGAGCGAGATGAATATCCCGATTGAACCTGCGAACGAACGGAGGTGGCCCAGAAGGAGGCGAAAATTGGCCTGGATAGCCACCGCCCTGATGATGAGGCGGCGGGTGTTGTTGATGATACTGCTGTCCAGGGTAACTGCCTCGGTTGACAGGGGGCGGGGGAGGTCCCGACGGAGGCCCGTAGCTGGATGGACTTGAATTCACGGAATCGCCCTGCAATTGAAAATACCCTTACGAGCCGGATCTAGAGAGAAACAAATGAGCATGGCGATCGTGAGATGTGGTAGACGAACCCCGGGAATGGCGGTCCCCCAGATCTTTAGATGCGGAGTACATGTCAGCGTACGAGAAACAAAGAAATGATGTCGGTGTCTACCCGTGAGGTGGAGGCCCCGGCGGAGGACCGTAACTGATGTAGTCAGTGCGAGTAACCTGAGACCGGGGAGCACGCACCCATGAGGAGGAGGGGGGCCCGAGGGCGGCGCATAGCTCGGGTTATATCCTCCGCCCGGAGGCCCGTATTGGCCTCCAGGAGACGATCCGTAAGGATTACTGAGAGAGCGGTCGGCGAGGCGGTGTAGAACGGACGAGTCTTACGCGTTCGGGAAGCTGTTCAGATCGTAAGTCTCGGCATCAAATAGCCAGCGCCACAACACGCACCCTGGTGGAGGTGTTCCGTATCCTTGGTTGTTGTTGTACATATCGAAAACGATGCGGAATGAGAGCACGAAGTGAGGGAAAGTAGACAAGAGTCTCAGTGGCTGTGATGATTGAAAGGCTACAGCAGCACAGCCTCCCCGGCTGTCAACCGCTTGTCATCGCTGTCCAGCTGGCTCGAGCCGGTGTTTGCAAGGCGTCGTTCATAGCCGTGAAATGCACAGAAAGGAGTTTCACGCAACTTCATCGAGTGTATTCATCGATATTTCACAAACAATTCGAGTCAGGTATTCCGCGCATTCGGTCAAAGCAATCTGATTCTCAATCATACCAAGACATTTCATCTCAGTATCAGCGACAAGGCCGCTAAGCCCACCGCAGCTTGTAAGTTCTCCCGAAGGTCAGCAGTCATAACCGGCGTCACACATAACACACGAGCAGTCGACAAGTACTGACATACTGCAATCACTTACTCACACCTCGGTCAAAGTTACCCAGTCATTGGCGGCTGGGCACCATAAGCCTCCCCCTCCCCTTGTCCTTCTCCAGCTGTTCAAGCGGATTCAAAAATTCGGGAAACTGTGCCAACTCAGGACTTGACCATATGGACGCGCCAAAGCAATCTGCTGTACCAAGAGATCCGGCCTACCATCAGGTGACCTGACCACGTGACCGTGACACGGCGCGAACTCAGGTTGTATCGGCGAACGAAGTCGGTCTGAGGCGTTCACTGGTGAATGCATGGTCGACCGACAGATAGCGATGCGGATCAAGATCGCCCCTGAACACAGTTTACGAGTCCATTCCCACTCTGTCGACATCGTGCAAACATTCCCTTTATCAATTCCTTCCAAGTTTTGTCGAATCGAAGAACAACGATGTAGGACGCAGTCGTAGAAAACGTTCGAGACTCAAGTCTTAGGGTTTGACGTAGTAATCATACTGAGTAAACATCCAGACAAGCGATGTAGCTGAGAGTGGGTGTAAACCAAGGTAGGGAAAGAGATGGCAATTCTCACTGGAAACAATCACAGGACTGATGACACCAGGGTTGAGCGTCGCGGTCCTGAATATCAGCAGCTCGGAGCCAAAGTGTCCGAATGCGATGAGGTACGTGAACAGGGCCATATCATAGGCACTGACAAAAAGGGGATAGGCATCAGAAAAAGAGGACAGCGAAAGCGGGGGCGAACACACATCTTTTCTCGCAGGTGGTATGCAGCATAGAAGCGCACAACAGCCGAAGTGAGCGTCCAAACTGCGAAAGTTCGCGCTTGAAGTGCCGTGACTGTCCCTGAGGTGAACTCTATTGTGCGATCGAGCAGGAAGCTGTGATACCCGGCTCAGTCGAGGACACGTTGTTGTAGATTCGTTTGGTCAGCTTGAGTGTAACCAAGTTTTGAATGCTATTGAACACTGCCATGACGGACACCAGGAGCTGCCACGAGGGAAGCCAGCCATCATCTTGAGGCAAAACTGGGGAATGCCTATGAGCTTAATCTCGGATCGAGAGTGGAACGCAGACAGGAGGCGAGCCAGGACATGGTAGAACAGGAAAAGGAGCGAACGAGTTGCGCGTACGTACGTAACAACAACTGTTCTGGTGGCCAGTCCCACATCGGTGTCAAAAGTTTGGCGCGTGTCAAACCGCTAGAAATGGAAATTCGGAACGAGGCTGACCATGTCTGCCACAGTCCACAATGCGCCTGGGTCGTTGCGCTCTGTGGGCAGTAATGCCAGTCTCAAAAGTACGAGCAGCCTCACTCGCAAGCCGAGGATAAGGGCCCGCTCCAAGACGGTCAGCTCCTCGACACCGGAGGGGGCCGCTGACATCCTCCCGCCCTCTCCTCAACTTCCGGGATACCTTTTCGGGGGGCAGGTCGTCACAGAGCCTGCTCAAGAGCCTGAAGCTAGTACTAGCAGCACTCGGCCCGTACGTGACTTGCATCATCCCCAATTCACACTTTCTCATCGTCTACAGGTCTACCAGGCTCCTCCGTCGGCCTTTTCGCGCATTCCCTCGGTCCCTCAGCTCTACGACCTGGGCCAGCGCGACTCTGTCCTCACACACGGATCGGGGTTCACACAGTCTGGTGGATCATCTTCCTTGTACCCAGCATCGTCTTCGACGGCCTCTGGGCCACCGTCTCCGCGCTCCTTGATGTCCCCGCAACTGGAATTCGAGTACGACGCCGAAATCGAGTCCCAAGGATACAATCCTGACGATGTGTCTGATCGACTGAGGCTGCTAGTCAAAAACACCTACTTCTTGCCCCCAGCACATTCTAAACCGTCGTCTTCGGACCTGCTGCCAGTGGGAGCGAAGCGAGGTGGTTCCGGCACCAAAACACCGACGACACCGACGTTCTTCGATTTGTTTCGCAAGACGCGCTCAAAACCACCCACACCAACTACTGCCGCCCAAACGTTTGACTTCCGGGCTCCCGCGCTTAGAACCACGTCCGATGGATCTGCAGTCACGGGCTACCCACCCCGGCGGCGCTCGGAATCGCAGACCCCCATGGGAACCAGGAGCCCATTGCCCAACGACCCTTCGGGACGAGTAGTCGTCGTGCGGGAGAAGATGGGTGATCTCATTGCCGCTGCGAGACAAGCCGAAGCGGAACTGAAAGCCCGGGGACCACTGCCGATATCAGCATCCCAGACTGGTCACCGAGCTACGGATGTTATTGACCCGACCGACGCAGTGGATCTTCCGCCCCCTTCCTCGGAATATCCATTCGCCGTGCAGGCTAGTGCGTTGCATGAGATGGGTGTGCAGGACTCGGTCGGCGCTGCTGTACTTGCGGAACGGCTGCCTCCTCCCTCATCCCCAAGTCCTGGAGACGACTGGCGGCGCGCATTGTTACATGCTGCGGTCGACCATTCATTGAATGGGTCGTCTGTGGTGCAGACCACGAGCAAGCCCATGTCACCCACCTCGGGTCTTTCCAGCCCGCTGATGTCACAATCGTCTGGGCACTCCATCTCGGACTCGTCGAGTGCACCCATTTCTCCGGGAAGGCTGATTGGCCAACGGATCATATCGCCGCCCCTCACTGACAACCGAGCGTCGCTTAGTCCCAGCCCTGCACCCGAGTCTTCGGACAGACGAGACGATGGTCTGATGCCGCCCCGACCCTCGAGTGTCCTGCCACGGCGATCTGAGACACCGTTGATGCCTTTGACCCCGCTGGCTCCGCCGCCAAGGAAACAGCTGGTGAACCCAGTGTACTCGCTGTCCCAGACCAGTCTCCCTCTCGACGGTGCAGCATCACGTGAATCAACTGCTACTGGCTCTGGCCGGCTTTCGGACAGCTACGAGGCCGGTATCCGAAACGCTCTATTCAGTCCGACACTCCAGAGCCGGTCGCACTCGTCGCTGCGGCAGAGCATGGAGAGTGATATGCATTCGATGACCGATTCGACCGTCGAGTTCTATTCCGATGCGGCTCCAAGTGCTGGATCGGATCGACAACCTTCGATGTCCGTCTCGATGTACAGTCAGCCCTCGCCGACGACATCAGCCTTCCAGGACGCGATCAATAGTGCACATACATTTCCCCGGAGGTCGCCATCGCTTCGTAGCCACAGTCTGGACCAGTTCCGGCCTACCATGTCCTCCAGCCCTTCACCGCGTGACAGTGCAGTTTCGCCGCCACCGCGGACATCATCCTCGCTCGCGAACGTGATCACCCCTCTCTCCCCGCCTCCGAGGACACGGGCTTTCTCACTCAAAGCCCAACGGCCTCCAAGGTCACCGCTGAGACCGCAGTCGCCGTCACCGTCACCTCCCGTGCCACCAGCAGCGCCGCAACCGGTGCAAGAGATCCGCATCATGGACCCGGGGCCATCTACACCCCCATTACCAGAGTCCGCCCAATCTGCGACGTTCTCGACACTATCACTGGAGATCCCTCCCTATGGCTATGGGCTTGGCAGCGGAGCCAGGTCAGCGCCGCCTGGGACTCCCCCTTCCTTTTTCGACTCCATCCAGCGGATGCCCAATGCTATGGACGAACTCGAGTCGTCCGACGACGAGGACAACATATATTATGATGGCATCAGCTCCTCTCCCGAACAGACCCATGCGCCATCGTCCTGGCGCACTGCGGCGAACTCGACTGCAAGCGTCAACTCGATTGGTCTTACGCGTCTGGGCAATCATTCCTCGCCGTACATCAGCCGCTCAGCCGACGGCCACGAGCCAGTCGGCAACATCGCGTCCACCTCTTCGTTTTTCACGGAACGAATTGGCGGCAAATGGAGTGACTCGGGCCACGGACCGCCGACCTCGACTTTCGACTTTTACCAGTACACGCAAGCGACCAAGATCGCCTCGTCTGTCGACCTTCCGAGCACCGTCATCGCAGATCAATCACGGCCAAGCGACAAGAAGACCCAGGATTCCGTGAGACGGCTGGACGGAATGCTTCTGCAACACATGGAGGCAGAGAAAGACACTCTCCGCAGAATGGCCGCGTCGCTTGCCTCGAAAGGGAAAGAACGGGCCGTTTAAGTTCTCCACTTCACACCCATATATCCATATATCACCTATAACCGTACTGTACCACATACCCAGCTACTGCTCCAAATACACATTCCCTCTGCCAAAAACGGCAACTTCATTTCCAAATGGGTTTTTGCGTGTCACACAGCTCCTTTCGTCATGGTCTCCTGCCGGCGACTCTTCGCCCCCGTTCACGAGGCCATCTGACCTCTCGCGGCCAAGGCAGACCGCATCTCTTCGACTTCTCGTCCATGCCGAGACACCCAGCGAGGCTTAAAAGGCCGCCGCTCAGCAGCCAGCCTCCCATCCAAGAATGCAGCTCCTCACTCTTGTACTCGCACTGCCCATGGCCCTCGCGGCCTCAGTCGCCTACGACCAAACCTACGACAGCGGCTCGACCTCGCTCAATGACGTCGTCAGTAGCCCCCCATCACAGTGTATCCTCAAAGGCTGATCGCGCTTACTACCCACTGCCAGGCCTGTTCGGACGGCCCCAACGGCCTCGAGACCCGCGGCGGCTTTTCAACGTTGGGCCAACTCCCCAAATTCCCCTTCATCGGCGCGGCCGGTGCCGTCGGAGGCTGGAACTCGCCCAGCTGTGGCACTTGCTGGCAGCTGACCTACGCTCCCACCAAGAAAACGATCAACATTCTCGCTGTCGATCACGCTGGCCCGGGCACATTCAACATCGCCCTTGAGGCAATGAACGTGCTCACCAACAACCAAGCCACCAAATTGGGTCGCGTGGATGTGTCCGCTGTCCAGGTCGCCGCGTCGGTCTGTGGCTTGAACGTCTGAAGCGTCCGGAGACAAGTCGTGGATCATTTAATTGGCACAAGACGTGTAATAAATACAAAATAGTCGATAAATGAGTGTCGTAAATGCATGAGATGAGCACCAGCTCGCGTGAATTAAAATGATGAAAATGCATGAGTGATCATAGAGGAAATGAGTGGCATGATAGATAGCAATGAGAGCATGAAGGAATAGCGAAAGAGAGACAGGGCAGAGAAGCGTGACGGTCATGCAGCAGGAGGAATGATCGATAATGTGCAAAAAAATAATGTACAATAAACAGATAAATGGAACCGGGAGATCACACTCATTCCTCGAGCATCATTCTCTCCACAGAGCCACCGTTAGGTTGTGCCTTTGCCCATTCAATGGCGAACGATGCCGCCTTGAGGAACTTCTTGTGTGCGTACTTTCGGCAAACATATTGCCGCGAAAAGTTGCGTTCTGCCAGCTTGTCCACGAGCATATCGTGCCCTGGAATCAGCTCTTCTTCTGTGTAGCCCGAATAGAAAACGAATGCTTCATTCTGGAATGGAATGAGTGACACCTTCATAGACAAGTTGTACAGGAAACTCACCCAGTCGCCATCAAGCATCCGACGTGCAGAGTACATCCCGACCGCAGCGATCAAGCTTGGCTTCGCGCATAGGAACCGATGATCCAACAACGTGACTTCCGTCAAGAACTTGCTCAGGGTTCGCGTTTGTCTGTCATAGTCGTCTGCCTTGCTGATCTTGCGCATCCAGCTGTACGGCGAGCAGTAGTGCGAAACGCGGAATTCGAGGGTCTGCAGCATTATCCGTTCGCCCTTGAGAATCTCCTCCTTGCTGTATCCATTCTCCGTCATGAACACGAACTCCTCCACAGACGGGGCAAGGATCTCCTCGTACTTAGCCGCGATGAACATAGCTGTCACACCGACGAGCTGCAGCTTGATCAGGGAAACCGTTCGTTGTGTCAAGAAGCGGTCAACAATGTTGACCGCTATCCACAACGTTTCGGGGAGCATGTGATATCGCAGGTGAACTTGTAGCAGCCAGTCAACAAGAGTTTGGCGCATCGCCCAGGTAATTTCGTTCTGGTGGTCCATGTAATTGGAAGCAGGCATCATCTTTTCCTGCAGACCCAGTAAGTCATCAACTTCGAGGATTAGATGAGAAACATACCTCGAGATCGCTCATATATTCGAAAATATCTTCAGCGTATTCCGACACCATGGTCGTGTCATAGATGTCAACGTCATCTTGGAAGGTATCGCGGACAGCCTGGACCTCCTTCCTGTATTGAAGAGCGCGTTCAGGCGTAATGTCCGGCCATTGTCGAGGTTCGACAGGAGCAAGTGCAATGGCTTCATCAAGATCATCATCATCATCATCTTCGAGCTCGTCCTGGACGTCCTCTTCCTCGACGACAGCCATATCCTCGGCGTGTTCTTCGTTTTCGTCATCGGCCGCGGCCGCGTTCTGCGCCGCGATCGGCTCATACTCGACCTCCATTTGCATCGCGTCGGCCTCCGCGTTCTCCAGCTGGTCCACATGATCATCATCGTCGATTGCGACGGGCGGGACCTGCGCGCGCGTGGACTTTCTTTCAGGCAGGGGTTGGCGCGGCACGCGACTGGGAGGGCGAGTGTTGGTGGCATGGTTGACTGGAGGTTGGGTCCGTCCGGGACCCAGAGGAACGCGTTGAGCAACAGCAATAGCGGCAGAATTCGAACGGAGACGTTTCATGCCCGTCTCTAGTTTGTCCTTGTCGGTCCCAGCAACTGATTTACCAAGCGCGTCCTAGGCGACATAAGCGAAAAACCGCCAAGGGCGAGGAAATTCACGTACCTTTCTGTTCACAGCTGTCGTAGTGACCTCGCTGAGGACGGTGCGTGAATGGGCGGCAGGCAGCCTTGCCATAATGTCCTTGGCTGTGAAGCGAGACGCGCCAGAGGGAGCTATGCCAGACGACTGGCGGGCGTGTCTGCTCGTTGCGTTCTCGTCTGCTTTGGTGCGTGGAACTGGGCGGGTGCGCGTGGGCATCTGGGGTAACGGTGAGAAGAAGACAGTGGCAGGAAGGTCGCGACTCACGCGGATGTTGGTGCTAGCCATGGAGATGATGGGGATGGAGAAAGAGAGAGTGGAAATGGTGGATGTGGAAGGGAATAAACTTGCGGTAGACAATTCACAGGCCAAACGAGAGCGTTTGAAACCAAAGTGTGAATACAAGCGGAAGCAAAGGGCGCTAACTCTTCCAACGACCACGTGACCCGGTCCTAACCTCGACCAACAACGCGAAGGTCACTCCCGTGATCGCGGTTTTCTATCAAAAATGATGGGACAGCGTCATTATGACATCAATACATTTGATTGTTTCCAGCGTCTCTGTGGGCCCTCTTCTCGCCAACTGACTGATCTACTGTCTATTCTACTGCTATCAGTCTGCTGTGGCATTCCTATTCCTGCCCTGTGCGCCGAAACTGAGACTTCGAGAGGTGCATTGAGTCGTATTCTCTCTCCATCGCCGTCTTCCGGGATACCCAAAACTGAGCCAGGCGCCCATCCTTGTGCGACAAGCAGACGATGTCCGATATTGTGCGAAGGAAGCGGTATGGGGGGCTGAGAAGCGGTTGTTAATGGTGGCGGCTGCCATGATTCGTCGGAGACAGTCGTAACATTGGAAGGGGCGTTACGAAAGTCCGGTTGTGAAAGCGGTGCTGAGAGAACCCCTGGTGCGTCGTGACGAAATGAGGTGTGCATTGAGCGCCGAATAGCAGAGCGATCTGTGTAATCTGTTGTAGCCTCGCTGCTGCTAACAGCTCTGCCGGACGCCAGTAATCGCTGCTTGAGCTGAGAGAGAGCCTTTCTCGGGTCCCGTGAGCTGCCAAAATCCACAGTACGAGTCGAGATGCTCGGTTCCGTCGCCGTTCTAGGGCGAACAGTTTGGAATAGGGCCACTTCATTATTGCACGAGCAGCATAGATCGCACGGACGGCTTCCTGCGTGGAGGTGCACGATGAACGTCGTGCTCCCAATGGAGATGGTGTCCAAATGGTGGAGTCTGCGCGGGACACTGGCAACTCGAGGAGGGGATAAACGAGCGGCACTGGCTGCCGAGGAGGATTGGAGAAAAGTGCCGTGTTTGGAACCCATGTCGACAAGATGCCACGCATGATTGTCCATATATGCAGTCGCATGCAGTTTAGACACCTCCATTTCCTTGAGTCGCACGCGCGGGGTATCCTGGGATGGCGCAACATCCCTCCCAAACTGCAACTCGTTGTATCCATCGGAGATGACGAGACTTTGCTTTCTGGGCAGAACGGCGGTGCGCGAAACGATCAGTCGAAAGACAGGATAATCGGGCTTGGTGGCCACGGTTTCGGCGGGGGTGGACAACGAGCCGGATGCTGACTCGTCCGCCGGCCATTCCAACGAGGCGTCGTAATCGGCGGGAGCAGAAGGACCGTTTTCCGGAATTTCTCCAGATTCCAGAACCATTGAGAAGCGACTGCAGCCTGCCAAACGATAGAACAATGTCGCTGTTGCGAGTTAGCAATGAGTAAAAGTGGAGGAGACGATGATCCGGCAACTGCCGGTCTGTCAATGCCATCTGTCAAATGGGCGCTCAGGTCACAGTGGCAGTATGAGTCACAGTCTCGGCCTGAGAGCGCGCCCACGTGCAGCGCGGTAACTTTGAATCAACTCTCCTTCCCCGCGTCGCGCGTACTCCGCGTAGACCATCTTTAACGACTCTTCTCTAGCACTGGAGAAGTTATGGACTCCTTCACCGAGGTATCGTGTCATTGTCACAGAATCCAGGGACACTCCGAACTAATCCACTCCACAGGAACACAGTCAATTATTACTCGCCAAAGAGTGGCTGGTAAAGAACAAAGACTCGACCATATATCTTTTCGTTCGTTGGGACATTCATTCGCCTCTCTATCTAGGCTGAAATCCGAAGCGCAGAAGTGTCATTTCTCGAGCGTGGACGCCTCCTGCTTTATCATGATTTCAGACACGAGGACTGTCTGGACAGAAGGTGGATCTGGATTTCCCCCGAGTATTTTTGACGGACAGAATCTTCAGTTTTGAACGGAAGACAGTTCGCTCGTCGCTGGCGTAGTTGCAATGATAATGCCCCGGAGTTCGACCGAGATGACGAGGAGGCTGAGTGGCGCATCTCGAACCTTGAGCTTCTTTCCAAGGCGCATTCTCTGGATGGAATTTCCGAGCTGTATTTCGACTGTGTTGAGTCAAACTATTCTGTGGGCGCTCCGAACTACGTCTTTGCCGATTTTGTTCATTCGGTCCCTGCCAGGATTTTGCTTTCGAGCTGGAATGTGACGCCTTCAAATGGAGATGGGAGACATGCTTACTGGGCAGCCGATTATCATCCGAGATGATATCGAAACACCTGGTTCTGCCCTTGATCAGCCTCAACCATCTGGGGTTTTCATCTGCCGTGCATGACTGTTCGGAATCAGATCTGGAAAAGGCCAGCTTTGCGCTATGAAAGCGAGTTTTATAATCTGACGAATTCTGCAGGCCGTCGACAAAGTGGGGCGGACCGCGAGAAGGACAGTAGACACCCACATTAAAAACGCGATGGCGAAGCCTCGGATGGTCACTGCCCTGCGCAGAATCACAGCCATGTTCAATTTCCTGCCCGATCTGCGTGTGTACACGTGAGGACTCTGACGTTTCCAACTGAACACGTCCACAGCACCGATCCAATTGAACGCCGAGAAGGCCGCCGAACTGGAGCTGCGCGTGCCTGCTGCTCGTCCCGCTGTCCGCGAGCCATCACCTGCTGCGACTAAGCGCCAGATCCCAGCTCCGGCTCCAGATCCTATCGTACTACTGTCTTTGCCCATCCCGACGCTTATTCATTCGCTTTTCGCTAGTCAACCTCTTCGCCGATATCTGCAGCAGCGCCTGCTGAAGCGAGTGGCCGCCCAACGCAATCTCGACAAGATTCGCCAGTCAATATGGATTCGGACTCGGCCACGGAGCCCGACTCTGATGAAGAGGCTCCTGCCACGGAAGGGAAAGGAGCATCAGCTGTTTCCTCTCCACCGGCCCAGCGCCGGGATGATTCGGCTGTCCCCTCTAAGCCCTCACGAAAAGCCCAGACACCGTCATCGGACAGCGAGACTTCTCCAGCCCGGCCCGCCAAGAAGGCCAAAGCCGCGCCTTCGACTTCTGACAGCGAGGTCGACGGCAAACCCATCAAAACGGCGAAACGTGGCACTCGGCAACCACTTAAACGCGGTGGAAAGCGTTTTTAGAGACAAGATAGTTATACCCTCGCTACTGTTGCTACAAATGCCTATCTTCCTCGGCCCCTCGTTGCATCCCACTGCTCTACTCGATGCTGATCGCACATCGGCCGGAAAAGATTGATAATGCGTCTGGATTCTGTGATCATCTGCGTGTAAATGATAAATGGGAGGGGAGAAGTGGACGCTGAGTTGACTGCGACTTACCGCCTGTGGGCACCGGCAATAGCCTTGATGGGCGTGGGCCATGCTTAAGCACGATCAAGACTATGCAGTGCAGATGTGGCTGGCTTACCTGGCTCTGCAATCAGGCTGCATGCAGTCGAGCCTGTCACCGCGGTAAATCACATCGAAACATCCACAGCCTCGGTACAGGTTTCCATGGCTAGGTTCCAGAATCAGAAACCGTTCTGTAACGAAAATGACACCCACTATTCTTGCTGGCACATGAGAAAGGGCTGTGGACGCACAGGAGAGGGTTGATCCCTGTTGGACCTGCGTTGTCCCTACTTATACTTCTCTTTCCTTCATCGGGCGTGTCACGAGGACGTCTAGATCTGTGGACACAGACACTCGCAAGCGTCTCGTTATCTCTATCAGGAACGATCCAGATCAACCGGGTCGGGATTCGAATAGCTGGCAATCCCTTAACCGGCACACGACCGAACTTTTCGTGACGCCCCCGCGATCGCGAACAGCGTCCACTCGACGGCCAATGAGAGCGTCGCGTAAAGCTCACCAGATCGCGCGAGTCGACGACCAGGACCCGACAGCAAGTGAATTCTTGGTTAGTCCACGCCACATCCCGAAGAACATGGCGCATATCAATAGACTTTGGAGTACGCTCTTCATGGCGAATCCCGTGCATAATTCATTTGCTGTGTGGCAGACTCGGTGGCGAAACATGAGCCATTATTACCGTTCCCGGTCGAAGATCTGATCAGGTCCCGTCCACGTGAGCACACGGTGGGATGCTTGTCTCGAGCGGAAGCACAACTGGGTTGCTCGAAATCCCCAGCCTCCGTATCTCATCGCGAAGATCACATGGCAACCGTTAATGACCTCAGGCCTGTCGAGATAGAAGGACAAGGGGAGATTTTGCCACCGCTTGAAAGCCCTGGGAAGACTTTTCAGACGACATTCCGGTGGTGGGTGGATCTGGGGGCGGTCCAAGCGCTGCAGGGCGCCCGCCGAGACTCGCCATCACATTGACGCCATCCAGATCATGTGACGTAAATTCTTCTTTCTTGGACGCATCATGGCAGAGGACCCATTGGCTGCAAGTTCCAACACCGTCTTTCGCGAGCCAGTCTGACCCTACTCTAGGACGCTCTCACTGATGCTTTCACGTCCACTCCGTCATTAGTCCCCGAGCCGGAGCCTGCGGTGGACGTAGATGCCAGCCCGGCTGCTGTGCCTGCCGCGCCACCGTCCGAAGGCGACACCGTCCCCCCAGCGTCAGACGCAGATACTGACCACGACGAATACGACTCCTACCTCACGAAATGGCGCGCCGAATCCGCCGAGCAACGGGAGAAAGCAGAGAAGGAACGCGCCAGATGGGAGGACATCCGTGCGGCAGAGAAGCAAGAGGGGTCTTCTAGGCAGGGCCAAAGTGTCGTGAACGACGGCTGGGAGTCAGTAGGACAGCTCGGACAGAGCTCCGTCTCCTCTCCTAGTCCCGCTGATGTCCGAGACCTGGTCACTGGAGAAGCCCAGGGAACCGTGCGTGGTTCCGTGCGTCTTCTGACTGACTTGTGCTCATGGCGTCACCCCCAAGAACGTGGACTCGATAAGCACCCCTCCGTCTATGCCGGACACCGGAGACGATTCGCAGAAGTGGGAAAACGTGTCGTCCGGGCTCGACTCATCGTATCCCTCGCTGTCGTTCCCGGATACCGCTTCCCCGCCTGTTACGACTCCTCCAAAACCCGTCGAATCAGCAACGCTGGCAGTGTTCGATCCTTCGCTCTCGACCCGGACCCGCGTGACGGCCCTTTTCTCCGCTCTGGCCATCAACCTGCTGCTGCCGTTCGTGAACGGCGTCATGCTCGGATTCGGGGAAATATTCGCCAAGAACATCGTTCTGGAATATTTCGGCTGGCGGCCTCTCGGACGGCCAGGATCGACAGCTGCATCGGCGGGCATTAGAGCTGGCTTGCGTCGATCGGACAAGAAATAATCCATCTTCTGACGTAGCTATTATTGTACCATCTTTACTTCTCTCATACATCACAGGCGAACATTCGGAGGCAGACTCCTCATGGCCTGTCGGACCCCGAGATCGCCCAGGACATCTTCCGCTAGATACCCCGCTGTGAATCCCTCGTCGAGCAATGCATGTAACATCATGCTTACCTCCTCCGCCGACCCTGAAGAATGAGATTAGTCCCAGCAGTATATACTCGAAGGGAGACAGTCACTCACGCGTCGATGAGCAGTGTGCGGTGATACTGGAAGCTCAGTCACTTGACGTGGTGCAAGATTAACTGGCTCGGGGAGACTCACATGCTCGATGAATCGCCCCATACCTGCATGGGAGGCAGTGTGCCACGGTTGAACGGGTCAGATCGTACAGGCAGCAACAAGCCGCACCAGTTTGTGTCAACCCACGGCCTCCAAAGATCTCGGACAGATGAGCCTGGGTTTGCACATGACCGGACAGCTCACCTGCACGGCGTCCGCAGCTGTGGCTTGCGAAGCTCTGGTCGCATGCATTTTCAAGAATGCAATCTGTCTATCCGAGGCATGAGTGCACACATTGCATTGCCAAGCCGCAGAGAACCGGCTGACCCTGCGAGATGTTTGGCTTGTTCTCTGGCGCTCATGGCACCCATCTGGAAAGTAACGTCGTGCAGCCAACTGTCGCAACTTTCGACTCGACTGATCATGTTTGCCAGTTTCTGCCGGATGACAGCCTGCGCTGTGAGAGGCTTGCCGAAGACCTTTCTTTGCGAAGCCCATCTGCTCGCGTTTTAGCAGAGACACACCACCGGACATGTGCAGATATCACTTGAAGCATTCCTCCAAGATGATCCTCTGGCCCGCTATCGTTGCTGTGATCAAAGCCCATCTGTAAGCCAGTCAGACATGCCGCTGAGCCAAGTGCTGGTCTAGTTACCTCTCGTGGTTGAAGTTTGCAAGCTATCCCTCCCGTTCAGCATCGACGCATCAGATGAGGGGAAGTTACAGCACAATGATGTTCAGTCCCGGTTGACCAGCCCCCAGCTGGTTCTCCTCGGGAACAAATACATGGTCGAATGTCACAAACGCAGTTCCAGCGGCGCCAGAGGAGTACGAAGTCTTGATGGGCGTGGTGCCTACCGCACTGCACCGTTCCACGACGAGAATCACGATGTCGCCGTTGTCTCCTCTACACGCCACTGTGAAGTAGTGCGCCCACATACCGTTCGTGATCCATTTCTTCGTCCCGTTGACTATCCAGCCGTCTGCTGTCTTTGTAGCCCGGCATCGGATGCCTTGCACGTCGCTGCCCGCAAAGGCCTCTGTTACGGCTAGACAGATTGGCTTCTTGGCCGAGAGCGCGTCAGCAATCACTCGATCTCGCAATGCAGGTTTGGCAAACGAGATGACGGGTGGAAGGCCTGGAGCGTCGGTTGGGCAGGTGTAGAACACAGGTTGCTTGGTCAGAACGCACCTATGATGGTGCCACCAGCTAGAACGCGAACAAATTGTTGAGAACTCGAACGTGCATGCACCGCATCCAGTCACGCACCCAGACCGTCGTTGTAACCTGAAGCTAGATCTGCCCTGTTTCGCATCACTCTTCGCAGAGAACGCACCTCGTGCATGCAGTCTCGACAGTTCTTGTGTAAGAATAAGCTCGTGGAAAAGATCGAACTGGGCACCACGTCAGTATGCTTCGGCTGATGCCCACTGAGCGCACCTCTTCGACCGAGATCACCCCGTCCATGAGAACACGACCCTGAAGGTGCGGGCCTCGGCCTACTCGCATGGCGATGATGTTGAGACGTGCCATTTCGTCCAGCACATCTTGAGAAGGGCGGGTGCCGTTGGTCTCGCATGCCTGTGCATCAGGATATACGACCTCCTCTACGAATTTGCGGACAGCGGCTTGGAAACGACGGTGGTGCTGATCCGGAAGGAATGCGTCTGCTCAAGTTCGCAAATGAGACGACTGATCAGTCGCACCTCTTTGTGATAAGGAGTGTGGAAGCCTTTGGCAAGCCAAGTTGGCTCAGCATATGGAACGCGGTTGAGCGAACCAGCTACGTGACTCTTGATTTCGGGCTGCTCGGACTGAATAACTCCAATCTGAAGTCGTTCATATTTATCCAAGACTTCAGCACGATGCAAGGAGAAGAAAATCTCCGTGGAATCTTGCCCGGCTGATGATATACTCAGCCATAGTCGTTCTAGCCTGTATGGCATGGACAAGGTTACAGACCTATTTCAGAGTCAAGAAGAACGGCCAGTCCGCCTGGATGAATCGAAGCGAATTTCGAGAGATCATAAACGCGTGAGTCTATGATGATCCACTGAATAGAGGATCTGAGAATGAGTCGGTGCCCTAGTGTCTTGTAACCGCACCAGGTCTCCCGGCTTTGAATGCTACCATAGGACGTCAGATCAAACGTTCAGTACACGTACAGCGAAGGCCGTCTAACCTCTTCCACCTCTTCTCTGGTGAAAGTCTGGATTCGCGGGACCATGCCTTCTCTGATGACACGATGTCGAGGAAAGCACTAAAGCAGAATGACAGTCTCATTCCAATATGGCGCGTGACGTCACGCTTGTCGCGACCATGGAAGCAGATTATCGGCTATTGAGTTGCCGGTACGATTTGATGGCCGCCGCATCTTTCCCCGCACTGTCAGCCGGCAACTTGAGCATCTCTTGACCCTCTTCTACTTCTCTTCCTTACCGCCGCACCACGAAACGGCAAGAACTGGACACCATCTGAGTCTCGATGGCGCTTGCGGGAATCAAAGTCATCGAGGTGCGAAGCCACTTTGGAAAGCTGGTCGCAAGAACCTGACGAAACAACACCATTTGCAGTTCGCGGGACTCGCACCCGGCCCATTTGCCGGACTAGTGCTTGCGGACAACGGCGCTTCTGTGATTCGAATCGACCGACCTTCTGCTTCATCTTCGGATATTCTATGTCGAGGCAAGAGATCATTAGCTATCAATCCCAAGTCCGCAGCTGGCAAAGCGACGCTTAGAAGACTCATCGCGAGTGCCGATGTTCTCATCGACCCGTACAGACCTGGAGTCATGGAGAGGCTGGGACTAGGTCCGGAGGTATTTCTGGGGGATGGATCGAAGAAGGGTCTGAACGAGAGGTTGATCTATGCCAGGATGGTAGGGTGAGATTCTCTCTGGCTGGCTGGTCGTTCGCGAGACTGAACGGAGCCAAGATTCCCAAGAGCAGGTATTATTCATCTTTCATCGGACGAAAGTGACATCTCAACCCAGACGTGCAGGACCACACAAAATATGGCCGGTGCGTCGCCACCGTAGAAAGCCAAGCAGGCAGTGAATTCACGATTGGTTCAGGTCATGACATCAACTATCTCGCGTTGAGTGGGGTCCTGTCGGTCAGTGACTTGAGTCCTGAGGGTAACTCCACTTTGAGCTCTTGTAGATGCTCCCTGGGAGCAATGAAAAGCCCACATTCCCTCTGAATCTCTTGGCCGACTTTGGCGGTGGAGGGTTAACCTGTGCCGTGGGTATTCTACTCGCGCTGTTTCAGCGTGTCAACAGTGGTCGTGGTCAAGTGGTAGATGCAGATATGGTGGGGTTTTCTTCGTTTGACAGTCATTTACTTACTGACGCGCCTGGTAGGTATCGGGCGTGCGGTATCTCTCCTCCTTCCCCCTGTTGGGTCTTTTGACCCCAACGTCTCCATTTCATGGAGGAGAACGCGGCTCCCGTCTGCTTGATGGCGGGGCGCCGTTTTACGACGTATACACCTGCAAAGATGGACGCTGGATGTCAGTGGGCTGTCTCGAACCCGCTTTTTTCAAGACATTTCTTGGCCGCTTCAAGAAAGCGCTTCCTCGGGATTTCAGAGTAGAAGGGTGGGCGCCAGAGTCAGAATCTGTGCAGTTCGACACGGATCAGTGGCCGAAACTCAGACAATATTTCGCTGAGGGCTTCAAAGTGCATGATCGAGATTACTGGACAGCCGTATTCCATGGCAAGTTGAGCGTCATGGATCCTACGTGAGCTAACCAATGTGTCCTCAGACTCGGACGCTTGCGCTCTGCCGGTCCTTGATGCTGAAGAAGCAGCCGCTTTGGACTTGTCCAGATCCCCCTTTCCCGTACCACACCCTCGCATCTCCGACTTGGAGCATGCGCCGCAGCGAAACTCCCGTAGCTTGCATCTACCTGCAGGCCTTCATACGATGGAGATTCTGCGCGAGTTGGGCGTGCAGGACAGCGAAATTGATGCAATGGTGACAGCGGGTCATGCCAGTGTGTCCCGAGGCCACGATTCCAAGCTGTAGCACGCATGTCTAGATATTCGTTGCTCCGTTGTTCTTCCGTACCCCAAACTGACAGGAATTTCGGGCTGAGCACGACCGATCACAAACTCACAATCACATGCATCGAAATCACATGCGCTGCATTGCAGTCGATCCGGTCCTTTATAACCTTCACGCTTGTTTCAGGCGTCACTATCCTCAGTTCTCACCGTTGCTCTGCCGCGATGTCTAAACAATTCACTCTCGAGGAAGTGGCTAAGGTGCGACGGTCTATCCTTCTCCTGGGCAGTACCGGGCATCTGACTGTTCGCTCAGCACAACAAGGCCGGTGACGTCGTAAGTGCCTCTCAAGCTCACATACGAGAATCTCGGCTCAGAGGGATCTGCTAGTGGGTTGTCATCGACGCGAAAGTCTATGACTTGTCCAAGTTCAGCAACATGCACCCAGGAGGTCTCGCTGTCCTTTTGGATCCCGAAGTCGGTTCGTCATGTCTCGCTCAGCGATAAGCCGCACCGCCCGCTCACTAAGGTATCCAAACAGCTGGACAAGACGCGACGGAAGCCTTCTATGGGCTCCACCGTGCAGAAGTGCTCGTGAAACCGCAGTACCAGAGGCTGCAGATCGGCACTATCGTCGGCCAGCAAAGCCTAATTCAGACCCCCACGCCAGGCCTTATCAGCAAGGTTCCATATGCGGAGCCGTCCTGGCTGGTGGAGGGGTATCACAGTCCGTACTACACCGAGGTACTATCCGTTCTATCTTCGCAAGATCCGCACCGTGGCGGTTGCTGACCGTGGCGTGCAGAACCACAGGCAATTCCAACTGGCGATGCGCAAGTTCGTTGACGAGTTTGTGACCCCCGAAGCTGAGGTCAAGGAGGAGAATGGAACGCGCGTGTCGCAGGAGCTGTTGGATCGTATGGCGTATGTCACACTTTCATATTTCGGGCGGAGGCTGATGTCGCGTAGTGCGTTGAACATTCATGCGATGCGGCTGGGACCCGGGAAACACCTCAAGGGGCTTACTCTCATGAACGGCCTCGTAGAACCCGAGAAATTCGACTACTTCCACGAGGTAGTCCACATGTAGTGTCAATCCGACCGATCTCTGACACCTTTCTCCCAGCTAATCGCTATCCAAGAGCTGACCCGTTGTGGAAACCGCGGTTACGGAGACGGGCTTCTCTCTGGCATGGTCATCGGTCTCCCCCCGGTGCTCAACTTCGGTAGCGAGGAGGTGAAGGCGAAAGTGGTCCCAGAAGTTCTGCAGGGCAAGAAGTTCATCTCGCTCGCTATCTCTGAAGCGCATGCTGGTTCGGATGTGATGGGCCTGCAGACCACCGCTGTCAAGAGCGAAGATGGCAAGGAGTGGATTATCAATGGAACGAAGAAGTGGATCACCAACGGCACGTGAGTCGCTGGTGTTCTCGCTGGATGCTTCGGTCGGTGATACTGAGTGATAGGTTCTCGGATTACTTCACTGTCGGGTGCAAGACCGAGGATGGCTTTACTGTCATTCTCGTCGAGCGTGGACCTGGTGTCGAAACAAAGCCGATCAAGACTAGCGTGCGTTGTCAAATCGTGCGGAGAGCAGGACCTGTCTATTAACGAGCTGCATGGATCTGCAGTACTCTGCTGCAGCCGGAACTGCGTTTATTACCTTCGACAATGCTCGGGCACCTGTCGGCAACACTCTGGGCGAAGAAGGCGGAGGCATCTTTGTGATGCTGAGCAACTTCAACCACGAGCGCTGGGTGATGTGCTGCAACTCGGCCCGCGCTCAACGTGGAATGGGTAATGCTTGTCGCTCCTCCCGTCTTTTCTTTCTCTTACAGCCTATCAGTCGAAGAGTGTCTGAAATGGACGAATCAACGCAAGGCTTTTGGCAAACCGCTCAATTCGCTTGCAATCATCCGTTCGAAGCTCGCTGGTGCGTCGATGCTGTTCTGTGAATGAAAAGGCATGTAGCTGACCGGATTCGTCGATAGCGATGATATCGCGGGCCGAGAGTTGCCAGACCTGGTTGGAATCCATCAGTTACCAGATGTGCAACATGGTAAGTCCCCCCGTTCCGTGATTAGTCTGGTGCTAATCGTCTTGGCAGTCCTACAAACAGCAAGCATCTAAGCTCGCTGGGTGAGTAGTCTGACGCTGCCTTTTATGGTCGACTGAGCTGTTTCTAGACCGATCGCATTCTTGAAAGCATATTCCACTTCGTGCGGCCAAGAAACAGCGGCAGATGCCGTCCAGATCTTCGGTGGGCGAGGTATCACCCGCACGGGAATGGGCCGATATGTCGAGCATGTGCGTTTGGGACTGTCTTTTTCTTTCCCCGGGCACTGATGTGATTTCAGTATCACCGCACGATTGCATTTGACGCGCTGCTTGGAGGTGCTGAGGACGTGCTCAGGGATCTCGGCGTCCGGCAAGCGATGCGTGCCATGCCTGCGGACGCGAAATTGTAGATGTGCAAACGTATATTTATATGTAATTGTTTACAATAATCTGGGGAAGCAAAAAATACAGCACAGATATCCTACTGATGGAATGTCTGGTTAGTGTACATCCCGTTGGTCCAGCCTTGGTTCAGCCAGGAGAAGTCTGTCCACAAACGGGTTAGAACAAGAATCGACTGGAGAGCTGAAGCGAACGACGTGCCTTGCCATGAGGGATCGTACGTGCCATTGCCTGATGGATTGTAGGGTGCCGATGCAGGGAAGAAATCCGGAGGGGACATATCCGCCTCGAGCCCGAGCGCACTGTGATGCTCCTGCACCAAAGGCATGAACGGATCGATGCTGCCCCCGAGCGGCGGAGCAAATCGGTCAAAGGAGAGCGCCGCCGTGGTCGGGGCAGGGGACAACGTGTCGCTTGCCTCGGGCGAAGTGTGGTTTGACGCGAGCTCCATGGAATCGCCCAGTCCCAAGCTGTTCCGCACGCTTCGGCGCGGGCGGGAGTCCTTCACCAGAGGAGCGGCGAGCAGACCCTTGAGGAACCGCGCGTAGAGATGAGGCCCATGTTTGTCGTCGATCGAGACATCCGGAGATCCCAGCAGGTCGATCACTTTCTTCACCAGCCCTCGCATCTCTTGCCGCTTTTCGGCAGTCAGATAGGATGAAAACTTGGGCTGCAACAACTGTTTTGGGTGTTGAGTAGCTGACCAGTCATACTCACGTGGCACAGACCTTGACGAGGATGGAAGCAGCAAATGTGGCAAACACACTTTGGGCTATCGGTCCATGGCGCAAGTAGATGCCTGGTGGATGTTAGGGTTAGGATCCGCGGCGTGTGGGTTGGAGATGCACACGCACGTTGTTCTGGTCTGCCTACATCGTCCACCAGGGCAATCACAACATCAGTAGCAGCAGCGAGGCACTGCACACGTCAGCCACAAACGCTGCCACCAAGAAAAAGACACACCCTGTTCAAGAAGGGGTTCTCGTCCGAGTGGTTCTTGCCGAAAGCATGTTGGAACCCAAACGAAAGGGCGACAAGGCGAGCATAACCGTAAGCAAGCTTGAGCAACCCTGTCCGGAAACAGTTCTGCGGATCGCAAACATCGGTTTCGTTCAATACACTCTGCCACTTTTCTCCCAGACGCTTCAATTCTTCGTCCGTTTCGGCAGCCACTTTTTCAAAGTCTACGTTCTGCACCGCGGTCAGAGCAACCTCCGAGGAGAGTGATTCGCCAACCTTGTTCAAACCAGTGGGATGCTCCGGGTCGCTGTAGATCTTGCTCATGAAACCAGCCATTACTTTAAGCTCGGAATTGTAAGCGCAGATGTGGATGTCGAAATTGGGGATGTTGTACGTCGACTTGCGCCACCAGTCCTCGGAATGGTTGGCCATGTAATCGCTGTTGCTGATTGTAGGCGCCTTGCCGTACTGCGAGCCGGTGGACCGATCGAGATTGAAGCAGTTCAGCCAAACGCGCGTTCGATTGAGCATCTCTCGCTCGTGGCTTTCGTTGATCGGCTTGGCGGTGTTGGGGAGGTGGAGATTCAGGTCGATCGCCATCCTGTGTGAGTTCAGCCACCGCGACAGCCGGAGATTATAGGGGTTGGCGTGGCTGCTCACCTAATCGCGAGTCCTAGATACAACCATCCTCGCTCATCTTCCCACCTCTTGGCAGGGGCGGGAATAGAGACATGAGGATATATCCCTGGCAGGTCTCCACGCACTTGGGGTGGCCCCCGATCAGGGCTGTCCCAGCGGCCAACTGGGCAAAATGCATGGCCTGGTTGTACAGCTCCGGGCGCTCGGTGTAGAATCTAGATGCGATGGCACACACTGCCTGTCGCATCAGTGCCTGCATCTAATTACGTGATCGCACGAGGAAGCGCACCGACTGTGAACAAGAAAGGACTCCGGAAGCACGTCTTCTGAGGCGTGTAGAGAACCGGATCGAGTAGCGACACTGAGATGTTCATGCATTGGAAGTAGCTGACAATAAGGTTAATCAAGAGACGATGATAGATTGAGCACCAACATATCGAACAACTTCTCGGCCTCCTGGGGGGTTATCACGCCACGAGTCAATATATGGGGCATAGCTGGGTTGAGCTGTCGTCCCCGCATTGGATCCGGTGTAGGGCCTGCGTTTTTGAGAAATGGATCTCCAGTGCTACTTCGCCACTTACTTGATCTGAAGAAATCTGCGTTGGCGACGCCAAGGGCCGGCGCGTCCACGGCTTCAGGACTCTCAGCCAGACCAGTCTTCAGACTCAGGTCAGCCATCAGGCCGAAAGGACTTGCTTCACTGGGGAGTGTCGCCAGTTTCGTATTTCCGCTGTCCTTCTTTTTCGGATTCCGATCAGTGGTGGATGAAGAGTTGGACATCTGCCGATCTTTGACACCTCGGTGACCTCTATGACCGACAGGCACCTCTTCCCCATCTGAATCCATGACTTCTATGTCGACAGCACCGCCATGCGTCGTTCCATCGCCAAGATCATCGTCGTCACTGACCGCATGATCGTCATCCCCGCTGCTCGAGTCCTCGAGATCTTCCTCGACAAGATAGCGCTTTGACAACCCAGCACCGCCGATCCCAATGAAGCCATCAAACTCGGCGAGACTACCGCGAGCCTTTGCGATCCAGTCCTCGACGACCTTGTTCGTTTCGACGTTGTCCGGACAAGCCGGCCCGATGACTCCCGCGTCAAAGTACGACCCGTTTGATGTCGGCGAGAGCACCGGAGAATGGATGCCAGAGGAGCTTGGCGACAGCGGGAACGTGTCCGTCGCGGCGGTATTCGGTGGCTTGACGGGCGCGTTGTTCGTCTTCTCCAATTGGGCCATCAGCTGCTGGATTTCAGCTGCTTGTTCGCGGATCTGGTTGAGCAGATGCTCGCGCTTGGGCGGTGTGCGACGTTTCTTCCGTCCCGGGGTGACACACTCGTACCCGCCGTTGAAACACCGCTTGCACGGATCTGTATCGGTTTTGAGCTCGCATTTGACTTTCAAGGTCTTGCATCGCGCGCAAGCTCCCAGTCTGGGCAGTGGTTGTTATGCCTTCGCCGTAAGTCCGAAAGAATCGATGAAGACGTACGGTTTAGCACGGGCGTTGCTATCCTCTTCACCTTCCAGGTCCTCGTTATCCTTCTCATCACGCACGATGTCGACGGTACGATGGCGCTTGGTTTTCGGCTGTTGGCGCAGACTCGGCGGAGCCTGTGAGTAGGGCGCCGATGACTGGTGATGGGGCCGCACATCCCCCGAACCGCCGGCACCAAGGCTGGTCGCTGTGACCGGGGTAGGTGTCGCGGACATCTGGAGGTTGTAAGAGGATATGTTGTTGTGGTATTGAGGATGCGACTCTGGATTCAAGAAACCGGAGGCTTGGTTATCAAAGGAGAAGCTGCTGAGGTGTTGTTGAGGGGTCGAGACACCGATGAAATGAGAGCGATCGACCGAGCCGGACGGACTGTGACTGGGACGAGGGTATGATGAACTGCGAGCCTGGGACTGGGCGAATGAGTTTTGTAAACTGCTGCCATTGCCGAACTGGAAGTTGGGCTGGAAGCTTGGACCGGAGTGTGACTGCTGGGGTAGCGAATACTCGAACTCCTGCTCAAGCTGGATCCGGGGCTGGGATGGGTCAGAGTACTGATCTCCCCATTGCGCGTTATTATAGGGATTTTGAGCCATGATGATGCCGGGAGACAAGAAGCACGGACGGTCAACTCGAAGACGTAGCAGAGTTATCTAAAGCCAGCTCTGGGTTTCCCACGCCCGGGTCAGCGCTTGACTTTCCAGTTTACTCTGCCGGCGCGGTGCGACGTCGAGAGAAGAGAGAATGCAGTATGCTGCACTTTCGCGGTCCCACTTATACCATCTTCTAGGGCGGAACATGTTGAAGAGGGCAGTGTACAAGCAGAATTCCCTAGTTTTCCGATGTGGCGGTGTTTGATGGCACTCTGCTGTGTGTGTTTTTCTCGCTAGAACTCTTCCCGAATGGCCGAGATGGTATGCACGAGGAAAGGAAGGGCGAGAGGGAACCTGGACGATTTCTGTTCGTGCAGGAACAGGATATGCACTTGATTCACTCTCGGCAAGCGTCCAATGACAGCAATTGAGAACATGATAATCGCGTTTACGCACCCTCTCAAGATTCTTTGCGCGACCACGCCTGACTTGAGATATCATCGACAGCTGTCTCCCCCCTTGATTCTGTTGGCTTGATCTGCATCCTGCCTGAACTTGCATGGATCCCCGCCCAACTCCCATCGAGCGACCATGTGCTTTTTGCCTAATCACGTCAAACGCTCGGACCCGCTTGTTTCGTGCTGCTCGGCACGAAATGTGCATGCGTTAGTTCATACCGCATTGGAATGTCCGCTTGCTTGTCACAGTTCGGATCCGGATGATCCTAAGGACTCAGAAATCGGCGGACCAAACATAAGGCGTTCGATAACCGAACACAGAAGTTTTCTCGCTTCGAGTACGGCATTTCTGAGGTATTTTATTGCGACATCCAGCTAAGTACCGGTACATGAGACGGAAAAAATGCTCGGCATCAGAACAGTCAATAAATGCCTGGAGCCAGATGGAGCCGCAAGCGCATTAGAATTTGGAGGCGGAGATGTCAAGGGTTGTGACAGTGACCCGTGTTAGCAACGGTAACACTCTGGTCGACGTTTCAGCGATAAGGTGTTCGCTCTCTTCCGTAGTGGGCGACAGCGCTTTGCTTCTGCTCCTCTGCACTCGTCGTTCTGGTTAGTTCGTACCTTATTCGACCCGCCTACTGCTCACGCCGCTCAGACATGAGACTTTAAGACTATTTCCTCTTAAATCGTCTGACAGGCTCCCTCCTCCCGACACTCTTTTACACCGCATTCTTTCTCCACTATGGTCCACCACCACGCGCGTATCATCCACAACAAACGGCAGGATGTCCCGGCAGCACCCACTGCTCTCGGCCTGACCGCTGCATCCGTGGCAGTCAATACAGCTGCAATCACACAAGAGTCGCTCGCCATCGACACCAACGCCGTCACTAATGCTGGTCAAGCGACCGCCGTCGTTGCATTCTCTGCTGCAGCTACTGCCACGACCTCTGTACTAGCTGTACCAACCGTAGCCGCGGATCCTGCAAATGCCACCGCCCAGCCGAGCGCCGCGGCAGGCGCTTCGAAATCCGACATCTCCATTGGCACCGTCATCGGTGCCTGTGTCGGTGCTCTTCTAGGAGCAATTATCATTGTTCTGCTCGGTCTCTGGCTCTTCCGTCGCGGGAGCCAGGTGCCGGTACGACGCCCCTCGAATGCGCACAAAGGCGACAAGGAGCGTGCCTGGGCTAAGATGGAGGACAGCCACGACGACGACAAGTGGGAAGGCAAAGACGAGGGTGTGCAGAGCAAATACCAGAAGAACGGCGTCGTCAGTGTGCCGCCTATGGAGAAACTCACCATGTTCAAGAAGGGCACCCCGAGTATGTGGACGAATTACACCACATTTCCCGAGCCTCCCGCGGCTCAGTTCGACCATCCGTTCGCTGCGTACCACCCCAATCTCGCCAAGGACATGGCTCAAGCGGATTCGCAACTGCCGGCTTCGCCCCAACCTTTCCTCCCGCGAGTGGAAGTTCCTTCTATCTCCTGGGATGGCGACACGGTCGCCCATGACTCCTTCCTGTCTCTCAAATCCAACTCGAGTCCTCCCATGTCTGCCAGCGCTGATTTTGCTATCCCGACGCCTCAATTGACGTCTTCGGAACCGCATCTTTGGCATTCTGTGGAGATCGAGGATTTCGATACCCGGGATCCAGCGCGCGCATCCTCGATTGCGGAACCGATACTCCGTCGGAAGAGCCTCAACAACCCGTTCTTTGGCGCAAGCGAGCGGGTGTCCATGCAGTCAGCGCGGTCTCGCACGCCGTCCCTTTCCCGAGCGAACCATAGTGTCCCCGATCCAGTGCCCGTGGCGATGCCGGCTATCCCGGCATCAGCCTGGACGCGAGAGGAGAAGGGCAAATATCGCGTCTCCACGCCACCAAGCCCGACCAGCAGTGTCGGGACCATCCGTGCTTTGCCGCATCGCGAGTCGGAGAATCCCTTCAGTGATCCGAGTGACGAGTTTGTCGCTCCGATGATTCGACTGCCGTTTGCCAAGCCCGAGCACCACTCGCAAGCGTCGCAGGACCATGCGCTGGCGTCGCTGATCGCTGCATTGGGGCCGTCCGCGAGCGCTGACGATGTGCAGGAGCGTTTGCGGGTCAGCATGCAGCCTTCGATCGCCAGTGTGTCGAGCTACACCGACGGCGACAACGAAACCTTGCATCAGTCCTGGCCCGTTCCACCCAACCAACATTGAGCTAGCCTCTGCCGTCTGCCTTTCTTCCGACATCTTGCCCGTCCCTCTTGTTAACTGCCGCTGATGCTCTATTACCCTACAACCAAGCTCGCGGTCTTTCTTCGCTTCCCGTGCTCTCTAGGCATGTGTTATTCGCCTTGCCTCGAGCCCACACAGTCGGAGCCCCGGGCACCTTCCGACCTTTTTACTTTGTCATCTATCTCAACCTCTCGTGATGACGTTGAACGTTGAACTCGAATCGTACCCGCTATCTTGTTTTCGCCTACGTAGCAGAACTTGTACACTAGCAAGTAGTAGATAATCTTTGCAGCACATGGTTTGCAGAACCCATCCACCATCAGTCGCTCGCTCCTCCATCACGCCTGTGACCAGGCTTCCTCAGTCCGATGAGCATGCCCGGCCCGGATGTCGTCGAATGGGAGAATCGCTACGTTGCGGACGACTACCCGCACTCCTCGTCCCTATGCGTACTCTGTTGGCTGCGTTTGCCCTCTTCTTCTGCGGAGCCTTGGCTGGCGCTCCGAAAAACCTGACCATCCATGGACCTGCTTCGCTTCCTGCCAATGCGTCCGGAATCTTGCACCCCGCTTTGGCCAGCTTCAGCATCGAGACGGCCTTCTTCATCGAGTACCTGGGCAACACGTCCGCGCCCAACACGCTCACGATCAACCTGCTCGAGAATCTCAAGGCGCGGACGGGCGTGCCGGCGCAGATCCGCATCGGCGGGATCACGGCGGACTCGACGTACTGGGACGCGTCGCTGGAGCCGGCGATCTTCAATTTCATTGGCAGCACCGGGACGCTGTTCAACACGACGATCGGGCCTCGGTTCTGGGACGCCGCGCGGACGTTGCTTCCTGAGGGCACCCAGATCATCGTGAATCTCGTACGTCTGTTTGGGATGTAGGCGGCTATTGTACTGCGCTGATCGGCTGCAGGATCTGCACGACTTTGCGTACTCCGGAGCGCTTGCGGTCGCGGAGTCTGCGATGACGGGGCTCAGTCCCGGGCAACTACTTCATTCGAGAGTGGGTGTGGTTTCTCCATTATCATGGTAGCGCTTTCTCACCTGATGATGGCAGTCGGCAATGAACCAGACCACTACAGCCCTCTACTCTCTGCGGCGGCCTACACGGCCGTTTGGGAGGTGCGCTGGGGTTTCCTGCTGATCCCGTGACCAGTATTAATGGGTTTTCTAGCCATGGTCCAAGAACATTTCGCAAGTCTTGGGATTTTCTACCCCATGTTCCAGGTGGGTGCCACTGCCGAAGATCCGCTCTGGCCGTACGGGAGTGCGACGGCGAATGCCCAGCTCGATTGTGTGAGTGCCTTGAAGGCGCGCTCCGACGCAGCTGGGACGGTGCAATCTTGCAGCGAGGTCGGTCACTGTGAAACAGCTTCCCAGGAGGACACATCTCATTCCTTGACAGCACACTTACCAATACAGTGTCTGCGACCCTGTCCGAACAGCAGTAGCGACTTTGCCCAACTTGGTGAGCATCTCGTCAGATCCTATGTCGTTTCTTTCGCTCATGGCTTGCAGGTTAACCATACCCGGCTCGCAATGTAGGACGCTTGAAAGAGTGGTGCTTTCTCGCCGGCTGATCGCGCAACAGGTATCTTGACTTGTGGCAGCCGCGCATCGAATCAGTCCGGGCCCAGCTTGGCCCAGATGCCTTCACCATCGGTATATCCTCTGCTGTTTGAAGTGGTCGTGGATTTATAAGATCGCAGGGGAATACAACTCGGTCTCCTGCTCCGGAAAGGACGGCGTTTCCAACACGTTTGGTCAAGCATTGTGGCTGCTCGATACGACGTTGTACGCTGCGTCGATCAATGTGTCCCGGTTGTACATCCATCAAGGCGGCCCTCTGGCGCTGCAGTCGGCAACTCAGCTCAATCACGGCGGCCTGTCGCGCTACAATCTATGGTCAGCTGCTGTCCTCTCTTTCTGTCGATCGTTCTCACGCGCAGCAGGTATCCGGAAGACGCTGCGAATGGGGAGAAACAGGTCTTCCCGTCGTACTCTGCCTATCTATTTGTGGCCGAGGCACTTGGGACATCCAAAACGCTGAGGGTTCCAACATCTATCCCGGGCGCCAGTCAAACGGATCCACGATCACTCCTGCGGAAGGAGACGTCAGCGCCGGACAAAGCGTCGTATACGGCTTCTGGGAAGAATCGAGCCACGCGTTCCCCACGAAACTGGCACTGCTCAATCTCCAGGCATTCAACCAGTCGGAGACAGGGTCTCGCCCGACCACCGTATTCGATATTTCGGCGTACTTGCCACCGAAAACAAAGACGGTCTCGGTCAAGAGGCTCCAGGCCCCGGGTGCGGACATCAAATTTGGAAATTTGACGACATGGGCCGGGCAGACTTTCGCTCTCGATTCAGATGGGCTTGCCCAGGGCAAATTGAGAGTGGACACTATCCGCGGCGGGAAGATTGAGGTCGAGGCATCTGGAGCAGCGTTGATTACCTGGTAGTGTTTTTCACAAGATTCATCTAGGATAGTATATGGCAAGCATTGAGCAGCATGTCGGATGAGATTTCTTTGATCGCCGATGGCAAATATAGCATGTGATATCTGTGTGTTTACGGCGGCTCATAAGCATCATGATGCCGTTCATTTCACTCTCTACCCCATCCATCCAAACCCCATGTCTGCCGCAAAGCAATTCACCAGAGAGGAGGTCGCGAAACACAACAAGCAGGGCGACCTGGTGCGTCAATCCCGCACACGCCGTCGAGCGAGATCACCTATTGTGCTAGTGGGTCGTCATCGACTCTAAAGTCTACGACCTCTCCAAGTTCGCGGCGATCCACCCGGGCGGCACGAGCGTTCTGCTCGACGAGGAGGTTGCCGGGCAAGACGCGACGGAAGCGTTCTTCGGCCTGCACCGCCATGAGGTCCTGCTCAAGCCTTCCTACGCACGCCTCCAGATAGGAGCGATCGCCGGGGAGGAGCAAGCCATCTTCCCGCGCGCCCTCGGCGCGTTGAGCAACGTTCCGTATGCAGAGCCGACCTGGTTGACCCCGGGCTACCACAGTCCTTATTACACCGAGGTACGCATCGGCTCGTGCTCAGTCCCGGCGCGCCGTCGACACGTCTGCCTACAGGGACACCGGAAATTCCAGGCTCAGGTGCGGAAGTTCTTCGAGGAGGTCATCCTGCCGGACGCGATCTTGCACGAGGAAGACGGGAAGCGCCCTTCCCAGTCCGTGTTTGACGCCATGACCGCCGTACGCAGTAATACTACTCACACCGGATCTAGCCTGAGCTCGTGACAGGTGAACCTCTATGCTATGCGATTGGGCCCTGGACCTCATCTCAAAGGCCGTGTTCTGATGGGCGGGACAGTCAAACCTGAAGAGGTACTTGCTGGATTACATGTCGACTGGTCTGGCCACAGCTGACTCGGACTGATCCAGTTTGACTACTTCCATGAACTCATCATGGCACAAGAATGCACCCGTTTTAACTCGCGGTGAATGCTGACCTCATCACTCATCAGGGCGCTTTTACTCAGAGTTTGTCAGCGGGTATCAGGATGGCTTGGGGGGCGGAACATACATTGGTGCGTTGGACGATGCATTCCCATTGGGATTGATACTGACTAATAACCAGGTCTTCCTCCTATCATCAACTTCGGACAACCCGCTATACGGGACAAGATCGTGGCCGAGGTTTTCGCCGGCCAGAAGTTCGTGTGCTTGGCAATCTCAGAAGCCTTTGCTGGCTCCGATGTAGGCGAGTGAAGTGCTGTTCCGAGGCTTCTAAAGCATTGAGCGTGCTTTAGCCGGACTGAAATGCTTTGCCAACGGACTGACCAAGGATGGGTTGTCACTGGGACCAAGGTACTATCCCAATCCTCGCACGCCATGTACGGTGATCTGAAACTTTGGGCAGAAATGGATCACGAACGGCACTTTCGCAGATTATGTGAGCTCAGCCCCAGTGCGGTTTCAACTTGATTCTGAACTGCGGATAGTTCACTGTCGGATGCAAAACAGAGAAGGGGATGGTGATGCTTGTGATCGAGCGCGGTCCAGGTGTGGAAACGAAACAGATCAAGACGAGCTACAGCACGACTGCTGGAACTGCTTACATCACTTTCGACTCTGTGCTTGTACCGTTCGAGAACACCCTCGGAGAAGACGGAAATGGGCTGCAGGTGATCTTGAGGTCTTTGCTGTTTCCCTGTCGTCGTCGGTACCTGGTCTTGACGTGTTCTTTGCAGTAACTTCAACCACGAGCGATGGGGGATGGCCTGTGCCTCCATTTCGAACCAACGTTACATCGTCGAGGAGTGTCTGAAGTGAATTTCCTCCCTCGGGAATGCGGCTCCATCATTGACGGTCCCCAGATGGTCTTCTCAGAGGAAGGTCTTTGGGAAGCCTCTGAACTCGCAGGCCGTGATCCGATCGAAACTCGCCGGCGAGTCTGCAAGCTGAAGTAGGGTGTTCAAAGTCACTCATTTCCCCGAAGCGATGATCTCCCGAGTCGAGGCGGCTCAGGCTTGGTTGGAAAACGTCACCTATCAGGCGAGATTTGTGCTCGGAGGCTGATAGATAGCCAACCTGACTCCCGGACAGATGTGCCACATGAACTACAAGCAACAATCTACCCACCTTGCAGGGTAGGATTTTGCGCCAACATCCTGGTTTCAGCGGCTGATCGCATGCTGCCAGTCAAATCGCCTTCCTCAAGATGTATGCGACGAGCACTGCGCAGCAAACGGCAGCAGATGCAGTCCAGGTCAGGACCTTCTCGGCTCAGCAGGCCTCGATTCTGAATCGTCCTCCATCAGATCTTTGGCGGTCGAGGTATCACTAAGACGGGAATGGGCAAGCACATCGAGCACTACCATCGCACAGTCACCTTTGATTCGGTTCTCGGCGGAGGTATTTGCATTATTAATTCACGTAAGCCCCGCCACGGTTTTGCTGACGTCACTTTCAGCTGAAGATGTCCTGGGCGACCTCGGTCCGTGTTTTGCTTCTCGTTTTCAATCCTCTTATCATCCATTCAATTATAGGTGTCCGGCAAGCAATGCGGAAAATGCCCAAGAACGCCCGTCTATGAGTTTCCCGCCGTCGGAGTCGGGCCCTATATATAGCAATAGCCACCTCAATATTAAATTCTCGACGTTGCTATGGTAATCTGATCTGGTTTCCCGCGGTTCGACGTATGTCATTCCAACATCCCCTCTTCTTCCTGGTCCACTTGCTTGAGGTTGCTCCGACAAGAATTGGGAGCGATCGTATCCGTCTTGACATCGTTTTGTCGTCCGTTCATTATCCTTTCCCCCACATTCTTTCACCAGAACTTGTTGTCTACGACCCGGAACATGCCTATCCCCAACGTTTTCGTCCGCGATGACTCCTCCAACTCCAACTCCAACTCCACCTCTCTCGACCCGAGCGCCATCGCTGGCATCGGCTTGGCCGGCGCCATAGTGCTCGCTCTCGCCATATGGCTCGCAATCCGCAAATACCGCCAGAGCGCCCAAAAGAAGCGTGATGAGGCGCGCCTTCCCGCTTTCACTCCCGTTCGTGGAGTTTATCGGGAGAACGATGCCGAGAAGCAAGAGTGCGTCTCGTATTCCCATCCCGGCTTCCATCTCGCTGACGCCTACGCCTAAACTTTTAGTGGCCCCCAGGGTGGCTTTTCTCGGGATCAATTGACTCCCTCAGTCGTATTACCCGACAAAGTTCTGACGCGTCCCATGCGCAACGAGGAAGTCATAGACTACCACCGTCAATCCGGCACCTTCCCCAACCTTTCTCGTTCGCCCTCACGGCAGGCAGCGCTCTGCCTGTACCCGATGACCCGCGCTCGTCCTGGATTCGGCATTCGTTCGCGTCGTCTGGCGGCAGCAGCAACCGTTTCTCCGTGATGTCTTCCACCTCCTCGATCGACTCGAACCCAACGTCCGGTACCCCTCGCAAAATCCGCCAACAGTTCAACCCTGTGCTGCCCGACGAACTGCTCGTGAGCCTCGGGGAGCGCCTGACTGTCGTGCAGGCGTTTGACGACGGCTGGGTTGTCGTCGGACGCTCTGGGAGTGTCTTCGCCGGTGCGAAGTCTCTGTTCAAGACGTCGGCCGGTGCGCCTGCCGAGAGCGATGTCGAGCTCGGTGTGGTCCCTGCCTGGTGCTTCATCAAGCCCGTGAAAGGGCTGCGCGCCGAGCGCCCCGTCCGCAGCACCAGTCTGGGGATCACGGTCCAGATGGAAAACCCCGCGTTTGCGGCCCGGAATGAGGTCCTCAGCTGGTCCAACTTTTAGATTGGCGGTCCGCGTCGTCGTCGGATCACTGAGCTGGCCAGTGCACCGACATCCATACCCCCCACCACTCCTCTCTAGAGACCATTTCATGCATTCATGGTCATGTCTATTCTTCCCGCTCGCCTTGCAGCGCTGCCGCGCTTTCGACCGCCGTCTAGTACGGCCAGGTTCTCGATCTGTATCATTGCCTCCCAGATACCGCCGAGCGCAGTGCCTAGTGCAGTGCCTTGGTTAGTTAGAAACACCGTCTTGTTGTAATTGCGGTGATGTATACAGTGCCTCTCCAATATACGGAATTCGTCGAGGTCCATGACATTGACAATGAGCTCGCGACTCTCACGTGATGAAAGAATATCAGCCACGTGATCCCAAACTCTCTGCGAAGCGCGCCTGTCGAGTCCTCATACCGTCTCCTCCAGGCTTTCTATTCCGAACGGAATACAGACTCGTCGGAAATATCTCGTATAACTTTAAGCGAGTAACACATAGCCGAGGACGCCGAGTGAGGCGCACAACGAGGCGTTCCATCCCACCATGGACTCCATGCAATCTTCTCCCCGGACGATCGACATCGCGCTAGGCGGCCAGGAAGTCATCACAATAGACCTCGACGCCCTCGACACCGTCGACGAAGTGCTCGAGCTGCTGTCCGAGCCGACATGTCAGGCATTGGAGTGGGTGTGGACCGTGGTGGCGACCGAGTTTTGGAGGAGAGGGTCGCTTGAGTCGGCTGAGAAAGTGGCGCTCGCGGCTGAAAAATGTGTGTGTCCGCTACGGCTTTTGCACGCTCCTTGCTTTCGGTCGTTTGATGCAGTTGGCAGTCTACAAGCCCTTGGGCAGGGACCAGTATATGGGACCCATATGGTCGCTTCTGGCGAACATCAAGATTGCGCAGGCTAGTGTCGCGCCGAAGATGATTCTCCCTGAAGCCCGTCAGTTTGAGTGGCCCATCACTTTTGATAATGTCAGTAACCCCGCGACGCAGGGCACGATGTTATGAAGGGGCAGGCGACGAAGGACGAGCTGTACCAGCAAGCTGCCGGCTATTCGAACTCGACTCTCCAGCTTGGGTTCGTGCAGCCTCTGGCTTTCTTGACGCGAGGTATGTCGGAGTTTGGGTTCTCGTTCTCACACTGCAGTCTGTTTACTTCGTTCCAGGCATACAACAGCTGGCTACGCGCAAGTTGGATGAGGCCATGTCGTCTTTCAATGATGTGCTGCAACAACAACCGACCAATCTCATTGCGCTCACCGGAAAAGTGCGATCGAACCCCGTTCTGTTCACCTGTCCGCTCTGACCGTTACACCCGTAGGGGAGAATACTATATGCTCAGCGCAACTACAACGAAGCACTAAAACTGTTTCGTCGCGTGCTGGAGCTAAATCCGCGCTGTTCTCCTGATCCACGGATTGGGATTGGTTTGTGTTTTTGGTCTCTGGGACACAAGGACAGGGCGCGGGCAGCATGGCAGAGAAGTCTTGATCTCGTAAGCGTCGCATTCTGGAGTCAGACTTTGAGCTGACTGTTCCAGAATCCCAAAGAATGGCCTGCTGATCTACTGCTCGGTCTTGACTCGATCAACGCCAGCAAGAACGAGGCGACGCCTGATGGCGAACGCGCACAGCTGTTCACCACTGGCACCAAGTCTGTGGAACGGGCGTTCAAGCGTAACAACAAGAGTGCTGCCGCAGCGAATGCCTTGTGTGAGATTTTCTTGAGGAAGGGAGCATATGATCGCGTGAGTCTAAGATCCTGTATCTGTTCGTCCCAAGGGCTAATCTGCCCCAGGCCTTGAAACTGGCCGAGCGTGCGATCCAGTTTGCAGATACGATCACGGTCTTGACGGAAGGCTATATCCGCGCTGCTCGCGTCTGTCATGCTGAGGGATCTCGGGCGTACGCTCTCAAGTTCTTCGAGGCTGCACTTCAGGGCCAGCCGAAACAGGTCATCGCTGCTGTTGGTCTTGCACAGATTCATATCCAGAATGGTCTGTCTCATAGTGAACCGTTCAAGCTCATGCTCATCGGCGTGCAGATGAAATGGCGGCAGCATTGCATGCGCTGGACCGTTTGCTGCAATCCTCCAACGTCCAAATCTCGCTGGAGGCTACTGCGATGCTTGCTTCCCTTCGTGCCTTCCCGCGGCCCGGCGTCTCGAGTTCGGATGCAGCCAAGGAGCGAGTGAAGGCCCGGGAGCTGTTTGAGCGAGTCATCAAAACGATCGATGCCGACGAGGCCAAAGCCAACACGCACGGATTAAGCCGCACGTCACGAAACATCGTGAACGATGTGGACCTGCATGTTGAGATTGCACGACTGTGGCAGGAGGAGAACTTGGACCGCACTGCACGAGCTCTGCGAGAAGCGATGCGGATCAGCGAATCGGTGGGGAAGCCTGATCCTCGCATCCTCAACAATCTTGGCGCGCTTCAGCACTTGGACGGACACTTGAAACCTGCTCGCGAACTATACGAGAATGCGCTCACAACAGCGGCCGGAATGCATTCTGAAACGAAAGAAGCTATCTCCACCTCCATTTTGTACAACCTCGCCAGGGTCTACGAAGATGAGGGCACCGAGGACAAGGCCAAGGACGCCTACGAGAAGCTGTTGTTGCGACACCCGGAGTATGTCGATGGTGGGCTCTTTGATTCCTTCCCATACAGAACGTGACACTGAACCACTTCCGTAGCTAAATTGCGGCAAGCACAGATGCTGGCCAGTCTCAACCGACACAACGATGCCCATGAGCTCATCAAACAAGCCCTCGCTGCTCAGGGCTCCAACCTGAATGTGCGGGCATTCTACACCTGTTTTCTCATGCAGGCGAATCTGCACAAGGTCGCGAAAGAGTTTGTGTTTGCGACACTGAAGGATGTAGACAAGCATGATGTTTATTCTCTCTGTGCTGCTGGCTGGATTCTGTACCACCAGTCTCGGGAGAGCAGGGAGACGTCTCAGAAGGCAACAGACGAGCGACGGCGTAACTTCCAGCGTGCCACCGAGTTCTTCGAGAAGGCGCTGCACCTGGATCCCATGTGTGCTTTTGCTGCCCAAGGTCTCGCCATTGTCACGGCCGAAGACGCACTCGGAACTCTGAGTGGCGTTTCGTCGGCGTTATCGGGTTCCGACGAGGCCCAGCGCCGGCTGAAGAACTCAAGAGATGCGCTGGACATCTTCACCAAGGCGCGGGAATCTATCAACGATGGCAGCGTGCACGTCAATATCGGCCACTGTCACTATGCGCGGGATGAGTTCGACCGTGCTATCGAGAGTGTGAGTGCGATGTGTAGATATTTTAGGCCGTTACTGACAGGACCCGTACAGTACGAAACCGCTTCTACTCGCTTCTACAGCGGCCACAATGTGCCCGTGCTGCTGTGTCTTTGCAGGTCTTGGTATGCGAAGGCAACGAAGGATGTGTCCTTTGCGTCGATGAACACCGCTTTGAGCTATGTTCAAAGGGCACTGCATATTCAGCCTAACGACAAAGCGGTGTTGTACAATATCGCCATGATTCAGCAAAAATCCGCGGAGATGTTGTTTGGGTTGCCGACCAACAAGCGAACGCTCAGAGACTTGACACGCGCCATCGAACACGCGAATAACGCACAGAAGTATGTTTTATTCTTCACACAAAAGGCGTTCATCTGACCTCATGATTTCAGGTTATTTGCTTCGCTTGCGGCGGACAAGTCGGATGTGGTGCCATATAGTCGTGATTTGGCTGATCAACGGCGCAAATATGGCGACAATTTGCTGCGAAAGAGCGAAGAACACCTTTCAGCGCAGAGGCAATACGAGTCCGAAGTCCAGGCTAAACTAGACTCCGCTCGGCAGCGACGACAAGAGGAGAAGGACAGATTGAACGCCATCGAGGTATGAGATGGAACAGACAGCGTCTTTCGGTCCGCTAATCCGTTTCTCCTGTTAGCGAGAACGGTCAGAGGCCCAGCGCCGCGAGGCTGAGAAACTTGCCGAAGAACGAAAGGTGGCTCGTGAACAGGCCCAGGAGTGGACACGTGAGATCCGGGTTGACAGCGACGAAGAGCGCGAACGCCGGCCGAAGAAGTCACGGAAGCAGAAGGCCGAAGGCAGTGGTGATGAGGGCGAGCCCAAGAAAAAGCGACGGGGAAAGCTGATGCGTCGCCCCGGTGACGGCGAGGACGCGGGTCTTGCTGCGGACGAGCAGCTGGCTAGTGAGCATGATGACGAAGACGGCGACCGGCCGAAAAAGGTGAGCTTTCTCTCTCATCATGTGGTCCTCATCTGACCTCTCGTAGCGACTTTCCAAGAAACGAGCCATCCGAGATGAAGACGAGGAAGAAATCGTCCGCCCGCAAAAGAAGCAGTTGTACGTGTCTCTTTTTTTTGGATTAACTACGCTTCTGCTGAGCTGAACGACCTGCAGCAAAAGCAAAGCGACGGTTTCTGATACCGATGATGAGGACGTTGAAATGTCATGAGGGTGCATATGTAGCCATCTTTGCTTTGTGTAATTTTGTATGTAACATGGGCACGTCGGTCGAGCTTGATTTAGCGCGAGAGCGGCCCAAGAGGGTCCAGGAGCATCACAATAACCTAAAACAAGGCTTTCCCGGGCTCCTGACCAACGTTCGCTGGGCTCTTGGCGACCCCACATGTTTTATTTCGTTTTGTGGCGGGGTCAGCTGTTGGCTGATCCCAAACGGGGATAATACCCCAGACTCTGACAAGGACCTCGGGTAAAGTTTTTATTCCCCGATCGTTCTCAAAACACACAACATTGCGTGCTGGTTCCGTGCCGGCCGTGATTTTCCAGTACTTATACACCGTGTGAGTCCCTTCTGACTCGGACCCGATTTCAGCCCTGACGATGAACAACCCACAGTACCCTCCTGAAATCTTGCTAGCTATATGCGCCTTCATTCATACGTGCTCCATTCCGACCGGCCCATCTCCGTCTCTCGATCCCCTGGTCAGTCATGACGACCGAAACGCGCCCATCGCCCTTCCGTCCTCGCATCCCTCCTCGAGCTGGCCGGAGCCGGTGGCACGGCAAACCTTGGCGCGGCTGTGTCTGGTGAACCATGCGTGGTACGACGCAGCGAAGCCGTGGCTGTGGGACAAGCTCCAGGTGCGGCTGCCTCGGACCTTCCTCTCGATGGTCGAGCAGGTCGCGTGGGACTACGACGAGGAGACGGTGGACATGGTGATGGACCACACGATCCGTGCGGCGACTCAGGCGGCGCTGGCTGCGACGAGCCCCGGAGAGCTGGACGCCAAGGCGTTGGAGGACAGGATCGTGTTATGTCTCAACGCGCCGGATGAGTCCATTCCGCTCGAGCTCCTCTCCCCTGTCGCATCCCGCGAACCGAGTCCCCGTCGCATCCGCCCGACGAGCAAGTCGCCCGCTCGGTGGAAGATCGTGCGCAACATTAGCGATGCCGTCCAGGGACTGTTGGAGCTCAACGAGCCTGGGCTGTACAGTAAGTCTCACTCTCATGCGGCGCAACCCGTGCTGATGACGCAGTTCCCACTCCAAACGACCCACGGCCGGGGCGATTTGTACGGCACCTCGATTTTAACCACTTCCGGACTGTGAACATGCGGCGATCCGTTGGGGAAGGCGTCAACAGTCCGTTTGTTACACCGTACAGAGTGGAGGCACTCATCAAGGTTAGCCCATCTGTCTTGTTGAGGCAAACGGAGCGTCATCGTCTTTCAGGAGATGCCAAACTTGCTCGTGTTTGGAGCTACTGAATTCATGGATAGCTCACTCAATCTCCGCATTCTGAACGAACTGTTCCTTCGGGGAACGCCGTCACGTGGGCGTGGTCAGCCGACGCGTGGTCGGGCTCTGATTGATCCGGCCAACGAAATGGACGAGGAGGATCGGGAGAGAAGACGCGACTGTCGCGAATTGATTGCTGTCGATTTCACGGGGTGCATCAGCTCGGTGTTTGTGCGTGCGCTGGACGACTTTGCTGCGGCCCACCTGCTGTCCAGCGAAGGCTCGAGAGGGCGGATGAGCACGGAGCCGCTCAAGTTTCCGGGCTTACAGCGCCTGGGGATGCGAGCGGTGAAGAGCGTGTGTTCTCAGACACTCTCTGCGTTTGTTCTCGCCTTCCCGTCCTTGACGCATCTCGATCTGTCGGGCACTCGCGTCGACAATGAACTCCTGCACGGGCTGAGCCAGTCTCGAACGATACATTTGCACTCGCTGGCCCTTGCACGTTGCGTCAAAATCACAGGCAGTGCCATCGTGCATCTGCTTTTGTACTCCCAGGCGACATGTGATCTGCGGGAATTGAATCTGTACGGCGACATGACTTATTCGTCGCCGCTCGTCGAGGAAGATCTCGATGCCCTGTTTGAAGAAGCGCCCTGCTTTGTGTCTGGAAAGCTTGTCTACCTGGATCTGTCGAGTTCGCCCTTGACTGCCTCCTTGCTGGCCAAAATGCCCAAGCAGCCGGCGCTGAGATCCCTTGGGCTATCCCATATACCTCTGCTCGGCCTGAAGGTGATCTCTGAATTTATGCGCGATAAGGCGGATAATGTGGAGGTCCTCACCTTGGCCTCTACTTCGCCCGAATTGTGCGCTGCCGGTGGCGGTGGCGGCCGCGGCGCCCGTCAGGCTAGCATTGCCTTGCACACCCATGTGATCCGACCGATCTGCATGCCACCGTTCTCGTTCTCTGTCTCGCCGGCGGCAGCGGCTGCAGTCAAGCCATCAGCACTCACGCGACTGCGGGTGATCGAGCTGGCTCCGGCCATGCTGAATGCGCTGTGGGCAGGCGCCGAGTCATGGCGGATCATCCGGAGCAAAGGCGGCCGGGGCTGGTACGTGGACACGGCGAGTGGCTGGATCGACGGGAAGCTCCGGCGAGACCTCGATTCGGATCATCCGTGGAGACGTCATCTCGAACAGCTTTCTGACGCGAACGGTAACGTGAGCAGTGGCGTTGGATGGCATGCTCGAAAGATGGAGGTGCGGCATTTCCCCTGCGACACCTTTGACTTTGGCTGATGCGCGCGCGTCATCCACAGATAATGCATGGACATGGCATGTTGGGGCATGAGGATGGACTTTACGGAGCTGTTTCCTTTGCATACTACGGATGAGTCCGGCCCACGGGTTTTCCAGCTGCGGTGATGCGAGACTTAGGCCATCACGTTGCCTGCGATGACGGGATATTCATTGAGCATAGTTACGGGAACTACCTCCCAAGCTCAGAACTTAAAAGCACGTGGACCTGTTAGCCTATAGCAAAATTCCAGCGATGCTGTACATACGGATCTCAACATGGCCATTGAGCTGGCAGTGAATGTCTGCCAGGTGACTATGGATGAGTCTTCACAAATGTTGGCGTGCCGATGCAGCCCCTGATAATCTGATGATAGATAAGATCAACACCAAGCCCAAGCCTTAGAACAAGCTTGTGCATCGAATTCACCAAAGTGTAGTTTATAGGGAAACTGCTGCTCATTGAGAGCTGTGCAGACGTAGCTGCGTATGCTCATGAGAACATGTGTTTGTGGAAACTTGAAGTGCGCAGCGGCGGGATGTTTGTCCGGTCCGCGCAAATGTGTCAATGTGCTATGGCTTGTCGGCTGTGGCGTGCCAAGTGCTAGAAATTGCTGGCCTCTCGTTCGAGAGGGCTCGCGAGGATCCAGCGCACCGAGCGTGTTGACGACACCAAGTCTGTAAAGCAAAGGTACAGGGCTATGGAGTGAGAAAGACTTGGTTCTACGCAGGCTGCAAATCGGATGACGACGTAGTGTGGGGACCGTGGTCATTCTTGATCCAATCACTTGAGCCAAGCCTAAGGGTCATCTTTTGAAGGGGTTACTTCACTGCCTTGTTCTCGCCTCAGCTTAAATCGTCAACCCCGTCAACTGCTGTTGCCTTCAGCATGCCCCCGTCTCCGTACCCACGACCCGGATCCCTGTCGACGTCAGTACCAGAGGAGGGCTCAAATTCCGATCATCCTCTCGTTCGACGAGAAGACTCCCCCGTGCAGGATCAACCCCTTGACGACATTCCCATGACCAAAGTCACATCCAGACCCCCCGCCCCTCTACGCAATCGCGGTACCAACAGGACTAATGACACGACTACGTCGGCGCTCTCCCGTGTTAGGACTTTGCTCGTCCCCGACAAGCCTGTCGCCGCAGCACCAGGTGTCTTGAAATCTCTCCGCTCCATAATACTGGCCTCGTGTGCGTCATTTACACTCTGCTTGAACCCAACGGCCCCAGCCCACCTTCATAGACCTTAATATTCTCCTCGTTTTCATTCCTATTTCTGTGCGTTCATTCGCTGTGGTGTCATTGTGTGCGATGAGCCTGATTGTCTCGCTTCCCAGTGGGCCTTCCACTTCACCAAGCAGTCGGACACACTCACCTTCGTTTGTGAGTGCTTGAGCTTGCTGCACCGTGCTTGCTGATGCGCAGGGTCCAAGTCTCGTTTCTTTCCATCATACCGCTTGCCAAAGTGCGCTTCTTCTGCGCCGCATATTCCCCCCTTATCCTTCTTAACAGCTCCTTGCATTTGCGACGGATGAGCTTTCAATGCGCGTGGGCCAAACGCTGGCTGGTTTACTGAATGCTACTCTTGTGAGTGGGTCCACTTCCTCATGTCAACTTGCATTCTCAAGTCACGTGTTTAGGGCAACGCGTAAGTCTTCTCTTACTTCACTGGCGTGATGCTTACTCTTGGCCCCAAGCGTCGAGTTGATCGTTGCTGTACGTTTATACATAACATTGATCATACCGAATGATTCCAGCGTGTGCATAGATAATTGCGCTCACGAAATGCGAACTGACGATCGTCCAATCTTCTTGTAAGTTGCTCGTGCCGCTTCTGATTGCTCTGATGTTCTCTTCACAGTGACTGGATCTATTCTGAGTAACCTCTGTGGGCGCCTATCAGCTACAGCGCGAACGCCCACTGATGTATGTCCAAGTGCTTGTTTTGGGAATGTGCTTCTTCGCGGGCGGCGTCAAATATTCTGAGCAAGGATTCGGAGCTAGTATGTGTCCATTCGTCCTCTGCACACCATTCCATGCCCATCCGTGACTAGGTGCGACCCAGCTCAACTCCTCCCTGCTCACAATCAGCGTTATCGCCGTCTTGCTCCCCGCCGCTTTCCGCTTCTCTGTCACAGCGACTTCTGATCCGGATCCGGGTCTGGATATTCTGAGGTTCAGCCACGGTGTGCGTCTGGACATTGCTGTAGCCGCTGTGCGGAGCTAACGTCGGATTTAGGTTGCCATCATCCTGCTGTTCAGTACGTGTGGACGCCGATGGGTGCCATCAGAACGATTGAATTGATTTTGGGCGTTTAGTCTATGGCTCGTACCTGGTCTTCCAGCTGTACTCACACGCGAAACTGTACGAAGACCAGAGCGATGACATCATCAAATCGACGAAATATGCACCGCGCCACCCGACCGGAGCAGACGCCGAGAATGGGACGACTGCCGAAGAGGCCCCAGTAGAAGAAGAAGAGGAGGTCCCCCAGCTCAGCCTCATCATGACAATCGCGTTGCTAGCCGTTGTGACCGTGGTATGTTCTTCATCTAGGTTCATAATTGCAGCCGCTGACGATTCAGATCGTCGCTGTTACTGCCGAATGGCTCGTGGACTCTGTGAACGGACTGACAGAAACTGGAGCGATCAGCAAGGAATTTGTTGGCGTTATCCTTCTTCCGATTGTCGGAAATGCTGCAGGCAAGTCTCAAACATCGCTTGCGCGAACAGCTCGTTGACTTGACACCAGAGCATGTCACTGCTGTCTCCGTCTCCGTCAAGGTAAGCAGACCTGCGAAAGCGTGTTGCACACATGCTCAAGAACCCTCACAGGATAAGCTGACGTTGAGTCTGGGTGTGGCGGTTGGCTCAAGCATCGTGTGTCTTGCTCCTATCGTCCTGTTCTTAGCTCATCGTTTTCAGCAAATCGCGCTGTTTGTCATTCCGTGTGTGACTTGTTGTCGTCGATCTGTCTCTTGTTTATCTCCCACAGCTTCATCGTGGTCCTCGGCTGGATCCTCGGCAAGCCGTTGACTATGCTCTTCGACCCGTTCGAGTCGGTCGCGTTATTCTTGACTGTCATCACAGTCAACTACTGTGTGCAGGACGGAAAATCAAATTGGCTCGAGGGCATGATCTTGATGTGTGAGTGTCAGTCAAATCGTTCCTCACTCAGATCCTGACCTCGTTTTGAAAGGCCTTTATGTCATCCTTGCCACGACCTTCTATTTTTACCCTGGTTCATCCACGGAATTTGCAAGCATCCTTCCTCAGTGCAAATAGGTCTAATGTTTTCTTGTGGTCAAATATATATATACCCTGTTCGTGGCTTGATATATACTCGGGAATCGGTCGAACAGCTAGAGTTTGGCCGCCGCTTTCGCGACTAATGTCACACCCGCGGAGGCCAAGACAACCGTCCCTCGTTCCTTGACCTTGGTGACTGGACATGCACAGTCAGCGGGATTGGAGATTAAAGAATATCAAGACTCACCAAAGATGACCTTATTGCCCTCCTTCCACATCTGAGTGATCAACGTCTCCCCCGGGTACACCACACCCGCAAAACGGACTTTGATGTCTTGATAAGCGCCGTATTGCTTATAGACGTGTTTGCCAGAGATTCCCATCGAGCAGAGACCGTGGAGAATCGGTCTATCGAACCCCCCTACCGCCGCGAATTCGGGCAGTATCTAAGAAAGAGTGTGAGATCTTGACGGGTCCACGTTCGAGAAGCATGGACAAACGTGTAGAGGATTCAGATCTCCGCTCAGTCTGTGCTCGGTGTCAGAAAGAATCGAGGGTGGAGAGTCGATGGGACGAACCGGTACAAAGCGGCTTGTGTAGCGGTGGTCTTCTCTTCGATCTCTGCATCAGGAGCGCGCTTGGGTGGCGCATTAGCGGCAGTGGCTGGTCCACGATCTTGAAATCCGAATCAGGACACTATCGAGAAGGAGGCCGAGTTGACTGACCATAACCGCTGCGCCGTCCACCGAAACCACCGGATCCACGGATGAAGACCGTGGACTGGTTTTCGAAGATGACCTGACCGGACTTTTTGTCGCGCGTCTCGACGACGATGGTAACTGCTGCGGCTTTGCCCTTGTCGAGAACCTCGAGCAGTCTGGCCGAGGGTGAGACGGGCCATCAAGCAGTGAACGTGGTGATTGGTGCACACCTGGCATGATTGACAAGTTCGCCGCTCGTGGGGATAGGCGCTTTGATGCTGAGAAACTGCTCCCCGTGCAGAAGTTTGGCCTGTGCGGGGTTAAGCAAGTGGAAGGATCAGCGACGGCGAAGGTTGCGCACGGGATTGAAGTCGGGCAGCCAATCCAGAGGCAGGGTGCTGCTAGTCAGGAATTGCGGGACGACACCGAAGGTGGGGAGCGCCGAGAATTCGTCATCGCCTTCGAATGTCCATTGCAGCTCTTGCTCTGTCGCGCCGATGCCGAGGTTGTAGAGTATAACGTCGCGCTGCAGACGGGGATTGAGAGAGAGAGCGCACGGAGCGCTGAGCAGCGTACCTCGGAGTAGCTGTACTCGCCGGGCTCGGTTGGGGCTTTCTTAGCCTCGATAACGAGAGGGGAATCCTGTTCTTCAGACATGAGCAACAGAGTGGATGTGTCGGACTCTTGTATGAAATCGGATGCGCTGCCAGTGAGGGCCGCGAAGGCATGTGATTCGTCGCTCGGACGATCAAATTCGGGGTTGCACATTCCTCAAGAAGCATGTCATGTGTCACCGCCGCATCGAGCGGACAATCGAACCAATTCGAAGGACCTCAAGCCGAGCCGGAATTCACATGCTTCCATCACTGGCTGTGAACGCGTCTGATATAATACGGGTTCTGTGTCGGCCACCACATACACTCGCCGAACTTGAACTCTACCGCCATGTCGCTCTCTTTCAAAGGACAAACTGTCGTTATCACAGGCGCTGGGGGCGGTCTTGGTAAAAGGTAAGGCCACAACGTCCACGTAGGGTCGCTCCGGATCTATCGTTACCCACACCTCTTGCAGCTATTCTCTCGCATTTGCCGCCCGTGGTGCGAATGTCGTCGTCAACGACTTCAACAAGGATGCGGCGCAGAAGGTCGTCGACGAGATCGTCAAGGGTGAGCGCATTTCGTCTCGCCGCGAACGGTCCCGACTGAGCCGGTGTAGCCGGTGGGAAGGCCGTCGTGAACGCGTCGTCAGCGACGGATGGCGAGGCCGTGATTAAGACTGCTGTCGATGCCTTTGGCACGGTCACCATCCTCATCAACAATGCTGGCATTCTGCGCGACAAGGGGTAAGGCTCCACGTCGTTCCTCAGTGCAGGACCTCACATGCAGTCAGATTCAAGAACATGTCGGATAAGGAGTGGGACCCAATCATGGAGGTGCATCTCAAGGGCGCCTTTGCGTGTTCGAAGGCCGCTTGGCCGTACTTCCGTAAACAAAAGTTCGGGCGGGTGGTCAACACAGCCAGTGCCGCTGGACTGTATGGTGCGTTATCCGAGCCGCGACCTGTCGACACATATCTGACGGAATGCGAACGCAGGCAACTTCGGTCAGGCCAACTACAGTGCCGGAAAGATGGGTTTGGTCGCACTGTCGAAGACATTGGCTTTCGAGGGTGCCAAGTACGGGATCAAGGCTGTCACCATTGCTCCTGTGCGTGAAATAGAACCGTTGTGTATCTCATCTCATGCTTGGATGTTTAGATTGCTGCCTCTCCGATGACCGAGACCATCATGCCTCCTGAAATGCTGGCCAACTTGCAGGTGCGCGCTGATACCTTGTGACGTCACTCTCATCTCACGCGTTCGTCAGCCAACACTTGTTGCGCCCTTCGTTTTGGCCGTCTGCCACCCAGATGGACCTGATGCTTCCGGGAAAGTGTTTGAGGTCGGTGCTGGCTTCGTAGCCGAAATTCGATGGGAGCGCAGCACGGGGTCCATCTTCAAGACGGACGCCTCTTTCACACCGTCAGCTGTGAAGGCTAAGTGGGCCGAGGTCACCGACTTTAGCAAGCCTGTCTAGTGAGTGCTTATTTCTGTCGGTATTCTGTCTCATTATGAACTCTTTATCAATGTAGTCCCACCAAGGTCACTGATGTTGATTATGACGGCATCTTGAAGAAGGCCTCATCAATGTCAACGAACCCACAATCTTCACCTGCAGTGCGCTTTGACGGAAAGACAGTGATCATCACCGGAGCCGGAGCCGGTCTCGGACGGACGTATGCTCTCATGTATGCCCAGTTGGGGGCCAACGTTGTCGTGAACGATGTCAACGAGAAGGGCGCCAACTCTGTCGTGGATGAGATCGTGAAGGCCGGCGGAAAGGCGGCGGCGGCTGTCTGCTCTGCCGAGGAGGGTGAGGCTATCGTCAAGGTGGCACTAGAAAAGTTCGGCGGCGTTCACGTGCTCATCGCCAACGCTGGCATCCTGCGCGACAAATCGTTCCTGGCCATGACGCCCCAAGAGTGGGACATTGTTTTGGCCGTCCACTTGCGTTCCACATACAAGGCGTGTGGTCATCGTCCCCTCTCAGACTGTCGCTGACCGTGCTCTAGTGCGCTAAAGCCGTTTGGCCGATCTTCCAGCAGCAAAAGTATGGTCGTATCGTCACGACGGCTTCGCAAGTGGGCATTTGTGAGTTATGATGCTGTCATTCTATGTTATGCCCACTGACCTTGATTCAGATGGCAACTTTGGCCAGGCAAACGTCGGTGAAGTCTTTCTGCATCCAACAACATCTCATTCGTCGTGATAGTACTCGACGGCCAAGGCTGGCATCATTGGTTTGACGCGTACTCTGGGCATCGAGGGCAAGAAATACAACATCTTGGCCAACGTCATCGCGCCGTCCGCCGGCACAGCGATGACAGCAACAATATGGACACCGGAGATGGTGGAGTCCTTCAAGGTGGGCTGACAAATTAATGGTTGGTCAAGTTCGTCGCTGAAGATGTTGTTAGCCCGACTTCATCGCCCCCTTGGTCGGATACTTGACCAGTGCCGGTTGGTGCTGATCTGATCGTACCCCCGCTGATTACTGAACACTCGAACAGACAACACCGAGACCACCAGCTCCTTGTTTGAAATCTTGGGTGGCTGGATGGCCCAAACTCGCTGGCAACGATCGGGCGGTCACAGCTTCCCCGTCAAGGTGCCATTCACTCCTGAAGACGTTGTGTCTAAATGGGGTCAAATCACCGCGTTTGGTTCGTCTGCGTTTGGTTTTTGCCGCTATTGCTGTCTCTGATTGCGATCCATTCTAGACGATGGTCGCGCAACACACCCGTCGACGACTGCAGAAGCCCTGGAGCAGGTGAGCTGCTTTCTTTCTGGCTACCCCACATGGATTCTCAATGGTCGCAGATGGTCGCCAACTTTGGAAACGACGGAGGAGCTACCAAAGCGAAACTGTAAATACATTTACGAACATCATATTTCTGTCATGACTTCTGCATCTTAATCACACTGGAGGGGAAAACGACAACTCAGGGTCTTTTTTCAAAGCTCGCCAGCAGCCATAAGGATAGCCGATGGTCTTTGGCTCCAACCGCAAGCCAGCGTTCCCTGGCTTGTCGCTCGTCTCCAGTCATTTCTTCTTCTTCAGGGTCTTCCTCTCCAGGCTCTTCAGAAACCCCCGACCGAGCAAACTCAACCGCCTGGCAGCCTGATTTGTGGTATTTCAATGTGCCCAATGCTTTGAGATTCTTCGTCGCATATAATCGAACTCTGTTTGCTCAGATCAACAAGCGAACGGGTGCACATGGTCAGAGTGAAGCACCTTCCGTCCCAGCCCCCCACAGCACAAACCCGGCCATCATCGCGGATGGCGAGGCAAGCATTCCCTGCATGCTTTGTGCGATGTATCATGCCCGGGCTGATCGCATCTCGAGATAATTCAAATCGACCGACCAGGTGGTCTGCAGAGACGGTCAACGCGATTCGGTTGTCACGAGACACTCGCATGGCCATGACTGCACGGACTTCAGTAAACAGCAGGATGGGACATAAGAAAGCACGGACTGGCTTCTGCATGCAGTTTTTGGTGCCAAACGACGTCCCATCCCCGTCCCTCGATCGAGGGCTCAGTGCCGACAAACCGACGCAAAACGACGCTCCCATCTTCATATGCACAGACGAAGCAGAGCTTCCGCGTTTCGTCCCGATACAGATGCATGGACATGATGAGCCCACTGCGCATCCCCTCACGCCCCGTCGTCGAGAATATGTGCTCTTTGCGCTGCGTGCCAACCGAGGCATGCAGGCGCTCTCGCGCCGGGAGGCGCCACACGTCTGCCTGTGCCTTGTTCAACTGCAGGTCACCCATAAACGGTTCTAGATTTCACCTCTGAGGATTCGACGAGGTTCGGGAGCGCGATGAGGGCGTCCTCGTCAGACACCGACAACAACGAGAATCGACAGTAGTTGAGCGCGTTGACATCCATCGAGTAACATAACGACGGTTTGGGGACATCGTCCGGGGCGCTGGCTCCGGGGGCACCACCCACGCGTGCCGACGGGGTCAAGTCTACTACAAGGTTCCACACATGCAGTTTATGGTCCCGAGAATGCCTGGTGGAGTGGCAGTAAGCGCACGATCCAGGGCAAAGGCATACACCCAGACGGACGTTACGATACGATTGCCCCACTCCTCGACGCCGAGGACGCTGTCGGTGTGCGCTGCCCAGGATGTGATGGAACGCAGCGACCGCGTGGACGTTACGACGACCCGGCCCGACGCATCGCCTGAGTACAGGCGTTCATTGTCGCCGGAGAAGAAAAGGGCTGTCACGTCCGCCGAGTGTGCGCGGACGAGATGAGTGGGTGCCGCGGGTGCAGCCTCCATGTTGACATCTGATTGTCTGCGATTAGATGCAGATAAGATCATCACCCTGTGTATTACGTACTTACAAGGCACAGCTACTAGGTGACACAGCTTTGAGTACATTACATATAACTACGCAGCGACTACGCCGCTCTGCTCGATCCCTATAGAGACCGAAACTCCGCGTCGTTGCCGTAGCTCTGTAACGCAAAGATATACCTGATTCACGTTTCGACACCATCCAGAGCAGCGGGAAATGACTAATGCCAAGCAGTAATGAACGGGTCAACGCAAGGTCAAAGGCCTGAACAGAGATGCATGATATGGGAAATCGGCGCTCTCGTTCGGGAGTTGAACAGAAGATTCGCGCGTGAAAATCAGGCGTCTGTTCGCCTCTGCAACAGTGCGTCTGAATCGAATATCATTCACCTTGACATTCATCTATCGATGATCTGGAGTTTCAACAAGTTTCGAGCGGAAGTGATCTATTCCGTGTTGATGTGGCAATCTCTCTCCGACCCATGGCCGGCTCATCTTAGTAGGGCTAGATGTTACTGGATGACAGATCTCTTTCCTTGCGTGTCGGAGCGGGCTGAGATCGTTTCAGGTCCATCACATCTCGGGGAATCGGGTAGTCGGGTGGCCAACATGTGAGGTCTCAGAGGAAACCAGTGCTGCATGCAACATCGTCGTCGATCTCTAGAGTCGGAGTTGGGTCCTCCTGAAGAATTGCACAAATCGTGTCTGACGGCGCAGAAAATTCCTCAGGAGGACTGGAGTACCAGCGAAGTACTAGCGGTGGTTTGGCTTCGGAATCTTTCGACTCCATTGGAGAATCCATGCGACAGTGGGCAAGCGAGTCGATGCGATGATATCGAGTGATCAGTACCGCTACACTTACAACCAATCAAACTTCAGACCTGCGGCCATCATGACGCCGATCGACGACAAGTTCTCGTATAAAGGGCAGCAGGGGCAGACTGCATTTCCCCAGAACTGGTTTCTTTCTTCTCGCTCTTCTTCTTTTGCATTTCGCCCCGACTAGCTCGCCCTTTTCAGATCTTTTCATTCGCCTTTCTATTTCTTTTCACTTCTTTACACATCATGAAGTTCTCCGCCGCATTCATTACCGCCGCTCTTTACGTCGGTGAGAGCATTCCTCTCGAGGTTTCGATCGCGCACTCAACCATCTCCCAGTTTCTGTCAGCGCTCACGAGCTCCCCTCGCGTTACGCTGGCCAGCGCCGTGGCAATCAATTCGTGACTGGTCCATGCCAGCAAGATTCTGATGTGGGTTGGATTCTGTGCCTGATCGACCTTCTTCTTATACCGCGCGTATAGTGTCAGCAAGGGTGCTGTGCCTTTAACACTGGAAAGTGTGCTGGCCCAGCTGTCGCTCAGACTCGGGATGGAGGATGCGGTCACGGAAGCCCGGCTCCTAACTGCAATGTCGCAGCCGCCTTGAAGCTCTCCGACTGCGCGCCCGGTGCAGTGAATGGCGATCTGTCCAGCCCTGCCATCCAGTCCGCTGCTGCGTTCGTGGCCAAGCTGGACAACATCCCCTTCACCCCGACTGCACCTGCGGCCGCCCCTCCCGCCCCGCCCGCGAGCAACAACGCTGGCGGGGGAGGAACGCCCACGGTGGCTGCTCTCGCTGCTGGTCAATCTGCACTCGGATTCGTCACCTCGGCTTGTGCCACCGACTCTGATGTGCGTTGAATAGAAAACCCGCGCGATCAGACTGTTTAACTAACCCCCGTACTTTCAGTGCCAGCAGGGATGCTGTGCCTTCAACACTGGAAAGTGTGCCGGCCCGGCCATTGCCCAGACCCGGGACGGAGGCTGCGGTCATTCCAGCCCGGCTCCTAACTGTGAGTTGATCGCACTTATACCAGTGTCACGAGTCTAACAAGATCCGCAGGCAACGTCGCGAAGGCTCTCGGTCTCAATGAGTGTGCCGCTGGTGCTGTGAACGGCAACCTCCAGGACCCGAAGATCCAGGCTGCCGCCGCCTTTGTCTCGATTCTCGACAACATTCCGTTCACCCCGAGCGCTGGCTCTGCCGCTGCCGCGCCACCACCTGCTGCTGCTGCACCCCCGGCTTCGAACAACGCTGCCGGCGGAACCAAGTCGGTCTCGGCTCTTGCTGCTTCCCAGTCTCCTCTCGGATTCGTCACCTCGACTTGCGCCACCGACTCTGACGTGAGCTTCGAGTAGCCAGGTCTCTGAGTCGGAAGCTGATGTCGTTTCAGTGCCAACAGGGTTGCTGTGCATTCAACACCGGAAAGTGCGCTGGTCCCGCGATTGCCCAGACCCGTGACGGAGGCTGTGGTCACTCCAGCCCCGCCCCGAACTGTTAGTGTTTGCGTCGTGTCATTTCCGCTCCCTCTGATCCACATCCAGGCAACGTCGCCAAGGCCCTTGGTCTCAATGAATGTGCTGCCGGCGCTGTGAACGGAAACCTCCAGGACCCGAAGATCCAGGCTGCTGCCGCCTTCGTCTCCATCCTCGACAACATCCCCTTCACCCCTGCGTAAATGAGTAATGCCACGGAGATTGATGAGAAATAGTTCCCACCACCTGCACTGTATGACCTAGGCTATTAGTAGGATATCGGCTGTGTCGATAACGCGAATGAAAAAATTGGGGGTGTTTGCAAGAAACGTGCTGTTATCGAACACATTGGAAGCTCGCTCTGGTCCGCCCCGAGGCGCATCAGTCGTTTCCCGATCCGGACTACAGGTGTTGAGTCACGCCATCGTGGCTGTGGTTGTCAATCAAACGCGCTTCCCCAATGGTCTAACCTAACCTCTTGTACTACTTACCAACTCACACGATCATGACCTTTAACGATTCGCAAAACTCCTCCTCCTCATATTCCTGGCACCAGGTGAGCACCTCTATCTGCATGGCATCGAGCTCATCGCTCACTCCCGATGTCCGCAAGTCGCACGATCAGGTACTGGACGCCTCATGGTGTTCAACGTGTTCTGACGCTTCGGAATTTCGAGGCTACTGTACTTTTCCATGTTCCTTTCGGAACCACAGAGGCAGATGTCCGTATCCGTCTCATTTCCTGCTATTCATGGTCGTGCTGACCCTAAATCAACGCAGATTCATGTAGAAATTGAACCCACGGGGAACTATATCGTCGCTGGTGTACGTGGACAGCCGCCGACCATCAAGGTGCGTTGTTCTTGAATTTCAAGCCAGAAACCGAGCATCTTGTTAGGGTCGCTTCTATGCTCGGGTCGACAGTGCAGGGAGCATGTGGCAGCTCGAGCCACTGCGCTTAAGGTCTCGGCTCTCGGCCCGCGAACGCACCAACTCCACGACCTCAACAGCTTCCACGCATTCATCCTACGCATTTATATCCGACCCGGAGATATCGAGCAGTTTTGCGGCGTCTCTAGAGAGCGGGCCTGCTTCGGACTCGGAGGATGTGACGGGGTACTCATCACCCGTCAGCCCCCGTTCGCATCCTGTATCTCGCTCCGTATCGCCAGGACGTTTATTTCCCAATCCTACGTCCTCGCTTTCTTCTTTGGAGTCTCTGCACGTCCACCGGCCTGGGCGCTTATTGACCTTACACCTTGAGAAGAAGCAGTCCATCATCTGGCCGTCCCTCATCGTTGGCCCTTGCGCGGACACACTCTCACCCCCTGTTGCAAACTCGGTTGTTTTCAAAGCTAGTGAACAGCTCGAGCATCAATACAATATGGATCCGACCAGTCTCATACTCACAGCACTCGAGTTGTTCGATATCAGGCAAGACAGGGAGGCATCATTCGAGTATTTCCTGTGAGCTCTTTCCTTGCGCGCCTGTCTTTCGGCTAGCTCAGGATCACATTCCACAGTCGAGCGTGGCATCAGGCTCATCTACCCGCGTCCACCATGAGATTGGTCTCGCACTACCTTCCACTTCATAAGACTGCTGATCTCGTCGAAAGCAAAACTGCCCGGCCGGGAACGGTGTCCTACTATGCACAGTGCATCGGTGGGGAAGATGGACTGGCACAGCTGTATCTAGAAGCTGGGATGCTACATCTCGAAGGTGCCGCGTCAGCTCTTCTGGTTTCTTCGGCAGCAAGCCTGTCGTCTCTCCGGGTATCTCAGTATCCTCTTCATTCCGGCGATGGAGCGACCGAAGCATGGCGGAACGACAGAGACGCAGCCAGCAGATATTTCGAACGAGCTCGATCCCTCCAGCCTGGCTTGGACATCCCTGTTCTGCCTCCATTGGGCCCAAGTCTTTCGCGGAATCCTTCGGAACAGCTCGAAATGCCGTCAATCGACCTGTCTGGGTTCAGTCCTCCAGAAGTTGCGAGGAGGCGCAGGAAACTGAAGGACGAAGGCTCAACGACGATTTTCGATGATCGGGGTCACAGATTACCAGACTTGGACAATACTTGGTACTTGTACGTACCAGGATTAGTTGGAACCGGAACAGCGCTGCTCTTGGTTGGTGTCATCGGCGCGCTTAGCTTTTCGTCGTGGTCAAGGAGGAACCAGGGCTCGTGAGTAGTATGTACTACTTGATGGGCATAGATAGATCTGTCACGTCATATCGTTTACTAACATGGATGATCTGTATTCATCTTGTTTTCGCCCTTCGCTGTGTTCGGCTCCTGTGAAGAAAATCTGAATCTCTGAGACGGCCATGAATCACTGGGACACGGATTTTCTGCAGCCCAGTTCGCACGCTGCCACTACGGACCGTGCTCTGATCATCCTGAACCAACCGTTCTCGGACACGCTTTTCTTCCGGCTATGGGCCTCGACGCAATGGCATTGCTGCGCAGACGGCGGCGCGAACCGGCTTTATGACACGCTGGGACCCACGCGGAGCTTGCAGTGAGTCTGCTCGAACTGAAGCCCTCTGCCGGCATCGGAAGGCTTCTCCACCCAAGATATCTCCCGGACCTGATCAAAGGGGATCTGGACTCTATCCGCGAGGATGTCCGTGGGTTTTATGCTTCCCATGTGCGGCCTCCAGTCTCCGTCTACTCTGTGATGTTCTCACAATCCCTCAGGGAGTTCCTGTGGTGCAAGATTTCGATCAAGACTCCACGGATCTCATGAAATGTGTTGACGCGCTGCAAGAGCTCGAGGATAAGGACACGACAAAGGTCAGTCAACCGCAGGACACCGCATTAGCCCGAAGGCAGATTGGTTTCACAGCAGCACACTATCGTTTTGCTTGGGGGGTTATCTGGGAGATTAGACCAAACAATTCACACGCTGAGTTATCTGCACAAACTCCGCAGAACAAGAAGGCGTGTGTTCGCTGTGACCGATGACAATGTTGGATGGGTGTTGGACGCTGTTCGTTCGTGTTTCTGCGCGGTCTGGCGAAGCTCATAATCCCAGGGCCAGCACACGATCACGGTTGACCAAACGGTGCTGGGCCCAACATGCGGATTATTACCCGTAGGAATTGATTCGACTATTCTTACGACGAAGGGGCTGCGATGGAATCTCAGTTTGTCCCATTCTTCACGCCATAATTACTAGCCTAAGCTCACACAGCGAATCACACGTCATCCTTCGACGGCTTAGTCTCAACCTCCAATCAGTTCGTTGCAGATGAGAATGATATCTATATAGAGACCTCAAAGCCAATCTGGTGGACAGCAGAGCTGCGGTCACTGTAGAGTAGACAGAACAGACTTAGAATACGCTTATCGATTAGATACTGATATACATAGAGGCAAGAGATCATCAATCGGATTGCTTCCTGTTCTCAACTTGCATGTCGGCTCCCACTGAGATCTTGGTTCTCTATTTCGCTGCCGCATCTACTGCCACTGGCCTCACATTCGAAAAGATTCAGCTGCCTCAGACCCAATTCCCGCTCAGCTACTTGAGTGATCTGCTTGTCGCAAGACATCCGCAAAGTCCGGCGCTCCGTGAGATCTTGGATGGAAGCAAATGGAGCGTGGATGCGGAGATGGTCGATGAGCCCGAGAGCTGCATTCTGCGTGGAGGAGAAGAGGTCGCCGTTATATGTCCCGTGTCTGGCGGCTGAAAACGCGTGGCTACTATCTCTCACATTCCTTCTCCTGCTGTCCATCCCTCTGTATCGACGCTGTCGGAGGACAAGTTCATACGGCCAACCTAGCTATGCATTTACTGCGATCCGATTGACCCCTACAACCTTCATGCTCACGTATGAGTTCCATCTCACTTGGCGCTTCCCGGCTGACCTCGGACAGCGAGTACGACGACATTTTCGACGAGCATCCCCAAATCTTCGTCAAAGTGGTCTCTTCCGCAAACACTGTACTAATCATCGACTCTGGCTGTGGAGGGAAGAGCGCACGACCTGCGAAGACAACCTCCTTGCGAACCTTCATTGAAAAGGCAAAACTAGACTGTAATGGAGGAGTTGCGCTCAATGAGGGAGGTAGGATGGACTACGTCGTGGTTGCCACTCATTGTCACTATGATCACATTCGTGAGTGTTCGATACCGATCCGCGGACAGACAGATATTGAGATGAGATAGTGGGGATAGAACAATTCACAGACTCTCCCATCTTGGTATCTGGTCACGACGCGTCTTTCATATCACCGAAGAATTTGCCTGCACACAGTCTGTGTCAAACCCTGGGCCTGAAAACTCCGCAGTTCAAGGCCACTCTCGTTTCGCACGCGTATCAGATTCGTTCCGTGGAGGACGTTCCGCTCAACGTTCAAGTCTTGCATACTCCAGGGCACACTCCAGACGAGGTCGCACTCTACGATTACTCGGAAAGGATGCTCTATGTCGGGGACACCGTGTACGAAGTAGAGACGATCATATTCCCTTCCGAGGGCTCGATTGTGCAGTGGATGGACTCGATGCAGTATTTGATCGCGTTCGTCCGAGAGCAGAGCGGTCAGACGCCAGTCCAGCTCAATGCTGGTCATCGCACATACAGTCGGCCAGCCATGGACGTCTTGATCGCTGCGAGAACGTTCATAGAGGACGTGATAGCAGGCCGGGAGCAAGTGAAGGATCGGATGCGCCGGAGAGGAGAGGAGAACATTCGATATGAGCAGGGAGAGGGTCGGTTTGCGTTGCTCTGTCCGGAACGGTTAGTATTGGAGGCCCGGGATAGCGGAGTTGCCTACCGATGATGATGTGTTATCTACGCTGTTGCTTCATGAAGTCTTGTTCCAGTTCAGCTAGGAATTGATCGGCAGCACTCTTGCCTGACGACTGAGCAGACTGTTCCAGCGCAGCAAACGGATCGACAGGCGGGGTGACTGCCTCGACTGACGTTGGTTTCGTTGTCTGACTTGGAGTGGAGGTCGCTGTTAGCTTCCGGCGCTTGGCATCGAGCAGCTTTCGCCGTTCTTCCAGGTCTCGTTTCCTCTTTTCCATGGCGCGACTTTGTCCAGATGGAGGGCCTTCTCGCATGCCTTCTATATCGCCTGGTAGGACGTCGATCGCTCCGGTCTCTTTCCTTGTGTTCAGAGTCTCTTCCCTCGACGCCTTGAGCTCGTCCATCTGAGCCTTGCGAGTCTCTTCGTCCTTGGAAAACTGGTAGAAACCAGCGCCTTTGGCACGATTTTCGCCGGATGCATCGTAGTGAGCACCGAGCGGGTTGTTCTCCTCTGCATGTTCTTTCTCAATTTGAGCCACTCGTTCAGCACTGGGCCTGTACACCGGAAAGTGGCCGACAGGGTTGTGGATAACCAGGTCCCTTCAAAAACGTCTCGGTATTCGTGATCCTAGAACAGCAGAATATCAACGTACTCATCTTCGTCTACTTGGGGCTCAGGGTTTAGAAGTTCGCGCGGGACCTCTGACCGCCGAGCTGTGCGCAGCCGCCCGAACTCATCTTCGTACTCAACAATAGGGTCATCCTGCATATCGTCAGTTAGCGTTTCAAGGCTATACGAACACTGACCTCATCGGGGGGTGGGCGAGCGAGCGCGACCGATTCGTCCAAATCGTCACTGTCTGACTCGAAGAAATGATCCCCAGGTTTTGAATCAAACTGAAAGGCTTCAGGATCAGTGATGGTCTGGAGATATGACTTCATGGCGCACATCGACGAGCAGATTCTCATATTGCTTGTCCGACAAGCCGCCATGTTTTCCTTTCTTCAGCTTCTCGTATATCTTGGCCTTGCGTTCAAGTGCGCTGCGCGCCGATTCCAACGTCGGCTGGCTGACTTTCTCCATCTCGAGGTCTCGCGCGGCCCGTTTTGACACGCCGTGGTTTTGACGTGTCCATACAGTTGGTTTCTAGAGTAGGATTAAGAGAATGGTGCTCTCGAAATTTCGTTTACATACCTTGTCAGGTCGCTTGACCCCGCCCACGACGTAGCCCGCCGTCCCTGCTTTGTTGCGTGTGAACTCGTCCGTTTGCTTGGACAGCTCGGCTTTGAGGTCAAGGAAGGAGCTGGCACTGACGCCTTTTGCCTTGGATTTTGCTTTGCCCGCCATCGGTGCGATTATACTTTTGTCCGTCGCTTTCCGACCTGTAACGAGGCAAGAGTGAAGTGGAAGTTTCAGAAGACGCGAGGTCAATCAGGAACGTTTCGGGATGCGAAGTGGCTCGTGAAAGGTCTAGGATAGATTGAGTCAACGGTTCATGACCGAAAGACCAAGGAAGACGATACTGAACGCGGCCTGCCAGTGGTACAGATCCGAGTGGCAGCGCCTGTCAATGGACGGGAATATCCGAGCACGGTGATGATGACCAGCCCGAAATCTCATTCAAACACCACGACCACGTATCAGGCGACGTGTTGAGGCACCACTTAAAAGGCGCGTTAATCTCTGGGGCGGATGTCTCTAGTGCTGAGGCCCAGTGCTATGTGATGTTCTATGGTCCAGTTCGCTGACTTGATGTCACAACATAGGCCTTTTACGTTCCTTTCCGAAATATTTCTCTTCACATACCGGCTTCGACGAACATCATGGCAGACCATAAGGGAGCGCGGCGGCGCAATGCGGGAAAGGCTGAAACACCGGACGTTCCATTGGAGCCAACGTCTGCAGTGCCAGCTACTACTGCCGATGGGAAAGACTTGAACGGTAAACCCATCCGTCGGGAGGCTGAGAAACCACCACAGTCCGATTTTGTAAGCACTCTACATATTGTCGTGCGCGTTCACGACTCACCGCGCCTATAGGTCGCCTTGCTCTTGCCACACCTCGACCACATCATCGCTTTGGTGTACACATCGCTTTCTCTCTTCACTCGCTTTTACCGTATCGGGCACGCAAAGAACGTCATCTGGGATGAAGCTCACTTTGGAAAGTTCGGTTCGCACTACCTGAAGCGCGAGTTCTACTTCGATGTGCACCCGCCTTTGGGAAAGATGTTGGTCGGGCTCGCTGGATTCATTGCAGGATACGATGGCTCCTTCGAATTCAAAAGCGGGGAGGACTACGCTGAAAACGTACCCTTTGTTGCAATGCGTATGATTCTGGCGTCGTTTGGCGCGGCGATGGTTCCCTTGGCATGGTACACGTCGATTGAGTTGGGCATGAGTCGTTGGTCCTGTCACTTGATTACACTCATGGTTCTCTTCGGTGTGTTTCAATCACTGCTGAAAGCAAATGACTTACGGCCAGCTCAGATCTTGGCTGGCTGGTCATCTCACGATTCATCCTTCTCGACTCCATGCTTCTGTTTTTCACCGTGTTGACGGTGTTCTGTTTGACCAAGTTCAACAATCAGCAATCGAGATCATTCTCTGCTGGCTGGTGGACTTGGTTGTTCTTGACCGGTGTCTCCATCGGTTGTGTGACCAGGTAAAGTCCGTCCAGCTGCTCAGTAGTTCAGGACTGACTACTGCAAAGCGTCAAGATGGTCGGATTGTTTGTCACTGCACTTGTGGGACTGTATACTATTGAAGATCTATGGGGGAAATTCGGGGATCTGAAGATGTCTGTTGTGAGTCCTTCTGGTCCTGAAAATCAAGCGCCTGGAAGCCTACATTCGATTGCAGACCGACCAGGCCAAGCACTGGGCTGCCCGTGTAGCATGTCTAATCATCGTCCCGATCATTGTCTTCATGATCTCGTTCAAAATCCACTTCTTGATACTCAACGGATCTGGCCCTGGTGATTCGCAAATGAGCTCCCTTTTCCAGGCCAATCTCGAAGGGAATGACTTCCGCGACAATCCATTGGGTGTGTTTTCGTCTCGCTCCATGCAGGCCAAATACTCACCTTGCACGCAGAGATCGCGTTCGGTTCTAAAGTCACTCTGAAAGCCTATGGATTCGGCGGTGGCCTACTTCACTCCCATCTGCATTCATATCCGGAGGGCTCAGCGCAGCAGCAAGTCACATGCTACAGCCACAAGGATTCGAACAATGTGGGTGCTCTGGATATGCCGCAGATCGCGCACTCATCTACGGCCAGGACTGGAATATTCTCCCGCGATGGGACGAGGCTCCGATTGATTACGAGGGTCCCATCAGATTTGTGAAGCATGGGGACGTCATCCGACTCCAGCACGCTGAAACCACGAGGAACTTGCACTCGCATCCCATTCCGGCACCTATCACAAAGCTTAACCACGAGGTGTCGTGCTATGGGAATTCGACCATCGGCGATTTCCAGGATTATTGGGTGGTCGAAGTCATTGATGATGTGCTGCGCGGAAATCGAGCCCACGTCGACAAAGTCCATGCACTGACGACTAGAATGCGTTTGAGACACCAGTCCCTGGGATGTTATCTGCATGCTGGTCACGTCAACCTGCCGCAATGGGGCTGGAAGCAGATTGAGGTCACATGCGCGCCTGCGAACAACACCAACGACATTGACACATGGTGGAATGTGGAATCGCACTACAATGATCGCCGTCAGTGCAAGTGCTATGTGTATGGACTTGTCCTGATGTCCTCGCAGTACCCCCCACCGATCTTCAGTCCATCAAGACGTCTTTCCTCCACGATTTCTGGCACTTGAATGTTGCGATGATGAACTCGAACAATGCTCTCATCCCAGATCCAGACAAGGAGGATATCTTGGCCTCGCAGCCATTTGACTGGCCGTTCCTGCACCTCGGACTCCGGATGTGTGGATGGGAACCCAAGCAAACCAAGTTCTATCTCCTCGGGAATCCCATTGTCTGGTGGGGAAGCTCGACTAGTTTGATTGTCGCGGGGGTCACCTTGGCTGTGTATTTGATGAGAACCCAGCGGAAGCAGGTGGTTCTGACCGACGGTGTGTCCGGGTTTTACACACACACGACGGTGCTCTGACTCGATGGCAGCGGAGTGGGATCATTTCCTGTACGTCGGAAAGATCGCCTTCTTTGGATGGGGTTTGCACTACCGTGAGTTTCTTAGACTACTCCGTGGTTGTTTGCTGAATGATCCGTCCAGTCCCATTCCTGGTCATGGGTCGAGTGACGTATCTGCACCACTATGTAAGTGACTCTGCGCCGTTGTCTGGCCCAAAATTGACGTATCGGCCAGTTGCCTACGCTCTACTTTGCGGTACTTATGTTCGGTCACATGCTCGATCACTTCATCTTTTCTTCCACCCGACTGGCTCTGGCCACAAAAACAGCGATATTTTCGATCTGCTCGGCTGCGGTCATCGCTGCATTCTGGTGGTTCAAGGGCATAGCGTTCGGAATCGACGGGCCGATCTTGGACCACAAGGGACTATTATGGCGGAACGTGAGCCTATTCGTTGTCTATTACCTCCCAGTTTACTCAGGCCAGTGCACAGAGCTGGAACATTTACTTGCAATGAGCATCCCTGTATTATTTATCCAGCCAGATTGCGGCCCTAATAGATATATACTGTACATGCATGCGTTACATCCGAACATAGCTAACACGCCAGATCAGCACCGAGAGAACCATTGAAGGATGGATGCTGGCACTCACGTTGCATCGATCTGCTTCAACTGAGGTAAAGCAAGAATGATTTTCCTCCGGTAGTTGGAGGGGTCGCTACTTTGACACGGGTTGGCCTCCAAGTAGATCGTTTCCAGCGTGTCGATGTGCTTCAGCTGTCCATCTAGCGCTTGGAGATTTGGGATTTGGTTGCCCGTCAACTGCAGAGTTCAGAAGCAGTAAGATGGATAACAAAGGTGACAACGAACCCAGAGCTCCTGCAATTTCGTCAGATGGGATATATTTTCAATCTCTGGAACGAAGTTGTTCCCCAAATCGAGCGTCGTCAGATTGACCTGAGATAACGATGAGCGGGAAGCTGGGGCGGCTCGGAGCAGTTTCCCCATACATTCGCTTCCAATCCTTCCATCCGCTCAACCCCGTTATGGCTCAGATACAGCTCTTCTAGCCCTTCCAGCTCTTCTAGTCCTTCCAGTTTCGTGATTCGGTTAGATTGTAACGACAAAATCTTCAGTTTTTTGAGTTTCCCGAGATTCTAATGGGAGATCACTAAAGCGGAGAACACATTGGAGAGAACGCTGTTACCTCGAGCTTCGTAATCTTGTTCTTCCCCAGCCAAAGTTCTTCGAGATTAACCAAAGCGTCTAGATTTTCGATCGTCTGCGGAAACGATCAGACGAAGGTAGCTGGGCGTCTGACTTGGATCTGACCCGGATCTTGTTTCCGCCGAGTTCCAAGCTGCGCAGACGAGTCGCTTTATCCAAGTTTGAGATGCTCGAGATGCGGTTCTGAACGAAGAACACCGTGTCCAGCGCGGGTAGACGGAGCAGTACATCTGGGACAGTTTTGATCAAGTTGAACGAGAGATCAAGCACTCTGCACGCATGTCAGCGACCGAGCGCTGATCCAGATGGGAGTAATGACGTACTTGAGACTCTCCAGCTTGTTCAGCGCATCGTCGACGTGCTTGAGCTTATTGTCGTATAAATCGAGCTCCTCCAGCTTGATCAGCGGGTCAAACACTTCGGGCTCGAGAGCGGAGATGAAGTTCTGCCGGAGACATAGTTTCTTGAGGTGTGTCGCGAATCGCGGCAGTCGCAGTGGCGCTAGTGGTCCGATCTTCAAATGGACAAGCTCCAGTTCCTAGAGGACGAGCGTCGATCGCGTCGTAAGGATAACACAAAGAGGTTTACCTCCGTTTCATCTGGAAAGTCCTCGAGGAAGTCGCGCTCTTCGTACTCTTCAGCTGGGGTATCTTCTTCTCCGGAATCCGTGGGGAGCACAACGCGTGCAGTTCTGTCCAATGGATCAAGCCCCGGATGAGCGATATTTCAAATTATATCGTACAGCGTAGAGGGCGGCAGCGGCGGGGGCGTTGTGGGGGCAGACATGATAGCAAAGACTGACTCGAATTCCAGAGATGATTGACGCGGATGATGATGGCACGCGCTCCTGACTCAGCAAGACGCGTCCGCGTCTACGCCCGTGTGCTTCATGCATGTAATAAGTAGTCGGCGATACAGTATATTACAATAGACGAGTTATTTATCCTGCTATACGGCATTTACGAAGTAAAGGAAGTGAATACATATAACTGAACGACCCTAGCAGGTAATCCCACCGATGGCCGTTATTATGGACGAGTGCGCGAAGAAATATTTTACTTGGAAGTTGAATAACAGTTCGAGACGTGACCGAAAAAGTTAAGAGACTGTCCACCTTCGGGACTATTGCTGGGTCAGGATGGTGCGACGACCAGCGGGAGGGACAGCGAGCTCGCGGTCGCGGTCGCGCTCGAAAGATGGAGCCGTCGAGAGTGGGGAGTGGGTTGCAGGAGAAACGCGGCCCGAATAGGATGGGTTGCTGGAAGATTGGACGGGTGAGTTCGTTGCCAATGGCGAAGGAACGGAGTAAATCGCGCTGGGGCCGGTCTGGTACCGCCCTCGCACGTCGTTAGGAGAATAATGGACGAAGTTCATCCCCGCAGCTGGGGGAGACGGCGAGGATGTGCTGTCCTCGAATCCTTCGTCGTACATATGTCTTATAGCAGAATAGACAGGTGTCGATGAGTTCGTTGGTGCTGGAGAATCTTTCTTTATCGGCGCCCCTTTCTCCTTTCGTTTGCGCTGGGCCTGATTGCCTTCCTTTTTGGCCCTAGACCGAGCATATCGGAGTCCACATCTACGTCACAGTTAGGACAGCACCGAGCAAGTGAAAATCACTCACGCATTGCAGAGCTCCTTCTTTCCACTCGGCCCTTTTCTCCATTCAGGACTCGTCGTCGCCTTGCAGCTGGCACACTTGACCACCCCTACAGGCCGTGTTCCGCCACTTCGACCAGATCCCGTCGAATCCCGACCAGATCCCGGACTCACCCGACGTTTAGGAGCGGGAACGCCCTCGCTGCCTGTTTCCTCAGGTGGATTGCCACTATATGCATATCCGGGAGATATCGACCGATGGAACGGAGATCCACTCGATGGGTTGTCGAGAAACGGAGCCTGTGAAGGCCACGTCTGCCCGTGAGGATAAGTCCTATTGCTCGTCGAGGATGATGCCCATTGGCTGCCGCCGTAGGCTTGCGAATAAGGGGCCGGCTCTGGCTGTGAGGACGGAGGCGGGGCGAGATAGTTGTAGGAAGCGGAACCTTGTGGCAGACCGTATGACGGGCCCTGGTGGTGCTCGTAATAAGGGCTTTGGGCGGGGAAGCTTGTGTTGTTGTAGGCAATCTGCATGTTGGCGGAGGACGTGGCGGTGCTGCGAGAAGGGGGATTCACTTTGTGGCAGGCAAATATGACGGAACCTAGAAATACAAGTCAGCCAAACCCCTAAACTTTGGAGTCTGACACACCATGAGGAATGAATATGCTTTCGACCTCACCCGCGACTGCAGGCAAGGTTTGCAATGCTTTGAACCTGCGGGTGCAACTCGTCTTTGCCTCGTTGCCGGATGTAGCACCCGGGCCGATATTCACGTCTTCAACGAGTCTGGCAAAGTCAGTGCCGTGAGGGCCCTGCTGTTGATCCGGCGGCCAGCTGATTAAGAGCGAGCGATTCGGTTCGTTGGAAAGGATTTGGAAGACGCGGTTCATTTTGTTCAGCTGAGGAGCGCAGACAATCAGACGGCGGAATAGGATGTCGGTCTGCTCTTCGCTGAGAACATCAGTACCACACCAGTTTGACCAATCGGTCTTTTGACTCTCGTCGTTGTCTTTGGGCGTGAGGTCGACAACCGCGTGGATAAAGCAGAGGACGACGCCCTCCGCGGCCCAATTGATGACGATATCCACAGCGATATAGTTGTCGTCCAATGCTATTTTATCTGCGTTGCTCCATGACGACACAGGACCCTGGTATCCTAGTTCTCGTCGTATGCGGGACAGACGCGAATAGCGAACGCTGAGCGGATAGGAGATAATCAGGACGATACCAAGTGAGACGGGAACAACGTTGACTTGCCGAGTAACACTTCCATGTAAAGTTCGACTCTCGAGAACATTGCCGAGGTCTTGATGTGCAGAGGACTGCTCGTCCGGATGAACGAAAGTTACCAAGGACTTGCCTAGAAGCTCCTGAGCTTGTTGGCCGAGATGCTGGGCGAGGACGGGGTCGAGATATATAAAGTCCAGGTTGGGGGAGAGAAGAGACCAATCTAGAGAGCAAGTCAGAACAAGCTGATTTACGTTCGCGATCCTGATCGACAAGCGATCGTCGGTTGGATATACGGAGTTCCCAAGTGCGGGGAACGTGTATCGGACGCAGAGTGAGAGTATGAATGTTCTAATGAGAGGGAAATATTTCATGCCCCTCATGCACAACGGAACGGAGACGGGGCCTGGAGAGGATGGCACGAAAGAAATGCTACTCACAGCAGCGCGTTGGTACACCGGGTGACAGAGACGAATCTTGAGCGGTGGGATGACCCGCGTAGAATGACGAGGAGGAAGAATCCGTATGTGCCATCAAGGAATTAAGAGAGTAGTACGGGTAAGACCACCGTCTCAGATGAGGGTGGAATCCAAGCGGTGTAATCAGGGGTCTCACTTTCCAAAACAATAGCCGTCATTGACCGCGTTTCTGGCGCTTTCTTGAAATGCTATCGCGCTCTTGTGGGCGCTCAGGACAAGTTCATCTTATGATTCGCACAGCCTGACTGCCCTCAACATTTCGACACTTGCACGATCGTCGGCAAAAACGAGATCGAGCCCAATGTAGTCACAGCGTTCCAATGAATTGGCGGCGCATGATCCCCTACGTAAACATAGCCACACAACTTATTCTCTTGCGACTCTGGGACTCATGGCACCTCTCAAGAACATTTGGGTCGCTGCTGGGGACGGCGATCTCGACCGCGTTCGCGTGAGTCTATCGGCCTATTTCTGCTATAAACGTCATCAATCCGACTACGACGCAGTATCTCATCGAGCAAGAATGCAAGTCCCCGTTACAGTCGATTAGCCAGGATTGACCTAATCGTTCTTCGCGTTAGCCTTGTCTCCCGACATTCCTGATGAATTTACATACACTCCTATGTATGCAGTCTTGTTCTTGACGAGGATCGCGCTTCATGGAGTGATAGGCACGCCGCAGCGTCTTATGGTCACCTCAATGTACTTGAATATCTCATCTCAAAAGGTACGATGATCCCTGCATCTCTAACGATAACACGGAGTTCAGAACTTCTCAGGTGGCGATGTCAACGTAACCGATGATGATGGAGACACCCCATTATACACCGTGGAAGATGTCGCAACTGCGCGCTTCCTCGTAGAGAAGGGAGCACAGGTGGATCGCCAAAATAAGGAGGGCGTGTCAGTACGTGCTCCTCTTCCCGCATCGAACCTGTTACTGAGTTCTTTCAGCCTATTGACCATCTACAAGAAGAGTTTGGAGATGTTGCAAACTATTTGCAATCGCTGGTTTCGCCCGCCACGGCGGTGGCGACAGAGACCGCACCACAGCCTTCACAGCAGGAGCAAGAAATGACCTCAGATCGACTTGCCTCTGCTCTAATGAGCTCTGTTGATGAAATCATGCGACGAGCTGAGAGAGAAGGAACAGATCCCGACGAAGAACTCAGGCGCGTCGTTGGCCAGACGGTTTTGGAAGGGATGTTGGAAGGCTACTCCATGTCGGAGCCTTCAGAAGAGAACGATAGAGAATCGTCTCCGAACAAAAGACCCCGAACGGACGATGGTCCAGGGTAAGACCTGGGTTGAGATGTCTTTGATGTATGTGTGGGCCTACGTTACTAGCATGCATTCCATTTTGGCTGTGATCGCGTGGCGATCGCAATCGAAAGAAGGTTGCCATGCATCACCATCTCGGCGTTTACATACGCTATGCATAGGCGGCGTTGTTCGTAAATCTGCGTCGTATTGGGAGACCGTAATAGCTTTGACATCGACACATAATATGCACTCATGATAGACCGCAATAAAAAAAGCAGCTCTCGATCATCGATGCCGTCAAGTTCGCTCATTCCTCGACGCGTTCTGTTATTTGTCTACGTGATATTTGGCTGCGCGTGCCGCCATGATCATGATGCCATGATCTCATCACGTTCTGGGTGCAGTTGCGATCCCTCCATCTCGCGATTAACCACCGGTGACCTGCCATGTCTTTGTCTTGGGATCGTGCAGGCCTCACTGCACTCGTGACGCACGAAGATATCTCTAAAGCATCTCGAGCTCCGCCTACACCCGATGCCCCCACACCGATTCTCGCTCTCTCGTCCCAGTCGCGTGCGAAAGGATATGATGGCCTCTGCCTACCTCTCACCACCGAAAGCTGGAAGAAGCGATGGATGAATATGTGCTTACTTCCTGAGGGAATGGAAGAAGCTGCCGGCATCGCAGCCGAGAAGCGAGCAGAGGCTTGGAGGGCTCGACCTGGATTTTTGCTTAATGAGGTCACGTTAACTCAATTAGGTGTGTTGTGCTGCACTCGGAATATGGTCGTCTGTCTAGATGGATGGTAGATGAGGCCGAAGGTGTCATTGCTCTTGTGTCGGAATGGCTCGAACTCGATTCTAACGATGACTGGGTCCGCCATGATGCCGAGATTGTATGTCCTTTTCTTGTGAAAGGTTCGATCACACATCGTTTTTCAGGCTCTGCAACAAGAATTGTCTTACGCGACTTATCTCAATATCCACACTGCGATCCTGCCGCCACCTCGTAGTAGAGAGCACCTCGCTTCCTACGCTCGTGTCGTCAATGCATGCTTGAAAGCATCGCCGTATATGCACATCTCGATCCGGCTTCCCATCTACAATCCTTCTGTCCTCGAATCGCGGGTCCCTCCGGGTGGCCAATCACCACCAAGCATGGTTGCCTCTCCGCCGACGCCCCGATTGGTTGTGTCTGACGACAGGGGCGCTGAGACGACTTCTGCAAATTTGGATGGCACATGGGAAATGTGGGATGTGATCCGGTCTATGTGTGACTACAACACACGACTCAGTCTCAGTGAGTTGCATGCCTGGACTCTTCTTGAAGCTGAGCTGTCCACAGCACTCGACTTGACACCTCCACTGCCGGTCAACTCCGGATTTCTCTCGAAATGGAAAGCTGAGGCAGTGCGGCACCTGTTCTTGCCGGCATCTACTTTTATTGCCAACACTAAAGGCTATCCTGTTCTTCCCAAGGGAACGCAGTCGTTCATCCGGGACAGCATAACGGCGAGCCGTCAATTCGCGTCAACTATGGCAGAGCCTGACGAGGATCAGAACTTAGCATCACCCAAATATTATCCTGGCTGGCGCAAATCTGGGTCTTCACAGTCTCGGCGGAGAAGCTGCTTATTCACAGTACCTGCGACATCTGGAGAAGACGAGTCCATCGGTCCTTGCGGAGAAAACGTCGGGTACCGTTGAGAACTTTGCTCTGGGCTACCAAGACTATCTACAAGCACCCTTGCAGGCGAGTGTTCAGGCCGGACATCGGTCCGCAAATTGATCTGATGACTGTCTCTAGCCGCTCATGGACAATCTGCAGAGCGTCACTTACCAGACATTCGAGCAGGATCCTGTCAAATATCACAACTACGAAGAGGTGCATTGGTTCGACTTCTTCCTGAGAGTGCACCTCATGTCTCGTAGGCGGTCTTCCACGCTTTGCTTGATTGGCCCGGGAATGGAAGGATGTAAGCGCGCCGCAGTTGTTGTGGCTTGAATTTACAATCTCGTGTAGCGTGATCTGTGTCGCGGGCGCTGGTCGTGGTCCCATTGTTTCTAGGTGTCTGAACGCCATTGAGCGTGCCGCAAAAGATGCTCATGTCTATGCGGTCGAGAAAAATCCCAGCGCGTTTGTCACGTGAGCGCGTCAAGCATCATAATCTTTTTCTTGCTTAAAACAAATAATTTAGGTTGCAGACCAGAAAGGAAACCGAGTGGGAGGATAAAGTGACGTTGATTTTCGGGGATATGCGCTCCACCGAACCTGTGGAGAAGGCAGATATCCTAGTCAGCGAGCTGCTTGGATCTTTCGGCGACAATGAACTGAGCCCTGAGTGCTTGGATGGAGCGATGCGCTTTTTGAAGGGCAGGTCAAAGTTGTCATAGGCTCATGTCCTGTTGCTGATTCTGCGGCAGACGATGGCATTTCAATTCCTTCATCGTACACGGCCCATCTGGCGCCTCTTTCGTCTTCCAAGCTCTACAACGAGGCTCGTGGGAGGAAAGACGAAAAGGGACTCGAGACACCATACGTGGTCATGTTCCAGGCAGTGAATCTGCTCAGTGGAGACGGTGAATGCACACAGGGCCGCTGTGGGCCATCGATCCAAGAATGCTGGGAATTTGAGCATCCTCGGCCGGACGCAGTTTTGGATGAGCGCGGACTTCCTCTTACGAACAGTCACAATGTTCGCTCCGCAAAGCTCAACTTCTTCATTCCACATGCAGGTGTTTTGCAGTGCGTTCGCAGTTCTCTCTCGGCAGAGCACATACCTGAGTTGCATCCAGTGGTTTGGCGGGTTACTTTGAGGCCGTGTTGTACGGCAATATCGGGCTGAGCATTCACCCTCAACGGAAGGACCGGATCTCCAAAGACATGCTCAGCTGGTTCCCACTCTTCTTCCCGTTCAAAGTACCTATTCCCCGGATCTCTCCCGTCCCATACTGAGCGATTACCAGGAACCGCTGTATCTTCCAAGTAACTCTGAGCTCCAGGTGAATATCTGGAGACTGACCAACCAGCGCCAAGTCTGGTATGAATGGCACGCTGAAAACTTCTTGAACGTGAATGCTCCGCCGTCGCCCGAGACGGAGATGCCCCCGAGATCCCCCGCCCTCGGCAACGGCGCGTTTTTCTCGTCACCAAGAAACATACCCAGCCCACTTGTTGATGCCATGCCGATGCCGGCTGACATCTTTGCACTGGATCCGAGACGGTCGGAAGCGGGCACTCGACTGATCAAAATCGGGCATACGAGCTTGCATAATCCCGGGGGGCGGAGTAGCTGGATCGGCTTATAATAGATGATTTCTCATCACTGTAGAAGGACTCTTGACTAATCCGTATGAAACGCGCAAACAATCGCAGTGACCTCGCATAGCAGCCGCACGGCCCGCACAGAAATAGTTTACGTCTTCATATATGACACGCAGACAGTATGTGGCGGTGCATCGACATCGCTTCCCAGCACGATCACGTGAGAGAACTCTTCCGGATCGCATCGGCCGGCCCAGTCCGGCCCTTTTTTTCTTCGGTTGGGTTTAGACCGCCTCGTGGCCCTGCGAAAGTTGAGCTTGTGCGTTATCATCATCATTCCTGCCGTGGCGACACGGAACATCTGACTGACCGCTTCTCCCTCCATCCTGCAGATAGAGAACGCGCCACCCCCATGTCTGCGCCCGTCCCAGAGGCAGACACCCTTCTTGACGAGACAAAGATGGAGACAGAGACTATTAGCGTCGCGGATATCGCGGCCCCAGAGGATAACTTATTCACTATTACCAAGCCCAAGCCTACGGAGAATGGTGTTGTAGCACACTCGGAGGCGGAGGAGGGGAACTCAGACGAGGCGACAGAAGACGCGTCGGGCGTGAACGGCGCTGTCGAGCAGAGCGCTGACAAAGTGGCGGAGGTGGGTCGTACGACCTATTGCTCGTGAACGTGCTCAATACTCATCTATTGTTTCTTTCATGGCACAGGCTGTTGAGCCACCGTTTGTCAAGGATGTTGACGAATCACCAAAGGAAACCGTGTCGGAGGAGCCGGCTTTGGAGGTGCGTCGATCGCTCGTTCAGGGCCTCTCACGTATACCGAAACCTCTATCAGATTACCGAACCGGTGCTCACGGAGGCTGAGAAACCTGTCGAGATACCTATTGAGCAACCTCTCGAGACGACTGATGAGGTACTTCGTGACGTTTTCGCTGTTCTTCTTTCTAAGTGCTTACTGCCAAACCAGCTCGTCGTTCCCGACGTCATACCCGCCGCCGAAGAAGCCGCTCCAGTGTCTGACGCGTCGCTCGCATCAACTGACGCGTCGGTCGGAGTGGAAGCCGCGATCCCGGCTTCCCCCGAAGCTAGCGCTGAGGTCGAGGCTCCGATTCAGGAAGTCCTGGCCGCTGATGCGGCTGAAGACATCCCCGTCGAACCGGCCACGGCGGAGGGGGAGAAGGACTCCAGTATGGCTGCCGACGAGGAACAGGCCATTGCGCCTACTATCGAAGTCGAACCAGTTACTGAGACGCCGACTGAACAAGTCATCTCAGAAGCAGAGGTAGACTAAACCGTCGACTGGTGTGTGATTGTGCACTACTGAGTCTCCCCCAGGACTCGTCGAATCTGGCTGCCGACCAGTCCGCGGAAATTGAGCGTCCCAAGTCCCCGTGGACTCCCTCGTACAGCGTCACGACCCAAGGCCCTGGCGTCACGACTGCTGAAGAAGAACAAGCAGAAGCAGAAGAGATTGCCGAATTGGAAGAACTGCCCCCTCCGGTGTCGGTCACCGTCTCGGAATTAGAGCCTGCTGCGGCTACTGACGTCCAGGAGGTGCGTTTCATTTTTCGGTTGGTGATTTGAGCTGGAATGTCTGTGTAGGACGTTGCCCCACAATCTCGTCCATGGACACCGTCCTATTCTGTCGTCGTGCAAGGATCAGATTCCGTTGAACTCCCCGGCGATGAACCTGCCGTCGAGGAAGCTACTGCTGAAGATTCCATCACCCAAGAAGCCACCGACGAGTCTTTGGCTGAAGCAGTCGTACCTGTCACTATTGTCGAGCCAGAGCCTGAGACCGGCGATGCCGAGGTGTGCTATCACTCGCGGTGTGTTCTTACGCCGTGGCTCACGAAAACCTCATAGAGTTCTGTTACGACTTCCGAAGAGCCTCGCCCCAAGTCACCCTGGACTCCGTCTTACTCTGTTGTCGTGCAGGGAAGCCCAGCCGCACCTCCCCTTGAACTTGAGAGTGACGATGCTGTGCGCGAGGAGGCCGATGTCCAGTCCGAGTTGGACGTAGCTGCAGCTGAGGACCCGGCCGAGGCGCCCGTTCTTGCTGAGACCGCTGATGTTGTGGCAGCCGAGGAACCGGTCACTGAAGCCGCAGAGGAAGCAGCCGTCGAGGTCGTCGAGGAACCCGTAATTGAGGCTGTTGAGGAATCCGTTCCCGAGACTGTTGCAGAAACGCCGTTGCTCGTTGATCCTGCTACGCTCGCCGAATCAGACGTCGAGGACGAGTCCATGGACCAAGGCGTAGTGGATGCGCTGATCGAGTCTGGAGTGGTAGCCGAAGAGCCGCCGGTCCAAGTCGAGCTCGGGACATTCATCAAGGACCACGACGAGGTGAGCGTAAAGAAGTTGGGCGTGATCGGATGTGCTTATAACTGGGAACAGGATGAGACTGTGGAAGTCCGGCGGTGGTTGAAGAGGAGGAAGCAGCGGAGGAAGAAGGCCTTGTTCCTGCCGCAGAGATTCCGCGTCCTTGGACACCGTCGTATTCTGTCATCACACAAGGTCCCAACGAGACTGAGGAGCTCCCTGCGGAAGAGGAGGAGGAGGAAGCAGTTGAACAGCAACCGCCGGTCTTCGAGTCACAGGCTAGTGTTCTTTCTTCACCGAGCTATATACGTTCCACTTATATCCCGACAGCCAGTGGTGGAGATTTCGGAAGTCGCTGAAGAGCCTCAAGCAGTCTCTGAAGAACAGGAACCTCCGCGTGCGAGTTCTCCTTGGCCTGTGTCGTATTCCGTCTCGCGACAAGGCAGTCCGCAGCCCGAGATGGCGGAGGTCGACTCTGAAGCTGTGCCAGTAGAAGAAACTGCAGCTGCAGCTGTCGAAACCGAACTTAATGCAGAAGAGGATTCGTCTGTTCCCGAGGCCCTTGAGGTTGCTGTGATCGCTGCTGTTGCTGAGATTTCGGCTGTTCCGGAGGAGTTGACTGATGATGTTGTCGCTGCTACGGAGCCTACAGTGGAGGATCCCGTTGAGACCGTCGCCCAGCCAGGTAAGCTGCACTTGGTTCGTATCGTCATATTGATAAGTCAATTACAGAAGCTGCTGAGGCTGAGGATGCTCCAGTTATCGAGAAGGAGGTTGAGGCTCCTGTCCTTGAGGCTGAAGAAGTCCCCACCGAGTCTGAAGTAACGGCTCCTGCCATCGAGGAAGCTGAGCCTGTCGCCGATGAAACTACGGTCGAGGAGACGATTGCCGAGCCAGTCGTTGAGCAAACCACCATCGAGGTTGAAGAGGCTGTTGTTGAACCGGACACTGAGGCGCCATCTGCGGAGGAGGCGGCTCCCATCCTAGAACAAGTCGCGGTTGTCACCGCTGACGAGCCTACTATCGTTGAAGACGCCGTTCCCGTCTTTGAAGAAGCCACACTGGTTGATGAAGAGGCCGCGCTAGCTGTTGAAGAGACTGTGATAGTCATTGCAGAGACTGCGCCGGCGATTGAAGAGGCCCCTCCCGTGGTCGAAGACACTGTCATTCCAGCCGTCGAAGACATCACGCCTGTCGTTGAAGAAACGGTGCCTGTTGTTGAGGAAACAGTACCTGTTGCCGAAGAACCGGTGCCCATTGTCGAAGAAACAGCACCTGCGGTTGATGAATCCGAACTGACTGTCGAGGAGGCAGTGGTCGAGCCCATTGTCGAGCCCACTTCTGAGCTTGCGCAACCAGTCGAGGAAGTTGTTCCTGACCTCGCTGCCGTCGAGGCCATTCCACCCTCGACTGAGGAACCCGTTGCTGTCGCCGAGGTTGAAAAAACTGTGCCGGCCATCGAAGAACTCGTTGTCGAGCCTGCAGGAGACATCGTCGATTCTGCCCCCGTCGTCGAAGAGGCAGATCCCGCTGCCGAAGAGGAGTTTACAGCTGTTCCAGAGGCTGTCACTGAGATCGTCGCCGAAGAGACTGTATCCGAAGTGCCTGTCGAGGTTGAGGTCGTCGAAGCTGAACCTGCAATCGAAGCCGAAGAGGTCGAGATGACCATCGCGGAGCCTGCGGTTTCCGCAGTGCAATCCGAGTCGATCGAGACCGATGCTGAAGTTGCGGCCCCTGAGGACGTTGTTGCCACGGTCGTGTCCGAGGAAACCCCTGCCACAGAAACTGTCGTCGCAGTTCCTGAGGTCGAAGCAGCTGTTCCGGAGGCAGAAGAGGTTGTCGTTGTTGCAGCGGAGCCTGTCGCTCAACATGAGGTCGAGGAAGCCGAGCCTGTTGCCGAGGCAGTTGAGCCAGCAACAGAACTCGCTCCCGCCGTCGAAGAGACTGCGTCCGTGGTTGACGAGGTTGAGCCTGTGACGGAGCCAGCTGTGCCTGTTGCTGAAGAATCTGCTCCTGTCGTCGAAGAAGTTGTGCCTATCGTCGAGGAAGTCGTCGAGGTTGAGCCTACGGTCGAAGAAGTCACGCCTGCGGTCGAGGAAGCTACTGTCGTCGAGGAACCCGCTGCCGTCGATGAAGAAGTCCCCGTTGTTGAAGTTGTCGAGGCCGAGCCTGCTGTCGAGGAAGCCACGCTAGTTGCCGAAGAATCTGCTCCTACTGCAGCGATTGCTGAACCTGTCGAGGAAGCTGCACCTATCTTCGAGGAAGCTGCTCCCGTCGTTGAAGAAGCTGCTCCTGTCGTTGAAGAAGCTGCTCCTGTCGTTGAAGAAGCTGCTCCCGTCGAGGTTGAACCTGTGGTTAAAGAGGTTGTGCCAGTCGTTGACGCTGAGGAGGTTTCGCCTCCAGTTGTCGAAGAAGCCGCGCCAATCGTCATTGAGGAAGCTGCGCCTGTCTTCGAGGAATCTGCTCCCGTGGAGCCCCTCATCGAGGAATCTGCCCCTGTCGTCGAAGAGGTCTCACCAGTCGTTGAAGCCGAGGTTTCACCAGCAGTTATCGAAGAAGCCTCACCAATCGTTGCCGAAGAAGCTGCGCCTGTCATCGCCGACGAACCTGCTATCCCAGAGCCTATCGTCGACGAAACCGTAGTCGCTCCTACCGCGGACATCTCAGAGTCGATTCCTGCCACCGAGTCCGAAGTGGTTGAAGAGGTCACAGTCGATTCTGCGCCAGTTGTGGAGGAAAGTGCTGATGTTGTCGCGGTTACTGAGCCCGTCGTTGAGGAGGCCTCCGCTGAAGCTGAGTCGGTGGATGATGTTGCTGAGCTCGAGCCCGAGGCTGCTGCTGCTGCTGAGCCATCGATCGAGGAAACAGCTGTAGTTGAGGAGGCCTCGGTTCCCGTTGAAGCTGAGACCGACGGCCCGAAATCTGAGGCTATTGAAGCCGAGACTCCCGAAGTCGAGGCTACCGCCGCAGAAGAGGCTCCGAAAGCTGAGACCGGCAATGTCGAGGAGACGGCTGATGAGCCTTCATTGTCCGGTGCCCTCAAGACCACTCTTGCTGCGGCTGTCGCCGTTGCCACTGCCGGTGCAGTCGAGATCGCCGCTGCTCCGAAAGAGGAAGAAACGACGCCGGTGGCCTCGACGATCCCCCTGCCATCGAGTCGCAGAAGCCGGCGTTCCCGCTGATGGTGGATGTGACCAAGTGGGTTTTGCGAGATTTTGTTTCATTATTCAAGTGCTTATCTGTTGCTAGGCGAGAGGACGAGGACGAGGACGATGAAGATGCCGGCCAATTGCTGGACGCCCCTCCGTTGTCCCCCCGATCGCGGCTCGAATCCACCGCCTCGTCGCTGTTTTTCCCGGGCGGCTGGTTCTCGAAGCTGCCGGAAGGCCGAGCCTCCCTGGAACAGGCCAAGGGCGAGTTTGTGCCCGCCAAGCAGAGTCCACCTGCGACTGCCGACGGTTCCCCGGCGGCATCTCCGGTTACTGAGTCCGACCACGAGAAAAAGGGCAAGTGGTGTGTTGTCATGTGATCTGTGTCTGTTTGCTTTATTTCATGTTTTACGACTTTTTTACGACTTACGACCCCCCTCCCCATCTCTCGACGTATATTTCATTTGTTCATTTCAGTGGGTGGATTTATACCGGCTCGTGCCATAATATCTTGGTTGGAATGGAACACCACTACTAGTGCTTACCCGTACTGCTTACATACTCACTCTCTCTCTCGCTGCAAATATGTATCTACAACGCGATCACGTGGGGCTCGGCACGGGGACGCAACGGGAGCTGCTGGCGACGGGATGAGGCGGTGGAGTAGGCTTGATTCCTTGGTACCAGGTGGATGTGCCGTAGACCCCCATGGGCAGACTGGCCGCTGGTCAGCCGAACGCACGGCAAGTAAACCACGAAACGCACTCGTCGTCGGCTTCGCAGTTGTCAAATGACCCGGCGTCGTAGTTTGCAGGCATATTCTGACAAGGAGCCGGGTCAGCATGCCGGGGTTCGAGCGGACTGCGCACGGACCCAGTAGCAGCCCATCAGGTCGTAAATGTGCTGGCAGTTCCTGGCTGCGTTGGGGCCGATGCAGGCGCGGAAGCAGAACTCGGTGTCGGAGATGAACGAGGTCCATTCGTGGTATTGCAGGCCAGGGCTGAAGCTGTTGCCGAAAACGAGGCCCCCGACTGCAGATGGGAGGAGTGGTATCATCAACCGCGCAGATCACTCACTTGGGTTGCCATTGCCGTCGGCGCCGTGGGGATCTGGTCTGCGATTGAGCTGTCTGCTTCGACTTTTCATCATGCGGTTAACGCACCCAGTTCGCCACCTCTTGCGCCACCATCACTTTTACACATACTGCACTGGAAATGGCCACTCACTGGTCATGCCTGGGGATGTTGATGCTCGTAAAGTTGCCGACGCCAGTCACCTGCACGTAGTCCGCCGTCTTCACAAAGTGCACGCCGTGGAAGGTCCCGGGCGGGACTAGCCGCGCGCCGTGGCCCGGCATCGTGCACCACGCCACCTCGTCCCGCTCCGTGTCCCCGATCGTGCCTACAGACGGTGGGGCCCATAGACAAAAATCGTCCGCCGAACTAGGTAGGATGCGTTGAACGTGGTTACGCAGTCTGCCGTTGGGAGAGATGAAACGCACTTGATCCAAACAGTCTGACAAGCCGAGTCAGGGCTGGCAGCGGCCCCGCAGGCATTGGTCCCGCTCTGGCCGTGCTCCGAGGTCGTGGGCAGGGCGTTGGCGGGGTACCCGACGTTCCAGGTCTGGTGCGCATCAGTACCATCGCAGACTCCCATCCCGAGCTGGGGCTGAGCCTGGATTCAGTGTGCATTCTCGAGACTGGGCAAATATCAGTTACACTGAGATGGAGGCATCGCCCGTGGTTGGTCCAGGCGATGTGGTTGTCGTACTGCAACCGAATAAGCAAGGGGCGAGGGACTCGGGGATAGATCGCGCGCGCACAGTGTACCAGAATTGCTGGCTCGCTGCCCCTCTTCCTGCGCATGGCTGTAGTTGCAGTTGCGTGTTATCCAACGCAACAGCCAGGCACTGGGTCCCATTGAAAATCTGGATGCTGCCGTTCACAAATGTCCATTTTTGCGAGTCGCTGCCGGTGCAGCTTTTCGTCGACACGGTATTGTTTGAAGAAGCCGTGATGCAGAGCGCTGTGCGTATGAGAATATTCGATCTCTCCAGAAACTGTGAGAGGGTACGCACTGCCGTCGAGCCCCGGTTGGATGAGGAGCGTCCCGATGTACCTGGTCGGTCCATCAGCCAGCGACCTGAAATTTCAGCTTACGCCAGAGAAAAAACTTGCGGCGGCGTCTGGGCGCTCATGAGCGCAGCAAGGAGGAGGCATGACAGGATGCGCATTCTGGAGCAGTGAGAGTCGAGATTCAGACTCGTCGAGCAGAAAAATGCGCAGGGTGGCTAGAGTGGCTGGAGGGGTTCCAAAGAAGACTCGCGGCGTCTATTGGCTACTTCCAAATTGGCAGTTGGGGCTCATTTGCCCGAACCGCGCCCGAAGGCTTCGCAATTGAAGGCGCTAGAGAGGGAGTTTGACCCTCCCGATGGAGCAGGAGATGCATCTCAGACTAGGACTGGCCCGGGAGCAGATGTCGTGCATGACCGGCAAGAGTGGGTCACATTTGTGGTGCCAATTGAAGTGCGCCGCATGAAACCGACTGCGGCAGCCGCGCCGCACCGGAAAGCCCAGCGCTCGGCGATCAGTTACGGACGGTCCTGCACTTTCTGCTAAGTTAGTGGCCGGTTGAGAAATTCATTATGACGCGATCACGTGTCCGATAGATCATCTGCCCGACTAAGAATCTACAATCTTTGATGCAGCGGCGAAACTCAGCCTCGCAAGCGGAGATGTCGGGATGGAAACCGCACCAGATTCGTTTGAAACAGGCTCGAGCATTCTTGGGTCCTGAGCTCGCAGGAGCCAGAAGACAATCTAGTAGATCACAGCGATGCGCGAGATCTCCATGCGGGAGATGAGTCCAGGTTGTGATTAGCTCTGGCAATTTAGCATAGCCTTCTCTGTACACCCATCTTGCACCGGCGCATTAGTCGGTGTGTGCGACATCATGCGGGATGTTCCATTTATGTGGCTGTGTATCATCGCCACGATCATCAGAACACTTCAGAGACATTTCCACCTTCATACATCATCGACCCGACCTCCTGGTCTTTCATTGCCCTCCTCTCCTTTCTTGCTCTCCCCTCTTCATTGCTTCCTTTCGTCCACTGTACTGGAACTAGAGATACCAGATGTCGACACCGGCGGCGAAGAAGCATCCGCGTCTGCGACGAGCACTCAAATTGGGTTTCGGTGGCACACCTGCCATCCGCCGCAACACCCTTGCCCCGAGGGCGGGGGAGCAGCCCATAGTCTACCTCCGCATCCAGGTCCTCGGTGGGCAGGGCCTCGTTGCGAAAGACCGCAACGGGCTGAGCGATCCGTGCGTCATTTCCCTGTCACACTACGCACTCGTGCTCCCAGACTCATCCCCTGCGCGCCAGCTTCGTCGTCGCCTCCCTCGCGCGCACGCGGCACCAGACTCCGGTCGCGAAAAAGACGCTCAACCCGGTGTACGCGCCCAAGGACGCGACATGGGACTTCCCCATCCATCTCAGTGTGGCGGACCGGCTCGGGGTCGTCGAGCTCGTCGTGTGGGACAAGGACTCGTTCAAGAAGGAGTACCTCGGGGAAGTCGATCTCGGGGTCGAGGACTGGTTCGCGGACCGCCCTAAAGCGTGGGATGCACCGGGCAATGTGGTGCGTCCACCTGTCCCCTTCGCCGCGGCGTCGACCGGCAAACCGGCCCTCTGACGCGCGTCCTCCCCAGCTCTTCACAGTCCCGGTGCTCTCGACCCGGCCAGGCACGCCGTCGCAGGGCTCGCTGCAGATCCGCCTGGGCTTCGTCTCGCCTCCTCCTCCGACGGCAGGGGCGCCGAATCAGGCCGCGGTCGATTTCGATGCGCTGTACCGGATTCTAGTCAAGAATCGGCGCTCGTCGCTCGTTTCGGCTCCCCCGGTGCGTGCCGCTCCTTCCTCGTTTTGTCCCTGCGCGGTTTTGGCCGCGGCTGGAGACTAACATTCAGTCTGTTCATGATCGTATTTCGGCTGACTTGTTTTCATCCGCAGACTGAGGGAGTGGGCACCATGCGCTCGCATATGACTGCCGTTGAATTTGAGGACGACGGCGGGATATCCTCCGCGTCCGAAATATCGTCTGACGACGAGGACGGACTGTCCGATCTCGAGTCTGGAGACGAAGATGGTGCGTGGCATACACATCTACGGCTGTCTTTGTGTTTGACGCCGTACAGAACGCGAGTCTCCCCTCATCTCTTCTAGTTCGAGCTCTCCTGCTATCAGTACGGATGTTTCCCCCTCAGGATCCAAACTGCAGTCACTCTACGTTCCTCCGACTATGGAGGCAACACCGACTGTGACTACCAAGCTCCCGGTGCTGCCTTCTCTCAATGTCATCCCGGGATCGCCTGCGTCGGATATGGGCACATCCGCCGGAGGAAAGACACCTACAGGCCCCAGTCCACTGACCACTCCGACACCGTCTTCTGCTGGGGTCCCTGCGTCGATATCCGCCGTCATTGCCGCTTCACCCTCCGCTGAGATCGCGCCAGAGAAGAAGGGCCGGCCCAAGTTCATTCCCATTCCTATACCTCGCAAATTCCTACCGGGCAAGTCGCGGTCTCGACCGACGACGCCGAATACGCCGGATGGCTTCACTACGCCGATTACTGCTACAGGCAAGGAGAAGCGAGGATTTCGGAAAAGTTGGAGCGGGACCGGAGCTCTTGCGACGCCGGGAGAAGACGCGGCTCCTGCGAAAAGCAAGGGCAAGGAGAAGGAGGCTGTTGGGGATGCAGAGCCAGGGAAAATGGGACGGAGGCGGCAGAAGCCCGAGCGGGCATATTCTCTCGGCACGGAAGTCGCCCCGTCCGAGTCCCCGAGTGATATTGTGGGGATTGTGATGTTGGAGATTGTCAAAGCGGAAGATCTGCCCCGGCTGAAGAACAGTGCGTTTCTGCTGACGTTAGGCCTGGCCGTACAGTTGATTCCTTTTGCAGTGACGCGCACTTCTTTTGACATGGATCCGTTTGTTGTGATTTCGTTTGGGAAAAAGGTGTTCCGGACCCGAGTTATCCGACACTCCTTGAATCCGGTCTGGGACGAGAAGCTGCTGTTCCACGTCCGGCGATATGAGATCGGCTATGAGGTGCGCATGCGCGCGTCCGTGCTCAGAGAGATGGCATGTACTGACTCTCCCCAGGTCCGACTAACGGTACTCGACTGGGATAAATTGACTTCGAACGACTACGTCGGTGAAGTGGGCCTGAAAGTCGGCGAGCTCGTAGCCAACGCACCGCAGCCGCTTCCGGCGGATCCTTCCGATTCCAAATCGGGGCATATTCCGGTATACAGTGATGAGACAGGGGACCATTCCATGAAAGAGTTTACTATGAAGCTCGAGATCGGTGCCGGGGGCGTGCAATGGGAGAGTAAGCACAGCCCGGCCATCACGTTCCGTGCCAAGTACCAGCCGTACTCGCTCCTGCGCCAGCGCTTCTGGCGGCAGTACCTGAAGCAGTATGACGCCGACGAGACGGGCACCGTGTCGCATGTGGAGCTGACGAGTATGCTCGACTCGCTGGGCTCGACGCTCAGCAGCGACACCGTTGATTCGTTCTTCACCCGGTTTGGCAAAGACCCGGTGCGGGACGAGTTGAGCGTGGAGCAGGCGATCCGCTGTCTCGAAAGCGAGGTCCTGCGGCCGGAGAGCGAGCGCCGGCGTGTGGATGACGAGGGCCAAGTCGCTGGCGTGGTCACGAGCGCTGGTTCCTCGCCTTCTGGCGGAGAAATGCAGCTCGGGGAACTCGACTTTGCGGGACCTGCTTTGGATATCGATTTCGTCACTGGAGAACCGCAGGGATTCGTCACCGAGCCGTCCGAGATGGTGCTTCAGCGGCCTGATCACTCGCGGCAAACTACGTCCGACTCGTCTTCGGATGGGGACCTGGAATCTGATTCGCCCAGTCCGCAACTGGTTTCTGTTACTTCGTCGCCTGCTTCTCAGCAGCAGCAGCAGCAACAACAACAGCAACAGCAACAACAGCTAGCGACACTGTCTTCAAAGAAGCCCCGGTTCCGACGTCCGAGAGTGAAAAAAGTGAAAGACTCGGCCGTTTTGCCGCAGTCGCCCGCTGCAGGCTCGCCAGCGGGCAGCGAGGACTCGTTCGAGCGCGTGATCAACGTGAAGAACTGCCCGATCTGCCATCGGCCGCGGATGAGCGACAAAGCGGAGGTGGACATCATCACGCACATTGCGGTGTGCGCCAGCCAGGATTGGAGCAGTGTGAGCCGCATCATGGTGGGCAACTACGTCACGGCGAGTCAGGCGCAGCGCAAGTGGCTCAGAAAGATCTTTGGGAAGTTATCGAGTGGTGACTATCGTCTAGGCGCTGCAAGTCTCTTCTCTTGTGCGATGTGTATATACTGACGTTTGCGGGCATAGAACTCGGCGAACATCATCGTGCAGAACCGGCTCACGGGACAGCTGGAAGAGGAGAAGATGCAAGTTTACGTCAGGCTCGGGATCCGTCTGCTTTACAAGGGCATGAATAGTCGGATGGAGGGCGGCCGTGGTATGTTGCTTTGCCTCTTTGGGTTCGTCGTTTTATCAACCCACCTAGCTCGTCGACTTCTCCGGTCCATGACGGTCAAGCAGGGCCTCAAATACGACTCTCCCGAGTCGGCTCGCGACATCCCGGTGTTCATTGAATTCCACAAGCTCAAAGTCGACGAGATTCTCGAGCCGTTGGATTCATTCAGTGCGTGGGCGACTGATGGTCGCTGGGTTTATTTCTCATTGATTATGCAGAGACATTCAATCAGTTCTTCTATCGGTGAGAAAGCTTCGGCGTTGGATGCAGAGCGTCGACTGATTGCACTGCCCAGGAAACTGAAGCCGACTGCGAGACCCGTCGCCGAGCCTGACGACCCGTACCGACTGGTCAGCTCTGCAGACTGCCGCATGATGGCGTTTGAGACCGTCTCGGAAGCCACGCGATTGTGGATCAAGGGCCGCGAGTTTACCGTCGGTCGATTACTGGGCGAAACGTACTCGAACGAGGTCGACCGATACGCGGGGGGCGCTCTGGCCATCTTCCGTCTTGCGCCGCAGGACTATCATCGTTTCCACTCGCCTGTCGACGGGACCATCGGCAAGATGACTACTATCGCCGGGGAGTACTACACTGTCAACGTGCGATCCCCACTCTTGACCGTAAGAAATTATGCACTGACGATCTGTTACCTTTTGCAGCCGCAAGCGATCCGGACGGCGCTGGACGTGTATGGGGAGAATGCGCGCAAGATCGTGCCGATTGACAGCCCGCAATTCGGGCGCGTGATGGCCGTCTGCGTGGGAGCCATGATGGTCGGGAGCATCCTCACGACCGTGCAAGAGGGTGAGTCGGTCAAACGGGGACAGGAGTTCGGGTACTTTGCATTTGGGGGCTCGACGATCGTGCTGTTGTTCGAGAAAGATGCCGTGGAGTGGGACGAGGATCTGTTGGTCAATGGGCGTGCGTCGCTGGAGACGCTTGTGCGGGTCGGCATGGGTGTGGGACGGGGGAAACGCAAGCCGGTCGGAAGGGCTTGAGCGGCTTTGGGAGGGCGGACTATGTCTAGGATCGCTGTTATACAGCTGTAATCTACTTATGTAGCTGCATTATCATTACTATCTATATATACTGTTGCGCTTCAACATGCGCTGCTGCACTGGCTAACATGCACATTGCCCCATCTTTCCTCCAACTTCCCATCCATCCTTACCAAGGCAAGAATTCTCCCAAACGTGCACGTCTAGAATAGGGACAGTCAGACGAGATACGCAAGTGCTGCGAGAAGCTTACAGACGACTGAAACAAATATTCGTTCTAGCAGGACAAGCATCACGGGCAGTCCAGTATGTAAATGTCATGACGTTGACATGCCGACTTTAGCTCAGTTGGAAGAGCATCAGACTGTAATCGTTTCGATCCACGCGGTGCTCAGTACTCGTGATCTGAGGGTCGCCTGTTCGAACCAGGCAAGTCGGATTGTTTTTGGACACAGGACTTTTCCCTTCTTCAGAGCATTCCTTTTGTCCCCATCACCTCGTTGAACGAGACGAACGAGACGAACAAGCCACAAGGAGAGGAGCACACCATGCATTTGATGGAAATTAAGTGCGGAGAAAGCCGTGCTGTCTACTCTTCCCTCAAAACAGACACGCATTTCTTCACTTCAGACTCCATCGAGGGAGACTCGGTGTACAACATGATTACTTTTGCCACATACAAACAATGGATATATGCACCTATGTAAAATCTACTGCAGACCTCCGCCCCCAAGGATGTACTCGATGGCAGAATGCACGTTCCCGCCATTCGCGAGCAGAGCCCGCACGTTCTGCGCGCCGTTGGTGAATCCCATGTCCTGCAATTGCTACATGGCAAAAAAACAAAGTGGTGAGCCGAATGGGCAGCTTTGAGATAGACAGTAAAGGCACCTGTAGCTGCACCTGGAACCTCTCCTCCGGTGCCCGTGTGTCAGCCGGGGCAGCGGGGGCGCCGCCGAACATCTGCTGGTACATCGCACCCAGATTTGGCGCGGGGGCACCTGTGCCCGCAGCCGGGGGTGTCGTCGCTGAGGGCGAGCCTCCAGCGCCCATCAACAACGCCATCATGCCTGGGTCCATGGGCGGCATCCCGCCGAACATGTTGCCCATCCCAGGCGCAGCCGGAGTCCCGCTGGGCGCGCTGGCGGTCGTGGACGGCGTCGAGCCTGGGATACCGGGAGCGGGGAACGAGCCTGCGCCCGGGGCACCGCCCATCCCCCCGTTAAACATCGACGCCATCTGGAGCATTCGCTGCAGACTCTCCGGGTTCGAGCTGGGGTGCAGAGACACGCGGTCAGTTTCTGCAGTGGCTGCAGAGAAACACACCATACACCATCTGCCGGAAATGGTCGCTCTGCATCATGTTACGGATCTGAGGAGCCATCCCCGCCATTTGCGGGTTCATGGCGATAATCTGATCCATGATGGCGGGGTTAGACATCATCGAAGACATTTGCTGCAAAAATTGGGGATTGTTCATCATGCCTTGCATCTGCACCAGAGGTCAGAGGGTCCAAATTGGGGTGGGCAGGTGGAGCAGCTATTATTTCACCATGTTGGGGTCGTTGGAGTTCAGGCCCATGTCCGCGAAGGGGTTCATCCCAGCCATAGCCCCTGCAGTTCCTTTCAGCAGGTCGCACCAGAGCTGAGAGACACACGCCCGCACCAAAGCCTTGATGGCTGTTCAGCAGCGTCAACGGATCGTGGGGATTCTGCCCGGCCTGCATAGTCGGCAGCTGCTGGGCCACCGGGGGCTGGGCCGACGTAGACGCGCCAGAGCGAGCAGCACCCTTGACCATGTGTATAGTGTGCGAGGATTGGATTTTGTACACTGATAGCAGGTCTTCATCCTGGAACCGAGATGAACAATGGACGCATTCGTCATACGCGCCCGGTTTACCTTCAAGACGCGTCCTGCCATGCATGTGAGCTGGAGGGGACTTGATTATGTGCGTGCAGTGCGCACCTGAGTAGATGAGTCGCTGTCTCTCCGCCTCCACGTCTGATTTCTCCGCGATGGCCTGCTTGAGCTCGAAGACGGTCTTGTCGGTGGTTATCGTGATCTGGAGCTTCAGCTCACTCGGCCCTGCGAGTGCGTAGGTACGAAAGTCGAGTTCCGGGCCATGCAGACTGACCCTTAATGTTTATCTGGATTTCAGAGGATTCGTCGGACATGATAGAGGATTCGCAAGCTGTTAATGATGTAATGACGTGTTTGGTGCCGAGAGACGATCGGGCAAGTTCCAGAAAGTTGATGACACATCCCCGGTTCTAACAGAGGTTGGTACAAACGAGTACATAAAATATCAGGATTTAAGCTCGACGAAGACATTTATGGCCATGAGAATGGCATAAGCTCCAATCAGAACAAATCCCCAAGTCCGTGTTAGGTGATATCCATTCAGAGGAACCACGAGAAGGGTCGCTGCGAGCAGAATCATCAGGCCCACATTACTGACCATCAAAGTCTTGCCAAAGTGCAACTCGTATGGCACCGACGTCTGGTGTATGATGTAGCTGCCCGAGCCGCCAACACCCAGCAGAATATTGAGCATCGGCCCGCCAAAGCACGCGGAGAAGCCCATGATCGGTGCAAACACCTGGCCGGTGATGAGATAACGGCAGATTAGATTACGAGCAGACCCACCGCGACGCTCATATTGGCGACAAGATCTGCCAGAGAATTCCCTACGGCAAAGATAGTCAAGCCAATGATGGCATCAGACAGTCCGAAGATGAATCCGAACGTCTGGGGCGTTCGTAAGATCGTGCGGTAGCTGCAAGAGATGCAACACACCTGCAGCACCTTGACAACCTCGTCTGCGATTGCCATGATCCAGACCACAGCCACGAAGAAGCCCACCGAGCACCGCACCATTCTGTACGAGATGTTGTCTCCGTGTTCGCCGAAAAAGAGCACAAGAATGGAGACCGCTACGCCGACGATTCCGGCACAGAGAAGCGCCCAGGGCTGGTACCTGTGCCCGCCTGATGGCCCATCAGCGATAGAAGCTGGAGCAGGAACATCACAAACCAAACAGCACCATAGCGCAGAATAACGGGCCGAAAGTGCACTGCACACTGGTGAGCCATCTGTTGTACGACATGCCGTGCATCTCCTCTTCCAGCTCTTCTTCGGCAATCAGCACACGCTCAACTCCTTCCTCCTCAAAGTCTATCAGATTGGATTCGTCGCCAGGTGTTTTCTCATGCGAATGATGAGACGACCGATACGGAGTCACCACAACGGGCAATGTGAGTGTGAGACATAGCACGGCCGGAACGGCAAACACAGACGCAATCTGGCCAAGGATTGACTTGCTCCGAAAGTGTTGGAGCGAGGGAAACAACGTGTGAAACGCTGCAGTGAGACTGTCAAGCGTGCGCTGGTGTCTGCTGGGCACATGTATCTGCGACTCGGTGTCGCCGTCTGAGAGCGCCGGCGAGTGCAACGTCGTCGGACTGGCGTCTATGGTCTCGTGATCAAAGTAATTCTCCGAGTCCTCGCGAGTGACGATCAACCGTGGATGAGCGCGTTCGTCAACGACGTCCAGGGGAAGTCCGAGCCCAGCATCCCACGGCCCGTCGTGGCTCACAGTGCGAGATCTCGATCGGACAGTACTGTAATGCCCACCAGCATACGGTGTTGGACTGTCAAAGATGTGCAGCGATGGACCTGCAGCTTCGTGCTGCAAGGATGCGATAACCTGCCGGAATTCAAGCGCGCCGACGAGCGAAAATGAAGGCATGGTCGAGAAGGAGGGCGAGGGCGAGGGTGTTCGCGAGTGCGGTCGACGGGGAAGCTCTGTTTGCAATCGCGGAGGTGCTCCCGGTGCAGAGATAGCACGTGCCCTCGTCGGGGACGGAGCAACGAGGAGAGGCGCAGGGCTGGCTGCAGATGGTTCAGCACCAAGAAACAGCCAGACACATTCTCGACTCACGATCGTCTCTATACCGCCCAAAACCAGGAGAAGGGGTGGCATCCGAGTCGTCGTATTCGGCACGGATCCTAGCTTCCAACTCCCGCTTCTGGTCTTGCCTCCGTTCCCACCAGTTCTGAGCGATGACAGTAGCCACATAGAGCACATAAAGTCCAATCATGAGCGCCGACTCCCAAAAATGGATGGACCCGTCCCATAGGATCACCAACAGCAACGAGACCGCCACGAACATAAATCCAACATCTCGCAGGAACTGGGCCGCCTTGTGCAACTGGAACGGTTTGATGATGCACATCGAGCCGACGACGCACGAGACGATGAAGGACGCAGCGCCGAGAAGTTCCCCGATCGCCAGGCTGCCCGTCCCGGCGCGCATGGCCGAAAATGTTGAAAACACATCCGGGCTGCCATTTCCTAACGCGAGGAAGGTCACGCCGGCCACATTTTCATCCAGCCCCAGTAACTGCGCAATCGTGGCTAGGTTCGGCGTGAAGAAGTCCGAAGCGCTGATTCCCAGAGTCGAAAATAGAAAGACGAGCCACACGACCAACCCTGTGAACACTAAGGGCCGTAGCGGGGTGTCGGCACAGTAATAACGCTCGAGGTACGGAATGGTGAGGAACGTCTGGGGGAGAGGGCATTGATCTCGGACGTGCGCGCATTGGTCTGCGGCGGGGAATACGATGGGCTGGCACTGAGAGAGAGGCGGATGTTAGAGGTCGCATTGGGATCACTCCCTGGTCCAGGGACACTGCGCACCTGCTTCTCTCCATGCTCCAAAATCGACATATTCGGATGAGCCAGCTCCTCTGCTATCCGCCTGACGAGACTAGAGTCTCCGTGAAGAAAGTTGGTCCGTGGTACATGGCCGTAGCGGCTAGAAGACCATAATACGCAATTGGCAGTAAATAGAGCTACGAAGATGGCTTTGGGCGCCAGAGGCATCGTTGCTGGAGTGCACGTATGTTGCTTTGAGCCGCGTGAGTAGGAAGAGGACAGAGGGAAGGATTAGTTGGGAGTGTAGGTCTCTGGAAGGGTGTGCATGGGACCCAGGTCTTGGTCAAAGGTGACTTCACCAGTCGATTCCGAATCGGGGTGTCTGATCCGGGCTTCGTGATTGATGGGCGATTGAATCATTGGATGAAGGCACACACCGCTCTGGGAGCGAGGGACTCAACGTCGCACTCAACGCTGACTCGAAATTGTGTTGAAAGCCACGAAGCGTTCGGAATGAATGCACGGCCGCGGCAAGAGCATCGACGCGCGTATAGTAAACTGGCACGAGTACTTGTACGTATTAGCATCCCCTGCTGTCTATGAAGAGCTGCGTGCAGGCGCCATTCACGACGAAGCGTGTTGTTTAGGTGTGCCACATGCTGAACACGCAAGAAACCCGGCTTGGTTGATCCTAAAGCTCGTTCGACGCGGGGCTCGTCGGCTTCGGCAGGACCAGACTTACAGTGTGCACAAATGACACGCCCACTCCTGTTGCCGAGATGTCCCGCCCAAGATTCGAGTTCTGTCACTCACTGGAGCTAGCCCAAGAGCCTCTTTCTTACGTTGCTCTATCTCGCTCCGCACAAAGTTGCCCATTCCTGCGCCGTTTTCATCTCGCAATCCTCTAGAGAAACTCGAGACTAACCGGCGGTTTTGTTCTTGCGCGAAGGCACTAAGGATGTCGAATCGGAAGCGGCGATAGCGTCTAAATCAGATTCGGGAGGTTCCGAAGAAGGGCGAGGCCGGCCATGACCCGCGATGTCAAGATTTTGGTTCTGGAAAAACACAAAATCGTTATCGAACTGCAGCCAAGAAGACCCAGCCTTCTGGTTGTCGTCTTCAGCAATATTGCGTCGTCGTTCTGAGTCGGTTTCACCGACAAACTCGAATTCCTCCCTCTCGTCGCCAGATTCCTCAGGATGCTCATCCACTGTTGCTTTCGATGCTTGCATCCTCCTTTCAGCTGCGAGTGCTCGCTCCTCCCTGGCCCGCTTGCTGGAAGAGGATGTCGGTCAGTGCTGGATAGATAGGTATCAAGGAAACAGTTAACCACCTTCCTGCTTGCTTTCTAAATCCTGTTCCCGTCGTAGATGCGCTACCTTCTCCCATCAGCGACGAGCCTTCGCTCGTAAACGCGTATTTCGATGTCACCCTCACTCCTGCCTTTCTTCGTTTCTCTGTTTGCCGCCCTGAGCTAAGGGAAGCGATCGGCTCCCCTGGCTTCCTTTGACGATCGCGAGGTCTCCTCCGCTTCGGGGGACGGCTACGACTTTGGGCACCTCCGCACTAAGGCATCCGTTACCGGGTGTAGGAAATAGTTGGATGCACATCAACTTGCCATGAATTCCGGGAGCTCGTCGACAGCCTGACCATCGCCAGCTACAACGGCGGAGTCGCGCAGGCGGGTGCCCGACGACCAGTAACCTGTCGACTGCTTGAGCGATCCAATGGGGCCGGAGTGTGATACGCACCATCACCATAGAAACCCTTATCCTGGAGAGCCCGGACTTCATTTCGAAGCTGCTTCCATAGAGCTTGGAATGGAGCCGAGTGGTTCATGTGCTTCGCCAATAAGGTGTATATCGCGATTGGTAGCGCAAGTTCATACCTTGATGTGGGCAAGCTGGTTCGATTTCACTTTGTTATTCACTGGGGCGTTTCTGAGAAAGGGAGCACACCTCGTGACAAAGCGTACTAAGCAACCAGGACGTCGGGAGGAATGTCCCGTCGCGTCTGCGGAGCACCAGTTCTGATTATCTGAGCAACCCCTACCGCAGAACACCGAGACAGGCTCACCGATGACTTCCCCATTGTTCCAGTTTCGGCCGGCAAATACGTTGTTGCATTCGTACTGTTCAGGTTGCAGGGCCAATTGATCAAATGACAGGCGATCGAGCGTTCGTGCGCGCACACACCTCTTCGAGGCTATTGACGGTGAATCCGTGCGCTTGCATCACCGGGCGCACTTGTGCAGCAAGAGCGCGTAGGTATTGCCTGCGTGCTTGATCTGTGAGCAGGTGCATGCATCAAGAAGCGCCTTAGACTTGAGGCGGACCTGGCACTCTCAACTTCGGTCGTTTCAAACCCAGGAAGCACCGTGATGAAATTTACGAGCGGGTTCGGGTTCGACTCGGTGGCATTCGATCGTAAGTGGACCATTGCACCAATCAGAAAGTGCAAGTGGCAGGATGTGTGGAGGGTCGCAGTCACGGTCGGAGCAAATCCGGACAAATCAAGATGGTGTCAACACCGAATCTTATCTTATCTTGCTTCCCTTGATCTTGCTTCGCGACTTCGACTTTGATGTCCTTATGAACGTCCACGTTTGTGTGCTCTTGGCGGCACATTTCTCTTTCGAACCAACTTGCGCTGATAAGTGCTCGGAGATTGTGGAATAAGTGCTTGGACTGCGCTATTCTATTTTTTTCTCCAGCCTAGACCCAGGTAACGTGATCGCACTTACCTAAAAAAGTGGATTCCTCAACCCTTCATCTAGTGGACATCGTTGTCGCGGTGTACAACCAAGCTCCGCCTCATTCAAAACAAACGCTAAATCTCGTTTGAAGCCAGTGCCGGTCATGAAGATCGCGATCCTGACCTCGGGGGGAGACAGTGCAGGCATGAACGCCGTTGTGCGTGCGGCCGTCAAAGCAGCTATCCTCAAGTGCGCTGTCCTCTCCGATATGCCGTGTCCTACAACCACTGATACTGTTTTCTCATCGTTACAGAGGTTGTGAGGCATGGATCGTCCGTGAGGGCTATGAGGGTTTGGTGCGCGGCAACGCCGAAGCGGAGTCGAGTCCCGTATGCGAAAGCCCATCGGCGGCTCTGTCCGAGTTCCCCCCAGCTGCGATGACCATTATCAACAATCTACGTTTTGGGGATGGAGAGCTGCTGAAGGATGGAACGGGAGATTATGACGCATCGGGGCGAACTTTGAAAGGACGGTACATTGTCAGGGTAGGATGGGATGATGTGAGGGGTTGGTTCACTGAGGTGCGTGTACCACATGCTATCCTACGATTCGCTCAGTGAATCAGGGAGGAACCCTCATTGGAACTGCGAGGTCAAAGGAATTCAGAACCCCGGAAGGACGCCTGGCGGCTGCATTCAATATGGTCAAGGAGGGCATTGATGCACTTATGGTCTGTGGCGGAGACGGATCTTTGACCGGCGCAGACGTATTCAGAGCTGAATGGCCCCAATTAGTGGCTACCCTACGATCTCAGGGTGAGTATACGATCGTGCTGTATCCCTTTCTACCGACTGATTGGAGCGGCCAGGGAAAATTAGCGAAGCTCAGGCAAACGCTCACGCTCATCTCAAAATCGTCGGTCTCGTTGGATCCATTGATAACGACATGTCCATGACGGATTTGACTATCGGCGCTGTAACGGCTCTGCATCGCATCTGTGAAGCTATCGACAATATCAACTCGACCGCGGCAAGTCACTCCCGCGCTTTCGTACTGGAAGTCATGGGCAGACACTGCGGATGGCTCGCTTTGCTTGCTGGTGTAGCGTGAGTGATAAGACTTCTATTCTGGAAAGGTGTGCTGAAGCGGAAGAAGCGGCGGGGCAGATTTCCTGTTCATCCCCGAACGGCCTCCGACGTCTCAGCCCTGGGAGGACGAGATGTGTGCTGCTATACAGAAGGTATCTGATGCACGACAAAGGTTCGTACGATTGACTGAAGCAAGCCAATAGCACCGTGAAGTCGGCAAGCGGAAGACCCTTGTGATTGTCGCCGAGGGTGCGCACGATCTAGACTTGAAGCCGATCAAGGCAGAATACGTGAAGGACATCCTCTCGGAGCGATTGGGTCTGGATACTCGAGTGACCACACTTGGTCACACCCAACGTGGTGGTCGCCCCTGCGCCATTGACCGAATTCTCGTATGTCTTTGACTATTCTTCCGCATACATCTGGCTAACATCCTTTCAGCCAACTTTACAAGGGATGAAGGCGGTAGATGCGTTAATGGAAGCGACTCCTGATACACCTTCTTACATGATTGGCATTCAAGAAAACAAGATTACGACCGTTCCTCTGATGGAGGCTGTAGCCATGGTTTGCGCGATTTGCAGTGTCATGCATCGAGGCTGAATGAAATCCAGACCAAGGCCGTCTCGTCTGCCATCGAGAGAAAAGACTTCCAGGAAGCGATGAAGCTGCGCGACCCGGAATTCAGAGAAAGTCTGGAAGGATTCATCTTGACATCGACGCTGACTAGAAGTGAAGTTACGCCGGAGAGCAAGGTTGGCACTCACTTTAAAACGTGCTCAATCGCGCTGACCGATTTACCAGAAGATGCGAGTTGCAATCATGCAGTAAGTATGATTGACTATTGAGATGGAACTGAGCTGACATGGAAACCTAGTATGGGCGCTCCTGCCGGTGGAATGAACGCAGCTACTCGCGCAGCAGTCCGTTACTGTTTGCATCAAGGTCACACCCCACTCGCTATCCATAACGGCTTCAAGGGGCTGCTGGACGACTATCTCGGCGAACTTTCGTGGCTCGGTGTAGATTCTTGGTCGGCGCGTGGCGGCTCTGAGCTGGGAACAAACAGAACACTTCCGTCTGTGGATCTGGGCGCAGTTGCCGCCAAATTCCAGCAGCATTCCTTCGATGCGTTGATGATGATCGGTGGATTTGAGGCATTCAGCTCGTTGCAGATCCTGGAGGAAGCACGAAAGCACTATCCGGCATTCCAAATTCCGATGGTCCATCTGCCTGCCACTCTAAGCAACAATGTGCCGATGACTGAGCACAGTCTCGGCTCTGATACAAGTCTGAATGCGCTGGTCGACGCCTGTGATGCCATCAAACAGAGTGCCAGTGCCAGCCGGAACCGCGTATTCGTGGTGGAGACTCAGGGCGGAAAGTGTGGATATCTTGCGACCATGGGGGCTCTGGCTGTCGGCGCCTGTCTTGTCTACACACCGGAAGATGGGATGAACCTGGACATGCTCAAGCGCGATGTTCGCTTCCTCAAGGCGCGTTACAAGCTGGACGCGAAGGGCAAGGCTGAGGGTCGATTGGTCATCAGGTACGTGGCTCTCGTCCAGGCCATTCCTTGATTCGCGCTCAATGGTGCTCAGGAGCGAAGCATCTTCCTCGGTGTACACGACGGAGGTCATCACCCAGATGTTCAAAGAGGAGGGTAGCCCTCTGTTCGATTCTCGCTCTGCATCGCTGGGCCATACCCTCCAAGGTGGTACTCCATCACCCATGGATCGCGCTCGAGCAGTGCGGCTCTCGCTGAAATGCATGGCTTTCCTGGAAAGGCATCACGAGCTACTCAGCCAGCAACCGGCGAAATCGCGGTCAGCAGGCCCGGATTCTGCCGCAGTGATCACTATCCAGTCAAGCTCAGTCAAGTGGGTTCCCGTGCGTGACATGGTCGAACATGCGGATATGAAGAATCGCCGTGGGAAAAACCCCTGGTGGCACGGTGTCCGGGATCTGGTCGAAATGCTCGTCGCACGACCGCAATTGGCAGGTTTGCGCGCGGGTGACCTAGAGGCGCTTTAGAGACGAAACGAATCGGTATGTAGGATAACCAGAATCTGTAAACAGTAGAGTTTCAAGAACGTTGAGGGCACGTGTAGTTTGTTGTATCATTTCGATTGTGTCACATGACTCGCGATCCTCCCTCCTGTCAACCGCCATGACCAGTGCTCGACCACCCCTGCCTTTGCGCAACGCCAACAGCCTGCGTATGTCTGTGTAGTTCTGCGACGGACAAATGATTGATTTCCGTCGGCAGTCGAGAATGCGGTACTACCGACCGTGAAATACCAAATATTAACTTGCCAGGGTAGCGATATCCTTGTGCGTGGCATCCTGGTTCATCCATCTATCTCTAATCTATCCGCTCAGGTCGGCAGACTTAAAGTAGAGACACCAACGGTACGTCGGTATTCTCGCACCCTCGCGCTGCCTGTATTCAACCACCCTTCTAGCCCGTTGGACACGCCTTCATCCTCCGACGTTTCGACACCGATGCCATTTCCCTCACGACCATGTTTCGCGCGGCATTCCCGAGTGCGGGCGAGGAGGCTGAGAAACGCGAGGTTCAATGGGTTAAGGACACGTACGATCTGACTGGGAACAACGGGACCTCCAAGGACCTCGCCATCACTCGCCTCGCTGGAACCTGGGTCAGCCCGTCGATTGCAGTCGAGATCTCGGAGGCGTATCAGCTACGCGATCTCATCCGGGTCGTCGTTGAAGCCAAACCGGACCCAAAGGCCACGTATCGCCGGTCTGGCAAGAAGGAAGCACCCCCACCAGTGCCACTTGCCAGCGCCGCGCGAACGTTACCCTCTCCGACATCCCCGACGTCCGAGAAACCAGCAAAGCGAAGAAAAGAGTCGTCGCCTGCCCCGCCAGCCGCCCCGCCCGCCGTCACGCCTCGGCGTTCGACCCGCACGAAGAGTCCGAAACCGATGACAGCGCCCATGCCCTCGTTCACATCGGTCACCCGTTCGGCCAAGAAGTCTTCACGCCGAGAAGAAACAGACCTCACGGTCAAGTCTGACGAGACGGTGGTTGTAGATGAGGAGGGTGATGCGCTGGCTCAGTCGGTTGGGAACGAACTCCACGCCCAGGATATAGCAGAGCAGAGAGACATGATTGCTGAACTAAAAGCTCAGAGAGACAAAGCGGCTGCATTGGCTGCTGCGACCGCCGCCGATGAAGAGGACGGAGATCAGGACATGGCCGACGAACCCCCCGTCAATTTGAAGCGTCTTCGAGAAGACGAATCGAAGCCTCTCGAGTTTGATTTCAAGGAACCTCAAGTCGGCGAGCGGGCCATTGCCACGAACCGCAGGATTACCCCCAAGCAAAAGTCACTTGTTTGGGGCATGGTTGCTTTTGCCGTAGGGGCATCTGTCGTGTAAGAGTCTCGCTGTCAAACGCACGTTCCTGGCTGACCACCCTGCAGCTCGTTCTTGCCCAACCTATTCTAATGACTTTACGCCCCCTTTGCCGATTACATTATTCTAGTTGTATCTCTTTCTTATCAATCTATCTCGGATCGTAAATATGAAGCTTCGATTGTCTTGTTGTATGTAGAACCAAAGTCGTCAAACCAAACAGCCTGCTCAAGGTTGACACATGAGCAAACCGGACTCTGAATACAGTCCAGTCGCATAGAGAATGCCTTCCGCGCTGCGCAAGCCGGTCGAAGAGGACGAGAATACCGTTCCATCGCTCTGAAAGACAGTCTCGACTGAGTAATCTGGAGCGATGACCGATATCCAGCTGGGTGCTGTTGCTTTCGATGTAGGATCTGCTTTGACCTGCAGAAGCGACGGGAAGTGGGCATGGCCCGCGACGACGAGCTTCGATTCGGAATCGTACTCTAGGTTATCAGGGAGGAAGGGAAGAATGACCGAGCGCTGATACTTCAGAGCGTTCGTTTCTGCGTTCCGGCTGTAGAAACGAACGGCACTAAGTGAAGTCGAGGCGACGGCGACCTGCAAGCCCGAGGGAGAGACCGACACGCCATTGGCAAAAGGGACGAACAGTGCTGCTGGTTGGCTTTTGATGATGGATTCAGCAGCGTCAGGGTTCGGGTCCACAGACACATGGGACACCCAGCCAAGCGGCAGGGCGAGGAATGTCTCGATCACCGGGAGGACGTGTCCAACGATGGGCAGTCTGCGCGTCATCAGATGATCGTTCGTCACATAAAATGAGTGAGGAGAGGTGAGGGCGATGGAGTTGGGTGATGCGAAGTACGGAGACACGATCGTTCGTATGTGTTTCACCGCTTCTCCTGCAGGGGCGAGAGTGAACTGTTCGATAACGGTCCTCTCCCGGGCATGGTTGACTACAAATAGGTTACTGGGATTCTTTCCATCGGAAGGCCAGATAGCAAGGCCGAGAGGGTGGAATGTGTGGTTCTTTGGGAACCCTTGCAGCGCTAGTCTCCGAGGTTGGCCATCCGAAACTAACCACAGGGATCCCTTTGGCTCAGGATCTCGGAGCGGCCCCAGAACTGTGTTCCACGCTTTACGCCCCGCATCACAGCTCACAAGGACGTATTGATGAGTGGTGTTTATTTTGGCGTCCAGGACGTCCCAGATGGTGGCGTCTTCGCAGAACTTGAAGTCAGGAGCTTCGAGCTGGGTACACTGGATGTCGGCGCTACCGTATGCAAATGCTGCACTGGGAAGGTCTCTTTTTGTGAAAAGGGAAGGAAAGCTTGGTCCACTACGCCAGAAAACCAGCGCCTTGACGGGGTCGCATTGATGGTTCAAGACAAGGTGACATCCGGTTTGGAATACGAACATACCGCGAGAGCTATCAGAGTCGATGCCTGTGTTTTACTCATTGTCGCTGTGGTGGCGAGGGGCTCCAGGATGGCAAAGAAGCGCTGGAGGTAGAAGTTGCATTGGATTTAAGTGTTACATGTATAGGAGAAGGAGCAGGGTCGGCAACTCCGCAGCTAACCGCATTTCCCGAGTCCGATCTCCGCGTCTCATCACTTACCACCCGTTTTGCGCAGGCTTCCAGCAGCTAAAGGACAGAATGAACATGCGAAGGACGGGTGGACAGCAAAGATGCGAACAGGATCAGGTAGTTCTCGTGAACAGCGTGTTCTCCTCCACCAAACGAGATGTTAGCACCGCCGCTGAGAAACATTCAGGATGAAGCACAGACGGAACGAAAAGCTTCATACAGATGTTGGCCCGTCTTGCCTGGAACCATGATTCCGTTGATTTGCGCGGCAGCATGGTAGAGCTTGTCTCGGATGTTCTCTTCATACTAAAGACTGAGCATAAGCGCCGGAACGTCGAGAACAAGAGCAGCCTTCTCCCAACCGGGAGAATGGCGCGCTGCGGAGCGTGGAGCATATTGACTAGTCACGCACCCCGCCTTCGACCGGATTACGTCCCTCGGGAATGCGCCCGTGGGAGGTCTGAACCCATTCCATTGTACGTTCGTCAATGATGAGCAGGTCGTAGCGACCGCTGTGGCAGTGTTCCTCCCCACCATAGGCTACAGCGCATGCAGACGGTTGGAGATGCGGGCCGATCTTGCAGGGGTGGACAGACTTCTGGGATCCATCCTCGCGAGTAAATATCGCCGACCCGACGTAGATGGGGGAGCCATCTAGATCTCGAAAGGGTATATGCCCAGCGCGATCGAGGTCCTGCTTGTTGATGTGGGTATGGGTGTCCAGAGCAATGCGAAAGCCGGAGGGAGGCGCCTGGGAGGCTGCATATGTCGGGGGAGCCTGGAACTGGGGACTATCGAAGCTCATGGTGGTGGTAGACAGAAGGATTCTAAGGTGCAGACAGAGATCGATCCATGATGTTGAAGCGGTACGAGTACAGCATCCAAGTACAGCCATCTCTACATAACGTAATACGGCCTTCAACGCGGCGCCGGCGGTAAGGACACCTCTTCAAAGCCCCAATCGTCAGATGTAAGCGCAGGAAGTCCGATGCCCCGTTTGACGGGGCGGGTCGGCTCGATGGGTGGTTGAGGTGGGGGAGAAGCCTCCAGCGTTGACTGCTCCATCGCAACTACTAACGCCGCTCTGCACACAGTCAAGACTCAGTGATGGCATGGCAAATGCGTGCCAACGTACTGGATCTCAGCACTGCGTTGGGCACTCCAGTTCTTGCACGTTGCCTTGAAATCGGTGAATATCTGAGCCAGATCGTTGTAGAACTGGCAATGAGCGCATTTGCATTGAGCCTCGGGAGATCTTCAGAAGTAGCCAACGGACCTGGATTCCCTCGTTCAAATTCTTGACTATCTCCCGATACTTGTGGTATCCGAGTTCGAGTACCCGCAGAGCCTCTTCCCTTGCTCTGACAGCGGGGTCATCCCGTCGACTCTCGACGAACTTCTCGTTGGACGACTGGCCGAGGGGTCAGCGATCCCGATAAGTGGTTATTGTCCACTTACATCGATCGTTCTCAACAAGCCTTTCTGTTTTTCGCCGGCTCGCTCTAGTTCTTGCAGAAACTTGTCGTATTTTGACAATTCTTGATCCATCACTTCCTCAAACATGTCAGGCTTGACTTCCGCCAGCTTTTCTAACCCGGATGCCACGGATGCGATGCGATTATGGATGTTATCAGCCTTGGCGAGACTCTGGGCACGAGCGACGAAATCGTCCAGGGAACGATGGAGACTGTCCAATGCCTCGAGCGCAACCCGCAAGGCACGAGCATGCTGTTGCATGGCAGGGCCTTCACTTCCCCGCCTTGAATTGCTCGGTTTTGTTGAAGGGACTGCGGCCTCGAGTTCTGCCTGGTTGAGTATGGTATGAGTATCTGATACAGTACCAAGGGGGAACGACGCACTGGGTCACCGGCCAAAAGCATAATATTGGCTTCCCATTCATCCCATTTCTCGCGGACTGTCTCGTCGCTGTCTGAAGCACGTGAAAGTATGTCACGATATCTCCGTTCTTTGCTGATTAAATCGGCGTTGGCTACGTGCGAGGGCAAACGGTCAATATCGCCCGACTCTCGCATCGTCTCGTCTTCAGACGCTTCGTTATCCAGAATATCCATGGCGTCGTTCAATATATCTGCATCTTGTTGTGCAAGCCGGTGAACATCCTCCAGCGAACTTTCTATACGTGCTGGGCCGCCCTCCCGTCGGATGTCTTCCGCCTTTTGTAGCACACTGGAGGGCAATCCAGATGTCCGCTCTATGGCTTCTAGAGCAGATGGCAAATTCCGTTGCTGAAGGAAACTGTGTGCGCTATTAGCTGGTTCTTGCCGTAACGTTTCGATACTGACTCGTCTGCTAGATCCTTCAGACGCTGAGCTCCATCTAAAATCTGCTCCTTGACGAGATTATCTTTCCGATCCTCGTATATATCTGACACACGATGAGCCTTTCAAAAGCAAACAGTGGAATGGCAGACCTATGGCGGCTCTCGCGCCCCAACTCATAAGAGCGCCAAATAGAGGCCCCTCGTTGCCGATGAGACTAGTTGGATTCGACAGTCCGGGAACTATAGTCAACTTGGCGATATCCGATGGCACGATAGCTGGAAGTGCCGAAGAAGGTGGGATGTCTTCATGGTAAATGAGGTCATTGTCCCGTTCGGCCCGTGTAAAGTCCTTTTGTACAGCATCTAGCAGAGACTAGGACATAAACAGTCAGTCGCATGTTCAGTCTCGACAAACCCTATTTTCACCTGGGCATCTTGCATGACTGACGCGCTTGCCCTCCCTCGCCTTGCGATATCATAGGCCTGCTTAGCAGCCATTTTCGCTCGATCAAGTCGCGCTAGCTCGACACCATATCTAGAAGTAAATCAGATGAGATTGAGACAATGCAGTCCATCAACGAACTTGCTTGCTTCCAGTTCGGCTACGCTCTGGCGATACTGTGACACGGCCTCAAAGTGATACATCTTGGCCTCAATATGCGAAACCCATCCCTAATCACTCCACATATGATGCTGGTGGGAAGCGCAAGAGACGTAGCTTACAAGGGGAAAAACTTGGGCAATTGCTGGGCTCGCATTGCGGATAGTGTTCATCGCAGATCGGTACAGAATCTCAGTCTTTGCGTGGAATATGATGGGGAACTGGTCACGAGCAAGCGAAGTAACACACCTGAGCGGCTAATTTGGCCAAGAGAGTGTTTTTGTAGTTACCTTCGGTGATCGGCTGTCATGCATCACGGAGATTGACCACAAATTTATCACTCACTCAGTTTAGCGTTTTGCCACCAGCATTCTTGAGCTTGAGCCAACATGAGCCATTCCAAGCTGTGCACGAAATGCTCAGAAAGGTCAAGCAACGTGTCGTCCCGGTCTGGAGACAAATCGATCTTGTATTGCGGGAGAGCAGATGTTCTCAAATAAGACAGCGTTCCGGCAGCTTGCTGGCCGATGCTTGAGAACTTGTACATCACAGATGTGAAGCAGAAGAACCTGGAAGTTCGCAATGGCACGCTTGATGCCGTCTGCATTTGAGCGATCCTGGGAGTCCCCGAGTTGGGAGTATAACGCCGCTAGATTGAACAAGACCCCGGCACGTTCGAATGCGAGGTCTTTCAGTATAACAGGAAGGCCATTGGGACTGAAAACTGGTGCGTATGCGATCTCAAGGGAAATCTGCGGCTTTCCATGAGCAACAACAAGACCGGTCGACGATCCGCTTCACACATCAACGGGGAGTTTCGCCAAGATCGACAATAGCTGAGCATGGTATCTTGGAGAGATAGTCTCAGGGAAGGACACCCGAGGCGATGAGCAACGAACCTCAACGCCCCATTGGTCCGATCAACGTGAACCGCACCCCCAACACCGTCCTGCCGCAAACTCTGCCACCGGGTGATGTCGTTTCGAAATTCATCAGGATGACTGGAACTATGTGCAAGAAGATATTCTCGAACGGGTTCCTTTATGTTCAGAGTGTAAGTCTGCTTGAATGGTATAGTCAAGAGATTGGACATGAAGGAAGGCTCGGGACGAGACTGCCAGTGGCTATGATGTGACGTCACGCCGTTGCCACACAAAGACCGTGAAATGCGAGAAATTTCAGAGAAGGGGAAAGGGCGGGGATGGCAAGCGAAATGTGCAGTTCATCGGCTGTTAGGAGATGGGTCTGTGAATGAATATCGTCCGCCGGCGACCATGTCGGTCTACGATTCGACGGCAAGAATCAAATGTCTTGCGGACAATTACTAAACGGTGGGTTATTTCACGGATATGCGTAACCGTCCTCTCGCCAAAGTCTCCGGAGAGTCGTGCGTATGTGAAAGCGCTGAAAGAGAAAGAGACGGGTTCCGAGTCGTCAACGCCACTGTTGAATAAACACAAGGTATTTATATGAGTCAGGTTGCTAAAGACTTTATTCTTGCGTTTATCGTTTACGTGTGACGATCTCGCCAAAGCGTCCATCATTTGACCGACAACATCCTCATCGCCTTCTCTTCCACCACTTCATCCGTATTCGTGGTCTCAGTCGTAGTGCGCAGGTCCGCCACCGCTCCTCCCGCTACCACTCCCGCCCACTCTTTCAATTCACGTTCTGCCCTCACGACCAAATCCCTCTATCATGGCCTACCCAGAGCCAAGCTCCCCCAGCGGCATGTCTCGCCGCCTCACGAACAGGAACACCAATCGGTATAGCGTTACCGCACTCTTCAGCATGGCTGCAGAGCAGGATGTTGAAGTCGAGGATGACCTGGCTCGTGGTACGTTTGGCCTGTTTGTCGTATGATTCACTTTCCAACCGTAGTCCCTTCTTTCAGCTCAGAAACGCCTGCGGGATCTGAAGGGAAAGATTTCTGCTCAGTCAAAGAAGAACTTTGTGCTTGAGCGTGATGTTCGTTACCTTGATTCTCGTATCGCCCTTCTCATTCAGAATCGCATGGCTCTCGACGAGGTACGTCAAATCTCTTCCTTCTGGTTTTTCGAGAAAGGCGTTGCTGAATTTCCTGCGTGCTTCTAGCAACGCGAAGTTGAACGCACTCTCGAAGACGTCGATCCCACTGAGGGCCATTTCCCCGACGACCGCAAGCTACAACAATACTCCAACCTTTTCTTCTTGTTGCAGGCCGAGCCGCGCCACATCGCGTCGCTTTGCCGGTTGGTCAGTCTCTCCGAAATCGACACCCTCCTCCAAACGGTCATGTTCACCCTTTACGGAAACCAATACGAAAGCCGAGAAGAGCACCTTCTCCTCACGATGTTCCAGTCCGTGCTTTCCGCCCAATTCGAGACTGCCACGGATTTTGGGTCGCTCCTCCGTGCAAATACCCCCGTATCTCGAATGATGACGACTTATACCCGCCGCGGCCCTGGCCAGAGCTACCTGAAGAGCGTTCTGGCAGAGCGCATCAACAGTTTGATTGAGCACAAGGACCTCAATCTTGAAATCAATCCTGTCAAGGTCAGCGGTGTGAGATTTATGTCGAACCATTCTCATCCGTCCCCCAGGTGTACGAACAATTGGTGAACCAGATCGAGGAGGAGACTGGCCAGTTGCCCCCCAACCTGCCCCGAGGCGTTCCGCCAGAAGTTGCTGCTGAGAATCCTGATGTCCAGGCCTTCATTGCGCCTCGACTCACCATGCTCATGGAGATCGCCAACAGTTTCCTGGTCACCATCATCGAGAGCATGGAGAGTGTCCCGTACGGTATCCGATGGATATGCAAACAGATTCGAAGTCTAACTCGGGTGCGTCCTTGTGCGCTGGAAATCTGATGCTCTTGCTGATGCAACGAAGAGAAAATACCCTGAAGCCACGGACTACGCTATTTGTTCGCTTATTGGTGGATTCTTCTTCCTTCGGTTCATCAATCCTGCGATCGTGACGCCGCAGGCCTACATGTTGGTGGATGGTGTTCCGGCAAAGCATCCTAGGCGAACACTTACTCTCGTACGTCGCCCAATTTTTTTTTTGTTTACTACCCGTCCGACGTCTGTGCTCCAGATCGCCAAGATGCTTCAGAATCTGGCTAACAAGCCCTCTTATGCGAAGGAGGCCTACATGATCACACTGAATCCGTTCGTAGAGAACAACAAGGCGAGGATCAACCAGTTCCTGAACAGCCTTTGCGAGGTTGGCGACTTTTACGAAACGCTTGAGATGGATCAGTACATGGCCCTGTCCAAGAAGGATCTGGTCATTCACATTTCACTCAACGAACTGTATAACACTCATTCTCTCATCCTGCAACACATCGAAACTCTGGTACGTCACAATATCCTACAATGGGTATCTTGACTAACTTGTGGCAGTCTCCGAATGACAAACAACACCTTCGTGTCCTGACTGACGAACTTGGAGCTGCCCCTGCTCAGGTCCCCCGCAAAGAGAACAGGTCGATAGAGCTCAACCTTTATAGCCGTTGGGAGACGCCAGTTCAAGATATTCAGAGCGCCCTGATGGACTCGGTCTCTTCCAGCGACATGCTGTACATGGAGACCAAGTCCATATTCGTGCAGATCATCCGATCTATCCCGAGTGCGGCGGAGAAGCGACCGTACAATCTGTCCGCTCTTGCCGAGCGGGCTGCAACGACTAAGGATGCCACGCTCGTGCGCAAGGGAATCAAGGTGAAGGAGATGCTTCGGGAGCTGGAGGAACTCAAGGTCGTCGAGGAGGCTGATGGCTACAAGCTCATGCAAGAGGAGGTCGCAGCCGAGCTCGTCCATCTCGGAAACCTGCGAGAGAAAGTTGTTCTGGAGACCAAATCACTGGATGCAGTATACAAGACGATCTGCGACCACAACAACTACCTTCGCTCGCAACTGGAGCAATACAAGGCATATCTTCAGAATGTTCGAATGACGGCTTCAAAGGACAAGAGCAGCAATACAGCGGTCGGCGTTGTCATGGTCGGTGGCAAGGAGAAGAAGCCTGCCAAGCCCAATGTTCTTGGGCCGTATCGGTTCACCCATGCTCAATTGGAGAAGGAGGGAATCATCGTCGAAAGTAATGTTCCAGATAATAGGTATGACTTTGACTTGCCACCTCGGATCTCTGCTCACGAGATCAGGCGCCCCAACATCTATTTCAATATAACGTCTCCGTCGCCGGGTACTTTCATCATTGCTTTGCACTACAAGGGTCGAGAGAAGGCGATTCTGGAGATGGATCTCAAGATTGACGATCTCCTGGAAAAGGCGAGCCGCGTGAAGCTGTTTTTCCTCCCGTGCTGACGGGTGTTCTACAGCAAAAAGATAACAAGCATCTGCTTGACTTGGAATATGTTCAGCTCAATGTACCCAAAGTTCTCGGACTGCTCAAGAAGGTGTTCGCGAAGCGGTGATTCATCTGGTACCACATTATTTTTAAGACCTATTTTGTCTGTAATCTCCGTTGCGGACTGTTCCTATTCGTTCTATCTCTCTGTGTCTTTTCTCTCGGATGTATATTATCTATGTAACTATCTGAGACTGTTGTTTTACCAGCTTGACTCATCTCGCGCTTCTTCTGTGAACCGAACCCTGTGCTGTGAACAGCTGCGTCTCCATCAACACAGGAGCCGCGCCCAACGATCATTATCCAATCATTCTCAGGCTATTCCCCGCACTTGCACCCCCTCTTGTCGAAAACGAATGCGCTGAGACGACCCATGCACCTCATCTCTCTTCTTCCCCTTCTTTCTTGCCTTCTGGGCGCTTCGGCCAGTTTGATCTCCCCTTATTCGCCCAGTCTCCGTCTTCGCCTTCTCTCCCGGAGTGTAGCCAGCAATGTCTCGACTGTGGCGGGCATTACTTCCGTCGCACTCACCGGCGACAAGCAGTCCGTTCCTACCCTGGAAACACTTGGCTCACCGCTCATATCTGTTCAAGGACGTACTACGCGGTGGCGGAAGCCGGAGGACTCAATTTCCGTCTTGCGCTGGACACAGGATCTTCGGACCTTTGGATTATGGGCTCCAGCTGTGTATCGAGCGTGTGCAAAGGGATACCTCAATACCCTCTTGGGCGCTTGAGTCCGAGCTTCTCCGCTGTGAACGACAACCAGACCGCGTTCCGGGCCAGTTACGCCGACGGGACTAGTACGTCGTTTTTATCTGCGGCTCGCGGGGCGTCGCTCACAACTGCTCTCGGATAGGTGTTTCTGGATTCGTTGCACAGGAGAAGATCGTGATGGCGAATGTGACTGTACCGAGCCAGGCGTTTGGTGCGTGGACGCGCTGTCTAGTGGTCGTGAACCCGAGTTCTGAAAGCCTCCGCAGCTATCATCACACAGGCCAATGTCTCCTTGTCCGATGATGTCAGCGGACTCATCGGTCTGGGATTCCCCCGGCTTTCGTCTATTTCTAGTTCCGTGACCAACTGTCCGTGGTTCGACCTGCTATGCCGGCAAGCTGAGGACTCAATGCGTTTACAGCTACTCCTTTCTTTACTTCCCTCGCACGACAAGGCATTCTAGACTATCCTCTCTTCGGCCTTTCGTTGACGAATGATGGCGGTGGCTCGTTGACGCTGGGTGCTATCGATTCAGATGTCGTGACGAATGTCAGCGCCATCAGCTGGAACCCAGTCGTCCAGTTCTCCCCCCAAGGAACCCAAAGCAATGTCTCGAGTTACTTGTTTTGGGCAACAGTGCGTGCTGCTTCCAGTTTCTGATGCTTCCGCTGACTTGGGTCAGCCGTTGACGTCGTTCTCTGTGCGAATCACATTGTCTGCTGTCGCCGCCCGGCTGACTTGATATAGGTCGCCAACCACACGCTTATTCCTAGCCCCACCTATCCTCTCGCGACCGGCAACTCATCGTTGGGCCTGTTCGATGTGTACGTATCGTATCATCTTACTCGATTGGATGATGATGACTGACTTATCGCAGCGGAAATTCGGGAATATATGGTCCATTTCAAGACGTGGGTTCGGCTCTGCCCAGTCCTGGCATCGCTGCTGACTAGAGCGCAGGTCGAGCGGCTTTTTTCCTTGATCGACGGGTCGCGGATCGTCGATGAACGTCAGTTGAGATGTATCCAAGCACGGCAAACGAGCTCATCCATTCTATAGGGGGGATCTGGGCCATTCCTTGCGACACAGCGGCGACAATCACATTCAGGATAGGGTGAAGGATCATGCACTTTGTCTGACGGCATCTTACGTCCACCAGATCGCAGAATTACACGCTCAGCCCTGCCGATTACCTGATTGGTGCTGCAGCTGGGAACCCGCAAGTCTGTCTGTCTTGGCCACAGGCTGCGGCTCCCAGTCCAGATGGCATTGACTGGCAATTCGGTACACCGTTCCTGCGGACTGTGTACTCTGTTTTCAGGCGCGACCAGACCGTCATGTTCACGCGCGAGTGACTGATTTAGATTACAGTCATGGCATCGACTCCGCGGAGGCCCCTCGTGTGGGATTCTACTCGTTGAAGAATGCCACCGTTGCACAACCGGCTTCGGCATCTTTATCGCAGTCGGCCTCTTATGCATCTGCAACAGTCACCAGTTCATTTGTTCCCCAAACCATTGCTACGACGCTTCCCAACTCGCTTCTCCCGACGCCAATCATACTGACACCGCCATATGCATTCAACGCTTCTATTCCAGCATCTATCGGGGGAATCGTCACAACTGGACTTGCCACGAGCACATACAGCCCCATCCTCGCCCAGAAACATGTGACATCTCTGCCCTCGATCGCATTTCCCCCTGCGGTCACCACTATCCTCACCACCGACGCCCGAGGTATCACCCGCACAACTACATCCATCATTTCCACGCCGCCAGTGACGCTCGGGCTTGCTGCAGGAAGGATGTCCTCCTCGACAAGGAGCTGCTCTGTCTCCGTCTATAACATTGCTGTGCTTCTGTTGCTATGCAGGACTTTATATCATACAATTTTGTAGATAATACACGCTACTTGCTCGACTGCTTGAACCACGCTCCGCTGCTTGGATCATGTGTCGCCGCTCTTCGCTTCCTGACCCTGCTGCCATTCCCGCCACCAGCCAGGTACAGTTTGATTCCGTTCGCTGTCGCAGCGTTCCGCCTCCGCTCTGAGCTCGGCGTCTTCACTTGCAGCCTAATTCGATGTCAGAGCCTGCGAGCCACGAGACCTTCACGGATGGACCTACCTCTGATGCAGCGAAGGCCACGGCTCGCGTCTGGCCGCATTCAATAAAGTCTCGGACGGCACTGACTTCTTCAGCGACGAATGGCCGGATTCTAAGGTCGTCCCAATTCCAAGAGGATTTGGCCAGCGTTTGCAGGCTTTCCGGGTCGAGTTTTCGGTCGATCCATCGGCTCAGGACGGCCAGCTCAGAGAGTTTCGTTTCCGTAAACGACGTCTCGCATGTCACTGTTTTGATATTGGAAAAGTGGGTGGGTGATCCCTGCAGGTATAACCAATTTTGGCTGTCTAGCCGGTCCTGTGCCGACGGATTTGTTTTCTCGGCTTCGAACCGATTCAATAGCCCGGTAAGCATCGGGAAATCACCGAAGCGATCCAAGGTGACCCTCGCACGGGAGATCACACTTTTGTATATCTCTTCTTCGTCTGCTGGTATTTTCCGCGACGAGCGTTCGAGCAAAATCCGGCCCTGTCCAGGTAACCGTCAGTCCCGTTAATCTCTCGCATGATACAACCACGAACATCAGCGGCAAACGCTTCTATCGCGGCCGTTTGCACCGTCTCTTGATTCTCCAGACGAAACTGCGCAAGATACAACGGTAGTAAAACAGGATAAGCCGCCCACTGCAAGCGGCTTGGATAAGTAGACAGTCAGTAGGTAGAGAAGATGCAACGCACAATGTTAGGCTGGACCGAGTGCAACCTCGTGCTGTCGCTCACCCGACTGCCCTCGTAGCTCATCGTGTTCGCCGCATCAAGACAGTGAAAGGGCGATGTCTCGAATGGAAGGCATACGACCTGACGCCCATGCTGCGTCCGTAGATCGCTCGTGAAGGGTATTGGACGTTCGTGATTCAATTCCTTGGAGAGCAGAGGAATCATCGACAATTTCTCCATCGTGTGTCCTAGACATTCCATCTCACCACAATGAGGAATGACGGATGAGATTTCATTTACCAGGAAGGTATCTGCGTTCGTCGGACTCCATACCATCGAAGTCAAGTAGATGCTACTCACGAGTTCCAGGATACCGCAGTGACTTTCAAGTTCTAGAAAGCCCGTTAGTCGTTTCAGTCCAGCACTCAGAATACGGTGCAGACCGATGGTGATTTGGAACCGCTGTTCGTGAAGCTGACTCTTCCCTCCAGTTCTGTGTCGATCAACCAAGCAGGGAAGTAGACTGAGTGGTGTCACGGACTTTCTCCAGAAAGCACACAGATGCAACGAACCAGGAACGAGGTTTTCCGGTGTGACAGTTTCGACCAGCCATTCCAATGTCCCAATTACTCTGTCGGAGACGACACATTTATCAAGGGCGTCTTTGGGCGAGACTTGGAACGGGTAAGCGCGGACTTTGGGTGAGTATGACACCATAGTCCTCGACCTGGGGACGATATGTCTTGACCTCCCCAAACAGCTGAAATTCCGGGACAGCATCGTGAGTGATGCCGGGCTATAGTAAGTCGAAGGACCGAGAGCCAGAATGATGCTATTTGGATACTGCAAACAGCATCATTTCTATCCGCCGTCACATCGCCCGTGACCGCGTGCAGCCAGCGTCACGGCATTGCTCGTGACCGCGACACCTCCACGTCGTCCTCATCCATTTCGGGCAAGGCTCGATCACCTCTCTCTCTTTCGTTCCCTTTCGTTGTCCGTGGACTTCTGGCAAGCAGCCGCTTGCACCATGTTTCGCTCCTTGCTTGTGGTCGCGCAGCTCCTCTTTCTCGTCAACCTCTCCCTAGCCGCGGACTACTACAAAATCTTGGACGTTCACAAGTCGGCCTCGGAGAAGGATTTGCGGCATGCGTACAAGAAGCTGAGCAGGAAATACCATCCCGACAAGAACAAGGATCCAGGTGCCGAAGACCGGTTTGTGGAGATTGCTCACGGTGCGCGCTCCGTCACTGCTTGTCCGGTGGACGTAGGTGCTGATGCGTTCGTTAGCGTACGAAGTCTTGTCGGACCCTACGGTCCGTGCATTGTCTCTTCTGCTGTCTGCTTCATCATTCCGTTATAGAAACGAGACATATATGACCGGCATGGAGAGGTTGGTTGCCGGGCAGCATTCTTCGGCTGTGGTATTGACCCGATTGCAGGAGGGGCTGAAGGCACACGAGGGGGGTCAGCAACAAGGCAACCCATTTGATATGTTCTCCAACTTTTTCGGTGGTGGATGTTAGTCTTCTTCCTCCATTTGTCTGCCACATCCATCTAAACGTGTTCCAGTCCAGCAGCAGCAACAAGCGCGTCGCGGCCCGACCTCGGTTACCGAATTTGAAGTGGAATTATCTGACATGTGCGTAGCTCGAAGCGTCTGACGACGGTGTCTGAATGCATCTCAGATACAAGGGAGCCAACATTGATGTATGTGCTTCTTCGCGACCACCCTGCACACACACCTACTGATTGTGCTTCTGGAATAGTTCATGATCAAGAAGAATATCTTGTGCGATCACTGCCGTGGCTCTGGCGCAGCTTCGGATGGCGACATCCATACTTGTTCTGGATGTAGTGGCTCGGGTGTGAAGATGGTCAAACAGCAGGTTCGCCAAGTCCTGCGATCTCACTGCGTAATTCGATACCAACACGATATAGATCTTCCCGGGTATGTTTGCCCAAAGCCAGACGACGTGCAATGATTGTGGTGGACGAGGCAAGGTGATCAAGAAGAAGTGTCCTCACTGCAATGGCAACAAGGTGAGTTGCGCGGTTTCTCATTGGATGCCGGTTCGCGAGCTTCGGCAGGTTGTCGAGCATGCGTCTACGTATACTCTCGAAATCACCCCCGGGATGCCCGAGGGTCACGAAGTTGTCTTCGAAGGCGAGAATGACCAAAGCCCCGACTGGGAGGCGGGTGATGTTGTGTTGCGCGTGCGGAGCAAAAAGAACAAGGGGGGCTGGAGGAGGAAGGAGAGCAGTCTCTACTGGAAAGAGACCATTGGCGTCGAGGAGGCTTTGCTCGGTTTCGAGCGCAATTTGACACATCTAGACGGCCATATAGTCACACTCTCTCGTAAGGGTGTGACACAGCCAGGTATGAGATTGATGGAACCGCACCGTTACGCATGCTGAACATTTGACAGGATTCGTACAAACCATAGAGGAGGAGGGAATGCCCCACTTTGAGTCCAATACCCACGGGGAGCTGTATGTGGAGTACAATGTTGTCCTTCCGAGAGAGTTGTCGACCCAGACACGCCGAAGTGAGTCGTATGCAGTCACTTTCTCGTGCTACGATCTGAGACCATGTTGCAGAGCTCGCCGAAGCATTTTTCGGATCTAGCACGGGTCACGACGAGCTGTAACTTATATTACTATCTTCGGCTATTTGCGCGCGACTTGATTATTGTCACCGCGATTGCGAGCTGATATTGCCTGATTCTTGAGCTCTCGGATGCTAGCAACAGGAGAAGTCTCTCAACTGAATAAGATTCACGCCGCGTGATGGCGTTGCCCGACGTCTTCTATTCGAGTGTTCTCAAATATGTGAAAGGATATACTTACACCCAGGGAGTGCATATATAAGTATGAGACGAGCAGATTGCAGAGACCACCACTCCATCTTTCGCCCCTTCGTTCTCTTTCCTCGGCCAGGTCGCCCTTTCTTTCGCCTGCTCACGTTCCTTCGACATGTTCTCCGCCTCCGTCGTTCTCTTGCTCTCCGCATTTCTTCTTAGCTGGACCGCTCCAGTCTTTTCCAAGCCGCTGACTGTTCGCCGCGGGCCGTCGATCGCATGTGCGTCGAGACACAAGGCTTTAGTTCTTCTGACGCGAGCGTGCACGTACGATAGATGCGCGAGATAACACTACCCAGACGCGCAATGTGACTTCCACCTCGTTCGACAACTACCACAACATCTCGGCACTGAACGGCTTCGACCAGTTCTACGGTCCCAACAACTTTGACGGCCGGAAGAACGATCAGAAAATCGTCATCCAGGAGAAGCAGACTCAGTGCGAAGTCGTTCGAGTGGAGATCATCCAGCAGAAGCTCGCCATCATCCAGGAGCTGGTCAAAAGGTGATTGGACATTCAAGTGGCGACGAATGGGGACCCGCACTCAGACGACGCATGTCTAGGATAATCACCGAGCAGATCTGCGACGTCGAGACTCAAACGATCGTTCTCGAGCAGCACAACGGGTCAGTCGCAACCCACTTGGTTGCCTACATGTCACGGCCAACGACGGGGCTGACGAGCAGAACAGCGTCCTCAAAGTCCTCCGGGACCAGATCCAGCGCACCGTTGTGAAGAAGCAGATCGGGTACGACAAGAGCATCGCGGCCAAGTTGAGCCAGATCGTGAACTCAGATGGGACGCTGAACTCTAATGACCTCGGCTTCAACGGCACGGACGTCGGGAAGAATACGGTTGTTCCCGCGGGCAATAACTGGAATGATGCCACGTCCCCGGCGCTCGTGAAGGCCGCGCTCCAGGCAGCCATTGCCGCGACCAAGTCCAATGGGACGGGTGCTGCGACTAACACGACGGGAACGCATTGATTGATGACAATATTGCTGAGATTGGACTTTTTTTGTAGTATGCTTCTGGCCCTGTGATGTAGCTCAATACAGGACATTCAGTGAGAAGGCGGACGGACGGATGAGTCACCGGAATAGTTCCCACCGAGGAACGGCGGGGTTCTGACCCTACGTATGAGCGAGATCTTGGGCGATGTCATTGGTGACAAAATCTTGAGTTTGAAAGCTGGAATCTTATTCAGACCAGCTGGAGCCGGACCCTCGGACCGAGCGCCCCTGGGAGTTGATACTAAAGCATGGATGCATCACGCACGGGGTTCCCGCACTTGACGCCCACATCCGTGACGTCCTCCGGCCACTGCCTTGCCAGGCTCTTTTCGTGAGCGCACTTGTGTCACCGTCTGGTTTTGCTGCCGCTCATCCCAGCGACAGCAATCGCGCCGTGTCTCAGACATTGAGTGGGCACTCTTCTCTCTCATGCCGGTCTTGCAGTGACGATGCAGGATGTCTGGACACACAGGAACCATTCCGGGTAGAGGCGCCTGGGTGATTCCGAAGACAATCGAGGCAACAAGCGTCGTCGATGCCGTGATTAGTGCAAGAATTGACAAGCTTTTGCCCAACAAATCAAATAACCCAGGTCACTCGCCTCATGCCAGTATGATACATTGCAGGATGTTAATACACGTCTTGTCATCGTTACTTATGCCTGGCCGCATGTCATAGTCTGCCTCAAGCCGTACAAGAAAGACTTACTAGGTAGTTGTAGGACTTGCGGTCGTCGCATCGTTCAAGGTACTCCCGCTGGAATGGCTCAGTCGTCGGCACCTGCACCGGAACCGGGGAAACCACCCACATCGATCAGATTCTCGATCCGTTTCTTGATATTCAGCGGGTTGGGATTGAACCGAGTCGCCAGCTGACGAGTGACTTCGTTGACAAGATCATTGTGTGTCATGTGTTTCCTGTCCTTCATGATCCGCACTATGCAGGCCTGATTGTGTCCGGCTTAGCAGCAGTAGCCCAAGCCAAGTGTGGATCAGACACACCTCGGTCTGATGCTTTCGCTCTTCCTCAATCCGATCCCTCGTCTCCTTCTGCTCGTCCGTGTTCTCCACCTTGGACGAGATGGTGCTGATCTTGATCTTTTGCAAGTTCGAAGTGAAGTCTGCATTGAACGAGAAGGAGTCCGACGGGATCACCTCTCGGCTGGCGGGGTGTTTCTTGAGAATCTTGAACTTGGCACATGCCAGTGATTGCAGATGCCTTTGCAATATTTCCTCGTCCTCAATGCCTGTTGCCTGTTTGATTTCCTATCAAAGCAATTGGCAATCTAGTGCTGACGGCTTTCTCGTCGGAAACGCACCTCGTATGTGAGAAAATCATCCGGACCCTGGTCTTCAAAGAGGAGAAGAATAACCATTGCAATGGTGGAAAGGTTGAGGTCGTGCTTTCTCGCCTTGAAGGTAACGCGAACGTCAGCGCTGCCCAGTGTCGGCTGCCACGTAAGCCGACGACCAGTGTGCTGAGCGAGGTAGAATTTCTCGAAAGACTGCAGAGTCTCGATCAGCTCCAAAGGAAGCTGGCATGGTGTCGTTGACTGCGTCATCGGCCAGAACGTAGAGGTCATCACAATGGCCGATAATTCGATCTTGGGTGGCTAGGCATGGCTTGAGATAAAACAGCTTTGGGGTGACTGACTGGGGAACTTACGTGGTCCAAATACAAGCTAGTGCTCTTGTACGATCGCATGGTGTCTTCAGAAAGCCGCATGTCATTGAACATTCCCTCCAGCTTCTGGGTGAACTGGTAGCCACATTCCACCTTGAGTTTCGCCAGCATCCCCCTCTCCGCATCGTCCGAAACAGATCGACCTTGGAGCAGCCGCTTGGCGAGATGCCCTTTATAGTATCGCTCAAACACATCTTTCTCTGTGATGTACCGGAACACTGTGATCGTCTTCTCAAGTACCGCGTCCACTTCGGTATCGGTTTTCTGCACACAAGTCAGCACGATGACACATGCAAGAGGGCCCATCAGCTGACCCCCTTCAGTCCACGACGTAGGTTGTCGTCGATGAACAGCGAGATGAATTCCGAGGAGCGCTCGTTGGCGTTGATGAATGACTCAAAAGCCTACAGAATTCTCAGAACCGCTCAGCCAGCCAGCGATGGAGAGTTACTGACCTCGTTCAGTGTAGCTTCCAGTTCTCTGTCAGCTGCAAATGCATCTCTCCAGATGACGTCAAAGAGATCCTTCAAGTTGAGCACCTCTTGCACCCAATTGAGAGCGAGTAGTAGCGTCTGGGCGCCAGACGTCACACGTTTCGATCCTCCACCATCCCCTTCACCTAGTGACGTCTGGTTGATCCCATCTCCTCTTTTTCGAATGGACTCTCTGAAGGCCCGCTTCAGACAAGGCATACCGGCCGGGACTGTAATAAATAGTCGGTGTAAACGAGCTATGTCAGAGATCTTGTTCAAGTCGATCATGGCATCCAGCCCGGATGATTCCATAGAAATGATGGTGGCTAGATGTGCAGTCAATAGATGGTCTTGAAGGATTTGGCGTAGTGCCGGTGCGGTCGTCCGGGAAAGATAATGGTGTGTCCGAGAATCTTCGGATTCAAATCGTGCTTCGACCTATGCATGGGTCAGAGACGACGATGAATCCAGGAGCTTTCCGTATTACACGCAGTAGAAATTCCGAGGCATCGCAAGTTTGAGCGAGGGTGTGACCCTCGGCTTCATAGAACTGTTGGCTCTCACGCAACAGAACGGGCTCGAGATCGCGCTTGTAGATGCTGCCGCTGCTGGAGTCCTGGAGCGCGACAAAGACATCAACGCATCCCTTGATGGCAGAACGGTTGACTGTGTGTCCATGTCGCTCGTATCGGACCTGGTTCAAGATGGCAGTAACAAGGTGGTCCTTGATCAACGGCCGGAATATGCGTTCGAGAAACAGCGCAAGCCCTGCATCCCATATCTCTGGAACTTGCGCGGTCTTAGTATAAACCCGATCCTACACTGGGCAATGAAGTGGGGGAACATCACGCCGGGCTGTGCACGTACCATGTACTTGAGAATCTGTCCAAGCCTGACCATATTGCTCGTGTGATCATCCCAAATATTTCTCAGTGCCTTCAGTAGTACTTCGGCATCCTGACTCTGCACCGTCCCGTCACCAGCGCCCGAAGGGAACACGGGAATGACTTGGGTATTCGCAAGGTGATCCAGATTCTCCGTGATCAGCTCTTTCACACCGTTGTACAGCATGGCACCGTTTTTGTGAAGGACCATGTTGTACGCAAATCGGTGATTCTCCTCAAATGAAAGGTTCTGTGCATTGTGGTTCTGTATCTCGCGGATGTTGTTCGCTAGATCCGACCACGTTTTGTCAATGGAAACATCGGGACCATGCTGGGAGACGCTCAGTATATGTTGGGATATGAGTCGGACCCTTGGACCTTTCGAGGAGGTTTCTGTTGTGCCGCAGATGAGTCGAGAGACGCGTCAGGACTCGAAATCAACATACAATCTTCGGTCTGCCGCGGCGCGCCACTGAGAGGATAACAGTGAGCTCTAGACCTCCATTCTCAAATGAACACACCTGAAGACATTATTCGTTATCCAAGAAGGTATGCAAAGAGCGAAGCTGTGGTAGGTTGTAAATGAGGCGTAAACGAGAACGTGACGGTGGCTGTGATGCCGAGGCCGAGATAATCACCGGCAGCGGTCTTTCGCGAGATCTCTCCATCTTCCCCTGTTCTACTTCTTATGCAGCGAATGGCAGGTAAAGAGCCTATCAAGGTTGGCATCCTGGGAGCCACTGGTACAGTTGGCCAGCGCTTCATCACCCTTCTATCTGTACATCCGTGGTTCACCATCCATGCTCTCGGTGCATCATCTCGTTCAGCGGGTAAAGTCTACGCTGCTGCCGCCAATTGGAAGCAGATCACCTACATGCCCAACGCTGTGAAGGACATGATTGTTCATGAATGCAAACCGGAGCCCTTTGCAGAGTGTGCCATAGTGTTTTCGGGGTTGGATTCAGACGTCGCCGGGGAAATTGGTATGTCCGATGACTCATGCGACCCTCGTTTTTCGTCTGACGCTGGGCAGAGAGCGCATTCAGAGCCGCTGATCTGGCTGTTTTCTCGAATGCGAAGAACTATCGTCGAGATCCGCACGTTCCACTCATCGTCCCTCTCGTCAATCCCGAGCATCTTTCCATCATCGGCCAACAGCAGGCACTGCACTCCCCGCCTCTCAAAAAAGGATTCATCGTGACCAATGCCAACTGCTCGACCACCGCTCACGTCATCGCACTCGCGGCGCTGGAGAAAGCTTTTGGTCCGCTTGAGACACTCATGATCACGACCCTGCAGGCGATCTCCGGTGCCGGCTACCCAGGAGTTCCCAGTCTAGACATCATCGACAATGTTGTTCCGTACATCTCCGGGGAGGAAGAGAAGATCGAATGGGAGACTCGCAAAATACTTGGAGGGATGGAGGAAATGGAGGGCCAGACCGTGAGCGGTCGGCCGCTGCAACAGTTCGACATGCATGCCCAGACACCGCTGAAAATATCCGCTGCATGCAATCGAGTGCCAGTGACGACAGGGCACATGATCAATGTTTCTCTCAAGTTCTCACGTCGCCCACCGCCGTCCCCTCAGCAAGTATGTGAGGCTCTGAAAGCCTACCGCTCGGACGCGCAATTGCAAGGATGCCCATCCGCCCCATTGCAGACCATCACAGTACACGACGCACCCGATCGCCCTCAGCCCAGAATGGATCGAGCCCATCAGGACGGCGCTGGCATCAACGTCGGTCGCGTCCGCCAGTGTCCTGTCCTGGACATCAAATTCGTCGTCCTTGCCGACAACGTCAGCATCGGTGCCGCGACTAGCAGCATCATCAACGCCGAGTACGCCGTGCTCCAGGGCGTGGTATCTTCATAGAAATGTAAATCGTTAGGAAATCTCAATCGGAATATGTACAGATTGCTATTCGTCGTAGGCCCGCAAATTTCTGTAAAACGCGTGGGACACGTGATCGTTCCTACACACTTTTCCCATGAGCGACGAAGCGGCTCTCAAAGCAGCGGTATTCCAGCGCCTACATCCTCGCGCGTATCTCGAACGCTTCGTCTCGGAGAACTATCGACCCGACGGCCGCTCGTTTGACGCCTGGCGAGACGTTTCCGTCAACGTCGGTAGGTATGGCTCGACGTTCTTCGCCCCGACGCGCTCTCATTCAGTTTCTCGCAAGGCTCTATCTCTACCGCCGACGGATCTGCTCTAGTACGCCTTGGTGAAACTACGATCGTATGCGGAGTCAAGGTTGAGATCGCCGAGCCTGAGCTCGACAGTCCCGATTCTGGCTTTTTCGGTGCGGGAGATCATCGGCGCTTCCTCAGCCTTGAAGATATCTGAATCACTGTCCCAGTACCAAATCTGGATCTCCCCGCCTTATGTTCACCCAAGTTTAAGTCTGGCCCACCCAGCGACGAAGCACAAGTGCTCTCGGATCGCCTCAACGAAGTTCTCGCATCGTGCGTTCCTTCGCATCTTCCCTTCCTTTCAAGCTGACAGCCCTGTAGTACAATAGCCCTGTCCGATCTTGTCATCCATCCTGGCAAGGCCGTCTGGGTTCTCTATGTCGATGCGACGTGCATAAACTACGACGGCAATGTCTTCGACGCGGCCGTCATTGCGATGGTGTCGGCACTGCGGAACAGTGCGTGAAGAGCAGATTTTTTCTTCTCATGCTGACCGTTTCGGCTGCAGCTGGGCTTCCTAAAGCCACATACAACCCGGAGACGGGACAGACGCTATGTTCTAGGACCGAACGCGTGCCCCTGAAGTTGTCTAAAAACCCGATAAGCATGTCGTTCGGAGTGTTCGACTCGTGAGTGGGTGCAGCGTTCGGCCATTCTAGCCTCTCATGCCCCGATCAGGACTTTGCTCGCGGATCCCACTTCCTTTGAAGAACCGCTGCTGGACACCACGTTTTCCATCGTTGTGGACGAAAACGGGCAGCTGATGTCAGCTACGCAGCAGGGGCCCGCTCTGGAGAGGGAAGACACGCTTTCCACATGCATAACCGCTGCAAAAGCGCGCCGGGGACTTGTCGGCCAGCAAATACCATGATGCTTGCTCTCAATGCCAGTGCTTTGACTCCGATTATGCTACAGTACATACGACTGCGGTGATTAGTGCTTGTACAAATTGGTGTGATCATTAGTAAAACAGTGTGAGATATATGCAAGACGGGTAACAACAAACACATCCGGTCATGACCGCGCCGCTCGCACAACATCAGCAAAGTACTTGCGGAATGCCCTGGCGTCGAGATCTCGTAGATTGGTCGTCAGCTCCGCTGCGGTTTGGGGTGGCCAGCCCTGTGCTGGGAGGAACACATTGGCGAAGAAGGCCTCGGCCTCGGCCCCGCGTGCCTTGGATATGGTCTGCAACAGCACTCCGATTTCGTTGATCACCTGGCTGTGGCCAGGATCCTTCAGGTTAACTTCCGGGCGGAACAGAATCGGAAAAACAGCGGGGATGATCCGGTCGTAGAGATACTGCTCGAAACCCGGCAATGATTTTTCTGCAGTACCACTCCCGTTCGTGACAGCCGACGATTGGCCCCAGACTGTGACAGATCGGATGAGGAACAGCAGCGCCGCCCGCTGGCAGGAAGGATCCGACGTGTCGCAGGCGATCTGAAGCATGCTTCCCATGAGCGAGTCGAAGCCTCCGCGGTTTCCTTTGCAAGCAAGATCAGACCAAGAGGGAGCATAGATGACACATCATGCTCACGTTCTGAGATAAACACAGATGTCACTTTTGAGTTGAGAATGCCATTAAGGAGAGTGAGGTACGCTTTTTTTGTCTCGAGTTGCAGGCGTTGCTCGTCGGTACCAGAGACGGGCTGTGCCAGAAGGCCGGTGATATGCGTGCTGAGCGGCCCGAAAAGTTCATCGAGGACAGAGTACATGTCGTTCTGCACTGTGTTCAGCCCGTAACTGACACTACACCCTGGAGGCACCTACTTGAAGTTTGTGGATCAACAGCCCAAGGAAGTTGAGGAAGTCGACCAGCTCCGATGGCTCAAAGTGCGAGAGAAGGTCGGACATGAGCTGAGGGATGAGGTGCGTGATGTTGGGTCCCGTAGTTGCTAGAATCCGCGCGAAAGCGAATCGACTCTGCCAAAGATGTTAGCCTCGGTGCGTGACAATTCAGCTATCCACTGCTTACAGCATCTCGGACGTCTTTGAGAGTGTTCATTGCTTCTAAGCAAACCAGGATGGCCTGCGAGATCTCTCGGAACTGGTCTATGGGTAAGGATATATAGTCTGCAGGCACTGGATTCGGGTAATCGGGGAAGCCTTTTGTCACCGTCCCGAGCGCCATGATAGCATGATGCACTCGCACGATGGGGACCAGATCCTGGCTTCCCTTCGCACCATAAGCTTGCAGATTGTCCGACAGCTCAGACATGAGTGGTTTGACGAAAGAGAGCAGCAGTGACGCCAGCTGATCAGGGGTTTTCCAAGTCAACGAGCAGAGCGTGCCCACTGTCTCGTACAGATACAGTTGCGAGTCAAAAGTCGGATCGCGTACAGCCTCGGCAAGGGCGTCAGATGAGTCCTCGGCCTCGGGTTCTGGGAGCTGGACTTCAATGCGCAACAGGTCCCGGATGCTATCTGCGATGTTGGCGGCAACCTCGGCAGGGATGTCGTGCTTGACCTCCTTGATGAAGCGGTGGAACAAGTAGAAAAGCCGTAATCGATGGTTGGTTTCCGTGCTGTGCAGACCACTAATCGAAGTTGAGTTCGTGGGCTCTCAATGCAGTCGCAAGACCTACCGGGAATCAATCATGGCTTCAAGGATCGGAAGGATACACTCTTTGCGGACTTTGAAGAAGTCGGGGTAACGGGAAACGGCCTCAAAAAATTGAAGGGCGACCCGGCGATCCGGGTGCGAAGACAGGTTGGATTGGATCAGTGCAAAGAGCATCTCACCATGGGGCGTCAGAGGATAGATAGAATAGTCCGCCACCTTTCTTTGACCCTTGTCCACGGCAGGAGCTTGACAGAACGCGGCTCGGCCTTTGCCACCCCCTGCAAGGAGTGTTTGAGCGGCCGTGTTCAGATATCAAGAGTTGATTCACCTTTATTGATTTCTCCGAATGCGTAGATAAGATAAGCCGCGAGTTCAGAGTCGTTCCATTTCACGGGGACGCCCGTTTGATGGGCATTGATGGTGGACATAACCAGCGTGTAGATGGGCTCTACGACGAGAGATTCGTCCACTACCTGCACCGAATCGATGAATGTCCTCAGTTCCTTCGAACCAGACATTAATAAACTGTCAAGAGCTCAACAAGCAACACTACCTTGCGCAGCGAGTCAAACTCAGAGATATCATCTTCATCTGGATCTTCTAGATCGGTTTCCTCGTCCCATTTGAGTTTCCTCAACATTACTTGCATGAGCGAAGTAAGGAACGACCGTTTAGTCTCATCCAGCGGGTCCGCAGACGCTTTGCGGGCACGTTTGTACTAGGGATCAGATCAGTGTATGCCCTTTCCAATTCACGACAAAAGGGGAGCCTACGCTTGCGAGGATAGTTTGCAGCAGCGGGAAAATGGTGGTGCATGTGTCGTCGTATTCGTCGGCCATGAATTGCAACATGATGGGCAGTATCTGGCCCAAAAGTCCAGACGCCTCTGTTCTGACGTCCGGCTGGACTCCATCCTCAAGTAGTTTGGAGAGTTCGAGTCCAAGCACGTTGAGAAGCTTGCCTAATGCTTCCCGGTACAGTTCTTCGTCCTCATCCGTGTCCGACCGTGCAGCTTGCTCAGCCCTTGTCCTGGCCTCAAGAGCTTCGATAACTTGACCCAGAGATAGGACTTTGAGAAGTTGCAGCTTGTCTGTCGGTTCTTTCAAGCCCTTAGTGACAATTTTGGACATTGCTGTCACGGTGGCAAGACGGATGGGGACAGCTGGATCTGCGAGCAGATTAAACAATAACGGAACGGTAGTCGGAGTGACAGTCAGGTTGATGTCGATCCACCCTGTAGTCCATTATGTCAGGAAAGGGAGAGTGTGTGTATCAAGCTGAAGTCGCACCAACATACGACCCAAAAGTCCTGATTCCGAGATCCACCGTTTCAACAGCAGATGCTTTTTCGCGGTCGGAGGTGTCATTTCTCTTGATGAGTTCTGTCGCGTCCGCAACGATGGTCAGCACAGCCTCGTTTATCCCAGCGGCGTCTCGCTCTCTGACTGCATCCCGGACGCGTCCATCGCGTTGATGACGAGTCTCGTCGAAGGTGCGCGCCGACTTGAGCAGCTGGTCGGCCACTTCTCCAGAAATCTCGAGCACAATGTGGAAAAACAGAAGGACGATGTGATGGTTGAACGCCGGTTGATTCGACGATGATTGTGCGGGACGAATCAGGGTAAACAAGTCCGCGAAGAATGTCGGCCATTGTGAGATATATGTGCAGAGAAAGAAGAGGGTGAGCGTGTGAGAGAATTTGTTCCTAAGGACTGAGAGACGCGTTCAATAGGGTACGAGCATGTGTGGCAGCCGATCTCACAGGTGGAATTGGCTTCCGCCTGCCCAAACACATATTCGCTCTGGATGTAGTTGAGAATACCTTGCTGAATAGTTCGAAACGAATCCTCATCCAACAGCTCGAATCTAAAGAACACGATCACGGTCAGCGCAACATGATAATTTTGTGACAGAGGCAACGCGTAGATAATCGGGGAAACACAAGTATGCGCCAAATAGTAGGAGGCGGGCGGATCGCTCGAGTCTCGCTCTAGATTCACTGGAGACTCACCGATTGTCAAAGAACTCATCCAACACCCTCAACGCGAAAAATCGAGCTTCGGGTTGGTACTTGCGCGTGCCCTCTGGATTTACATCAATGAACAGGCGCAGGGCAATCCTCCACGTAGTTCCAGCGTTTTGTTGAATTGTTCCGAGATAGTCCAAGGCCTGTTGGTGGAGGGCAGCTTGTGCCGGGTCCGATGCGATGGTGATTGCTTGCACAATCTGAGTAAGTTCTTGTTCCATCGTGAGCTTTCAAACTCAGATATTTTGGATGGCGTGGATTCGTGTAGGTTCGTAGGGGCCTGCGAAGCAGTGCCCCGTGAGTCGAAGTGAGATGGATGTGAGTCTGACGAAGTTGCTGATCGCGCTGTGTACCAAATCGGGAAAGGGAAGTTTTTGCCTTGTGATCGAAGTCGCGTGTAGCGGTCGCGTGCATGGAACATGGAATCCACAGGTCGGGCAAGGGCATGTATAGACTAGAATTGCAACATAAACAACTCTCCGAAATGGGTAGTAAGACAGACACGGCCTGTGGCCTCTTCTAAAGCTAGACACTGGACCCTGCGCAACTCAAAGGGCAGGGCTTTGTGCTTGGCCAGCAATGGCTCGACTACGACCCGTTGTGTATTATCCAGAGGTATGATTGCCTTCATCAAAGTGAACTCGTCTGTCCCCCATTGCTTCTCTAGCCACACAGCGCGAGTTCCTGTTTCACCTAAGCAAACCATCTCGGCCGAAGTGGCAGTGTGTGTCGGGAACGGATGGACCCAAGGATGCGTGCGTTTATCATGGAGGGATAGCCGGACGAGATCCGCACGCTGTCCAAAAGTACGGAAAAATAGTGTGGTGAGATGACCCGACCCATGAGTAGAATCAGCAGAAAGATGATAGTTTGCACGTGGCAGGATTGGAATCTGTTCTTCGACTTCAGGAGCCGGGAGCGGTACCACAAGCCTGTGTCTCCGGGCAACGAGCATAGTGTGATCCCGGACAGCGGTTAGTACAAGCTGTCCGGGGTATAGTTTGAAGTGCACTTGAGCTAGATCCTGGCAAACAGCGTAAGCAGGACCTGCAGCATGGGGATGAACACTCACATCCGTCAGAAGAGGATCTAGAGAGAATCGGGCCCCCGTAAGAGTGTCTATCGTCAGAATACGATATCCTGACGCACGATGCAGATCCTGCTTGATCTGCGGGATTCCGACAGCAACAGTATGCCCAAAGATGTGCACTTCGTAGAACGGGCCGTCAGCCTCTGGCCTCGAGATATCGCAGATGAGATCATGCGGTCGGTAAATTCCAAGTTCTGGGTCTGCCTCAAGTGCAACGGAATATACAACGAGTCGTGTGCTTCGAGCAGCAGCCAAAATCACAGCGATGGTAACGTGTGTGCAATGCTCTTGCATCGAAGCCGCAAATGTCAACGGCATCCCGTAGCCGGAAAGACCGATTGAAGCTTCGCGAGATGCCTGCTTGGTGCCGGCCATGCGCAAAACTGCCACTGCCGGCGGAGACCGCCTGAGGACCACGAGCCAGCCTGAACCTATGAACTGCATCTTCATGACATTGTCCATCTCCTCGAGACGAGCAATGCTCCGTATTTCGGGGTATGGCCGCCGCCAGTTATTGTCGACCCGCAACGCATGCGTGACCAGAGTCTTGAGCACCGGCCCGGTCAGCAGATTTCGATTCACGTAGGGCGGAATGACCAAGGGGAGTTGCTGCGCAGATGGAAGCTGGTGCCAGATATAATCGTTCATCGTGTATTCGTGTAGGCTACGACACGTCTGTCCGGAAACACGTTGGCAATCGCAAAGCTCAGATTGTATCAGGACGAAACAAGCGCACCTGGTTAAGCACCAATAGATCCTCCGCCGACAGCAAGATGAACACGTTAATGAGGACATCATGAGGTAGAGACAGAAGCGCAGCCATGAGGACTCAGGTATGGTGAAAGCAAGTGCATCTACTTATGTCGATGCTTGAAACTGACTTCGAATGTAAGACGAAATGAGCATGTTAGCCGGCCATCAGGCATCGATCATAGTAAGCGCCGGCCGGCCCCGATGGTATTAAAGCAGCCGAGACGGCTCCTTTCCACCATCCATTCACCTCTATCATGTCTGAGTTCGACTTGTCCGACTCAGACTGGCTCGAAGTATCCAGCATCCACAGCTCTGACAACGATTCCCTTAGCGATAGCTCACGATGCAGCGAACGCGGCGGTCTCGCGTCGCTGCCACTGTCCCGTCGCTCGTCCATAAGTCTCGGGAGTTCTGCTGATGACCAGATCGATGCATGGGAGGGCTTTGTAGAGGAAGGAAGCACAGCCGATAGCCCAGGACCAAGCTCGGAGACACTACCCGTGACGGAGCTCATCCATGATGACCACGACCCCCTGGTTACCGCACTCGACCAGAGCCTCGTCGGCACTCTGAGTGCTTCACGATCCAGTTCCCTCGGTGCCTCTTCCACTGTTCAGAACTCCCTCCGTGATCTGAGGTTATCGTTTCCCGATCCTCTCACCAGTTCCCGCGATGAACTCCAGCGCTCGTACGAGACGGTGCCATCCCCCGATATCTGTATCACGGACGATGTTCCCAATTCGCCGATGACCACAGTACTCGGGAAGGATGTTGATTTCACTGCCGCCGGAGATGCCCGCGATTATCATGTCGCTCCCGATGTCCAAGTCATTTCCCTCAAGGAATATAATGTGGTGCTGTACGGCGCGCATGACTTCGGCACTTTCATTTCATGGCTTCTCTCCGTTATGGGTGTCCGCGAGGGTGCAGAGCGGTCGGTGGATAGCATCGCTTTCGACGTATGTTCACTTTCGGTCCTTTCTGTTCACTGATTTCATCGTGGCTTTCAGCCGAGTCCTAGCGTCGAAAGGCCTTCGATCGGTATCTTATCTCTCCATTCTTCATTCTCCCGCAGTCTTCCTTTGCATTCTCTCTATATTCCCGCTATATTTCCCGCCCAGAGCGACGAGGATCTTCTCGAGCTTCACTCGAAAGCCGTCACGCGTTGGGGATCTCTCAGCATCCCCGATTCACATATCCTCAGGCTCATAGACGCAGAGGGAGCTCAGATATTCGTCGATACCCCCATTTCTCGACAGTCTGTCCATTCTGCATCTGTTCAGCGCCAACTCGAGCAGATGGTGCGGTCACCTCCGAAGAAAGGACGGAAAGGATTCGAACAATTGAAACCAGCGCACGGAGTGACATTGTATGGATCTCTATCGAGTTGAACATGCAAGATGACTGAGCTTCCGATTATAGCGTGGCTCTGCTCTCGTTAATCATGGGCTTTGCAGTCCATACGGCCTGGCGCACAGCCCATCCTCCTAGTCCAACATCGGTTGCGACCGCAGTCCTTCCTGTGCAACCCACGTCTACGAGCTACTACCTCCCGGTCGACTCGCAGCCCCACTCGTCCCTATCTCGAGCAGCTGCACCTATGATCACGACCGCGCTAGTGCCTTCGACTCTGAAGGAGTTTGCGCTGGCAGTCTTCAATCCTCCGATTCAATTTGCGTCCTTGTCCTCTAGCGCAACTAGTTCAATGCCTAGCAAGTCGGCGACCATACGTCCTGTAGCGTCGAAGGGGGCTCAGTCCACCACCGACGTGATCTTGCGTCCTTCGACCTCGTTGGCCAAACTTGTCAACTCTAAATCCGTCCAGACTTCTACGCCGCCCAGCTCTCCTCTTTTACTCGACGCGCCGCAGGTGGCAGCTTCTCTGAGCCTCAGAGTGGCCGGCTCCTTGTCCGAGATTGCGACTGCGGCGATGAAAGCTCTGGAGGAAATCGTCGGTCCCGAGTTCGGAGAGATTGTCTTGGCCATCGACGATCTCATGCGTGCTATCGGACGGCAGACTACTGCTATCGCACAGACTTCGAGGGCCCGGGCCCGGATGCTGCGCCATGTGCTCTCCCAGCGAAACGAACGGGCCAAAGGCAAAGCACGGCAGCTCAGTCAGACATTGGTTTCGACTGTCGGGATCGAGCTGAGGGCTCGAGCTGATCTGGCAAGGAGCAGAGCACATATGATCAAACACAATTTCGTGGAGTCTGGTCTCTGGCGCTCCTATATCCAGGCTCATGGAATGTGGTCTGACAAGCTCCATGCGAGCCAGCCGCGATCTGAGCGACGCCGAGGTCCTACTTTTGCTCGGCACCAGAGAGAAAGGCGCTGACCTCCATGTGATATGATCTCCGTTAGTACGATAGGTAGGTAGGCAATGTATGTTATGTGTATGAAACTATGAATTGTATGGTCATATGGATATCGCACTGAATTAGGTTTATCCATGACTGGCACCGCCTCTGGGCTTAACGTGTGTCAGACCTAGTCCTCCGCCATCACAGTCATTCAGTGTCGAATCGTCCATTATAGATAGATTGGACGGTTTCACTCTCGATGATCAATTCAAGCACCCATGGCGCACGTCGCATACCCCTCCACGCCCAACTTCAAAAACTGCAAATCGAACTACGATCGGTCCAAAGCAGCAGCCAATGATTTGTCAGTAACGCCCGACTCTGAGTCTTCGACCGGCTTGCTGCCAAAGCGACATCCATCGAGAGGGACATTCCTGGGGACTGTGAAGCTGCACGGAACGAACGCTACTATTGTGTTCTCCCACGGCAGCAAAACACCACAGATTCAAGCACGCTCGTGGATCATTCAAAGCACATCGAAGGACAACAGCGGGACGTTTGCCTTACTGTCAAAAATCCCACTTTCTCAGCTGGTCGATCAGATTCTCGCTGTGCAAGGCTGTGGAAATGCGTTTGATGAGATCTATGTGTGCGGAGAGATCGCCGGGAGGGGTGTTCAGAGAGGGGTCGCTATCACCCAACTGGAGGTGCGTAGTGCTTTCCGTCTATAGTTTCGGCTTTGAGAACTCAAGTACGAAGCCATTCTTCGCTGTCTTCAACATCAGGATTGACGGCCATTGGATGGACATGCGAAAGGTACAATCCGTCTCCGATCGGGGCACAGTCTAGTAACAGAAACTGATAGTACAAGTCTTGCGCCCTCCCGGGCTACCGGCTGTACAATATCGCACAGTACAAGACTTTCGAGATCGACATCGATTTCGACTCGGAGGAATCCACGACAGAAGCCAACACCCTCATGAATGAGCTCACCGCAGAGGTCTGCGCCCAATGCCCGTTCGCAGGGGCGTTCGAGAAAGATGGACAGCAGATCGTCGGTGCCGGAGAAGGGATTGTTTGGACAATGGTGTCGAGCGGGACCGACGAGTTCGACGACACATTGCTTGTGAACTTCAAGACCAAGGGCGACCAGTTCAGCACTGTTTTGCGTCCTCCAAAGAACAAAAAATCGCTTGGCCTCGAGCTTCCAGAAGCGTGTACGGAGTTTGCGGACTATGCCCTTGGAGAGCGACGAATGGAGCAGGGGATCGAATACCTAGAGGGCGAACAGGCCCGCCAAGGCCTCCCGATCGCTGGCATCGACATCAGACTGATTGGGCCGTTTATCAAGTGGGTCGTTGACGATGCGATCCGTGAGGAGAGAAACGAGATGGAAAGGCTATCGGTCGAAGAGCGAGACGCGAAGAAGGTGCTTGGGGCCCGAGTGCGAGCCTGGTATATGCGCAAGTGCAACGAATGACTATTATCATGTGACCGTGTGTTGGAGCGCTCTCGAGTATTGAATTTCTTGCATACATTCGCGATCAGTACAACATATTATGAAATGATTGAGCACTAGTGCTTAGATACGATTGTGCTAGTAAGCGACGGGCGGCCAATCAGGAAGAGATGTCAAGGCTGCGTTGGATGCTTCCCTGACCCTGGACTTGGAAGAGAGATCGCCGGACTTTCGGTAGTTGGCAAAGACCTCGTGCATCTGGAATGAGGACGCAGAGATAGAATCTGCGGTCGTTATGAATGGATGGACGGGCGAAGCTGTGAATCGCAACTCACCAGCATTGGACTCGGCTTCCTTGGCCATCTGAAGTTGGATTCAGTTCACGACTCGAGACCAACGCATTCACTGACCGCCTGCAGTCGAACAGCTTCGGACTGGTACTGATTTGCCAAAGGCGGACTCCATTGCATCTGTGCCTGTGCCTGCCCTTGTAATGTGCCCACATGGTCCAAGATCTCCGTCTTTCTCTCCCCCCAAGCATCCTTGAGCCCATCGAAGACCGCGAAAAGGTCCCGCCAAGCAGCGGGGTCCCAGATCTCTATTCGAGCTTTGTTCACGCGAACGAAATCGCGGGGGTGCAGCTGGCCAGTGGGTGACGTCGATGTCGTTGTCGGGGATTGCGCGCCCCCGGGACTCATCAACGATCCAGGTGTACCCGCCTGAGTTTGCAGCTGTGCTGGCTGTTGCTGTGACTGCCCCGCCACTCCATCCCATCCCTGCCCCAGCGCGGAGTACGGATCAAACTGCGCAGCATAGCCAGGGCTCTGGAGCTGTGCCTGGGCCGGCGTGTACGCTGTCCCGGCGCTGGTGTTCTGCTGCTGCAGATATCCATAACTGCTTCCACTGATGTGAGGCTGTCCCGGAAGCTGTTGCCCGTATGAGCTCGTCGGCTGGAAGGGAATCGGCGATTGCATGCCCTGCCACTGCTGCTGCGGCGCATATCCCGGGCTGAACTGCTGGGCTTGTGGTTGGAACTGCTGATGGAATTGCGGTTGCTGCGGTTGCTGCGCCGTGAACTGCTGCTGCGAATACTGCGGTCCCATATTCCCTCCGGGCGACTGCATGCCAGGTTGAAGCCATTGGGTGAACTGTCCTGTGGGGTCCTGTCCAGGCGAAGGCTCAAGAGCAGGAAATCGTGATTGCGGATCAAGCTGGAAAGGATTGTTTGCGGCGTAGTTCATGTCGGGTATCTCGAAGACAAGAGACAAGAAGATGAGGGTTAGTGAGTGTATGTATGTATCCGAGTGCTGATTGCCTTGCTTGACAAGGCTTCTCCACCCCCATAATTCGCATCAAAATAGTGCCGGATTGATCCGTTTGTGACATACCGATTTTTTCCGATGTAACGATGTAATGACATGACATTTGACATTTCCTCTTGCGCGCTACAGTGTCACTTGCCTCTCTATTTGCCCCGCCTCTTCATTTAGCTTTCAGATTGTCTCGACGTATTTTGATTACTAAGAACAGGCTTCTCCTATAAGAATTGGTTTCTGGATCCCTTTACTGCTGTTTGTCCTCCATATTGCTCTTTGTCATTTGCTCCCACCACTTTTGGGGATTCAAATTGCACCACATCCCTTTTGAGGTGACTGCCACTATGCAACAAGCTTTTGGGTAATTGCTGAAATATCTTGATGGCAGTTAACCTTGGAAGATCCATTGAGAGAAGGGTGTAAGAGCTTCGAGGGGTCACATTTCTTGTTTTTGATTGGGTTAATCAGCGCACGACCTGGAGGATTGGCCGGCTCATCAAACCGAAGGGCGCAACACTATTCGGGAAATGAGCAAGGAAGGAACGCACATCGTGCATGGGTTGCCCACGTACAATCAAGAGGGTGCACTGATTGCGCCTGAGGGCTACATGTCAAAGTTGAGAGGGGTGATGGTGATGCTCACTGTCAGGGGAACCCCCGCTTCGGACCGATCGGCCTAGGATTTGGCATGCGATCGCGCTCAGGTGACCTGTCAGCTGTCACGTACCGCGGCCCGGACTGCCGTGCCGAGCACTTCTCTCTGATGGGCACATGGTCAGGTGTCCCATTGTTCCCACTGTCTCGGTTTCCTATTGTTCTCCAAACGGCCATTGTACTTATTGTTCCCATTTGTAAGGGCAACCTTGAGGCCCGATCTCAGAGTCCTGACAAGGGAGAGTCCAAAGGGTCAGATGAGAGGATCGACTAGTACAGGAGACTGGCAAACCTGACAAGGGAGAGTCCAAAGAGAAACCGAGTTGGGGACTCTCCTTGTCAGGGCCCACTATATATAGCCTACAGAACAATGGATGACCAAGCACAATGGAAGCGCCAGACAATGGGGCCAGGGAACAATGAGGGGCCGGATCGGGGGGAACAATGGGAGCTGGACCGTCGGAACAATGGGGGTGCGGGCCGGAGTGTCATGTGGACGCGCTTGGCAGGGGAGTCCGGACCGAAGCATGTGACGCTTGACAGATAGCTCGTGCGCGGTCACATGCGAGATCCCATGATGATCGGACAAAAGCAGGGGTTCCCCTGACACCATTGTTCTTTGTTTGTCGCTGCGTGCTCTATTGTTCTTGTATCATATAAATAGTGGCGCCTGGCAAGGAGAATCCCCAACACGGTTTCTCTTTGGATTCTCCCTTGCCAGGTATGCCGGTCTTGTACCTAGCTACCATTATTAACACTTTGGATTCTCCCTTGCCAGGACTCTGACATCGGGCCTCGAGGTTGCCCTTACAGCAGAAACCGTGTTCCTAGGGATAACCGGACAAGATTGCGAGGTTCGACGCTGACGCCAGTGGAGAAGAGTCGACGAGCGACCAAGACCACCACTCCCTCACCTCCTATCTTGCCCCCTCCTCCCCTCCACAAGCAGACCCGATGAGCATGGAAGACCACGACCAGCAGCGGCTGTCTGCTCTGGAGACCAGCATAACGAATATCGAAGCCGTTCTCACCCGGCTCATCACCCAACAACAACAACCGCCCCCTGCCCCTGCCCCTGCTCCAGCTCCGGCAGCGGGTCCAGGTGTTTCTGCTGGCGCTAACTCTGCGCGCCCCCTCATCCGTCCAAACCCCCCTTTTGTCTTTGATGGGGATCGCACCCTGGGCAAGAGCTTCTTGCACTCCGTGAAGCAGTACTGGCGGCTGCTTCCCAAGGCGTTCTTCGAGAACGGGGTAGTCTTGGAGGAAAAGGTAGTCCGTTTCGCCCTGTCCTACATGTCCAAGGACTCTGCGGCTTCCTGGTCCGAGCGCATGTCCGAGCGCACCCCGTTCCCCTTCCCCACTTGGACTCTCTTTGTCACCGAGTTCAAGCTCCGATTCGTCGAGGAGAACAAGCAAGACCATGCCCTGGCGCGACTGGAGACCCATCTATACTATATGGGCTCGCGAGATGTGTTCAAGTACACGGACGAGTACGACGACCTCCTTGACCTTGCCGGTTATACCGACAACCTGGTCAAGGTGACCAAATATAGGACGGGCCTGGATCCAAAGATCAACCAGGCCATCACCACCTCTGGCAACCCTCCCAGCCTCACCGACTACGCCGAATGGTGTGTCCGTGCTTTCCGGCAGTACAATGCGGAAATTGCTGCCAAGACATCTCGGGGGCATCCTGCCCCTCCCCCTCGGGCACCTCCTGTTGCCCAACGTCCTCGCGCCCTGGTGCTCCCTGCTGTAGCACCAGCTGTTGCCGCCCGCCTGGCGCCGGCCCCCATTGCCCACCCTGTTCCCATGGAGGTCGACCGAGCCCGGCTCCGCAGTGATGTCCGCCGTACCTGCTTCCGCTGCGGCAGTCCGGGACATCTTGCCCGTGACTGCCCCACCCTAGCTGACATCCGTCATGCCGATGTCCTTGACGAGGTCATCAGTCAGCTGGGAAGTGAGTTGCTCTCCGAGTTGGTCGCTCGGGTAGCGACTACTGCAGCCATCGCAGAACACGCGGCCGATGTTGCGGCTGAGGTGGAGCAGGGTTTTCTCCCCAGTGACGAGTGAGTAGTACGCCCTCGTTTGCTTCACGTGATCGTTTCTCCTGTCTGTATGATGAATCCAATTCCCTCCTCTCTGCAACAGTTGAAGCGATAGACGTACACCCTGCTCCCTCTCTGATCCCACGAGTCCGTAAGGAGAAGTGGGAACGCAAGCTCCCTTCCTGCTATGTCGTTGCGGCTTCCCCCGGCCCTAACTCCCTTCACCTCCCGCTGGAGATCGAGTCCACCGACAACGCAGTGAAGTTATCTCTAGATGGTCTGGTCGATTGTGGTGCTACCTCCGACTTCATTGACTCAGACTACGTCCTCGCCAGTCACATCCCCGTTCGACGCCTCACCCAGCCAATCCCGGTCACCTCAGGTGCATCTGTCACAGATGACACCCCCCCCTCTAAGGCCCTCGGAAGTGGTCAAAATCGGGGCCTAACAGGCCCCACTATTCCCAGATGGGTCTGCAGCTCCCGGCCATTGTAGAGGCCTGTCAAGCCATCAATTGCAATCACTGTATTGCCTACCCATCTGCACGGGCCAATGTTTTTGACAATCTCCGTCATTTGCATGGCCTGTTCAGGAATATATTGCAATTGTTTCTGTGTCATGTACATGCAATATATAAGCTTTTTTGCCTACTTATCAGCATAGGACAATGTTTTTGACAATCTCCATCATTTGCAAATGAATCTGTATTGCGTACATACATTATATAAGCTTGTATTGCCTACCCATTGCCATAGGATAGTGTTTTTGACAATCTCCGTGATTTGTGTGGACTCTTCAGGGATAAATTTTGATTAATTATATATTATGTACATGCAATACATAAGCTATCACTCTGTCTAGGATGTTGTTGCAAGCATCTAACCCAGTACGCAGTGGCATCTGTATGCCAGCATTTACTATCAGCTCTTTGAATCATATCCTAGAATCAAAGGCAACACAGTAGCCATTGAAAAGGCAGCAACAGGAACCTATTACATCGAAGAATGTGTGTAAAGGCTAGATGTGAATCAAGATAATGTAGGTATGTATATACAAATGTCATGCAGCAGTCCATAGATACAACATCAAAACGAAATGCACCCTACTTGAACAGTCCCTGGTCCTCGAGCCTCTTGCGCTGCTCCGGGGTCATCCCCTTGAGAAGGTTGATGAGCTGAGCGGCGCCATCAGCATCCTCTGGACTGACATCTGCCAGCGGTGCATGATGCGGTGCCGCAAATGCTCTCGTCGGCGGAGGCATCTGCGGTGGAGCTGGGTGGAAGGAGTCCTCGGATGGACTGTACTCAGACCTATAGCCCGGAGGGCCAGACGGCAGGGGATATCCGCGAGGAGGATACCCGCGTTCATACTGATCGTATCCCCGACCAGGTCCACGCTCATACCCACGCTCATACCCCCGATCATACCCCCCACGCTCATACCCCCCACGATCATAACCTCCATATCCCCCGTATCCCCCATAACCTCCATATCCATCGTATCCACCGTACTGAGGGCGACGAGAATCGTAGTCGCTGTCGTAGGGGCGGGGGTAGTCAAATTGGTCACGGTAGGATGCATCTGCAGGCGCATTCCACCTGGAATTCGATGACCCAGCCTCAGATGGAGGACGAGACGCTTGTCGGGAGGGTCCAGCCTCAGGCTGGGGCAGATGTCGAGGTGCGAGGTGAGAAGGACCAGCCTCAGGTTGACGGTCTTGATGACGCAGATGGGAATGTCGATGCATCTGTGGTGATGCTGGAGTGAGCCACTGACCCTGGTTGGGTCCATGGTGGATCGATCCGATGTGTTCCCCTCGATGGACATCAAAGACGGAGCCAACCCGCTCACTACCAGAAGGAGCACGAGCCACAGTCTGGTAGTAGTCACCACCATCATCGGGCATCTGCAACTCCCTCCGCAGATGTGCACTTTCGGCCTTCAAACGTGCAGTCTTGACCTTGAGGTGCTCGTTCTGAGCACGCTGCTCCTCGATCTGAGCACGCTCCTCTGCAGGCGTCCGGTGCGGCGGCTTGGGGTTGAAGGGCTCGGCGTTGTCAGGCCCAGGCAGATCCACATCATCAATGTCCTCTGACTCAGGACCGTCTTGCTGATGGATCTCTACCACCGGTCGACCTCCTCCACCTTGCTGCTTTGAGGACTTGCTCGTCCTTGGGGTTGCCTTCACCTTTGGCTTGGGCTTGGGGCATTCCAGCTTGGCAGGGGGAGGGGAAGTGTTTGCAGCGGCAGCGGCAGGCTTTGCCTTGGCACCAGTACTGAGCTTCGCTTTGGCAGCAGCAGCAGACGCACGTCTTGGCCGTGGAGAAGGGACCAGAGGCTCTGGGAGCTCCTCCTCTGCACGCTCCTCAGCATCCGAGGTGATGACCGGGGCAGAGATGAAGCGCTGCTTCTTTTTCGGTCGCGCAGATGCATCCATGGGCGGCTCTGGTTCATGGACAGGCGGCTGTGGGGAAGCAGAGACATCTGCAGTGGGCTCGAGGTTGTTGGAGGGAGTGGCTGGAGAAGTGGTGGCAGCGGCAGCAGCAGCAGCGGTATGGGAGCGATGAACACGAGATGAGTGTACAACATCTGCGTGTCGCTCGGCGTCCAGCTCCTCCGAATCCTCGGACTCAGCAGACTCCTCCTCGTTGTCCGAAAGGCGCTTGCACTTCCCACTCACCACCTTCGTCGACTTCTTTCCCTTCTTCACCTTCTCCTCTGCCTTCTCCTTCTTCACCCTCTCCTTCTCCATCTTCACCTTCTCCCTTGCTGCCTTCGTCTGCGCCCGGGTCCTCTTCTTTGCTGCCTTCGAGTCCAACTCCTCGATGTAGCTGACGCCGGAGCCAGCTAGCCGGAACATTTCATTGGGGTCACCGCTTTCCTTGGTGTGGAATGGCATTTTCTCCATGATTGGGCCCTTTGAGTGGTTGAAGTCGAGGACAGCAAGGATGGGGGTACCGTTGGCAAGCTCGCAGGGAACGAACTCCCCAAGTGAGGTGGTAGCGTAGGCAAGCAGTTCCTCCTCGGATGCATCTGCAGCAGGCTTGCGGCGGCGGTCGATCGAGGCAATAGCAATATCATCTGCAGATAATGAGTCAAGGTGCGGACAGATGTATCAGCTTCACGACTTACCTGCCTTCAGCTCACACCGCTCAAAGAACAACCCAAAGCAATGGTCGTTGACGTCCGAGCTGTACCGCGGCTCCATCACCTGGTCGAACTCCTCGATTGAGCCCATCTCAATCTGCCCAGTTCCCCGTCCTCCGCTGATCTTGCATGACTGCTCCTTGTTCGGAGTCCGAGTCCCAGCTGGCCAGTTCCTGCAGCGAGCACCGAGGCGCAGGCAGAAACTGGCCAACTCTTTCCAACGAACCTTCGACGATGATCCCATGAGGGAGAAGTGGAGGTCGAAGAAGGCGAGGCTGACCAGATTGATCCGCCAAGCCAGTCTGCGCTCGATTGCGGGAGCTCGAGCCAAATCCTTTTCGACCTTGGCGGCGTTCTCGTTGGGCTGGATGGGCTGCACGTGAAGGTCGCGAATGGGATCTGGTCCCTTGTGAACGGGAATTCGGACGCCGTTTGGGAGAACCCGGTATCCCGCCCGGTAGTCTGGGAAGTCGAGCCCAGTGGCTAGCACAAGCGGGATGCCTCCAGTGCCATCGGGGACACCTGAAACAGGACCAGCGCCAACATCCGGCTCTTTGTCGGCAGGGTAGGATGGGAGCAACGAGAGGTTGGCTCCATTGTCCTCTGTGGTGGACGGCGGGAATGGGGGAGGAGGGCGAAGTCTTGGAACAGATGGATCTGCAAGAGGATCAGGGCGGACAGAGACGTTTGCCACACTGACAGAAGTTAGCCTTGTTATCCTCGAATACACAATGAATACTCACCTGGCGAGAGCGCGGGCAGCACTACAAATGCCCAGCTCAGTGATCTGCGCCTGATCAAGCTGGCGGAGCTGAGAAGCAAACTTGTAGTAGTCAGCGTCATGTAACAGATGCCTGCTGTAGCAGACTCACCTGGTCTTTCTCTAATGCCGGCGTTGCCACCACGTTCGAGAGCTTGCCATCGTTCACGAGGCCGCCGGTAAGGACGGCAAAGCCCTCAAAGCGAAACAGATTATGCCCATACTCCAACTGCGAAAAGACTAATGAGAATGCATTATGAACAGATGCCTCTGTCCCACTCACCAACTTTACAAACCGCCGAACCCAATCCGCGTACTTCCTGTTGCGCTCACCGTTTGTCTGCTTCAGTGTCACCGCCTGAAGCAGTCGAAATGTCGCAAGTCCCTCCTTGGGATCGTCCATAGTGGCCATGAAGTGCATGTAGCACCTCTTGATGAGTTCCGGATCGTCAGGCAGCAAGCCCTTGCTGAAGTCGAAGTCGGGATAGATGGGTCTGCCAAGGATTTCAGCGTTCAGATAGAACATCTGCGTGAACGTGTTGAAGTCGTTCACAGGGCGCAGCGAGGGAAGCTTGAGCTTCCTGGCAAGGAGGTCGGACATCTGGTCCATGCCCAGAAGATGCTTGTTTCCAATGAAGGACAGCATCTGGAGGAGCCAGCTGAGGTCGTTGTCGAGCGCCTTTTGCTTCTCCGCAGTCAGCCTTTCGCCGGTGACAAGGGACTCAATGTCGATGGGCTCGAAGGTGTCCACCTCCAGCTCGTTGCCAGAGCCTTCCTGCCTCTCTTTCCCCTTCCCCTTTTCCTTCCGCCTCTCCCTCTTCTTCTCCTCGTTCTCGTTCTCCTGCTCTTGACCGTCCTCCTCCCCGCCCTCCTCACCGTCCCTGTCCTCGTCCTCCTCTCCACCCTCCTCACTGTCAATCTCAGCCTCCTCCTCGTCCTCCATGACCAAATCACTGGCGACATCATCTGCCTGCTCAGCAGCGTTGTCAAGATCCATCTGTGCCCCGCCCTGAGCCTCGGAATCGCTGGGGAGAGTGGTGATGGCAGGAAGGATGGGGGATGCGGAACGCGGAGCGGTTTGGGCCGCTTTTTCGACCTTTTATGCTTCCAGACGTCTGGAGTGCGCTGGTTGAGCAGGTTGGCAGCTGGGGCTGGAGTTTTGGGAACAGGAGTGGGAGTCTCTTCGCGTTCGGGTGAGGTGAGCATGGTTTGGGCGGGGGTGACGGTTGTCTAAGAGAGAGGGAAGAAAGAGTTTGCGTGAGAATCCGTGGTCAGATTGATGTGATGAACAACGGACCTGTGCGTTCCACCCCTCCCGCTCTGCCCGAGCCTCCCGACGCTTCTGCATCTGCATAACCTGCCAATTGAACTTGTTTGGCAAAGTAGCCATCGCTGGCCGCAGCACACGATCAGCCCCACCCCCGATCTGAAACTCCTCTCCATCAGCGTCCTCCATCTCCACCATGGGCATCTGTTCAGTGTGCGCTGCATCGAACTGCGGCATTTCAAAGGCCGGGAAGTCTGGATCGAGGCCCACAATGCCGTCAAAGTTCATGTCATCGTATGAGTTGTCGAAGTAGCTGCTGGGGGAAGATTGCGGGAAAATGGAGTCAGGCTCCATGGGCTCGGGTGTTTTCAATAGTCCACTCCTGCGAGAATGAGCGGATGCCTCGGGATGGCTTTGGAGAATACACACATGTGGTTTGACGCGTTTTGACGCGTAATTGACACGCGTTGGACAAGTCTTTTTTTGTCCGGGCCCAAGATCTGAATTTCTGAGCTGTGGATTCTAAACAACCGATCAACGAAAGCAGACATTCATGATGATAACCTACTTTGTTTCTGAGCTTGTTACAGGCTTGTAGTGGTAGGAGTGGAAGAGAGAGGGTGGATTGGGGGGAAAATTGGTGTGCATGTGACTTGATCAATTGATCATTCAGTGCTAAGTGCCAGTACAGATGGGTCGGGTTCGCTCATTCTGGACGCGGATGAGTCTGGATGTGAGAAAAACCAGATGCATCCAAACACTTTTTCAACACAGATGTATCCGTCTGGCACAATGATGTAATGATTTTCGTTGATCGCTTCGTCAAAGCGCCGGATTACATCTTCCGAGCAGCCAATGGGCTGGCGTATAACAAGCAACATTTACAGAATCAATTTATACAACTCATACAAGCCTTATATTCACTCGAAAATATCCGGGATGAGATCAGGGAGGTTGCCCGCATAACATATGAAAGACCCAGAGTTGCTAGTACCGGTTGAATTTGCTGTGCTCGAAAACACCCAGATGACTAGACGAAGCACATTAGCAGCTTGTCTTTAACTCTCACCTTGATCAATGGGCCGTTCTGCCCTTCATTTCTCAGCCTCGGAAAAGGCAGCTGCTAGTCGCCAGAGCAGTCTCAAGCATTCCCAGAAACTCTCGTGTGCTCTCCCTCTGTTCTGGGACGATTGGAAGAGACTTACTTTTTTTGATGTGCAGTGTAAAGCAGCAGCGTTCTGAGCGTACAACCTCTGTGCATCGCCGGAAAGGTGCCCGGAAACACGCATCCTTGTCCTCTGCACCTCCTCCGTCCTCTGCCATGCTCGAGGAGGCAGCTCTGCCACTGCCCCAAGAACATCATCTGTACCAACAGGCTCTGGCCTCTCCTGACGCTCTCGATGAGTCTGACCTTCAACGCTGGAAGTCAGCTCCGCCGTTTGTAGCAGACAACGATGACTCTGATCGTCTGTCAATGGATTATCTCTCGTACACATCATCTCTCTCTGCCGTGCTGCATGGTGTTCGACTCCGGGAGCAACGTGAACGAGATCTCAAGCTTCGGCAAGCCTTCAGAAAGCGCCAGAGAACAGCAGCATTGAGCTCTCTCACTGCAGAGGTTGTGCGGCTGCACCTGGATTGGGAGGCCGCCCAGCTTATGCTACAGAATGAGCACTATCATCCTGTTTTGCACCCTCGTGAGCTGTCCATGCTCAAGCATCATTGTCACTGGGTTGCACGAACGATCGTACATCTGCATGGATTGAAATTCCTTGAATAGAGCGTTTTTAGGATTGTAGAGCTTTGACAATGTCTTTATGATCCCAGATCTATTCACAATGATTATACAAGTTCATCCCTCATCTTAATGTCTTTGAATGAAAACAGAGAGGTGACATTCTAAATCATGGACAATGTCTGTATGTGTTCTGCAAAGATGTGCCTGGCCCTCTGAAGATCTGGCTCAGCCAGTGCTGGAAGATGATGCCCTCTCATAAATGCACCCATTACTGCCAGGATCCAAACCCCACAATCGTAACCATTCGTTTGTTTTGGTTTTCCCTACATTTGTGAGTCGGCAAGAGGAATTTCGATTTGAGACCAAAATACATACCGGTGTGAACAGGGAATATGCGTGCCAATCATTTTCTGAAATGTTCAACCGCTTCCCGTGCCGGTTTGCAAGGGCGGTCATGCGTGATATGAGCAAAACAAACTCCTGCAGATGCATCAGTACGAGCAGAATTCGAGTGAAAGAATGACTGACCTGGAGTTCCTTCCGGAAGCGGCTGCGCCCAGAGAGACTATCAAAGAAGAAAATCTTCTGATCGGGGATAGAGGCCACTGCAACAACCCAGTGCTGCTGGGAGGCGCGATGGATGGGGAGAATCCAGAAATCCTTCTCCCAGTAGCAAAGTGGTGACAGTTCAGCCCACATGAACTTGTCTCGTGCTTCCGAACGGATCCGTGGAAGCTCATAAGTTGACAGCAAA